ACAAGATTAGGTTAACTATAGTGTTGTATTAGAGAGTGAGGGAGAACTGGAGAAGAGTGTTGCGTTTGTTTTAAGCCTAGCTCTTTGTCTTATCTTAATCTTTCTCTATACACTAAAAATATATATATGTTTTATTAATCTATCTCTGGTCTCTAATTAGCTTTTTATCTCTAGTTTGCCAATGCGACAATTGATATCCAAAATTTAATGGATAAATTAAGAGTTAAGACAAGAAGGACGACGTTATTATCATGGCCTTTAAATCTTAACCGTAATAACTGTTAACTGTGTGGGAGAAAAATTCGCCTCAGAGGGTCCCCACTCTAGATTACGTGGACACCCACCAAACAATAATTTCGTGATTTTGACCCGACCGTTGCGTCGACGCTGAGCTCAATCGCTCGTACATGCTGCTGATCCAATAACTTCACAGATCTAACAGCAATCAATATAATAAACCCGTCGCTAATTTCTTTTAACTTAAGTACTTCTACTACAATCCTTCGTACACTCGATTTATCAATCACTTTCTACCTTCATTATATTATCTATAATTTACCGTTTTCAAATTAAGAAAATTACAAGACTACATCTCCCGAGTTAGAAAGGGTTCATTTTATTAATGAAACATTATAAAATGAAACTTTAAAGGGCTCACCATGAAAGAAAAAAGATGCTAATTCGTAAATCGCATATTATCGCGAATTATGCTCGTATTCTATATTTGCTTAATTAGGCTCACCCTTTTGTACAATTGGATAAACCCGTGTAATTTGAGAAGAATTATTCGCATCTATTGATATATCGTAAGAAATATATATATTAATTGCAAGTTGTAACCTATGCAATCACCTAGTGAAGTGAACTCGATTACAGCTTACCGGTATATAGGACCTACACAGAATAAAGGGACAAACACAATTTGGGGAATCTAATATTTGCCTATAGCTGTAGTTATGTCTGCTCAAGTGCACGAATAAACGGAAGAATGGAATCAGGATCAGATGATGAACAGAAAGACGCCAACAGGTCAGAAGAAACGGTGTGAACAAGAGAGGGCGATACCTCTTTGATCCATTTCATATGTTTGATTCCAATCTCAACCTCTTTCGCGTCAGCCACACATTTCAGCAACACTACATGTGCACCTGTGTGTTCTAAATGTTCTCGCTCGCGCAGCAGCTGCGACGCCTCACCAAAATGGCCTACACACACACACACACAGGCAAATGAATCAGCCAGAAACTTGACTTAAGGCAATAAAAGAAACTAGAAGACATAATTGTTCTCTTACCATTGCTGCATAGATTTAAGACCAGCGCGCTCAACACCATTCTCGCAACTGTTTTATCCCTCTCCATACACTTTCTGAAAACTTCCATAGCAGCTTCAAGTCTTGTTTCCTTGCATAGGCCTTCAAGGAGAGACGTGTAGATTGTTTCATCTGGCTCTATGCCTTTCTCAAGCATCTTCTGAAACAGCCTCAAAGACTCCTCTGCCTCGCCTTCCTCTGACAATTTCTTGATGAGTACATTATACGTCGTCTGGTTCATTTCGCAGCCCTCTACAAACATCTCATCCCACAGTTTCTTTGCTGGACGGATCATTTCCGCTCTGCAACAAGCTTCGATGAGAGCGTTATAGAGTGACACGTCCGGATCAAAACCTTTCTTCTTCATTTCGTGCAGAGCACTGTAACCTTCTCTGACTCTCCCGGCCTTACACAGGAACGATATCATCAGACTATAACTCTCAAGCTCTGAGAAATAACCTTTGCTTGACAAAAGCTCATAAGCCTTTATCAGATGATCGCTCTTGTCGTGACGACAGAGATTCTTACTCAGTTTGCTCAGTGTCCGAACTGCAGGCAGTTTCCCTGTGTTTGTAACCATGTAAGTTAAGAAGTCAAGAGCAGAATCAGGATCGACTGCAGAGACTGATCCGATTAACGCGTCTAAGATATCATTATCAATGGGGAAATTTCCACTCACAATCACCTCAGCCACATTCTTGGCCTCAGTTAATCGTTTAGCGGAAATCAAATCCAGGATGAAATCTCTGTAATCGCTGCTCCTGGGCGCTACTCCAAGCTTTCTCTTCTTCTTTAGGACGACTTGTCTCTCGTACAGATTCCCAGTTACTACAAATGCTTCAGCTATGATTCTATAGGCCATAAAATCCGGTTTGCAATCAATGTTTCTTAGCTCTTCCAAAATGTAGAAGGCGTCCATCTCTCTTGAAGATTTACAAAGACCATGGAGGATCAACAGTGCAACAATGGAGCCATTGATGTTCGAGTTAGCCTTCTTAACCTCATCCACCAATCTCAGGAGTTGATCCGTTTCGGAAGTTCTACAGAAACTTCCTATATAAACGCCGAAGCCAAGAGTATTCAGAGGAATACCTCTTTGGCGCATTTTAACAAACAGTTTCTGAGCATAATCAGAATGCCCATCAGAAGCCAGAGCAGCTAAAAGACGATTGCATACATCGGGATGGATCTCTCGACCCGTCCAAAGAGCTTCTTCCAAAACCCAGAAAGCGCTATGAGCTCTCCTACCCAGAAGAAGAGCATCAACGAGCGAGCAATACACGGAAGAATCCAGAAGGATTTTCTGCGATTTGACCTGTTTGAAGAGGGCGTCCATGGCGGAGAACTGTCGAGAAAGCGAAAGAGATTTGAAGATAGAGTGGTAGGAGAGGGAGTCGTGAGAGTAACCCGGTTGCTGGGCAGCCCAATTGAAGAACCCGAGAGCAAGAGAATGATGGTTCAGGAGAAACGGATCAATGACTCGAGCCACAAGCGAAGGACTAACTAAGTGACGAAATCCGAGACCGTGAAGACTCTGTTCAACAGATGGACTCCAACTCCGAGCTGGCCGAGAGCTTCCGGAAACCTTTAGAAGCTCTCGGCCGATCCTCACCGCAAGCTCCGCCGCAGGTCTCATGGTCGGAGTCCCTTGATTAGACCGGTTTGATTAAGGTCACGCGGAGACGCTGACGTCACCATTTCAGGTCACTGACAAGTTGGAGAAGAAGAAGAAGAATCAGAAAATTGGTGAACTAGTCCATTAGTTAGTAGTCAAACTCATACTGGCCCAGACCCATAAAAAGTGGAAAGTGTCTTGTAAGTTGTAATTACCCAAAATAACAACTTTGCATCCGAGATTAATCCCAGGGCCCAGCCTTCTCGTTATTACTACCATTTTTTGGCCCATAAAAGATCTCCAGACCCCTGTAAATGTTGTTAAATTATTTTTTACTTTAATACCCATTCGAATTCAACTTAAGTAAGTTTGTCCGCGTAAACCAAACTTATTTTGCGATTCAGCTTCAACTTTGGTTAATTTGGCACCAGTGCACCCGCTATTACTTATTGATGATTTGTTTTTAAAAAAAAAAATTGAAAAAGAGTATATATATATATATATATATGATCATCTATTTGTGATATATATAATAAGGAAAGTGAAAATGTTGGATATTATAACAAAAGAAGATATGATTGAGGAACAGGACAGAAAGGGAAAGTGACAAAAGAATATATATATATATATATCGAGTGTCCACGTGAAATTGACACAAGTCGATCACATTCTAAGAAATAAAGAAAAGATAATGGAGTGGGAGCAATGGAGGTGACTCCAGATTGCAAAATCTAGCATTTGTAAGTTTGTTTAAATCGGGAGCAAAAGCGTACTGCTTCCCTCTTGGTCCCATACCCATACTATCTACTTCTGTTTGTTCCTTTGTTCCTTGTTCCTTTGTTTCACCCCTCAGATGCTTTCTCCTTTTACTCCTAATTATCATTATCTTTTCGTCTTTTGTTCCCGCGTCTCTAATCAAACCAACTCTAATCTAATCTAATCTAATCTGCATTGTCTATGGTGTTTCACACAGACGCTTAGGTTCACGGTCCAATCCTAGCAAGTTTCTACTGATCTACTACCTAAACAAATGTGCTTCTACGGCTAAGGAACCGGGGTATAGGATATTAATTTAATAAAGGATAACAAAACCCGCTACATTACGAGTTGTAATATTATAATGGAACAAAACATTGAAGCAAAGCTATAGTACCTGATCGTGTCGTGGACAGCTTCACTTGTCTGCATCAACTAGTACCAAAGCCTTCGTTGTTCTGTCGCGGAGCTCCTTTATATATATGCTCCTGTAAAAAGCACTCTTCCTTTACTTTTCTGGAGGATGGTCATCATCTATATGCATTTTCTTCTTGTCGGAGACAGCCAAGTCAACACTCTTTTCGTTGGAAATTATTTTAACATAATGTAGAGCCTCAATCACTAAGTGAACACGTGGCCAGCATGCAACCATGGTTGTTTCAAATAAAAATAAATCAATATCTCACTCGCAACCAGCACCAGTGTAAAACAAAGTTTACAGTTCAGTCACGTTGGCTATGTAACTAGGTTTCAAAGAGACTGCTTACTACTTTCTAGCGCACAAGAGATGGTGGACTATTATATCCAAATTTGTAGGAAATAATGTCTAAAAAATCAAGGTCTACACACTACACAACACAAGACAATAGCAAAAAAACATTTTGCAGCCACTGTTTAATGTTTGCTTTATTTGTAAATGACTTGTGAATTTAATATTAATGGCTCATGAACGCCACATAAAATCGTGATATAGAGAATTCAAAATGAAAGATCAAACAGTAATAAGACCTGAGATGATTGATGATAGTAATTACGGATAGCTACTCCCCGATGAATTTACGCGTCATGAAACCACAACAGTAGTATCATGTCTGTAATGGCCCTCCCAACTTGTTTTTGATGTGATCTTGAAAGAGAATGCCCAACCAAAATTTTTGTAGCTTTCTTGGTGTTGCTCTCCACTGTCATCAACCTAAAAGTCTCATGATACTGTTAGCATCCAATTCACTAGCTATATATGAACAACTTTCAAGCAATCATGCTTCTCTATAAAAGTCACTTTCTTCTCTAGTATTGTGTGGCAACTGAAGTTTGAAAATGAAGGTACGTTCTATATCTACCCGAAAAAAAAAATCAATTAACTTGTAGCTAACACTTACCAAAACTTATTTTTTTTCTGGCAGTTTTGGGGTTGGATGCATCATAAGTTCCGGGAGAATAGCAAAGAGCCATTCAAAGATGCTACAACTGGTAATTTGACCATCCTTACTCTAATAATGCTACTTTCCCTGTCAAATATGTAGGAACAAGAATAGTAAGTGTGTTGAGTTCTAGGAGGATATCAATAGGACTTAAGGTGATGTTACATTTTAAAAGATATTAAACAATTCCATTTCAGGTAACAGCCAGTTCCCACTATCAGCTCATCCATCACTTGATAGCCAAGATGTTTACCCCAGATACAACTCTGGATTCAGAAAACAGCTTAATCTGTTCCAGGAAAGCTCCTTCGCAGAGCTCCAGGGAAATACAGAAGAAAGCTTCAAGGATGGGAGAAACAGTGATTTCTTCCATGGGTTTCTTGCCATTGGAACCCTTGGTGGAGAGACACCTTTGGATGAACCAGCCACACCAACATTTGGCATGTCATTTGAGGACCCGGCAACATATAACGCAGAAGTGACAGAGAATGATTTGAAGCTCATTAGCAATGAATTGGAGAAGTTCCTTGAGGCGGAAGCTAATGAAGGGCACAACCAACCATCAGGAAGGAACAGCGACACTAACACTATTGCATCCACCATCGAGGCCGTTGAGGGACTAGATGCTGAAGAAGATACTCAGCTGCAGCCAATGAAGTTCCCGCTCCAAGAGTATCTTTTTGGCTCTCTAATCGAATTCCCGGAAACAAAGAATGCAGGGAAGAAAGAAAGGGCGTCACTTGGAGAACTGTTTCAAGCAACAGAAATGCAAGATAAACCTTCAGAAAACAAACATGGGGAGAAGAAGAAGCAGACCAGTTCAACACACAAGTCTGCAAAGCATCTTGTGAAGAAGGTACTGAAAAAGCTACACCCAACCTCAAGGATCCCTGACAGTGGTAAAACTGAAGTGGCTTCCACAAAGAAGAAGTTCCAAAAGGTGTGGTTTCTTTTCTAATCTGCTTTTTCCCAAAACTAACGCCTGTGTGATACATGCTACATCTTTGAATACACACCAAACTTCATATGATTTAACTACGGAACATTTGCAGAATTAGCTTTTATGCTCCATTGAAAATCTTGCTTCTAACACGCTTGAATTTATTGTGAGGAGTGCAGATGGCACAAGTTTTCCATAGGAAAGTACATCCAGAAGAATCTATTATGGAAAGCGAAATATACAGCAGCACGACAGATCCAAAAAACAGCGAAGCAAATTCTGTTGGGTTAATGCCTGAGAAGGTGAACCCTTGTCATGAGACAAGTAAAAGATGGATCCAGTATGAGCTAAGAAGTTCACGTTCAGCTGGAAATGGAGAACACTGGATCAAAACAGACGAAGAATGTAAGTGCACTATCATATTTCATTTTAGTCATGCACGATTTGTTCTGCTTTTGGTCTAACCAGATAATAATCTGTGATTGCTTTGCAGACTTTGTGTTGGAGCTGTAGCAAAGAGATCAAGAAACAAGTAAAAATAAGAAAGTGTTCCGAGTGTATTATGTCATTTGATGCATGTGTGAATGGTGTGTAGTATGATGTTCATTACGCCCCTTTATGTGATAATATAAGTTTACAGGGTGTTACAGCTCCAGCAAAATATGTCATATTCATTGTTTGGAGAACAAAAAAGTAAGAGCATATATTATTGTAAGCATTGATTCGAATCATATTATATGTTTTGATCTTTGTAAGGCAAACATGTGATTGTCTCATATACAAAAAGAACTTACAACAGACAATCCATCGTAATGAACGCAATAATAAACCTATGCCTAGTTAAAAGCCTATATCATTTTTTTTTGCAAGAATCCAAAGCGTTCAAGCGAAAACTTGGTATGGACCTTCTGCAATAGTAAATATAGAACTAAACTGGTGGACGTTCAGCAATAAGAATGCCACCTGTTTCCATTCTCCATGACTGGTCGACTAAGGATGCTAACTCTCTGCAGCAAAGTTTATACGAAAAGTGAGAGAGGAAATAAAGCAGTAGCAGCTCTGTTAGAAGAAAAATTGGATTCATGAGTATTATGAAGAGTGCAAACTGTTTTAAGTTGAAACGGGCCAGATAAATGCTTGAAAGAAAAATCTGAGGAAGGATTGTATAACAATGGTTCAAACAGCTATTTGCGCAGGGAAAGCACTGATTCAGTTTCCCATGAGAGAAAAATGTGTAAAACCACAAACACAGAAGCGAAGAGAAACAAAAATTGAGCATACCTTAGGTCATGACTTACAACAAGTAAAGTCAGTTCCTTCTTTAGGTGCTTCAAGAGCTTTGCAACATCTGCACGTGCTTTCCAATCTGTTTGCAGTACAACATCAATGATGAGTTAGTAATGACAAAAAAATTCTCAAAATGCAGATAGAACGCCAGAGACAAAAAAAAAAAATCAGGATAAGCCATGAATTATAAGGAGGAGGATGAAAAATCATACCAAGACCAGCGAGGGGCTCATCCAGTATCAATAAATCTGGAGTTTGCACCTACAAAAGGCATGATTAGTTAGAACAGGTCATACTTGGAATACTAAAATATATTTGGTCTCACCAATTGAATAGCTAGTGCAAGCCGACGCTTGTAGCCTCCACTTAGTAACTGGGGGTCTTTATCAAGTGGGATGCTGTCTAATCCAACCTAACGAATCAGGAAGAAAGCAACTATAAGACAAGATCAGTGGATAAAATGTAACCACTGTCAAAACCAGGAAGAGTGGGTGTACCCAATTAAATGCTCTCTGGAGGTTCGAAGTCAGATGCTCCTTCAACTGCAAACTACCTTTTTGCCTTGGCCAACCAAAAGTAATTTCATCAAGCACATTATCTGCAACAAAGAATCTGGCCACAACAAAAAGCCCAAGTGAATACTTGCTTGTCGTTTAAACAGCAGCACCAAAACTGAAAAGACAAGACTAAAAGTGATAACCACTATTACCTCTCTGGAAACTGGAACACAATGCCCACCTTTTCAGTGGGCAACAACTCAGGATCCGTCTTTGGCTGGCCATCATCCCCATATCTTTGGATACAAATGGAGCCTGATGTCGGTTTGTTTAGCCCAGCAAGAAGCTGCACAAGAGAAGAAGAAGATAAACACAAAACTGCTAAGGCTACAACTCAAAGAACAGTGCCGTAAAGCTGTGTGTGATCAAGAGCTAGTGAAACAGTGAACCTGCAAAAGTGTAGTTTTACCGCTCCCGCTCTTCCCAAAAATCAAGCCAAAGCTACAAAAAGAAGGAATTCAATCACAAAACTCTATAGTATGCACGGTACATCAAGACAAAAAGTTTCATGGAACGAACTTAAAATGCCTCCATGGGACAACCAAAAACCGGATTACCTTTTCTCACGCAGAGAAAAATTAACACCGTTCAAAATATTCAACTGTGTTCCAGGAGGACGGTAGCAGATATCCCTAACCTTGAAAATAAATGAAAAAGGCATTATCAGTCACAAACCAATGATTTAGAAATGAAGAACCAAATGATAAGTTTTGTATCAACGACATCCACTCAAACGAAAGAACAATTATCAGACCGAAGTTACGAATCGCTTGGCATAAATTACTTAACTTTAATATTAAGGGTGATTAAGAATTGGAAACCCACCTCGAGGCAAGAATAATCGCAAGAGATTACCCTATGCTTCTTCGTCCTCCGATATCTCAACCTGTCGATAAACCACCGAATCGAAAATACCAGACACGGTGAGAAAAATCAAGTAGTGACGATAAAGCGATGAAGGGTAAAAGATTGAAGAGGTCGGGACGAGTTTGGCGTACGCTTGCTTCCAGCCGATTGTGGCGGAGAATGATGCTAGTGGTTCAGCGATGCCGGCGACAGGCGAGGGGCTCGAAAACGTCGACACTGCCATAATCAACTGTATTGAGCTTCGCCAATTTCTCGAAAATTGAGTTGAAATGTACGAGATAAATTAAAATTCGGGTTTCCCAGAAGTTTTCAAAATTCCCCTACTCAGAGAAGTGAAAAGAAAAACACGATTGAAAATATTGGCGGAAAATCGGATTCTGGGTGAGTTACTTTTTTATCGTAGGCGATGATGAATTGGGCTTTTTCGGGCTTCCCTTAAATGGTCCGCATTTTGGGCTCCCCATAAAACAATTAAAATACCATTATCCAGCCTTCATATTGTTTTTCAAACATTTGCTACATTATTCATGTTTTAGGCATCTATTGTAATCCGATTTGCTCAATAACTATGTTGTTTAAAAGTTTGAAAGTAGAAAAATGTATTAGAAAATAAATACAATAACCGCTGCAAACTGAATAGATGTTCAATTACAAATATCGAATATGAAGAACAATATCTTGGGAAAACCATGTCATTGCAAAAGAAACGAGAGAGATTATTACATTATTGTGTTTCGCTTCCAAGAATGCTCAAACGTTAGGAGGTGAGATTGAGACCAAAAACCATTTAAACATAAAAACCAAAATTCACAGCTAAAATAGTTAAGTAGACAACGGTGTTGAAACCAAAGTCATATAAGACCGGTTCGTGTATAAAGGCACACACTAATCCTTCTCCTTTGGAATGTCCTTCCCCGGAACCTTTGTTTCAATCTCCTTTGGTTTTATGGACTGCGCCGCCCTGAAATATCGAATCAAACCCATCATCAGTCACAGACACACACACACTCAATTTGCTTTGTGTTGCAATGATCAATCACACTCTTATGCATACCTAAACCACTGACATCAGTTCTTGGCATAATCAATATTTCTGTTTTCTCAAGTTACCAAAACTCATAAGATCATTTTAAACAACTGATGAGCTCGAACGAAACCACAACTAATAGTTTGGTTGGATACTACAAATTCAATCAAAGAAACCAATTTGATTATATTGACATCCAAATAACTAGCTGTAAATCTTGTTAGTTGTTACTAATAGTGACTCTATAATCTCGGCTAATTCAAAACTAGTAGCAGCAGATGAGTGAAACGTACGACAGTCAAAGAAACGGACATATGAACAAAATATCACCAAGTGGACAACTAAGCTTGTAGAGAAAAATTCGAAAAATTAGAGACTTAACCGGTTAACGAAATCACAATCCGCAAACCGACAACTTCGTGAAAGGGAAATCAAAAGGAAACATGAGAGAGAGAGAGGGAAGGCTAACTTGGAGGCGGCGGAAGTTTCTTCTTCGAGCCAGTGGCGGATGTGCTTGACGTTGCGCCTTAAGACGGTGACAGATTGCTTGACGTCGCTCCTCAATAGCATCACCACAGCGCCTACTCCGGCCACCGTCAATATGAAATTCGTCAAACCCATTTTCTGATTAAAGGATCCGCAAAATCAGATTCTCAGATTGCACTGTTTCTGGGTGGAACGCTAGGGATTTAAAGAGGGCTTATGTTTTACTTGGAGAAGCAGCCAAGGCAGATGATTCGTTCGTTCATCGTGATTTACTCTCTCTAGTCGATAACCCCTTTTCTATGGGCCGTCGTTTTTGCATATTTTATGGACTCTTTTAAATTATTGAAAGCCCAGTTAGCTCCGCAGATTAAAAAAGGATAGGACTAATTGGGCCAGAGGTGTTTCATGTTGACCCAAATTTCATAGACCAAACTCCAAAGCAATGTTCAAATTTTATAACCGGAAATCTCAATTTGAACGAAATCAGAACCATAACCGGGATCTTTTTTTGTGTTTTAAGCAAGTTTAAAAACTTGATAAAGCTGTACCATATTTGACGTGACGATAGCTTCTGATTGAGTGCAAGTTTGAGTCGACAGTCTTATATTATATAGCTTCTCCTTTAATATAGATAACATATCTATATATCTCCACAAGTTGTTTTCATAGTAACTCTATCATCAAGTCTATAAAATAGCAAAGTCAGTGATATATCATATCTTATTTATATTATACAGTATACTTTAGCTAATTAGCTAATTAGAATATGGATAGTCGGCCTCGTCAGCACGCATGCTTCTATATCAATGATGATGGTTCATATATAAGAAATGATATAGTTATTATAGAGGGTAACAAAGACAAATGGATTCGTTGTGATTCGTACTTAAAGAGGGAATCCTAAATCAAAGCTGATCCAAAAATAAGAATAACAAAAAAAAAGCAGGAAATAAAATTAAGGATGCAGATAGCGATGTTAAAATAATTAGGCAGCGTAGATGTGGATATGAAGAGCGATGAGGGAGACAGTGATGCATGCAAAGAAGATGAGAGTGTGGATGACAATGGCTGCACCGCTTGTCTGAAAACCGCCAAACTCGACCACTTTAGTCTTCCCCGGAAGCTGAAATAATACGCCGGGCGTCAACACGATGAACAGAACCACCGACATTAGCACTGGTCCCCAGTTCAATGCCATCTCGATATCTAGAATCAATCAGGTTGGTGTGTATATGTAGATTTACGAGTTTATTGTTTAGAGCTAGATATAGCTAAGTAATGTGTATGTTGCAAATTCAATACACCCGTCTTTCTACATTTATAGAATGCTTGAATCAGAGGTTGAGATCTAAATGAAACAGTGGCTTGAACCGGACGATATTGAGAAGTTTGTAGGGTGAAGGAAAGGACGATTCTCTGCAGCTACTCGATCGTATCAAAACTATATATACTATTATAATGTTGTCACATTATGTGTTGATTGCTGGGTATGCTAAGAATCGGATTCGATCTCGTGGATGATCTTTCTCTCTCTCTCTTGTTTTTTTTTTTGTTTTTTTGTTAAAAGAGACACTTTTCTTTTGTTATAAGAGACATTTGGCTTTGAACAAAAAAAAAAGAGACATTTGGCTTTTGATAATTGAGGTTGTCTTTATCAATGCATTCATAATAGCAAGCAAGTTTCTATAATGCTTCGTAACATTTTTTATTTTATAAAATAGCGGTTACCCCCAAGTTATTTGAATACAATATCAAATGGATAAGTTGATCAAATATTTAGGAAACGACATATGCGCCAAAAAACAAAGATGATAAAAATCTATTCTTGTCCATATAAATCTTGAACTTATCCACATCCGAGTCAAGCCGCTCTCGTATTTATTTTATTATATACGTTATATGCATGTTTCTTTTTATTTTGTTGAGACGATTTTTTAATAGCATGTTGGAGACTACTCTAAACCTTGATACATATTTCTCTCATATAAACACACGGGAAAACGACTCTTCACCGAATTCTTGATTTGCAAAATGCGATTCTTGAAAACGTATAATTAACCAAGTAAACCAATCATATCCGCCACTTGATTTAATGCCAAAAGAGAAATCAGTCTCGTGCTCTGTTGCAAAGAAGACATGCATGCAAGTTGCGTTCATATACAGCAACTGGGCAAAAAATATACATGCGTGCAAGTTGTGTATTGTATATATCTATAATTGCAATAAAGTTGTTTTTTCTTTCATTTACAACATTCGTTTGCCTCTTTGAAGGAGGAAGAGTTGAAACTTAATGACAGGGTAAGCGACGTTAAGGAGCAACGGCAACAGCTCCCGTCGATTATAACCTCAACATTTGTATAGAATAAAAAAAAAAAAACCATTTTTTCATGGAAAAACAAAAAATTTAGAACGATAATAGTTGAGGCTTTATGATCTCTGAACTGATAAGGACACCTGTCATACCACCACATATTTGAAAATTCTATTGAATTGCCTTTTTTTAATAATGAAAATAGTTGTTCCTTTATAAGTGTAGCAAAATTACAGCTAATTGTATCTTATAATATATTCTCACATTTATCTCGTTTCTAATAACAATTGTGATAAGATTCAATTCAACTCATTGGTACTGACAATGACTTTCAAGCTATATTAATTTTGAAGTGTTTACTAATGTTAACTTTTGTATTTGCGTGAATAAATATAGTTACACAAAAAAAATGTTTTTGTTTCAACGATTTAAATTGTCATAATTATTTATTATACATGAATCGTTGTATGTTTATATTTATATTTTGTGATATGAATCGTTATTAATAGTAGTATTAATATTGGTCCAGCAAAGACAGATGAGTTAAACAATAACGTTGAATAGCTGTAAGGGATAATCAAATTTGATTAGAAAGTCTAGAAGATTGGAAGTAGACCCGTGCAAGATGGCGGGCACGCAAAAGGCATTGAAGAAATTAAAGTGACCAATCAGCGATTCTACATTGACTGCTCATAAATATCATCGAGCCTTTTTGTTTTACAAAACGTCTTCTTCTTAGTAATAGTAGTGTATGTACTTACAGGTTTTAATCATCTTATTTACTGTAAATCAAGTAATTAACTAATTTACTCCTTTCACAGCTTTGTTGGCATATTTCTCCAATCTTTACGATTTACGATGGCTATCCCGCCATGTCTTGTCGTTTTACTTGTATCTATCCGCTATATCTTGTCGTTTTTTCTAATTTAAGACTTTTAAAAGTGATAAAATCGTATCTGAAAAGACAGACGGATACTGGTTGAAACCAAAAAGAAAAAAAAGGCAGACAGATTTCCAATTTTAATTTTCTAAGACGACAATATTTCGCCGATCGTGCTTTTTAATCTGGTTCTTTCCTGATTGACTCCCGGTGTCGGAAGGAGAGAAATAACGGGAACCCAAAAGGCATTTCTTCGATGGCGTCGACCACGCGAGAAAAGGTTGCGTCTTTCATTAACAATAGATGGCTGGTCTTCGTGGCCGCCATGTGGATACAGTCTTGCGCTGGCATCGGTTACTTGTTCGGAAGTATTTCTCCGGTGATCAAAAGCTCCCTTAACTACAACCAGAAGGAGCTCGCCAGACTTGGAGTCGCCAAGGATCTCGGTGATAGTGTCGGCTTCCTCGCCGGGACCCTCTCCGAGATTTTGCCTCTCTGGGCCGCTCTTCTCGTCGGCGCCGTTCAGAACCTCGTCGGTTACGGATGGGTTTGGCTTATCGTCACCGGTCGAGCTCCGATTCTGCCGCTATGGGCTGTGAGTTATCTGAAATCATCATCTGTCTTAAAATTATTCTTCTCTCTCTCTCTCTTTTATTGTTGTCATATTGTGGGTAAATCGATTTGATTTCTCGGTTGGGGAAATCTGCATGTGGTCCTTCAGATTCATCTGTTTGTCTTTCAATTGGGCGTAAAAATCTTGGGTACTGATAAAAATTTGGAGACTTTCTTTCCACTAATTCAACGAGGTGTTGGAGAATCTTGGAAAAAAGTTTGCTTTTGAGGTTGTTTGGTTACTCAGATGTCGCTGTCAAATCCATGAAAAATTCCACCTTTTTTTTTCTTTCTCATCTCTTGTTCAGCTCTCATTGAATTCGCTCTGTTTCTGGGAATTGGTTTTACTGGGAGAAGTGTTAGGGAATCTTTGAGAATTAGGATCCGATTCAACTTTATCATAGAATTAGTATATTCCCTGCTGACACAACCTCTTTCTGTATGTTTAATTCTCTCTGTTTTTCAGATGTGTATTCTGATTTTCGTTGGGAACAATGGTGAAACCTACTTCAACACTGGATCATTAGTCTCTGGTGTTCATAACTTCCCCAAGAGCCGAGGTCCTGTGGTGGGTATCCTCAAAGGGTTTGCTGGTCTAGGCGGTGCGATCCTCTCTCAGATATATACAATGATCCACTCACCTGACCCGGCTTCTCTCATTTTCATGGTCGCTGTTGGGCCTGCGGTTGTCGTTGTTTCCCTTATGTTCTTGATCAGACCCGTTGGTGGTCACAGGCAGATCCGTCCCACCGATGGAGCCAGCTTTACTTTCATCTACGGTGTCTGTATTCTGCTCGCTGTCTATCTCATGGCCGTCATGCTTATCGAAGATCTTGTCGTTGTTAGCCACGACATCATCACTACGTTCACCATTGTGCTGTTTGTCATCCTTGTTGTACCAATCTTGGTCCCAATCATAACAAGCTTCTTCACAGATTCAAACGGTCCTGTTGATACAATCGAAGAACCCCTTGTCCCAAGACGGGAGGACCAAGAACCGGGACTGCAGACCCCTGACCTAATCTTGAGTGAAGTGGAAGATGAGAAACCAAAAGATGTGGATTTGCTTCCTGCGTCAGAGAGACATAAGAGAATCGCGCATTTGCAAGCACAGCTTATGCAGGCAGCTGCAGAGGGGGCCGTTCGGGTGAAAAGACGGAGAGGGCCGCACAGAGGGGAAGATTTTACTCTGTCGCAGGCGCTCGTGAAGGCCGACTTCTGGCTGATTTTCTTCTCTCTTCTGCTTGGTTCCGGTTCGGGGTTGACAGTGATTGACAATCTTGGTCAGATGTGTCAGTCTCTTGGTTACAATAACACTCACGTGTTTGTGTCTATGATTAGTATTTGGAACTTCCTTGGACGTATCGGCGGCGGTTATTTCTCCGAGCTCATTGTCAGGTTCGATCTCGCGGAAAGCCAAAAAATCTTTAGTCGTATGCTCTGCAGTATTTATCTCTGTTTATGTGCTCTGTGTCTGATTTTGATTGAATGATGTGCAGGGACTACGCGTACCCAAGGCCGGTAGCAATGGCCGTAGCTCAGGTAGTAATGTCTGTGGGACATGTCTTCTTTGCGTTTGGATGGCCCGGAGCGATGTACATTGGCACGCTATTGATCGGACTCGGGTACGGTGCTCACTGGGCTATTGTACCAGCTACGGCCTCTGAGCTCTTTGGCCTCAAAAAGTTTGGAGCTTTATACAATTTCCTGACACTGGCCAACCCGGCTGGGTCCCTCGTCTTCTCGGGTATGATTGCAAGCACCATATACGACCGGGAAGCAGAAAGACAAGCACACGGGTCCGTTTTCAATCCGGATGACGTCCTCAAGTGCGAAGGTTACATCTGTTACTTCCTGACGTCACTCATAATGTCTGGATTCTGCATCATCGCCTGCATCCTGAGTTTGATTCTCGTGCGTCGTACCAAGTCCGTCTACAGTCATCTCTATGGCAAGACCCGCACCTGATATGTTCGTTATGTATGGTCGTGCTCAGCTTCTTATTCTTTGGTTTTGTCGTCGATTCTGCTGCGATACAGATGTTTTTGTTCTGTGTCGATTTTTGTTGTTGTTGTTGTTGTCAATTTTGTTTGTTTATTTTGTACGTTTTTTGGTTTGATGGTTTTCTACGTGTTTTGGTTTCACATCCGCGGCAACTTCTACGATGGGAAAGATTTACAGAAAGATTTTAAGAATAAAATCTTTATAAAATAAGTTTCATTTGGCTTGTGTTTCGAATCTTGTTTTGGAATCTGAGTAATCCTGAGAGAAACAGCTTTACAACTACAATTGAACAGGTTCCATTGTGGATTATGAAATTTTAATATCGCAAAGCTTAAAAGGCTTGAGAATTTATACGTTTCATGTTTTTAATAAAAACATTCGATCAAGTTAATTAAAAGCAGAGCAATCCCTTCGAATCTCTCCTTGGCTCCCAACCTTAACTCCAACGCGGCCGAGTTTCCTCATAGCGTCGGTGAAAGCGCTGTAGAATTCTCCAGCATTGTTAGCAAACCTGAACACTGTGGCCTGAGACCTGAAATCATTAAACAGAACTTGATCGGATGTGAAAAGGCCTTTCCGAGCCACGAGGTTCTGAAAGTAGACATTGTCAAAGACATTTGGGGTTGTTAGGTCCATATTCAAGGCGATGCTGGGGTCCGCCCCAACTCGAGGGCAGGCTTGCATCAGCTGCTGTGCGTAGGCCGGGTCGAGAGTGGGATCCACGGGCATGAACGCTGAGTAGTTGTAGAGACGGTGAGCGAAACGGTCGCAGTGAGAGAATCCGATTGTGTGTGCGCCTGAGAGAGCAATCATGTCGGTCATTGATAAGCCGTTTCTAGCGAACATATCGACCAGACCTGTCACGTCTAGCTCCGGTCCAGGTAAGTTCCCGTCCACAAGAGACGCCTGCGACACAAGCCCGTCTCGTCTACCTAGCTCCACCTTAAACTCTGGCCCTCCAACCTAACAATATCACATTGTTAGCAACTTTTACATGGCGAATCAAATGAAAAGTCAATGAGAAACGTTGACTTACAAGGACGACGACGTCCCTGGCGGCGAGAGCCATGATATCTGCACATGACACAAGGCCTGGACATTGAGCTTCGACAGCGAGCTTAGCCTTGACCACAGTGTCGAATCCGTCTCCGGCAAGAGATATATTGTCCGACGCGTCCTTCTCTGCGTCTCCATTGTCAGATGCTATTAACACAGAAGCATCACATCCCTATATAGTCACCAACCACATGAATCACAACCTTTTTCAATACCAAAGAAAAAAAAACACAAGAAAAGTTGCAAGATCACAACGAGCCTACTACATACACCGACGAAGCAGTCGTGAAAGAACATCCGTAACGTTGCCGGAGCCGTCGTGAAGGTTTGTCGGATTTTCGTTGTAACCGCCTGCCGAACGATGAGCTCCACGTTAGGGCATGTCGAGGCGTAGAAATTCTCCGACAGTTGAGCATTCGACTCGGCAAACATGCAAAAGAACAACATCCCCAAGTAGAACCACATCATCGTGCGTTTTTTTAAAACGATACTAGTATCCATATCAATCTTCTCCTTTGATCTCTCTGTTTTCTTCAAACCCTTTCTTTCAATACGGTCCTCACTTGAATATGAAGGACCACAACACTTGCTTAAAAAAACACTCTGTTTCGTCGACCCTCCGATATGCCACCGGATATATCTACAGCCGCTGGGTCTCTTTTATAGAATAAATGTGTTTTTTTTTTTGTGTGTGTTAGAGGAAAAATTATAGAAATAGTATAAATATGTTATGTTGAATAATTAAAAACTAGCCATATTAACAGAGATGAATGCCAGAATTTTACAACTGGGATTTTCTCATTCTTTTACTTAAGCGAGGACATTTCTTGAGTTAGGGGTTTTTGTTGAAAGTGACATTTTAACAAACCTCATTAGGTCAGTCATCTGCATGGAAAATTTAAATTACTATTTCTTGTTTAAATGTTTATCGTTAAATACAAAATGGATAAACTAAATTCAAAACATAAGTTTGAAAAGTAGTCTTTGTCCATCTTAATATGATAATGTTTTTGGCTGGACCACGAAATTCAGCGAATACCTGTTCGAATTTAGTTCATCAACTTTAGCTCAACGGTTCTTACATACAGCCGGATTCAAATAAACAATTAATATGTCCATTTTTGATTGTTTTCAGCATGGCTATTTTTTGGTATGATGATTTAACTTTATCAAATCAAAGCTGACAGCAGTAGTTCCCTTTTTTTTTTTAAATGATGCTAGAGACTTAAAACCAATATTCAAATTGCTGATGGTTAAAGTGTTATTTTCCACACAAAAATCAAATAACGTTAGCGTGGTGTAAGTAAAGACAATTCTATGTTTGATCATTTCAATTTTCAACCACAAATACAAAAAGAAACTATTTATAAGCTCATTGTGGGTGACCGATATATATATATATATATTATGTGAATAGCCTACAAACATTTAAGAGCTTAATTACAAATTACTTTTATCCATAGAAAGGTTTATATAATCAAACTATCACTACCAGTAAATCGTTGCATTGGACAAATCAGTCTAGATTGACCTATAGCAAATCAAGTTCAATCCATCATATACGAAAAATAGATGTTAATAAGACAAAAATATATAAAACCTTTTATCCAAAAAAAAAGACAAAATATTAAAAGAATAAGAGATTATGTATATCATTATTCATATTTGAGATGGAAAATTACGATATTAGTATCATGACTTAAAAAACAAACAAAACTCTCTCTCTCTTCTCTCTCAAGTATCTTTGAGAGAGAGAGAGTGGTTTTTTGTTTTTTTTGTTTTCGATCTTCGGATAATACAATCCGGTTCTTTCGGATCTTTGTGTAGAAGTTTGTTTCCGTTTATCGGAATTTAATTTGGTTATGAAATTCCCTCCTGCATGTGTTCTATTAAATTCCAGAAGCTTTTAATCAGTTTCTCTTTTTCATAAGTCATGCTTGATTTCTTCTTCTCTAAAGATTAAACATCTTCGCTGCTGTTAAGGCGGAGTTTCTTTGTGGGAAGTCTTAAATCAAGTTTTCGGAGTTTGATTTGGAAGAGACGGAGTGGAGTAGGTAGAGCTGGCGTCTCCTGGAGCTACGTCTTTTGGAGCGGTCCCACAAATTCTCTGTTTCATCTTTACCGGCGAGTCCCTGAACATCACTTCTGGTGAAAAAGTTGATCTGATTCTTTAGCTTCCGGCGACAAGATGTAAGAGGAAGGAACAGTTTGCACGAGCTAAGCAGTTTCGCGGTGGTTATTTGCCTGGAAAGCGTCGGAGGTGGCTGAACCCGGCGGTGGAAGCAGCGCTGCAATGGTTCTTCTTCTCGATCAACACGTGTATTTCCTTTGCGTTGATTTGCTTACACGTTCGTACACGTGTTAATAGATTGTAATTAGCTTATTGGGTCACGTTTGGACCCAATACTTTGTAAACTGTTCTACCCTTTATGGGTTTCAATATAAAAGAGACGACAAAAAAAAATATATATCATGACTTATTGTTCAAGCTTGCATCATGATCATGACTTACGAGTTGTGACATTGTAAAAAGATGATGGGGCAAATGTCGAACTCTTATTGGTACAGCAGTAAAACATAGTTGTATATTATTAACTCTTTTTTCTTTTAAGTTGTAGGATGTGGGCCTTAGTTGGGCCGAAAGACACATTTGGAAACGGTATAGTCCGGGAAGGATCCAGTTATAAACCGGAGCCGAGGAATTGTTCAGTTGGATGCTTGTTCATTGTTTGTGAGACGAAAAACGATTTCATTTTTGAATTTCTTCAGCGTTGGAGGCGATGGCCATGGGTATGGCGGTAGATACGGTAGGCGAGTTAGGCTTTCCGTACTGGACTCCTATCCGACGAAGATTTCCTCCCGATTCGCCCTTCTTTGCATCCGGAAATGTCGAGCGCGAACTACTTGCTAAACAGGTACCCACTCCTTTCTGGCATCTGAATCCCTCGATTCTTCTGGAATGCTGTTCTTAGTGAATACTCTTCCATGATCGATTTCCCAATCGAGTCGTTTTTAGATTCGTTGTCCTTACAAGCTTATCGTTTAACCTACTAGGCACTCTCATTAATGATGATATTCGCATTTGCTTGGCCGAAACCGGTTCTGAGATTTTCAATGTCTGAAATTTTATGGGTTTGTTTCTTTCATTGTCTCCGGAAACGTTTCTGGGGATTTGATCTCCGTAGTGATGATACTTATTAGGTTTCGATCTATCTGTTATACAATGAAATTTCGGATTTCAGTCTGGCGAAATTTTTTCCGACTTTTGGTTATAGCAACTATTTCGTCTAATTGCTCTATTTCGGTTTTCATGAACTTATATAACGAGCGACCAGCCATTTTGTAAGTCTCATGCTGTAGATTGTTTTATCATCTACAAAAAAAATGCTCGCAAGAGTTACTTCTAAGGAGGATTTAATACACAGGTTGCATTGGACTTAACAGAAGATGAAATCAACCATCTGCAGAAAATCGTGGAAACCGAAACCAGGTATTTATCCTTCCTCACTGATTAGCTCGTTAGCTGCTAGTCATGTAAAGAATTTAACCAAGTATGGAGATAACTAGAATTTCAGATTAGGTTATTGCTCAAGCTAATATTTTGAGCAGTCTTATTTCGTAAATGAATCTGGCCTTGGTGGTGTTCCTACTTCGGAATGTTTACTGTACAGTTCACATGTGTTGGTTGTGCGTGTAAGAATTCTAGCAAATAGTAATCAAATGGCCATGAATTGAGTCATTGCTATGTAAAGTAGTTCTCTCTCAATACGCACCTTTAAAGTGGCGACCAGTAATACATCGCAATGATTGTTCTGTCACTGATCAAGTTTATGTAGACTAGTTTTCAATTCCAACTTTGGTTCACAATTCTCCACAATGGTCATGAACTTGATTGTTTTTGAGCAGAAGAATCTCGTGTCCCATTGTTGGCTGCCCTGAGCGCCTGAAATCTCTGGACAATTTTGAAGATCACTATAAGGCACGGCACACTGCGTCTTGTTCAGTATGCTCAAGGGTCTACCCTACTTCTCGCGTACTAAGTATCCACATATCCGAAGCACATGACTCTTTCTTTCAAGCTAAAGTTGCTCGGGGTTATGACATGGTATGCTCTGTATACTCTTATCTCCTTGTGCACCTATAAATAGCGTTTTGAGGCAGAGCTCAAACTGTTTCTGTTATTGCTTTATATGGATCTCTTTAACCTTCAACTGGGATCCAATGCTGAGTCTTCCTTCTTTATGCTCTCATGAACTTCATTTGCAGTACGAATGCCTCGTGGAAGGGTGCGGATTGAAGTTCAAGAACTACAAAGCCCGGCATCGACACTTGATTGACAAACACAAGTTCCCAACGACATTCGAGTTTTTCAAGAAGACCCAACTCTCAAAGAAGCGAAGAGAGAAACTTCAGAGGCAACGTGTATCAAAGCTGAAACATGAAGGCGACAATGAAGAAGTTTCGTCAGATGCCATGGAAGTGGAACACAAAGCCAGCATGGACGGTCTTGTCTCTGCACTGTCCACGCTCACCACCTCAGACGCAACTCCGTCGAATGTCAGCTTTGGTCGACGCCATGGTCGTGGGCTGAACTTTGTTCCACGGTCTGTTCGTAGAGAAGAACGGACCACATCTTCGTCTGCACCAGGGCCAACGACTTAGTCGTGGTCTCATGGTTCGTCCTAATCTGAGGTCTAAGATGGTGAAGAAAAATTTATATTTATCCTCTACTCACATTAACTACTGTGTCTTTTGAAGAATGCATCTAAGTAAAAATCAACTATAATAAATCCCCTTATATCGATAACGAATATAACGGATAGGAAAACACTTGTACGTCTTAAACGGCCTTTTTCCTTGTAGCCAATCCTATTCTATACGAAAACAGAGTCTTCTTCTACTTAAACACCTTTTTTTTGGGCCAGAGACACCTTATTAGAACTGCACCCCGTTTCTCATTTTCATAGCTAAACATTGTACCGTTCTAATGTTGATAGACGGCATGCTTTCTGCTGCACCAAGCTTTTCTGCTCAGGCATTAAAAGGGACACTGCCATGATTTACAACTTTGTCGGGGAAAAAGAAGCTCCAAAAAATTGAAATCCCAAACACAAATTAAAATCAAAACAGCTTCTCATTCAGGGATCCTGCAAACTAGGGTTCGTCTCTCAGGTAATATTTGCTTTGCCAATCTCCATAAACGTAGTGTTCGATTTTAATTCTTTAACTTCCTTTTCACACAGACTACTTGTTCGGACTCTGTTTTTCTTTCTGTTGTAGATCTCACTTCTCAGTGCTTTGCTTTTAACTCTAGTGTTCGTTCGCCTTACTGAAAATTGTCGGTATTGTGAAATGTGTGTAAAGTTTCATACTTTTAATAGAAAGTTCGATAAAAATGGCTGAATCAGTAGCTGATTGAAAAATCCAAAGTCTTTAGGATTGGTTGGTGAAGTGTTTCTTCTCTTGATTCTGATAGGTGACTCTATCAAACCAAAGCTCTTGGAGATGGAGAACATGCGCAGCTTTTGGCAGCTAGGAGACGAGCTCCGAGGACAATCGAAAGCCTCAGAGGATCAGAAATGGTTCATGGCTGCATCTAAGCTGGCTGACCAGACTAGATCCAAGGGCGAACGCTCCAACAATCTTGATCTTACAAAGGGCCCAGTTGATATAAGGCCAAGGGAGAAGTACGGGTTTCAAGAGGAAAACAAGTTTGAGACTCTTAACTTCATGTTCAATGCTAATGTTTTGGGGCAGAAGCACTTGTCTGGTGGCAAATTTAGCTACAATCAGTTCACAAGCAGAGAAGGCAACAATGGTGGTAACAACTTTAACGGCACTCACAACAATGACTCTATGAACGTTGCTGCTGATAAAAGGTTCAAGACCTTGCCTGCCTCGGAGTGTCTCCCAAAGAGTGAAGTGCTTGGTGGATATATCTTTGTCTGTAACAACGACACAATGCTGGAAGATCTGAAGCGCCAGCTCTTTGGTATTCAATTGATCTTGGAGTTTGTTCATCTCCATTTTCATACGTTCTTATGTCTTCCACTGTCACTTTTGTGTCTGTCAGGTTTGCCTCCGAGGTACAGGGACTCCGTTAGGACGATAACACCAGGCCTGCCTCTGTTTCTCTACAACTACACAACTCATCAGTTGCATGGAATTTTTGAGGTTTGTTCGCTTTACTTTCTAATGGTGCTCATGACTTACTCCCCGACTCCATGATTGTTAATGCTTCTCTGTGTTTTTCACAGGCAACAACCTTTGGAGGTTCAAACATCGACCCAACTGCTTGGGAGGACAAGAAATGCAAAGGAGAATCCAGATTCCCTGCACAGGTTCCATTTTTGTTCTCTGATGTGGAATCTGACTCTCATCATTTTTCAATGATTATAATACTCACACCCCAGATGGTGATCGATTAATTACATAATAGGTGAGAATTCGTGTAAGGAAGCTGTGCAAAGCTTTGGAAGAGGATGCTTTCAGGCCGGTTTTGCACCACTATGATGGTCCCAAGTTTCGACTCGAGCTCACCATCCCTGAGGTATGCAAATCACTCGATAGAGGCCCTTCTTGTTCCGCTCATTTTAGTTTGTGCTAACCAAGTTGTTGGTGACACAGACGCTGGCTCTGCTGGATCTATGTGAACAAGCTGGTTCTCTCTAAGCTCAAAGCCTTGCAGATCCCATTTATTAGCTAGGTGGCGAGTTGGTGTCTGTTGATTCAAGGCTTCAAGTGTGTATTTGTATTTGTGCTTTCTACATATAAGTAGAAATTAAGAATGTAGCTCTGCAGAATAAACCATGATTGTGAAAGATTCATGTGTGACAAATGCGTTCATATATAATCATGAAACTAGAATGATTCTCACATCTCCTTGCGAAAAAATAATCTGTTAATGATCGCTCTCCCAACCCGATTTATTCAGAGAACTGCGATATACAACAAAGTGAAAAGAAGTAGCAGCCATGTGGGTTTTACCGAGGCTGTTCCATCAAGAAGATGTACGATCACTTAATCAATCACAGGACCACACAGAATATCCTCTTTTGTCATTGTAACTGAGTAGCTGATGAGACTTATCTGTGCTCATCGTTAGCATCTCATAATTTTAACTTAAAATACCTCAAGATTAATTTCTTTAATAATAAATTTAATCTTTATAATTTTGAAAGTAAGGGTTAATTTTTAAGTTATATTAAAATTAAAGATTATTACATAATTTTTCCCGATTAATTTTTTTTTTCATTTTGCTTATGAGGTATTTTAATCAAATCAAAATTGAATGTACTTTGGTAAAGCACATACGTATGGTAAAAACTTTGAAACTTAAAATAAAAATAGAAACCGTTATATAGTTGCAAGTCCCGTGTTTTGTGCTACAACAATAGCCAGTCTTGACAATCTTGGAGAGCGAGCAAAAATGGCGGCTTACGAAGTGGCGTACGATATCATGTCATTGTACAGGGCCACCATAAGCCTCACCGAATCGGAACGGGCACCGAGCCAAGCCGGTGATGGTGACATAACGATCAATTACCGTCATGTCCAACAACGAGTCACGGTGGCGACCGGTGGTGCTCACGTCGGAGATGGAGAGCAAAGATATGTTAGGAGCTTATGCGACCGTCTTCCTCCGGCGAAGTGCACCGGATTCTCCAGCACCAACGTCGGATTGTTGGCTTCCGTCATCAATTCGGCGGCGGAGTATCTCGCAATTTCCTGTAATTCTCTTTCTCGTCCAGTCATGGTTGATGCGGTCTTTAGAGGATGTTCGTTCGACACATACCACTCTGTTGAAGGTGACTATAGCAGATACCAGGATCTTAAATCATGCGATCAACCCGAGAGTCACTGCGCACACCGAACTTAATCTGTATGAATCCGATAAGATTGGGTGTGGAACGTTGTTCAGTTTCTTGCGCAAAGTCCCTGCTTTGGAGGAAAGTTCTACAGAGATCTTTACATTATCGGCCAGAAACTCAGGCGAACAATTCGAAATCACCAAAAGCTTGGCACGCAAGTTACAGCGGATCTATAGCAAGGTTGGTCGTTCTAATGTCGTGTCAATCCCTTTGATTCCACGAACACTTCTATGGCTCTTGCGTTTTGACATCGAGGAAGATTTAGAATTGAAAGCTCAGTTCGTGAGAGACTTGATGGTGAATTAGCCATTGTTCATTCTTGGCGTTTTAGAGTGGCTACCGTACTATTGGGTCGAAGAAGTTGCTGTTTCGGGATGTCGAATTCTGGGACATAAGATTAATGCTCGCTTAGGGTATGTTGACGGTTTAGAAAACGTGGCATCAAGCCTGGGCATGTGATGTAGCGCATATATTCTTGTGCATTTTTCAGGTGATTCCATCTCTTGGCATGTGAATGTTGATATTGAACTTGTATATTGTTCAGAACAGCGATGCAGAGTTTTTCCCTCTAATAGTTGAGTTAAATGCTTTACAGTTTTTCTTATTGTTAAACCCAATCTTTGACAATGGTGATTTGATATATCTCTTAGCCCGCACAATTTACCAAAGCAAGAATTAAGAATGTACAAATATAAAAGCTACAAATCAAAGCTAATTAGAAAAGATTACAAAGACATTACTTTCCTTCTAAACCAAATTGATCTCAAACAATTCTTCTCCTTTTTTTAAAAAAGCTCGATCAGATGAAGATACTTGTACCGTGGGTGCTAAACTGGACAGCGTTTGTGTTCGCGAGGTGTGAGGCTGATCAAAGACGCACGCAAGTTTGAGAGAGGCGTAGAGTTGCCGCTCGCCCTGTTTGGTATACATACTCAACGTTTCATGCTTTCAGAAGAGAGAAGAGCAGCAGGAGAAATCAAGAGAACAGTGACCACACAACCATGGAGAATAATCACATTAGCAATCATCATAAACAGAGGTTAGGTAGCACCGTAGCAGCCAGAAACTCACCAGCTCCCTGGCCCCTCGTTCCCAGCTGCTGGCCTCCGGTTCAAGTACCGTATTACTGCATCTTCGACCCTGCAACATTTTTATTATTCAGACACGTATCATCAATCAATCAATCCATCAGTAAATAAAAGAGACTAGAAACCAGAGTGAGCAGGGACTAGTGAGGAGCTTACCAATGGGTTTGATTTCTGAATAAACCCTGGCTGGTCCGGATCCTACCAATGATCTTCAGAGTCCATGTTGGCGGGTCAGCGTTTGGATTCCCAGGAATGGTGCTGTTTTGGTTAGCAAACGTGTTGAAAACAAAGATCCTAAGCGTCTTCTGTATGCAGGGAGGGTTTTTAAGAGCTTCCTGAATGTCGACTTTCTTCCTAGTCAATGCAGCATCCACCCAAGACTCGAACTCCAGAAGTTGCGTGTATAAGGCAGACTCGGGCAAGATTGCTGCAACGACTTCTCCGGGAGCTTCTGGAGGTCGCATCTGCTGGAAAACTCTGCATGTTTAAACTTCCGGGAGTGGTCATAGAAGGCGAAGATGGACAAAAGCCACCAATCCCCTGGGAACCTTGGGTTTGGTTCATCGCCATGCCAGCTTGTATCTGAGCTTGCAATTGTGCTTGAACCTTAGACTGTGCTTGAGCACGGGCCATGGCGTGAGCCTGTGTGAACTGAAACTGAGCTTGAAAATTAGCAGAGCCTTGAGACTTCTGTGGATTGTTGTTACTCACATCGATGCCTGAAAAACTCAGAAGAAATAACATTTGGCCATAGATAATTCTGCCTATAACCACAGAAATGAAACCCAGTACAACTTTACTAGATGAATGCAGTGGCGATAGATCGGCTACCTAGAGGAATCGAAGCCGCATAAATCATTATTTTCTACGATTGCTGCACAATTCAATCTCCAGTCTTCAAATAAGCCGAAGAAAAAAGGAGACCAGAATTAGGAAATTTAGGATAATTGTACTACTAAATGCCCATGAAAAGATCAATTCATAGAAACCCTAAGAGATAGAAAAAGAGAAGACAAAATAGATCGAGAGGTCCGTGCAAAAAGGCCAAGATTCGCAGCTTCGTTTCTGGAACTCTCCGGTGTTCCGCTGCTTCCCAGTTGTCTAGACTCGAGAGAGCAGAGGAAGCAAATGCCATTTATTGACCCGACCCATACTTTTAAGCCCACAGTATACGGAGCTATACCGTCGGCGGCCCAACTTTAATGAACTTAAAAAAAAAAAAAAAAACAAATTATCACAAAAGTAGAATTAAGGCACGTGTGGTTCGCAACAGGAGGAAACACAAATCCTGGGTAAGTTTGGATTTGGATTTCCTTGGCTTGATAAAAGGAAGGGAACAAATCACCAATACACAATAAAGACATGGATTTGATTCACAAGCTTGGTTGTAGGAGGCGGAATTGGTCGGAGCTTCCAGAGGATTTGTTGAGATTTGTTCTGGAACGGCTGAGTTACCCGGATTATCATCGAGCGATTGCGGTTTGTTCAGCATGGTATATCGTTGGGAGAGAAAGTGTGCCCAGACCCAATCAGGTTCCGTGGCTGATTCTCTTCCCCGACCCGGCACAAACTAGGCGCAGTTGCATGGTGTACAATCCGCAGGAAGAAGAAAACGTTTATACGATTCGTCAAGACCTTGCCGTGGATCCTTGCCTGGCGAGTTGCGGCACCTGGCTCCTCATGTCAGACCCTCGGTTAAATCTGTACCTTGTGAATGCGCTCACGTCGGAGAGGATCAGCCTCGTAGCTATCGAGTTCCAACGCGAGCAGCTCTTTGGAAGACAAACCGGAAGCAACCAATACAGTCCTTGGCGCCATAAAGCAAGCAAAGCCGAGACTAGCGGGTTCACGAGTGCTAAGGCAGTTGTGTGGGTAGACGACAAAACTAGAGACTACGTAGTTGCTTGGATTTGGGGTGAAAAGAGGTACACGGCTTCGTGCAAGAGAGGGGATCGTGTCTGGCACCATGTTCCCCCTTGGATTTGGTGTCGTGATATGGTCCTCAAGGAGCACAAGCTTTACATGTATACTGACGACGATCTCATCAGAATCTCGGATTTGTCCGGAGAGTCCCCAACAGTAGCTGCTCGTCTTCACCTGCTTCCTCCCTTCCGCTTCCACTTGGGAGTCTTTGGCCCTCCTCCGCATCGGGGTGCATATTTGCCGGATTTTCTTGATTGGGTGACCAACATAGTAGTCACCATCTCTGGAGATGTCTTGATGGTCGCCAGCGTCTTGAAACGTGACCTCACTTGGCATTTTCGCGTCTACAAATTCAACTCTGCCAACAACGACTGGGAACAAACTGTTTCACTCGGCGATCAAGCCATTATCTTGGATTTAGGAACCACCGTGCTAGCCTCCTCAGATATCCAGGGGATTACCGCAAATTCCATCTATTTTAGTGGCGTTCCCCATTCCACAAAGGATGTCTTCATCTTCAAACTCTCCTCCCAGAAGCTTCAACGTCTTTCCTCTCCTGTTTCCTCCATACCATTCTCTGATGCTCGCTGGCTCTTCCCAACTCCTTAGTCCACTATTCAACTACATTTACGTTTTTGTTCGATTATATGTCACTTTTTTTTTTTTTCCCTTTTATGCCAGTGTAATCTTTCCCTTTGCTATAAAAAGCCAAGACTTATTAACCATTAACGCAAATGCTACAAAAACAAAGCTTTCCGTATTAGAGAATTGCGACATACAACAAAGCGAAAAGAAGCAGCAGCCATGTGGGTTTCACTGAGGCTGTTCCACCAATAGAATGTACCATCACTTCATCAATCACAGGACCACACAGAAGATCCTCTTGTGTCCTTGTAACTGAGTAGCTGGTGAAACTTATCTGCGCTGCAGCTTTGTCTGCTTCAAACACTAACCCAAACTTCTCACCAGAGCCAGTCCCATTGCTCTCCAGTGTGAAGTTTTGAGATGCGGAACCAGCTTGAACACCCACCAGGAAATGTCCTATGCACGCATCCTTGGCATCTCCTAATGTAAATGTGAGGTTGTATCTCGAACCTTCACTTGTGTCTCTCGTTGCTGTCTGTATGCCAGATGGAGCTGTGCCAGCCAGAATTTCTATTGCAGCTTTGCCTTCTGGGACATGGAAGTGCTCCGAGTCTATGTATCTGACTGTTCCTATGACCGACCACTGCCATAATGTTGACTGGATCACACTTGGCACCGCATCAATCAGAACTCCCTCGGTTGAGTTGGTTAAGAAACCCGGTCCAGATTCAAATCCACCATTGGTTAAGAGGTTACCTACACCAACAAAATCAGAATAATGAGTCTATGCAACTAGATTTACAAGATATGAACTTACACACACCAGATCTGTTTTCTTACCACTGTCTTGGACCACTGTTACACCAACAGTCTTGATGAGCAACGTGTCAACGATAGGCCAGCATGTTGAGTTTGTGTCAGAATCTATTGCCTCGCTTTCAAGAACTAGGTTGATAGGCTCACCATTCCCCAATCTACCCAAGTTATGAGTGTAGCTCTGCCATGGAACCTTACTGTAGTTTTGCCGGTAAGCAAAAACCGCATTGCTGTCTGGCCCAGAGACAGAGAGACCAGCAGAGGTTGAACAGTTCTGGCCTCCGGGGATCAGCGCAAACGTGAGTATGTAGTTCAAATCATCACCTTTGGCAATGAATGTTTGATTGATCTTGCCATCTTCACCGAGCTGAACCGCATGTCCGGCATCAGGCAGTTCAAGTGAAGTAACATATTGCACTGTCCCTTGGAATGTCCATCCAGGAAGTGTACTGTTCTGATCCAACAACACAAACGCGTTAGAGCTCGCATTTGAGTTCTTGGATAAGTTTAATGGTGGGGCTTCGAAGTCTGGGTTTTCCAGAAAATCTGCATATCAAAATGCACAAACTTTCGTTAATCAATACCAAGACATCATTAATCAACAGCCGGATCCTGTATAAATGGAAATAAGTGGCCAAAATGTGAGTTCTGAAGATGAGTGAATAAAATCAGTAGAAGAAACCAAAAACAAAATACAATGTACCTGAAGAGGCGCAACAGGAAACGAGAAGCAACAGGAAAATTCTCTGAAACCAAATCGCCATTTTGCTTCAGGGAAAACTTTGAATGTCAACGCTTCTTGGATCCAGTGATTGTGTCCTAGTATATTATTTAAAAGAGAAGAATGGTGTTGTAACATGTTAGCATACAGTTGACAATTTTTTTTGAACATCACACACACTTGGCCATTTTTTTTTGGACATCACATACAGTTGACCATTTTTTCAATAGTCTCAGTTTAATTAAGTCTAAATGTTATGCAAATTGGAAAAGAAATAAAAAACATAAGAAATCAATCGAGCGTATCAAATTACTTGAATTAAAACATTCATCTAGTTAACATAATGTTTCATCATACACAAGATTACAGATACTCTACTTTCCCTTTCAAACCAGAATAATCTCAAAAAATTATTCTTCTAAAACCTCGCCAACAGATGAAGAGACTTCTTGTATCCTATGGTACCAGCAAGCAACTCACCAACTCCCTGGCCCCTCGTTCCCAGCTGCTGGCCTCCGGTTCAAGTACCGTATTACTGCATCTTCGACCCTGCAACATTTTATTATTCAGAAACGTATCATCAATCAATCAATCAGTGGAATTCCTCCACTTTCACAATACTAAAACATATAATCCGAGCGAATAAGAGAGACTTGGAACCAGAAGTGAGCAGAGACTAGACTGTGTGAGCTTACCAAGGTTGGTTGAAGAAGTCTGATCGACGTTCTCTCTCAGCATTTCGACTGGCTTCTCCCGCTACGACCTTGAGATCCTTGCTCTGAGATTCGATCAGTGCGTTTATGAATTCAACTGGCGATTGACTGAACCCCAAGAAAAATGCCCGCCTCCTCCTATGCTCATGGATTTTCCTTATGGCTGCACATATCGCTTCATCACAAGCCTCAATCTCTTTGTTCTTCTCTGCGTTGGCCAGCAAATTGTTCAGGTCCCTTTGGATCGGGAAGGGTACGTCCACCAGCACATCGTAACATGCTGATATGGCCGGATTATTGCCCGAGAGCTTGATTTTGTGTTCCAGTTGAATCGGTGGTGGAGGTGACAAGTGATGATGTATCTTCTGCGAGACCATTGTGAATTTCAACTTTTCTTCCCCAAAAACTTTCTGAAGTGCAGCGTCACAGTTGAAGAAAGAAGGGTCATTTGGGTTCTGCAATTTCCTCGCCTTAACGTAATGCCAAATCGCAGCGATGATTCTTGGCCGGGTTTCAACCTCAATCCCGAGAACATCCATCAATGCTGTAGAAAGCTTGAACTTTTCAGGCACGTAGTTCATCTCCAAGCGTATACTAGCTGCAAATTCCTGATTCCCTTTCCTCTTTATCTCAAACCCTTCCTGGGGAGCAGGTGATCGAGAATTCTCCCATGTGATTGGCATCTCAGGATACAGCCTCTGATCCAGCGAAACTGTTACCTTTTTGAAGAAAGACGAGAACTTGGGATGCAATGGGTTTGATTTCTGAATAAACCCTGGCTGGTCCGGATCCACCCCGTCTTCCAGGATCCTACCAATGATCTTCAGAGTCCATGTTGGCGGGTCAGCATTTGGATTCCCAGGAATGGTGCTGTTTTGGTTAGCAAACGTGTTGAAAACAAAGATCCTAAGCGTCTTCTGTATGCAGGGAGGGTTTTTAAGAGCTTCCTGAATGTCGACTTTCTTCCTAGTCAATGCAGCATCCACCCGAGACTCAAACTCCAGAAGTTGCGTGTACAAGGCAGACTCGGGCAAGATTGCTGCCACCCGCTCCTGCAACGACTTTTCCGGGAGCTTCTGTTTCTTTTTCCTCGCAGCAGGAGTTAACTCCATTGTTCTCATAGGGGAGATAGTGTTGTTACTCGCAGGGAAGCCAGAAGGAGGTCGCATCGGCGGTTTCTGCTGGAACCTCTTCATGTTTAAACTTCCGGGAGTGGTCATGGAAGGCGAAGACGGACCCAGCCCACCAATCCCCTGGGAACCTTGGGGTTGATTCATCGTCATGCCTGCTTGCATCTGAGCTTGGAATTGTGCTTGAACTTTAGACTGTGCTTGAGCATGGGCCATGGCCTGAGCTTGTGTGTACTGAAACTGAGCTTGAAAGTTAGCTGCCATCTGAGACTGGGAAAAGCCCTGGTTTCCAGGAACCGATGCAGAGGCCATCCCAGGATTCCCAAAAGGCGAAGGCGCAGAGCCTTGAGGCTTCTGTGGATTGTTGTTGTTACCCGACATCGGTGCCTGAAAAAGTTTCAGAAGAAAATAACACTCTTGAGAACTAAACCTCCATCTGGAAAAAGATAATCCGTAAATCTAGTTATAACCACAGAAAGAGACGACCTTTTCTCCCAGTTACACACTGGTTATCGTGAGCTTAGGAGAAATCTAAGAAATACCAACAAATTCAGATGAATCGGCTACCTAGAGAAATCGAAGCCTCATAAAACCCTAACTTTGACTGTACAGCTTAACGAGCAGGAACAATGCCAATTATTGTAAATTACGCCGACGAGGAGGAAAAAAAAAAGACCGCAAATGCGCAAGCAAACGAAGAATTCGTAACTACTAAATGCTCATGAAAAGATCTAGAATTCACAAAATCTCACAAAATACAGAAACAGTAGACCCAGAGCCTATATACGAAATAGATCGAGAGAGACGAGAGTTCCTCACAGACGATGAAGATTCGCAGCTTCGTTTCTCCTTCTTTCTAGAATTCGCCGGTGTTCCGCTGTTTCTCGTCGAGAGAGGAACAAAATATCCACCGGAGGTATCTAATTTATTGACCGGGTTAAACCGACCCGTATTATCAAAGCCCATAGTGACAATTAACCACAGGCCCAACTTTAATCCACATTTATTTGGTCTTTACGAAATTTGTGTAGTTTCTAATGAGCAATTTTTGACGTCAGCAAAAAATAGGGTTATGTGCATTAAAAACATATTTCTTGGTATGTTCCAGTTTTAAAAAGGAAAAACATATGAAGTACAAAAATATATTCTTACGATTTGTATTAGTTTAAATTAGACGACAGTTATTATTTAACAAAAAAATAAATAAATTACTTTTTATTTTTAACAATTTTTTATTTTATTTTTCCCGTTTATTTGGGGAAAAACAATTGAAGGATATATATGGGCACGCATGCAACTACATGTAAACTAATAACGATACTAAAATCAAGCTTGTCGTTTGAAAAAGGTAGCAACTTGGTTATAAACAACGTCTTTGGCTGTAACACCCATGATGAAATCAGCATGAGCATATTCTTTCACAAACTGCACATCGATCTTATCGACGTCGTGAAACTTAAACTGGTCGATGAGATACTTGACGTCCGTAACATCGGCCAGGCTGTCTAAACCGCCGTAGCTGAAGAAAAGCGGAAGGTCGTGTGGGATCGCCGATATGTTGTAAGCTGGCGGCAACGCTTGGCCGTAATGCTTCATGTTGCGATTACCACTTCCATAGTTGAATTTTCTCAACTCCTTGTCTCTTACCGCTACAAAAATGAAATCTTGATTACAACGACGCGTGCATATGAAGATTCAAGAAAATACATATGGGATATATATTTTACTTACTTTGAGAAAGGTGGATCATGTTTTTGGTGGAAGTAGGTTGAGGTTCGTTAGCGAGGAACAGATCAATGGTTGATGCGTTAAGGCAACAATTCTTGCCTGTATAATTTTTTTTTTGTAAAAAAATACGTAATTAATATATACTTTATGAATTCACCAATGGTAAACTGGTGATTATATAGTTAATTAGTTGTTGCATTACCGGTTATGACAGCGATTAAATCATAACAGTCGATTCCCGCTTGATGGCATATAGCCTTAATAAAATCCCCTACTAGTCCACTGCCAAATTTATAGTTTTTATGCAATCAAACAAAGCCAAATGACAAACATGTCTATAAGAAAAAAAAGTGTAAAGATGTACCTTTTGGGGTCAAACTCTGCCACTCCAATAATGGCCGTAGCCTGTTTTTGAAAGACGGTAAGCGAGATTTGAATAAATATAGAAAATGGAAAAGTGAGGAGCTAGGAACCTCGGCGAGGAAGCTTCTGGCGGCGATGTTGCCTAATACGGTGGTCATGTGGCTGAGATACGCAATAGGACTCAGCATCGCTGCTGATCTCAATTTATCCGCTAACCCTTTTTCCGAGAACGACGCAAATCCTATCAAAGTACCCTGATATTTTCCAGTTGAACAAAATATTTTCAATTCTTGTAAAAAAAATAAATGTAAACAAAAGAAATATATGTTGATAAATAACGGTGGACCCACCAAAGAATGTCCGAGGTAGTGGATCTTTTGGCCTGTTAGGCCGTGGATATGGTCAAACATAGCAGGCAGATCGAAACTCACGAGCTCGTCCCACGACCAGTTCCAGAAAGCCTACGTACGGACAGCGTGCCAAGGGTAACTCTCTCGGTTTATTTAGTAAAAACTACTTACGTTACGTAATATATTGGTTTAAAGAGTGATTGATTGATCCGGACCGGTTGATGAGGGCTAAGGTATTTGTGTCTCCTGCTGTACCGAGTCCCTCTTGTGTTTCCCATCCACACATCAAATCCTTGATCAGCCAAAATCAACGGTAGATTTTGATCCGCCGGATTCAACAGCCACGACATCCCATCCTGCACAACAATTTATGGTTTTCATTCCATGTCCCAATTGTTAGTTGAACTTCATAAATTTGTCTTCAATTGTTTTTATCCGTTTCCGTCATTCTATTCCACACCATATATATCGTAAACAATGAAAATGCATTTATAATTCTAACTATATGAAAAAAGAAAAAAATTATAACTATATGTCTTCCGCAAAACCGTAAGAAATAAAGGAATAGTTTGTCAAAATCGTCAGACGACAGTGTATTATGATTTATGACTGATTGGCTGCATATACCTACGACCGTCTCTGTCCACATGAAGCTTAAACCATAAGAGCAACCCCAAAGTACGGCATAAAGTAAATTATTTCCTCTAGACTAATAACATTAGCGATCAAGTTTGATGTGCACTTGCATTGATCTATAATTTAAAATTCGGTGAATATAGACTCGATTATGTTTTTTTTTATACATATAAAAAGACTCGACTGGATTATGTTACATGTAACTTACAGTAAACAACGATTCTCTCATATCAGAAAAAAGCATGTTTATTAATTGACTTTATTTTGGTTAACTTTCTAGTGCTAGTAACGCTCGATTTATCACTTTAATTGCTGGACACACATGTTAAACACTCATGCTGTCTCTTTTTTAATTATGCTATATTACCCACTACTAAAATCTATAATTAAGTTTTACATATAAAGTTTACACTGCAGGCACATAGAGAGACTAGATATACATCCCCTTTCACATTCAAATATTATACAAACAAATATACAACGACGAAATTTTACCCTAAAAAAAAAAAATATATATATATATATATAATATATACAACGAAGAATTGTATATATATATATATATGATATATAATATACATCTACACGATGGGCGTGTACCTGTTCACGAGGCAAGCACGAGAAACATACACGTTGGTCTTTGCCCACGAGGAAAGGTATATATATTTCGATTCTCTTAAGATAACCGTATGCACATAGAAAATCCTTACTGCATTTGTATTACTTGTGAAAAATGGGTAGAAAGATTTCACGTAATAATATATATATATTTCCTCACTTTGCTTGACGTCACTCTCCACTGTTTTTTTTGTGTAAAAAATCCAATAGTTAAAAAAGACAGCTTCGGTTTACAAATTTCAAACTCTTTTTAAAAAATTACAAATATCTTTTTTTTATAAATATTTACTTGTAATTAAATATATAAATATAGCATGCGTGTTTGTACATATATACGTAAAAATACACGAAATAAATTAACGGCTAATGCAATGCAAAAGGGTAAAGAAAGAGTCAATTAATTAAACTTACGACAAGTATTCCATGTTGTATAAGGACAGGCTGTCTCGTCGACCCATCTCCGGGGCCGGCTCTTCCTTCCGGTATCCTTTGCATATTCAGTATGTATCCATCTGAAGTCACCACCTTCATAATTAATCATTTAAATGCTCAGTTAGTATATATGCTTCTACATATCAGTTATCTATCAATAACTATTATATATCTTAAAAAATAATCTTGTATTTACATCATGTTCTTCGCACTTGTAACCAAATATGATGACAGAAGAAGCACATATGCCGCTGGAAGCAGTCCTCTGCGGCGGCTTTCCGGCAAGCCAGCCCACATGTCCACGAGCGTCGAGGGGAGCAATGGAAATACCGAAGAAGATTAAAACCCATAAGGCTAAACCGATTAAACCGGACGGAGCCATAATCGTACCGGCGATTGAGATAGATGGTGTCCAGGACTGATGGTGTCTCTCCTTCGTTGAATTAAAAATGTGAAAGGGTTTTTATATAGAGGAATGGATGACGCATAAGATCATTTAGAAAAGGAGGTTTATAAGAATTAAGAAAGAAAATCACGTTTTTATCAAAATCACACCCCCATAAATTCATGGTTTAAATTATCAAATTTTCTTCACCATTCCATTATCAAATTCATGGTTTAAATTATCACTGATACACAACGTTACTCAAAGAAAAAATGTACACTACTTTTACTTTTATTGGTCACAAGCAAACAGAAATCTTAATTAACTTTTTTCCATAAGTTTCCATCCCAGAGAAACACCAGTCCATAACCTATATTGTTGACAAATCCAAAAGGTCATCTGCTTTCATTAAATTGTACTAAATATATGTGCAGCTGACATTAATCAGAATTAAACAAAAAGAAATATTAAAAAAAACTATAGTAAGGATAGAATATCATCCTGATAAAAAAAAGTACTCCAACAATCAAGAAAATATAAAAATATAGAAGGATTTCAAGTATAACTGGGTGACTAGTATTTATCAGAAACAACGAATATGTAAATTTTAATGTATTACATACATATACACTAAACTTTAGGAGAGATCGAATTTCATCATCTACAAATACATGAATTTAGTTAGTGGATAACAGTAATAAAAGTATTAGTGGATAACAATAATAAAAGCAATCTAAATAACGTTGAAGAAAACATACATAAAAGCTAAAATGTAAGAGCATTCTCATTAAGGGGTTTTCATCAAAGCATCTAAATATTATAAAAAAAAATAAAACAAAAAAATGTAAAAAGGTTTTTAAGATATCTTAAATGAGAATCAATTTATGAGATATCAAAAGAATATATGTTTTCATTTTAGTTAGATTAATTTCTGTTAGATATTAAATATTAAAATAATATTAATTATCATTAAAAATCTCTCTTTTGAGATAACTCACGAATGATATTGCTCTAATATCTGATAAATAAAAAAAAATTATATGAGATCCATGATTTTTTAATAATAATCCGTTTTGTGTTTGTCGTGAGACGTGGGAAAAAGAAAAGATGGAACGAAAGAAGAAACTGTTAAAGGCGGTCGGAGATGCTGTAGGGACGGATAAGTGGAGTATGACTTCAGCTTCCGTTACTTGTTTTCTTCTAAAACTTGAAAACATTTTGATCTACTTAAAATTTTTAACTTCTTCATCGTTTGCAAATAGTTCACACCTGTCAAGAGAACACATGAGTAAACACCTCGAGACATGTTTCGTTTAGATAATATAAAAAATTAAACGTAGGGTACACAACGTTCCAAATAATATATTTATATATATAGACCAAGTCTTGCTTTCATATTTGGTGTTCACATTTCAACACTATCATTCCTACTCCCTAGGCTCTCCATTATAAATCGTATCATACTCAGAAAAACCAAAATAATCGGCCACATTTCTCGCGTTGTGGTGTGTACGTAGTGTATAAATTCGTTACTTTTAGATCCGAGTTTACTGTATAAATGTATCTAGTAAAACATTTTGTATGGACCTTTTGTTTATTGGATTTTGACCTGAATACTTTATTCGTAAATGGTTTTACGAGAAATTACTGATTTTTTGGATTAATCATGTCGACGTAGCATATAGTGGGCTATTATATGTAACCAAAAGAGTAGCCCAATATTGCGACTATATAAATGGGCCTATATTTGTAAAGGTGGAAACGGTTAATCGGGTCGGCCCAGTTGTTATGGGTATTCTTTTTCTAATAATCAGTAAAAAGTAAGGACCCCGTCTTTAATAACACTTTCCTGCTGAGCCGCCTTGTAGGTGAAAAAGCATTTGCTTCGGCCAATTCAAAGAATTAAAACGTTGAGGCCTAATTTTGCAAATGCAAAAACGTGCACACCTATCTGTGAGTGCCAAAAAAACCTTTTATGTTTTTAAGTAATTGTGACACTCACTTGTCACAATTTCAAAGTTTCTTTTGACTCCAAAAAAATGGCGGCGTGTTTACAATCGAACATCCGGCTGAATCTGAACAATATCGTCGGAGGAAAATGCAGATCCCTCACCGATCAGTCTCGCACGCCGTGTCGAATAAGGTGCGCCGCCGCTTCACCTGGGAAAAAACGGTTCAACATCGCTCTCCTTCCTGGCGACGGTATCGGTCCTGAAGTCATCTCCGTTGCCAAGAATGTGCTTCAGCAAGCTGGATCTCTCGAAGGTTCTTCTATCTCTCGCTCAGTTTATTTACTAATTTTGACAAAATTAGTAATCAGCGAATGTGTTGCTTACCCAGAAGAGTGTGCGTATTTGATGTGTATCACAGGACTGGAGTTCAATTTCCAGGAGATGCCCATCGGAGGAGCAGCCTTGGATTTGGTCGGAGTGGCCTTGCCGGAGGAAACCTTATCGGCTGCAAAACAGTCTGATGCCATACTTCTTGGAGCTATCGGAGGGTGTGTGTTTGTGTGTCTTGTTTCTTTTTTTAATTGGTCTCTTGGTTCAGAAATCTGTCTGCTTCGAGTCTTCTTCTCAGCTTGAGTTTTTTGGATGATTCATGGTTGGTTGGATTATATTCAGGTACAAATGGGACAACAATGAGAAACATCTGAGACCTGAGATGGCTCTGATTTACCTTCGGAGAGATCTCAAAGTCTTTGCTAATCTGAGACCTGCTTCAGTTTTGCCACAGGTATATATATATATATATATATATATAAACGTTTATCTAATTCGGTTTGATCTGCTTACCACTTGCAATTTTTACAATCACTTGCTTGTTGTTCTCAGCTAGTTGATGCATCCACCTTGAAGAGAGAAGTAGCAGAAGGTGTTGATATGATGATTGTAAGGGAGCTTACAGGAGGAATTTACTTTGGAGAGCCCAGAGGCATTAAGACCAACGAAAACGGAGAAGAAGTCGGTTTTAATACAGAGTTTTACGCTGCTCACGAGGTCACATACTCTTCACAGTGTGGTCTATGATATGATGGGTCTAAGGCTATATATGTATAATATAATGCATTAATTGCTCATGTTACTTCCAGATTGACAGAATTGCTCGTGTTGCATTTGAGACTGCTAGGAAACGGCGTGGCAAGCTGTGTTCTGTCGACAAAGCCAATGTGTTGGATGTACGTTTGATCAACAATTTTTTCCATTTCTGTGTGTGTGTGTTTTTTTTTCTCGTAATGCAGAATTATTTTTTTCATATAGGCATCAGTATTGTGGAGGAGAAGAGTAACAGCGTTAGCCTCTGAGTATCCAGATGTTGAGCTCTCACATATGTATGTAGACAACGCTGCAATGCAGCTTATTCGTGACCCGAAACAGTTTGACACAATCGTCACCAATAACATTTTCGGTGACATATTATCCGATGAGGCCTCAATGATCACTGGAAGCATTGGGATGCTTCCATCTGCTAGTCTCGGTGTATCGGTAACCAACAAATTTAAACTGAAAATCTTTCAAGGTTCCTCCCTGTTTATTACCATATATACACATGGAATGTTGAAACTTGTGTTTGGATCAGGGACCTGGACTCTTTGAGCCGATACATGGTTCTGCGCCAGATATAGCTGGTCAGGACAAGGCAAACCCATTGGCCACCATTCTCAGCGCAGCGATGCTTCTGAAATATGGACTTGGAGAAGAGAAGGCCGCAAAGAGGATCGAGGACGCGGTCTTGGATGCTCTCAACAAAGGGTTTAGAACCGGAGACATCTACTCCCCCGGAAATGTATGTTTTGATGGTATTTTTATCATTTGCTTATATAATAAGTTAAACAACAAACAGTTAGTAGTATATTATATACTTTTGTGTTATTTTAATGAAATTTGGAATGTGAAGCAGAAACTGGTGGGATGCAAGGAGATGGGTGAGGAGGTGCTTAAATCAGTGGACTCCAGAGTTACAGCTACTGTTTAAGTTTAGCTATTATTTCAAACATTTGGAGAAGTGTGTAGCCATGTATCAGAAACCGTTATATGGTAGCTTTTTTGATAATAAATAAATAATTGGGGATCAATTCTGCAATATAAAAAGATTTCCAATAACTGAAAAACATGTTTTTTAGTTGGGCTTGTATTACATATTTATGGGCCGAGACGCTGACTAATTCCGGCCTCTCTATCTAGCAATAATAACGAAACACGTGTGAGGAAGCTCCTTAGTGGCATTTTCGTAGTTTTTCCTCGGCTTGCCAGTGATCCTACAGTTCTTCGGAGTTGTCCAGCTTTTCGTTTTTTGCTCTGTGCCTCTGACTCTTGAGGATTGTAAACTTTGTATTGAGTAAATGTAGAATAAGTTGTTACCACAGACAAATGTCCAAACAGAAAAATAATAGTACAAGATTCGTAATGAAAGCATTATATATGACGCTAATGAAGACTATAAATTATTGGTACAGCATTTGACATTTCTCCTACCTCACTTTTACCTTGTACTCAGTATCTTCAGTCAATAGTTATTTTACCGAAACGAACTATGACTTTTACTCGCATGATTCTTACTAATAACTAGTTGTTCCCTGAAAAACCAAACTTATAAAACTTTACATTTTTAAAGACACGAAAAAAAAAGCCCTATCAATCATTAGCCTTGGGATTCACGACGACGTGTCAGATTTGCGTTCAGCGTCTGCGGCAGACTGCATTTGAGCCGCGTACTGTAAGTTCCAGAGAACGTCTTCAAAGGAAGGTCTTGCCGAAGGTTCAAGCAAAACGCATTTGTTGGCGATTGAGATCGCAATCGATAAAGACTCCTGCGAGCTCGTTGTTAGGACCGTCGGATTCACTATTTTCTGCCGACCATCTTGGCTCCCAAATGACGTCTGCAAAAGCGTAACATTGCAGCAACAGCTATTAACTTACTTCGTTCAGTCACAAATAAAAAATGATGAAGATTTCTTCTTTTATCTTTCTCTTTGTTTACCATTTCGTTGAGAAGAAAGGCCTCGCCTTTTGTAGTGGGCAATGGTCCTATGAGAGACTCCAGAAGTATGAATCCAAAGTTGTACACATCGTCCTCTCTTTTAGCAATTTTCCTGCATAATCCCCAAGTTTATAAAAGCTCATGTTTTTAGCTGCAGTTTCTATTAGATTCTGCTATCTATAAAAGGGGAAAATGATATACTTACTTTGACTTGTGGGTTTCTGACTTTGTCTGCAAAATGAAGAAGCAAAAGCAAAGTAGAGTCCTGACTTAGTACTAAAGAAGAGAATACAAAGTGAGATTAACAGAGAGGAGAAATGGAGCAAACCTCGAGCTTTCCGTTCTCTTCAATGATGGCAGAGACTCCATAGTCACTGAGCTTTGCAATCTTGTGTTCGTCAAGCAAAATATTGTGTGTCTTCAGCTGATTGTTGAAGGAACCAGGCATTACACCGGTGTGAAGAAAATGAACTGCCTTTGCTATCTCAATCAGAATTGCTAGCCGATCTGGCCACGTTAGGGTCTTCTCCGAGCAAGATTCTACACAAAAGTTTCTAACAACATTGAGTTTCCAAGTACAGAGAGATTCACTTTAGTTTGCGTTTACTACATAACTCTCAATCTGACCTGATAGATGCGCGCGATAGCTCCCATTGGGCATATACTCGTATACAAGGTAGAGTATGGTCGCTGCAGGATCGTGTTCTCCACTAGTTTGAGTGCAATGGCCCAAGAAGCTAAGGAGATGAGGATGGTTAAGCTTAGACATCCAATCTAAGTGACCTTTGATACTCTGGCTCGAGAATTTCCTTGATAAAACCAGACATCTTATAGCTATGGAACTTCCATTTTCTAGTGTTCCTCTGTATAGCTGCAAGGCATCCAAAATAAGCAGAGTAAAGCAAATGACCAATGGTGATGAGGTCACAAGAATCAATCTTGCGTCAGGCGAACCATACCTTTCCAAGGGAGCCTTCACCTAAGAAACGTGATGAATCGAAATCATCTGTGGCTTCCTTCAACTCTTCAAAAGAAAATGACCGGCATGAAGGCACACCTTGTGCACCTAGCTTTGCTGTTTGAGAGATTAACCCTGCATGACGACAGCGTGCAAAGATATTAAACTCCTGAAAAGACTTTATATCAGGCAGAAAAAAAGTCAACATTTTTGAGTCAGAGTTTACTCACTTGCACTAGCAAGAACTTCAGAGGAGAGACTTGTGTGTGAATTGTCTGTCAAAACCTTAAGCCGAGTTTGCGGCACTGACTTTTCTCTTGAACAACAACAACAACAGGAGCGCTTTGTGCATAACAAGAGTAATCCGAATGCAAACAACACAAGCACAAGAACAGCTCCGCTTATTACAGCAACCAAAGTCCCAAGCTTTCTTCCTTGCAACTGTTTACTCTCAGTTTCAGCCTCTTCACATAAGAGTTCTTGATGCTGATCATGACTCCCAGTTATGGACAAGCAGTTCCCACCGAGTTTAACAACCCGCTCGCCGGAAGCGCCTGCCAAGCAACGGGGAGGAGTCCCGATGAATCTGTTATTCGACAAATCCACAAATCCGAGTTTGCCTCCACAGGTCAGGTTGAGTGGTAGCTTCCCGCTGAGCTTGTTAGATGCCAAGTCCAAGTAACTAATGCTTGGCAAAGAGAACAAGAACCGGGATGGAGTTCCAGTCAGATGATTGAACGACAAGTCAAGATGCTGAAGCTGAGACAAACCGCCAAAACGGCCGGGAATTTCGCCGGTGAAGGAGTTCTTGCTCAGTAGAACAGTAACCAATCTTTTAGGCATCATAGGTAGCTCAGAATCCAAGTGGTTCTCTCTTAGATCCAACATATGCAGATGATCCAACTTGCTGAGATCAGGCAGTTTACCAGAAACCTCATTGTGTGATAGAGCAAGATTTGCTAGTCTCCCAATTCTGCAGATTGAAGAAGGAAATGGACCTTTGAACCGGTTGTTCTTCAAACTAAGAACAGTGAGATTGGTCAAGGAATCCAACGTGTCAGGAACACTGCCGTTGAAGTAGTTTCCATCAAGCATCAGACTTTGAAGCTTAACCAATCTGGAAACATCAGGAGGGACAGAACCAAAGAGATAATTCGAACTCAAATCCAAGTACTCGAGAGAATTCAACCGATGGATCTTCCCTGGGAACTCACCATAGATTCCTAGAGAAACTAAGCTAAGAACCTTCAAGCTTGTAAGCCTTGTCAATGTGGTTGCAAAAGAATCAATTAAGAAAGCTTCAGACAGAGTGTGGTTTGGGAGTGAAAATCCATCAAACATACCGAATGGCTTAAAAAGCTTGTCCCCCATGACCTTAAGCTCCGTGATGGAATTGCCTTCACATGAGATGCTCATGTGAGCGGTTGCAGAGATTTGGCATAAGTCTCCGTAGTAATCTCCCCAAGATTCCAGAGCTTTGGGGAATTCCAGATGCTTTCTGAGCTGATACAGGACCTGGGTCTGAGAGTTCTGAAGTTGATGGGTGCTTTGTAAGAACATGACCCATGAAAGAAAGAGCAAAGGCAGGAACTTTGGATGAACCATGATAAATTAGCAGAAAGGAAACAGAACCCTAGAATGAGAAGCGGATTTGGATTCTGAGAGGAAAATGAAAGAGACCCATCTCGGTGTTTTGCTTTGGAATTGGAAACTTCACTCACACACTTACACACAAGTGTTTGTAAAAACTCTGGAGACGAAGAACTTAACTCAGAGAGAAACGGCTAGTCTAGTGAGGTCAAAGAAACGAAACCCAGCTCGTGATCCCAGACGCTCCTCTCAAAGGAAAAGAGTTTTATAATCAAATCCGTGAAAATGTCAGGAAAACAAAAGGAAGAAAGGGAGTAGAGGAAGTGAGGACAAGATGCAGAAATCGTGGATGAGAATGTTCGGTGTTCTTGTGTGTGTTTGTCGGATTAACACATAGACGAGAAAGAAACAGGGGAAGCTAGGGAAGAAGGTGATAAGGTCATTAATGACTAAGGGGTGAGCAGCATTAATGGCGGCCTCTGTATTTTTACCTGAGAAGGCTTGACAAAATAAGTGATTTCAAAGAATCTTTTTCTTCTTCTTCTTCTTCTTCTCTTTATGAAGGAAACAGTAAATCGAGAATGTGGGACACCAAAAACAATCATAAAGCAAAAAAATATGCACTCAATTTGATGAAAGTTTGTTCCTTTTAATGAGCAATTGTCTGGGTTTCTCTTTTTCCTCTTTACAGTAAAATATTGGTGATAAACACTGTTCTCTTAACTTAAACCAGATTAAAAAAATGAAATTTGAATTTAAATTTGGTATAGATAAAGTATGATTGTTAATCTGATGACAAATTATTTATTTAATGTATGCAAATGCAATTAGGGACTTTGGTTGACTCATAGAAGATGCCGTCAACACATGTCTCTTCTTCTTCATCTTCCATCTTCGTTTATTAGTTTAAAACATTGATTTATGTGTGTGATTAGATTCGATGTCTTGTTAATTCACCAAACTGCCCCTTCTACGATTCCGAATACATTCCGTATATGACAAAACGAAGCTTTTGCTCTACGAAACGTTTGTTCGGTAGAATAGAAGTAGCTTTCGTTATAAGGGCAAAGACGGCAATAAATAATATCATTCCCAAGTCCCAACCATATAATAAACCATCTAAGACACAAAAGCCATAATAGCATCTTACTTTTGAGACACAAGACCAGAGAGTCTTGTAGCACTATAAGGCCAAGTTGGTCTTTTCTCGCAGGCAAAGGTAGTGAATTAGTGATTATGCTTTCTTTGTTAAAGGTTAAGGGAGAAGGGAAAAAAAAACAAAAAGGTTGAAGCCCACTTTAGTGGGCCACATTATGGGTCCCATAGGTCTGCAACACTCTGAAAGACCGGACCATCATATTAAGTATATTTTCTGTCTCACATGCGTCAATATTTTTAGAGATACGAAAATTAAGATGGTGCTTCACTCTTGTCTGAAAAAACTGTAAAATCCATAGTTGTCAATTTGATGGTGCTTCACTCTTATTTGATATCTTCAAATTGACAACTGTGGATCAATAGTGTGTGTAATTATAACTATAATTGATTCGTTAAACTGTGCTCTAATACATATACTTTTGTTAGTCATTGTCATTGTGTTTACTGATGCTGATTTAGTATCACAAGGAGACTTGACAATGCAACATTGGGACAGAGAACGCTTTATGGGAGAAAGATAAGACAACACAGAAGGCTTCATGGGATGGGAATGGGAGAGCATGTGAGACAAGGAGACCTGGACATTAAGATACTAACATCTGACACTATGACAACCTTGTTGGGACCATTTCATGGTTTTGGTTTTGCTTGCACAAGAAACAAGCAAAACATCAACATCCACTTCTCACCAGAAACCAAACGCGTTTCCCTCCAACTTGTCAAAAGAACAGAAATAAGATCTTCAAGATAAGAAAATACTGGTTTTAGAGATTCTTCGATCCTAAAATCCCTCACTCTTATCATGTTCGAGGCCACTGAGAAAACAGACCAAACAATATATGGGATCGTTTATTCTGGAACCACTAAGTCTATGAGAACCTGGGTTTTGCTGAGTTTGTTGGCTAATCCCACGGCTTGTTACATTTTACAAGTTTACAAACTAAGTGATTAAAAAGGGACGAACTTTGGCAATGTTCATAAGCTGTCCTCTGGTTTCTTGTCATTTGAGCAAGACTCCAAGTATGAGATCACAAGATTAGCCGCTTTGCAACCTGATGCTATTGACTTCCCAACAGAGAGCCCACCTCGATGATTACCTGTTTCAAATTTTGGTCCATGCACAATAGATAAAATAACTGCAGTGTATCGTCTCAAGAGTCAAGACCATAGATGTGCTACACTCATCATGGATCATGTATAATGCTCTTTTTACGAGACTGAGACTTTAATTGAAGTTACCTGCATAGAAGAATCCGGGTAGATCTTTCTCCATCTTGTCAATTGCTTCCATGACTGAGTCATAGCTGCTGTCATACAAAGGGAATGCTTTGCTCCAATAGAAATGGCTGCAAGTAACATATATTGTTTATCTATAAGGGTATTCTTCTCTTTCGTACACTAAAACGATGAAATGAAAAAAATCTCCAAACTCCACATACTTGACAAGCACGGGTTCACCTTCAACCCCCAACAGTCGCTGCAGGTCAGAAGTCACAACTTGTTTTAATTCATTTCTACAAAGATAAAACCGAGACAGAAATTTAGTCAGAATCAGGTGAAGTAAGAAAATAGCAAATTGGTATAAATGCCTCAATACTTCGCAGCTTCCAAACGATCCAGCATCACATGTGTTAGTGACTAAGTAGCTTAACTTAACATGGTTAAGTTTGATTTCTCTTACGTGGAAGCTTTGGCTAGTTCCTGGTTCCTACTCCCACCAATAAAAGTTGTATATAGATGAAGGTCACTAGGGCAACGATCTGGAAACATCATTGAGGAAAAGAGTGTACCTGTGTATAGAGGAGTATGAAGTGTTGATAATTACAGAAAGAGATCTTTAGGGCTATTTGTTTAAATGATGACATGGGACACCAACAAGTTACCCAGAGTTCTGAAACCATGCTTTTGCTCCTTAGATGGAATGAGTACCCCAAAACCTTCGAGAGGTCTCTTTACTTTCTCCTTTGTGAATGTAGTGATTATAACCGAGAGGGGCATATATTTAATCTGGGCAATGTACAAGATCAACATCATGATGCAATTACCTTGGAATAAATAGCACATATAAGAGACAAGTAATCATGAGGAAGTTCTTTGATGTCACATTTAGACTCAAAAATCTAAGGCAACACAAAAGGATGGGCAAGATCTATATGTAGGCCTGAAACTCTCGAACATAAACTTCTAAAAGTTGGATAAGACACACAATTACCTCGGGGAGAAAGTTTAGCTGAAAAGGTTGTCCGCCTTTCACAACCTTCATCTCCTTCACATTGCACAGAGGAGCCTATGGTACATAAATTTCTTGTCAGTTGAGAGGTTCTGTAAATTTAATCTCACATCTGAAAAAAAAAAACACTAACCGTCATAATTACAGCATCATAGTGGAGGTTTCGTCTCTGCGTCTCATTATGAGAAACACAGGATAGTGACCAGTTCTCCTGTCTTGATCCAGAATTGTAAGACAAAGAGAGAACCTTGGAGTCCAAACTGAGCTCATCATGTGAGAGATTTTTGCACAACATATCAGGAAGAATCTGCAAGATCACAAAGTAGAAACATACCAACGACAAGTGGTACAGAGCAAGAAGAGCATGAGTAGTTATACGGTGGAAAATATTCGTTTGCATGATAATAAATCTGGTTTTCATTGACAAAGCATCACCTGCATTCCCCCCTGAAAAGAAAATGACCCTCGCGAACCCTTTTTTGTGACAGGAGAACCCCTTGATTCACCACTTTTACCACCTTTAGCAGCAAACTTTGTTCTGATTGCACCGACTATAATAGAGCCAAAACTGAAAAATAACATAATTTATTTAGCAACTAACCGGGGAACATTAAAGAGCTCATCGCCATAATATCAGCATAGAGAATCACAGAAACAGATAAACTCAAGCCAATCCCAAAAAAAAGGAAGCTTATGGTATTTACAAATGATTCATATTACACGACAAGGGACACCAAGCATAAAATGACACGAGTAAAAATAGCATCACCAACTCAAAACACTATTGCATTACCCTACCAACACAGAAGAAAATCTGGAAGTATTATTTAAGCGGAACTCATTTTTATATAGTGTAGTTATATGAGTAAGTACCTTTTCTCTACATTCCAGAGATCCGGAAAAGTGTGCTTCATCTGATCAGAAATTGTAGGGGAAAGATATAAAAAGGAGGAATATCAAACGATGATTTTAAAAACAAAGACTGTACGTCAAGTGTAAAGTTGCTCACTGAAAGGGAATCAGGATCCGCAGCACTTGTTCCACCAACAAAAGGGTCGATGAGATAGTCCACAACCTTACAAATCAAATACATTAAAAGGGACACATGAAAGGAAGATCACAGTTGTCTGAAAATTAATAAGGATAATTGACAATTGGTTTGAAACTAATAGAGATAGTCCACAAATGGTTTTGACACATGCAGAGAAATGTGAAATAGAACAAAAGGGTGAGACTAGGAAGCAACAAACCTCTTGTCCAAAATGGCGTTTAAAGAACCCGCTTACACTACAACAGAGAAAATGGAAGTGACAACTGAAGTTATAATCTTATGTGATTGAGATTGCTGATGACCTGGGCGAGAAAAAAATATACTCACCTTTCTACTGCAGATGCGTCTGTCACTTTTGAGGACGAGTCATTTTTCTTCCATAAAAATGGTTCCAACAAGATTTGAAACTGCAGGTGAGAATTAGTATTTTTAGAGGTTTTTTTAGATAATGATAATATAAAGGCACTAGGTAGAAGAGAGCTTCTAGTTTCTGGTGGTAGTCCACAGAAAGTTATACACCGTATAGATAACATGCTTCAATTAACCATCAGGACAGTTCTTGTAAATTCAATAAATAACGAGTTACCTTAGATTGGGTAGAGAGCACACTACTTGTGACCAAGGCTATGGGATTGGTCGGTATCTAGCACCAAAACAGATAACATATCAGCATCATAATTTAGACACGCACACCTTGTCACATGAAGAAGCAGCAACACATAAGAACAAGGAAACAAGTAGGGATTACCATCACAGGTAACCCATTCCGCACAATATAGCGCTTCTTTTGTGAAATTGGCTGAAACAATAAAGAATGCTCTTGTAAGGGGTGTGAGACACATAGCAAATTAACGAAAATTTTACAAATATAAATCTCTTAATGAGCAAGGGATGATCATCCACGGCCATGGAAAGTACTCACAAACTGCTGTTTCTCACGAAGCCCAAGATCATCTAGCAAACTCCCAACTTCTGGCTCAGCCTCAGTCTGCACATGCAACAAACGATCATCAGTGCCCATGATCTAAACCAACTGAAGCAGATGTGTGTAAGGGTTCTGAAGAATGTTGGCTTTGAGCTATAAAACAACAAACTACCATTGTGTTTGCTCCTTCGTCCCAAATCAATCCATTATGCATAACACTTCTCAGCTTCCCACCTGCTCTTCCATCAGCTTCAAACACAGTCACATTCAAACCCCTCGATTTCAACTTGTAAGCCGCCGCAAGACCACTTGAAAAAAACCCATCAAAGGAATTTACAAAACAACATATCTGTGAGTGCCTTATTTGCCAACAAGCAAAACTCGGAGCAAAGGAACCCAGAACCGAAAATTAGGATAATCAGCAGAATTACACAGTACAATTAAGACGAAATACAATGTAGGAGATGATGATGAGCTACCTTACACCAGCACCCACCACTGCAACTCTTTTGCCAGAAAGTGCTTCAAATTCTAACGAAAACAAAAAAAATAAACACGGACAAGCAAAAACAAATCAGTAGAAGATGCAAACAGTTCAAAATTCTCGAAGCAGAACCTGAAATTCAAATGAAAACGGAGGTAAAACATAAGTTTTCTTACGTTTATCATGATCTCCTTCTGTGACACGCGCCATTACTATCTGCAAGCGGAAGACAATCTGACCAAACGAGGAGAAAGCAGGACGGGAAATAATTAAATAAACAACGGCAAATTCCTGCTTCTGAAAACGACAACAAAATGGTGCCGTTTTGATTCCTCAGGCCCACTATCATTAGTGTCTAACAGGCCTTGAATTATGTCTTTGCATCCAAACCAGATTCTTATTGTTACATCCAATTTTGAGTACGTTTTTTGGGGTCGGCTATAAAACATCAATAACCCATTGGGAACGACGGATCTTGGAGTGTTATAAAGAGAAGAATTCGAATGGAACGTAGGAAAATTATAGTTTTGGGTTTTTGGAATATACACTAACTTCTACCACTTTTTCAGTTCGAACTGAAAAACATTGGCTCAAGTTGGTGGCATGGAGAATACATTTGGTCACTCACTCCCCATTCCCCAACTTTGGTCAAATAATCCATAATATTTAAGATAAAATTACCAACAATCACGATCTTATCTTAAATTGTGTTCCCGACCAAAAAAGCTTTCGTTATTTATACGGCAATTTTTATTTTTATTTAACGTGAATTTGGGCAACTAAAGGAATGCTAAATTTGTTGGTAGTTATCGTGGTAGTTAATTTAATCGATGAAATGAAAAGCACTTTTTCGATAAGATCATAATTGGTTTTAATGTTCGCTTTTATGAGAAAAGTTTGTAAAAGTACTACCAATAATCGCTTTTTTAGAGCATACCATCTTTGAATGTTAACTTAACACAATCTCAAAGGGAAAACAATACTTAAATAATAATTTTGGCTGTGATTACGAGAACATTATGTGGCCCATTTGTACAAACGGAAAATTTGAATCTCAAATTTAATAGATTTACGATTGTCGCATGGGTGAACGAGAAAGAATAAGTCATTTTGCTTTGCGGGACTAAATGTCCTTTTGAAGATTAAATTATGTCATTAACTAGACATGATATTTGCTTGCGCCATGGAGCTTTAAGATTGAAGCAAACATATTAAACATTTAATCTCTGCCGCCAAATATGAATTCGAAATCATTATTTGATTACACGTATAATCATGTATGACTGCTTTCTATTATCCTTTTCAAATTTCGAAATTAAAAAGCTAAAAATTCTAAGATGTTTGGTGCAAGTTGTTTCCCTTTCCATTTGCCAAAAAATGTCGAGGATTTGAATTTGAATATTTTATATATGCTTGATGTCTCGACGAGTAATGGATATTGATTTAAATCCGACTATTGGTTTGAGTGTTTCTAGAATCGTGTTACTATAGTTCGGTAGAATTTGGTTTGCAGATGGAATTCATAGAAACTAGCGATTTCTTTACATAGACAAACATAAATTTATCATCAACGTTACTAATTTATCATCGTAATATTGAAATCATAAATACAGATTACAATGGGTTTGAATCGGGATTGTGAGACAGTAATGTCATTTAGTACTAACCACTATATATATATTATACTAATTTTAGTTAGATCTTTTATTATTTACTTTGCTGTACTTTTATTTAGTAGTATTAACATATAATTGACTACATGTTTTGTAAACAAATTATATAATATTGTACTTATTATGTGGAATCAAACATGTAGTTTTCATGTCGCAATCTGGATCACGAGATCTTTCCGCGACATGAATGTCCAAACTAGGATCCGATGAGGCGATGAATCACGTTCTTTTGGTCAACTCATTTTCATATAAGGGTCCTTCATTTAAATCATGTATCGTAAAATAAAAATAAAAATCATTTGGCTGAGCTCATACTTATGAACTTAGAAATAAATAGAGCAAAACGTTACACTCTATTTTTTTTCTTAATTGTTGTTAAATTATATAGGCTTCTAACTCAAAACCAATTGGCTATGAGTGGATTGACTCAAGTCTTATATATATTAGTGTTGGTCTCTTTAAACTTTCGATATGAGATTCCAACACGCCCTCCGAGATGATGATTCTTATCAGCTCATCTCGAACTGAATCCCACTTTAGAACCAGTAATAAACCATTTTTGGGCCACCCTACTTGGGTTAACAAACGAGGCTCTGATACCATGTTAAGTTATATGGGCTTCCAATTCAAAATCAATTGGCTATGAATAGATTGGGCCAAGTCTTATATATACTAGTGTTGGTCTTTTTAAACTTCCGATGTGTGATTCCAACAATTGTTGATGTACTATGTTTTTTCTTCTTCACATCTGACGTAAGGAAACAAAAATATAGATTCTTTTGATTTTTTTTAATTCGTAAACGCTCATGCATTACACGGTTGGATAAAACAAGTCATCTTTTAAATCTTCGTTAACAAATTGCGTAGGAAACTATATGGTAGACGAAACTGCTGTTGTTATTGTTTTACTACTATAACGTGGTTTTGAAAATCTTTTTTGTTTTTTGAACTTTAAAAATCTTTCTTAAGGTCTTGTCTAAAAATCTTATGGATGTTTTCATCAGACAATTGAGCTCTTTCCTTATTATATCAATTTACGATAATTCAGGTAATAGTTAGATGGGGATTGTTTTGATTTTTAACCACAAATAGTCATATCTACAAAGACGTATTCCACGAATGAGTTGTTAATGGTTGATGAGGAGTCAACCTCATGACGAGTCTCGTCCTTCCCGTACGTACGATTACGATTTACGAGGGCATATATGGTCCTATTATATTACCCCTTATATATATATATCTCCACCGACTTCTCCAATACTTTCTCTACCACACTTTGATCTTCCTTGTATCATCCAAAGATCGCACTTACATCATTTCTCTCCCTCCATTTAATTTTAGTCGCCCACCGTTTTCATTATATGATCTGGTTTCTACTCGAATCACATCGTCCACGACAAAAAGAAGAGAGTTATAATTGTGAAGATATGTGTCTGTTCTCTGTATTAAAACCCTCACTATTGGTTATTTTGGCATGTCACATATAATAAAAAAAAACCCACCATTAATTCACTGCGATGCATCTAACATAAGACCAAAAGACACATGGCCAAAAATCTCAATTTCCTACCAATATAAAATAGATAGATACTCACAAAAAAAAAAAAAAAAAAACATAATCTGAGAGATATAGCTGGACTAAAAGAGCAGGGGAAAGTTGTAGAATTGTAGCTAGAGGAGTGAGCAAAAGAGCATGGTCTCACTGAACAAAATAAAGAAATCTTCTTATTGATAAGATTCTACTATATTAACAAAATGAACAATTTCTCAACAGTCTTGTCTAACTTTCCCTTTTATTACCACCCTCCAATATCATTCTACTTCTGTCTTTTTTTCCCAGCTAATATTTACCTAAATTTGACACAAACTACTTAAAAAGAACTCCATATTTAGGAAAACTAGTCTTTTTCTTTATAATGCTGCTCTATATAAATTATATCATAATTTCATACCAACTTCAACCCAAAAAGTTTGCAACATTTTTTTTGTGTGTTCAATGAGATTATCTTTATTTTATTATGTACAAAAATCAACGAGAATTTTAAAAATGTAAATGAATAAGAGTAAATCTATACAATAGAGTATTAACAAGTGTTATTTATTTTCTTGCTTAAGCGACGCCGTTACCAAGCGAGTGAGTCCAACGCACTATGGATGTTACTTACACACACGGTTAAAAAATGGGACCCACGGATTTTCATTAATTACCCATTTTAACCATTCAACGTCAACCGTGTCAATGCTGTAAAACTTCCGTTTCAATAAATTCTCACACTCTTCTTCCATCCCTGGCGCTCACTTCTTTTCAAGTTTCCTCTCTCTCTCTCTCGAGCCTCGCGTCTGTAAAGAGACAAAAGCGATTCTCTAAAGCGGCGACGTTTTGGTAGCTTCCGGAGGCAGGACATTCTGGTCAACGGCTTAAGGCGGCGTTAGGATCAGAACTTCGACAATGACGGTTTTCTCCGGCAAACAAGTCGTTCCGGTGGATTACGAGGCCGAGGTGTCACAACGGCTTCTGGATGCTATCCTCGACGGAGATATCAAAACGGCATCGGATTGCGTCTCCGATCCGCTCGTCGACGTGAATTTCGTCGGCGCCGTCAGCTTAAAGACGAGGAGGACCGAGGTCGTGCTCCGTGATGAATCCGCCAGCGAATGTCGAGTCGAGTACGAGGAGTTCAAAACGGACGTAACGGCGCTGTTCCTCGCCGTTAATCTCGGAAACGTTGCTCTCGTGAAGATATTACTGGTAATTTTTTTCTTTTCCATATGAACGAGATCGTATAGCAGTAAAGATCGGCTAACAATTTACTTTTCTGTCCTCATAATTTTTCTTGCTTCTGTAGCCAATTAAGCCGTTACTAAATTGTCTTTTAGCTTTAGATTTTGAAACCGATCAAACAAACCTACGTTGATTTTCACGCGGCTTTATCTGCAATTAACATAGAATTCGCCGTTACTTTCACGATAGATACACAAACTTTACTTTCGATTTTGAATTTATTTGTTTAATTTGTTTTCTCCTGAGTTGAAAACTATTGTTCCATTAATGGAGGAGCAATATATGGAGAATCGGTTTCCTCGTGATTTCCTCTTCGGTTTGTTTTTGCGCATTTTTCTGCTAAGTGGTGTGATTCGTCTACCTTTTTGTCTCTTGAATTAAAGACCCAGAATCTATTATGTCTGTCTGTCTCTCTCTCTCAGGCTTACTTTACTTTTCTTCTTTTTCGAAATTCAAATTTCGGACGCTGTTTTATTTTTATCACCAACCACAAATATCCATTTTCCACCATTCTCTCTGCTTTTTTTTTTTTTTTTTTTTTCCCAACGAAATAACTTATTCCTGTAAGTTTTGGTTAAACTGCTTCCATGAATTCTCATTTCGATTCATAACATATAATTTATGATTGTCCAATCTTAGCTCTAACCATTTTAAATAGAAAAAAATCTGGATCGGATTTCGTGCGAGGCTTTTTAAAATTCATAACCTGTTGACTAACTTCAATCTCAGTGGTGGGGGTGTTAGGAATCTTCCTAAGATACGAAAAATGTAAAAAAAAAAAACAAAAAAATGGAAGAATTTCATCTTTAACCGAGTCAGATTAGCATATTACGCGGGCATCATTTTCCAAGCTTGTGAAGTCTCACAACTTTTTCTTTTGCTCTTTTTACTAATTACAAGGTTAAGCACTTGGAGAACGTGGAGCCTTTCTTTTTCTTCCTCGGTCGTTTGTCTTGCTAGACCGTATTAGCTAATTATCTGAATGCTAGATTTGAGATTAGATGCTTAACCCTCAGTGTTAATTAGTCTGAAACTTGATACGGATTGGGATTGCTCTTCGTTGATGGATATTTCGAGACACAATAGTTCCAAAGCTCACTATTGGTTTGCAGCGATAACTGATCGATTTGATTTGATGCTCTTGTTTGCTGAAAGGAACTGATGATATTTAGTACGACAACAAGTGTTAGATAATTCACCCTGTAGCTTGTTTCTCAAACAGAACCTGAGGCCCCCCCATATGGTCCTGTCATTTGTCATTTGTCAATTGTCAATTGTCTGCATCTGGAGTACTATATTTTCCAATACTTCCTCTCTTTCCATTTAAGTCATCATCAGATGTCTGTGTTCAAGCCAAGCCATGCTCCTTTGCGTCAGGGTTGTTCCCTCATTTTCATGTAGATCCATTTCAATTATTCATTTTGCATTATTGTATTTTTTTGTCCTTTTCTGGCTCTGGTTTTCACCCCACGTGGAGTCCATCATTAAGCACTTAGAAGTGTATAGCTTAAAGAAACTACTGTATCATCTCAACAGTGATCTGACCTTTCCTGCAATATCATATCACAGAACATTGGAGCTGATGTGAACCAGAAGCTCTTCAGGGGGTTTGCGACTACTGTAGCCGTAAGAGAAGGTCATTTCGAGGTATTTGAGATTCTACTCAAAGCAGGTGCTTCTCAGCCCGCTTGCGAGGAAGCTCTAGTAGGGGCGAGCTGTCACGGACGCCCGAGGTTCGCTGAGCTGCTCATGGGAACTGATCTTATTCGTCCTCATGTTGCTGTGCACGCTCTTGCCACTGCTTGTTGCAGAGGTTTTGTGGACGTTGTAGGGACATTGCTCAAAGTAAGTTCTTCATCTTGTGCTTTTTAATCATTGATAGTTGTTCAACAGGCATCTTACAAAAGACCATTTTTCATGTTCTTGCTTCATAACAGTGTGGGGTAGATGCTAATTCAACCGACAGGCTTCTGCTTCAATCTTCAAAACCTTCTCTTTACACAAATGTGGACTGTACAGCTCTTGTCGCTGCCATTGTCAACAGGCAGGTCTCGGCCGTCCGCTTGCTACTTCAGGTATTGTTTTTTTTCTCATTTCCTTAAAAGTAAAGCCTACACAATGTGCAGTTGAAAACTTGGTATTTGCAAGGAGAGTTTGTATCTAAGACATCCAAGCTTTTCTTTGAATGATTTATACAGGCTGGTGTCAAGACAGATATCAAGGTGAGGCTTGGAGCATGGTCATGGGACACTAACACTGGAGAAGAGTTCCGTGTGGGAGCTGGCGTGGCTGAGCCATACCCTTTAACCTGGTGTGCAGTAGAATTCTTCGAAACTAGTGGAGACATTTTGCGTCTGCTTCTCAAAATCCAGTCCCCAAACGCTCCTCACAATGGTCGGACTCTGCTCCACCATGCCGTCCTCTGCGGTAACCAGGCAGCCGTCAGAGTCCTCCTCAACTGTGGAGCCGATCCAGAAACTCCTATCATAACTTCACGTGGCATTGAACTCCGACCGATTCATATCGCGGCACGTTACGGATCGGTGGAGATCATACAACAACTTGTTGGCTTCGGCTGCGGTATTAACTCAAAGACTGATTCTGGGGACACGGCTCTGCTGATCTCAACAAGACACAAACATTCCGAGTGCGTAAAGGTTCTAGCCCTCGCTGGTGCTGATTTCGGCTTACTGAACAAGTTCGGCCACTCTGTTGTTTCGGCCGCTGAATCAAACAAGTGGTCTCTCGGATTAGAACGAAGGATTCTTGAACTGGTCCGGTTCGGTGTGGTTCCATATTCGAGCAGCGCTTCAGTTTTCTCGCCTTTGCTATACGTGGCTCACGCAGGAGATGCCGAGGCTATTAAATATCTTGTAAAAGCCAAAGACATCATCATAGACTATCAAGACGAGGAAGGCTTCTCTGCTGCAATGCTGGCTGCTATGAACAGCCACGTTGAAGCGTTCAGGGTCTTAGTCTACGCAGGCGCGGACGTGAAGCTATTCAACAAATCCGGCGACACAGTGGTTTCTCTGTCCGAGAAGAAGGGTAACCGCGACATGATCGAGAAGGTGATGCTCGAGTATGCACTCGAGAAGGATAACAGGAACTTGGAGGTCGGGTTCTACGCTCTACACTGTGCTGCAAGGCGTGGAGACGTCGAAGCGGTGAAGCTTTTAATTGGAAAAGGATACTGTCTTGACGTCCCGGATGGAGACGGCTACACCCCGTTGATGCTTTCGGCCATAGAAGGCCATGGGAAGATGTGTGAGTTGCTAATCGCGCGTGGCGCAAATTGCAACGCTAGCAACGGAAGAGGGAAAACGCTGCTGGATCTCGCGGTTGGTGATGCGGAGAAGGTGATCCGTAACGAGTTGTCTCGGAGGGTTGTGATAAAGGGAAGCAGTGTGGTGAAACACACCAAGGGAGGGAGAGGGAAGAAGCATGTGAAGGAATTGAGAATGTTGGAAGCAAGTGGAGTGCTAAGTTGGGGAAAGTCGCGGAAGAGAAACGTGGTGTGTAAGGAAGTAGAGATCGGGATGAGCCAGCGGTTCAGGAGGAACCGCAAAGGGAAAGGCAATGCAGCGGAGGAGGAAGAAGGGATTTTCCGGGTAGTGACTACGGAGAACAAGGAAGTTCATTTTGTGTGTGAAGGTGGGTTGGTGGGTGCAGAGATGTGGGTTAGAGGAATAAGACTTGTGACCAGAGAGACTATTTGTGGTAGAAGTCAGAATTAAGAGTGTTGCTTTGTATATAAACAAGTTTTGAGAAAGAGAGCTTCAGTTTGAAGGTAGTGTGCTTCTCTTGTGTTGGGGTTGTTTATAGTTCTTGCCTTCTTGGGTTTGCTTGAGAAAATGAGAAGATTTGTTCAAATCTTAGGTTTGATATCTGCAGTATATTTGTGAAATAGCTCAATGGATTGAATATTCGATGGTTGCATATGAATAAAAACAAGACTTCTTAATGGATTTGGGATTCTCCCAATTGACATTTTTTGGTCCTCGCATGAATTCAGAAGTTGTCATATCAAAACAGCATCACTCTTTTAAAACAACAAGAAGATTTTTTAAAAAGTCATACATCACAAAATGAAAAGTCAACACTTTTTGTCTACAAGTCACAAAGGCAAGTTACGCAACAAGCAATGTAAACAGCATATAGATAAAAAGAGAAACTTTGAATTTCTTCTAATCGCTATTGTAACCATCGTCATCGTTATCCTTATCTTCGTGGTCTTTGACTACTCGCTCTATGAACTGTCTTCGAACTCCAGCCATCACAGCTTCTCTTGAGGAGTCATCGTCTCCACTCTTGCCATCGTTAAGAACTGGCTCTGACTGACACAGAACTAAGGCTACACCTGCAAAAGCAGCAAGCATATTCAGACATCATTTCCTCTATTCTGTCTGCTGAAAGCATGATCATACAATGGTGTATGGACGAGACATGCCATTGTCATCAACACACAAAGTAGGCACATATTATAGTAGACATCAAACAAACAAAAGGCAAAGAAGCTTCAAACTTACTCTCTGGGGTGCACCTACGGCCAAAGCTCTTCAAGCCTACATGGGTTCCCTTAACGGCGCCATGATGGTAGACCAGCAAGGTAGGAAGATTGCAGTCAGGGTAGTTGGGAATACAATCAGTGGATATAATCTTGACAAACTTTGTTGCCGGATATCTGCTGCACAGTTCATCTAGACAACCCAATAGCAAGCCACACTCTGCGAAACTATCAGATTAAACAAGAGATGAACAAATGTTTAGTGTTTCAAGCATGGAATAAGATGAGGAGGTTCTTCAAGAGCAATCATAATTCACGAATACTTGAAAAGCATACCCATCTTTGTAGAGGCATACAACAACCCAATCTTCAGCGGAAGCTTGCGTAACCTCCCGCACGAAATCAGAGCTCGAGATGGGAGTCACTGATCCATATCTCCTGACTTTAGCTGCTTCTCTCAGCTCCGTCAACCTCTTCTTCCTATCAAAGCATCGAAAAACATCAGAGAAGAAGCATGAAGTCAGCCACATTGAAATAAAGTACTACTCTTTTCTTCCCGATCCATTGAGAAAATTAAAACTGCATTCCCGATCCATAGAAAGAAGAAGATAAAAGAGCTAGCGATGAGCTACATGATAACAGATCCGAGAAAATTGAATTCACAATTCAGAGTATCATCACAGAAAGGATCCACTAAGGTCAATTAAGATGGTAAATACAAAAATCAGAATGTTCGAGTCGAGCTGCAAACCTGTATTCTTCGAGGAAACGATCATCGTCGAGATCTTTGTCGTCCTCAAGATCCTCAAGCTCCTCCTCTGTCTTCCCATCGAACCATGCCTGGTCCTTAGGAGCTGAAGCCTCGTCTTGTGCCGGAGTATAAGCCGGCGGTTTGAATGCCGGGGCCTTCGCCGGGAGATTCCCCAACTTCCGCTGGATATCGTCCCATTGCGTCGACGTTCCTTCGACGTCCTTGTACACGAAATGATAATCCGCCATCGATTTCACCACCTACGAAGCTGCAAATATTCTCCTGCAGATTATACAGAGAACCTTTGAATCTGACTCTGGAGAAGAAAAAGCAGATTGCTTTGACACTCTGTGATCGCAATCTCGTCGACGCTGGAAAAGGCGTTCTTCTCCTTAAAGGTCAGACCCGCGACTGGTCTGGTTAAACCGAACCGTACCGAGGCTATTGCTTATCTGGTTTATACCGATCCGATAATTTCTGGCTATAAGACGGTTAGCAATCGGTTAGATGCGTTTAGACTTAAGAGCCATCTCATCCCAAGACCCTCTGGATGATTCAGAGTTTTCGCACTTTTTTTAGGGGCATGTATATATATATTAAAGAGAAGATCCAGAGATTGATAGTGTGGGATTTTTTTTCGAGAGGGAGAGAAAAAGGCGATCGATTAGGGTTTTTGTTTTCGTCTAAATTTCCTTTGTGATCGGAGTTATGAGCTCGGTGGAAACTGTGATAAAGTCAATCCAGGGTCTATCGGCGAATCCCGGGGACTTAGCTGGACTTCATAATCTTTTGAAAGGAGCTGCGGAGTCGCTCCGAACCGCCTCGGAGTCTACTCTTGACCAGCTCGACCCCTCGACGCATTCTCTCGGTTACCTGTATCTCCTGTGAGTTGATTCTATTCTGATATGTTTGGATTTCTCCTATTTCGTTTTAGATTTGCTGCTGTTTCTTTTTTGCATACTGTGACTCTGGTTGATGAATCCGGATACTGAAATAATTTGTGTGTTTATGGTTATTTTCGTTGAAACTTAGTGTGTGTGATGAGCGGGTTATTTTTATTCTTCTGTTTATTGATACCTGACGTTAGGATTTTGTTTCGTTTGATTGTTCCAGTGAGGCTGTTACGTGTGGTCCAGTGTCGAAGGAGAAAGCTTCTGATGTGGTTCTGTTAATTGCACGATTCATCAACTCTTGCGATGCTGGGCAGATTCGTTTAGCGAGCGATAAATGTAATAATGGCTGGCTCTTGAAGCGATCTTTTCTCGTCTCTCTGTGTTCTAATCTTTAGGGTTTTGCTGATGTTACTATTTTGATATGCAGTTGTATCCCTTTGTAAGAGGTTGAAAGACAAAGTTTTGGAGCTCAAAGATCCAGTACGAGGGGTGGCGCCACTGTTGACAGCTGTTCGTAAGGTTCAGGCCTCCCCCAAACGTTTGACTGCATTGCATCCAGATGCTCTTCAACTATGTCTGCAGGCCAAGTGCTATAAAGCTGGTTTCTCCATTCTTAGTGATGATATCTTGGAGGTTGACCAGCCAAGAGATTTTTTTCTCTATTGCTATTACGGGTAAGCCAGTTTCCTTCATTACTATCAGTTTTTTTTGTTCTTTTTCTTTCTGTCAATGGTATCTAATTGAGTTTTTTAAATAATAGTATAGTAGACTCTCATCCTTGATCTCTAGGCTAATACACTTTCTTATAATATATCCTTGACAGGGGAATGATATGCATTGGACAGAAGAAATTTCAGAAAGCATTGGAGCTTCTTTACAATGTATTCTAGTTACCCTTTTCACATATTCTTTAGCCGTGAATGACTTTTGTTTTAATTTTAACTCGATCACTTGTTGTTTCAGGTTGTCACTGCTCCTATGTCTGGTACTAATGCCATAGCTGTCGAGGGGTACAAAAAGTACATATTGGTGTCTCTCATTCACAATGGCCAGGTAAGGCTGTGTTTTTAATTCTTCGTTTTTTGTTAGTTTTCTGTCTTGGGAGCGATCTTATTACTCGAGCCTGATCAATTGAATGTTTTGAATAATGTCTGATTTTCACTTCAACCATTGGTTTATATTATGATGTTATTCTTATAATATTGTATTCATTTTACTTGTGCAGTTTAGTAACAGTCTCCCAAAGTGCGCTTCTACAGCAGCTCAGAGGCACTTCAAGACCTGGTGTGCGGTAAGTCTGAACCAGAATTTTTCTATGTTATGATGTCTTCATATTGTTTGCGCATATCATAAGTTTGTTTTCCATTTTATGGTGGCTAGTCCTGTTTTCAGTTCAATCCAATGAATTCAGCTGCTTTGTAACTCATACTAGCTAGATCTGTATATAGGCTTTTGATTTTATCATTTACTTTTTCTCAGCGCTACGTTGAAGTGGGTAATTGTTACAACGAAGGGAAGATCAGTGAACTAGAGGCAGTGGTTGTGGCCAACAGCTCAGATTTTGAAAAGGTAAATCTCCGCTAAACACTCACTGCAGTTTCTGTACTGATATTAATCTTCATTCACCCTATAACTTGCATGTAATGCTACTTTTCAGGACAAGAACCTTGGATTAGTTAAGCAAGCAGTGTCATCCCTTTACAAGCGGAACATTCTGAGATTGACCCAGAAGTACTTGACCTTGTCGCTTCAAGATATAGCCAACATGGTCCAACTTGCTAGTGCTAAGGAGGCGGAAATGCATGTGCTTCAGATGGTACTGCATTGTGTTTCATCCCACACTTGATTTTTGGAAGCTAGCTTTATAACTGTAACTGTTGCATGGATATATAGTGTTCTATTTCTGAACTTGCAGATCCAGGACGGTCAGATACACGCCCTTATCAACCAGAAAGATGGAATGGTCAGATTCTTGGAGGACCCTGAGCAGTACAAAACCAGCGAGATGATAGAGATCATGGATTCTGTTATCCAAAGGTATCTCGACAAACCAATACTTTGCTGTCAGGAAACCAACTTCTTTCTTATTTTGTTTTGGGAGGTGGAACATGGCTTGAATGTTGTAACTCCCAAGCCATGATGCCTTCTCTGGGGAAAACTAAAAAGAGAAACGTCGATCCTCCTTTGTTTTTGAGTGCTATAATCAAATTGTTAGAGAAATCAAACAAGCTCTCTGTCTTTATATGATTTTCAGGACTATTGGGCTGTCGAAGAATCTCTTAGCCATGGATGAGAGCTTGTCATGTGATCCTTTATACTTGGGAAAGGTAACTTAATGCCATGTTTGATAGACTGTTCTGTCTTTGAACCTGAGTTTCTCAGACTAAACCATTGACAACTTTTTGTCAGGTTGGAAGGGAAAGACAAAGGTACGACTTCGGAGACGATTTTGATACTGTCCCACAGAAGTTCTCCATGTAAACAGCAAAAGATCTGACCTGAAGGAACAAAACTTGGCTCAAGGACAACCGTAGTTGTGAATCTGGACAACGTTTATTTTGCTTTCTTTGTTCACTTTTGTTGGTTATGAAGTTTCATATATTTTTTTTCACACAATGGCCAACAATTAGAGAAGATCATTTTGGACCCGCAAATCTTTTTCATAACTAAAAAAATTGCGATTAGTTGTCTCTCTTGGTAAAATGCATAGCCATTAGTCACCACTGGCATGAGACCGTGAATAATTCATTGAGCCAGTGCAGACTAGCGTAACATAGTAGTCATAAATGTTAATAGCGATGAACAAAAAGAAAGACCTAATCGACAGTCAGAGTCATTAGCCCAATAAGCCCCATAATCCATTTCTGTATTTAAATTGTTCACATCTTCACAGGCCATATTCTTTGGCATATTAGATTAGCCCCCAGGAAAATGTGGTAAATCAAATAGTTGACAGAAAATTGAAACGGCTGCGTTTCCTAATTGCTGTATACAGCTTTAAACTGCGTGTCGTTTTTGGTGAATCTGATAGGATGTCGTCCCGTAGTGGTTTAGGGCTTTGGGCTATGGGCCTTTGTGGAATGGGAAACGACAGAAATGTATTATAGAACGATGCCGTTTCCTTTTCCGTCTCGCTAAACGCCACGTAGATTTTTATGTTTTTCATCATTTTTTTCGTCGCGTCTTCTCCATTTCGTTTTCAACCTGATTTCCCTCTCTTATCCTCAATAAAAAAAATTATCTGAGAAAACGCGAAGGAAGAACAGAGCAAAATCCTCAGAATCGCCGCCGGAGAATCTTTGTGCTTCGAAAGATTCTGAATTCTGGGAATCCCTGATTCCGATGGAAGGGGTTATCACATGTTTTCATACGAAATGCGTCTCTCTTCCAATTCGTTCTTTCCCACTTTCTAGGGTTTCTTCACTTTCTCGGTGGAGAAACACTAATTTGGTCTCTGCATCTCGATCGGTTCCTCAGAGAACCTTGTGCGTTTCGTCTTCGAGCTCAGACACTTTAGTCGCCGGCGGTTCACCAAAGGAAGACGAGAGGCAGATCAAAGTATCGAGCAAGAAGGACGGAGATGAATCCGAAGATTTGAAGTTTTGGATGGATAAGAAAGGTTTGCCACCTTGCAAGGTTTTTCTCAAGGAGAGACCGGCTCATGATCAGAAGCATAAACCCATACATTATGTTGCTGCTAGTGAGGATCTTCAGGTGTTTGACTTAGCATTTCAGCAGCTTATACAGCTGTATCGGGTTTCCCAGTTTCAAATTCTGGGCGTTGATGGTAACTCTTCCCTAATTCCCTGTTTTTTTGTTTGCAGAAAGGCGATGTGGCGTTTTCAGTGCCGAACTCTTTGGTGGTGACACTGGAAAGAGTTTTGGGAAACGAGACTATTGGTATGATGTGAACCATTCTCTATTACGTTTCCCATTTCACGAAGCTACATTTACAATCTTATTTGGATTATACGGGAGTTTTGAAGCTGATCTGAAGCCATGAACCTATCCTTTTTTTATCTTACAGCCGAACTGTTGACGACGAACAAATTGTCTGAATTGGCTTGCCTAGCCTTGTATCTGATGTATGAGAAGAAACAAGGGAAGAAATCAGTATGGTATCCTTATATAAGAGAGCTTGATCGTCAAAGAGGGCGAGGTCAGCTAGATGTGGAATCCCCGTTGCTGTGGTCAGAGGCTGAGTTAGAATACTTAACTGGTAGCCCGACGAAGGTATTGCGTGATTATATGCATGACATGTGATGAACTAATCTGGTGGGTTCTCAAGTGTTGATCTTCTTTAACATGGTCTCCAGGCTGAAGTTCTTGAAAGAGCCGAGGGGATCAAAAGAGAATACAAGGAGCTTGACACTGTCTGGTTTATGGCTGGATCTTTGTTTCAGGTGTTTGTCTGCTTATGACTTCGGCTTCCTTTTTTGTTTGTTTGTTTTATTTTAGCATATTGAATGCTAACAACGGCTGCAGACTTACATCAAGTGATTTGTGTGTTGCAGCAATACCCATATGACATACCAACAGAAGCTTTTTCATTTGAGATTTTCAAACAGGCGTTTGTCGCCATTCAGTCCTGTGTGGTGCATTTACAAGTAAATTTTCCTTCTTTTTAAGACTTTCCCTTCTCAGTTTATATGTTTTCGCTCGTGGTTGAAAGAATACATAGTGTTAATTCTATAAATATGGGCTTGCCTCTGTTCCTCTACAGCTAAATTTACAGTTTAGCATCACCTGAGCAACTAGTCAGTCGTTGCCTGTTGCTTCTCCTAATTTAGATTTTTCATGCTTCTTCCTGTACTCAGAATGTCAGTTTGGCTCGTCGGTTTGCTTTGGTTCCTCTTGGTCCTCCCTTGTTGGCCTACTGTTCCAATTGCAAGGCAATGCTTACCGCTGTTGATGATGCTGTTGAACTCGTGGTAGATAGGCCATATAAGGCTGGGGATCCTATAGTTGCCTGGTGCGTCTGTGTGCCAAATTGCTTCCGGCCACTAGCTTTCTCTTTCTGATTTACCTTTTCTACTTTTGCGTTTCATCCTTTATCTCAAGGTGTGGGCCACAACCTAATGCAAAATTGCTTCTGAACTATGGATTTGTCGATGAAGATAACCCTTATGATAGAATAATAGTTGAGGTAATTTCGAAACATAGTTGAGGCAACTTCAGTGTGGTTTTCATGTGATTTTCTCAAGGTTTACATATTTTATGCGTCATGTCTTGCATTCCAGGCAGCGCTGAGCACCGATGATCCTCAATATCAGGACAAGAGAATGGTTGCTCAAAGGAACGGAAAATTATCCCAGCAAGTTTTTCAGGTAAGAACGTGTGACTTTCCCATTTTAACAAGGCTACTTTGAAATGTTTTCCCTGATCTTTGTCTTTGCATCCATCTCAGGTTCGTGTGGGTAAAGAAAGAGAAGCCGTTCAAGACATGCTTCCCTACTTGCGATTGGGTTACATGTCTGATCCTGCTGAAATGCAATCAGTTATTTCGTCCCAAGGTCCAGTTTGTCCAGTAAGTAGAAGATGAGTGACCTGGCAGACATTTTTTTCTAAGTGATCTTTTGATATTTCCTTGATTGTGATCAAATGCTCAGTTCCAACATGCGAGACCTCCAATGTTACTTCTTGTAAAGGTTTGATTCTCATTCTCTTTCGTAGATGAGCCCTTGCATGGAAAGAGCAGTACTAGACCAGCTTGCTGATTACTTCATGAGACGCTTGTCTGGCTACCCTACTACCCTGAAAGAAGATGATGCATTGGTATGCTCGCCCGACTTTGTAATTGCTACATAACAAACACATTTCTTTTTTTGGGTTCTTATGTATGATATTAATCGAATTCCTGCTCAATAGTTGGCAGATCCTAGTTTGAATCCGAGGAAGCGAGTTGCCACACGGCTTGTCCGATTAGAGAAGAAAATGCTAGCTGCATGCCTTGTGACAACAGTGGATTTGTTAAATGAGTTGCCCGATACAACCATCTCTCCATGCCCAGCACCATATGCTCCGTCTTTGAAATAAAAAAAGGCACTTATCTCTGTCCCCTCTTTCTCAAATAATAACTAGTATTTCCTGACCCTCTAAAGCAATGTTGTCACAGGTTCGTGTTGTAGCTGCAATTTGTTGGGACATGGCAGGAGTAATTTTTGGTCGTGTCCTTGATCATCACAATCTGAGGTCGCTTAACTAAAGGTCAGTTGTGCGTGCGCAAGTCGATATACGATGTTTCCCAATCAATTTACTAAGATTTCTTGCTAGCTGCCAACTAACTCCTTGAAGATACAACTTCTTTAGATTTAAGGTGAATTTTTTTTTGGTTTGTTTCCCGCTAAGAATAGATGGTTTGATTTCTTCTATATTTCTTATGCATTGCAATTGCAGGTAATAGGTACTAGGAGCGTATCTCTCGCTTGACACGCAAAAGTTCAGATTGTACTTTTTCTTCCAGCACAATAAAGGCTTGTTCGCCTTGTGGAAATCCTGCGAGTGTAATTACAGACATGAAGCTTTAATTTCAATTCCCAAATCTTCTATCTGTGTTTTAGAAATTTAGAATTTATCGTTTCGAAAGCAATTTGGGCGTTTATCTTCAGTTATTCAGTTTAGTTTCGAAACCCCCTCATGGGTGATAGAGCCCATTTCCGGCAATGATGATGTTGGCATAGAAAAACGTCAGGACGAGCAGATAAAATTAATTAAAATGGCACGCGGTTCTTTTCTTTGCGTTGACTCCAATTCTGAATCATGTTGTTTTACTAGATCTGAAGCTGAAGAACCTTAGGCCGTTCGATTCAAATCCGACGGTCTGTATTACTCTTGTGTTTTCGGTACTGAATCTCGTTAACCGTCAGGGTTGGAATCAGACAGTGAGGGAAGTAGATAGATAGAGAGAGAAATAAACATTTCTCTTCTCTCTCTACTTCTCGGGTCGTCTCCGTCTTCGTCTTCGTCATCTGCGTTTTGTTCTATTCAATCTGCTTCTACATCAAAATTTTGGGCAATTCAAGTTTTTTTTTGTGTGTCAGCAGTACGAGTACGAGTTTAATTGCTCAGATCAGGGTTTTGGATCTTTTATTTAACTTGTGTTAAATCGAGATTTCTGTTCTTTTATCGTCTGCCTTCATAAGCGAATTTGAGTAGTGAGAGCCTCCGGAGATTAGTTTTCATAGCAGATGGTTTTTGTTTCCTGATCCGAGAAAAAGGGGAAATCTATTAAGGATTTGGTCGATATGACAGTGAGAAACGGTGGTTTCCCAGGAGATTACTGTCGCAACAGTTTCGAAACACCCGGTGGGTACGATGAAGGATCCGACAGCCCAATTGCCTCAGAGGGCTCAAACTGCTCCAAGAGAAAGCTGGGCGGATCAAACTATACAGAGCATGAAACATTTGGTGTCTCGAAGATGGTGTTACCCTTGTTTGGCCTTTCATCATCGGAAAGGAAGGATTTGATTCGTAGGCTAAGACAAGAGCTGGAGCAGATACGCTTCTTCCAGAAGAACCTCGAGCTCCCTCGATCGATGGGTCGAGCCAAGAGTTTCGGAAAGTCACGGTGCTCCACAGGGCCAGGAAAGACGGCGGTGATCCCCATCGCTGCCCCTAAACCGACTCCGGTGAGCACCGCGGTTATGCTTCTGATGAAGCAGTGCGAGGCGCTCCTGAAACGGTTGATGTCACATCAGTATGGTTGGGTGTTCAACACTCCCGTGGACGTTGTCAAGATGAAGATACTCGACTATTTTACCATTATCAAGCATCCCATGGATTTAGGAACTGTGAAGAATAAGTTAACCTCGGGCACTTACTCCTGTCCCTCTGAGTTTGCTGCTGATGTTCGGCTTACCTTCAGCAACGCGATGACTTATAATCCACCTGGTAATGATGTCTACGTCATGGCTGATACGCTTCGAAAGTTTTTCGAAGTGAGGTGGAAGACTCTCGGGAAGAAACTATCCGCTGTCACAACTCATACTGAGCCGAGTCACGAGGAAAAAGATATTGTAGTGCCTGTGCCAATGGCTAAGAAGCTGAAGACGAGTGCGGTGGACTGTGAGGGCGTCTTGAAACGGGTTATGACCGGTGAGGACAGGCTCAAGCTCGGTAGGGATCTGGAGTCGTTGACCGAGTTCCCGGTACAATTAATAGATTTCTTGAGAGACCACAACTCAAATGAAGGGGTGATTGAAGATGATGAGATTGAGATTGACATCAACGATCTCAGTGATCACGCCATGTTCCAGTTGCGGGATCTCTTAGACGAGCATCTGCGAGAGAGCCAGAACAAAAAGTCAAGTGTTGAGCCCTGTGAGATAGAGGTATATATATGTCTGTCTGTATCTCATCTTTGAAACATTTAATAGCATTATGACTGCTAATTGGGAAATATTTTTATCTATTGCAGCTTCTGCATGGATCAGTGCCAGAGAATTCGTCGATGCAACATTGTGATGGTTAGCTTACGGCCTGCTTCTTGTTTGAGCAAATTTTCTACTCTGGCTCTTTGATCTGATTGACATTTTCTTGCTATATCTTCGTTGCAGATAGTGAAATGGAGGAAGTTGTTGACGTTGGTGAAAATGAACACCCAAAGTCAAGCATTTCTCCTGTCATGATAGAGAAAGATCTGCTGTTTGGAAACTTAAATGGTATCTTTTCGAGTAAATATGAACTGGTTTTTGTTATCCCCTATTCCCCTGGATCGTACTAACTTCTCTTTGCTCCTCTTTTGATGCATATAACTGATCTAGGTATCAGCTCGGAAAGTGTGTCGGGTGATCTTAAAACCTCCAGTTTACCGAGGACATCAAAGGTACATTTTGTCATAGTCAGTTTGAATCCTAATATTTGATCACTAGAAGATGACGTACTTGATGATTCCCAGATTTGTTAGGATGGTATAGAACCTGATTGTTTCTTTGTGCTCCTGTCTTGCGCTTATACAGGGGCTTGGAACCATGGATCTTGAACCTTTGTTGGATGGAGCTACAAGTGCTTCCCCAACAAGAGGAGGTGATTAGAATTTTTTTATTTTGGTGTTTGAAAGTTCAGTTTATCTTGGTGTGGTCCTTATGTTTTGTTATTTCATTTCTAAAAGCAGCAGCATCTGTTGGTGGGTCGGATCAGCTGGAAAGTGCATCTCAGGAGCAAATAAGTTGTGTTGAGGAGGCGGATTGTCAGCAAGATGGTAAGAAAAGGAGTGTGGCAGAAAAAAAATGTTTCGGCTCTTGTGTCTGAGGTGGCATCTCACTCTTGACCCTTTAATACAACTAGGAAATAGTGCTCAGAATGAGAAGCAACAGCCTCCTGAAAAGGTCTACAGGGCTGCTTTGTTGAAGAACCGGTTTGCAGATTTAATCTTGAAAGCCCGAGAGAAAAATCTTAACCAGGTTTGTTGTTGGTTCTGTCTGGGTCCTTTTTTTACCTTTGATATGATATTTTTCTTGAATTTTTATGTGTTGCTGAGATCAGAATGATACGCGAGACCCAGAGAAGGTGCAGCGTGAGAGAGAAGAGCTGGAGCTTCAGAAGAAGAAAGGTTTGCTTCCTTGATTTGCCAGTTCAAGTCTGATTGGCGGTGATGTTAATGACCTTCCCAGTGATGAAAGCATAGTGCAACCGTAAGCGATGATATGTGCCCTTTTATTTTTAACAGAGAAAGCACGATTACAAGCAGAAGCTAAGGCAGCTGAAGAAGCTCGTAGAAAAGCCGAGGCACAAGCTGCAGCTGAAGCTGCGGCTGAGGCTAAGAAAAAGCTGGAGCTTGAAAGAGAAGCAGCTCGCCAGGCATTACTGGAGGTAAAGAATGAGAATATGTAGTTTAGAAAGAAAAAAATGGATTTTCTAGTCCCAGTGATCATTAAAGCAAACGTTTTCATGGTAAATGGTGCAGATGGAGCAGTCGGTTGAACTCAACGAGAACGCAAAGTTTCTCAAGGATCTGGAACTGCTCAAAACAGACCATTTGATAGATGATGCGACAGAGGAGGATGCATCTCACGATGGGTTGCGTAGTTTCAGCTTTGGGGGTAGTAATCCTCTGGAGCAGCTGGGGCTGTTTATGAAGCAAGACGAAGATGAGGAGGAAGTAGATCTGCTCACAACTCCAGCTCCCGGAGTTGAAGTAGAAGAGGGGGAGATTGATTGAGCAGATGCACAAAGTCAAACCAAATGAGATAATATGAATTCTGAATCCAGAATCAAGAATCCCTGAGCAAAAGTTGAAGAAAAAACAAATGTCAGTGTGGCGGCGCCAAAGTAGTCAAATGAATATATATGCCTACTCATGATTGGATTGGTACCTGAGAGTGGAAACTGAATCGGTCATAAATTACGTTTAGCTTTGAATGGTTGTAGTGACCCTGAGATTTGGTGATCTGGTTGAAATTTGAAATTCCAACAAAGACAAAGGTAGATTTTATCAATCTCAGAGACACACATATCATGCAATTTTGACAATTCAAGTAAATTGCAAATAAATATTTCAGTTAATCCACGAACCGAGAAACAAAGATTCTCTCATCTAGTGATTTTTTTTAATCCAAATCTCGTATAATGTTTGAGCTCCATTATTAAAAAAGGAATGAATTAATTCGATTGTTTGCTACAAAATTTAAGCACAACAAAAACCGAATCCACATTTTCAGGTTGATTGGAGGAAGACCTAATGTTCTAATGCGGTATGAAATCGAAGCAACACCACTTTATCACTAATACGTATTTTTACCGAATGATGTTATGGCTAGTATGTGAGAATCCTAGGGATAAGTTTAATCATGCTGGATGAACATGGCATAACGTTGCTCTACGGTTGCTCATGAGTATGGTGTTTTTGATAACATCAATAATTTGTTCAAAGAACATCAACATTGGTCCCATAGTTTCCCATTATTAGGTTTTATATTGATAACTTGAAATTTCACAAATATATGAGGGTTGTCCTATAATTTCAAAAATAAATTTCATTAGTTTCACAATTAAATGAGGCTGGTTCCATAGTTTAGCAAAATATTAGAAAAGTTATGCACTGATAATTTGAAATTTGAAAGAAGATGATATAATAAGTAGTAGTTTAACTAAACTTAGAAAGTATAAGCACAAATAAATGAAGCTGATCCCATAGTTTTTGAAAATTATAAGAAAAAGTTATACATTTATAAAAAAAAAGATAACCTAATAAGTAGTAGTTTAACTAAATTTTAAATGTATAAATAAATGAGGCTGGTCTCATAGTTTAAAAATTATAAGAAAATGTTGTATATTGATAATTTAAAATTTGAAATTCCAACAAAAATGAAGGCATATTTTATCAAAAAAAAATCTGTAAGCTTTTGTACAAATAATCTCTTCAATATTTTGTTAAAGTTAAACTGAATGAAATAAAAAAAATATTTTTCCTCTTCATTACAGAAGTTTTTTAAATCTCTTGTCTCTTTTTTCTCTCTCTCCCTCTCACTTTGTAATGATTTGGTTTGAAGGAATAAAAACAAGTTATGTGGTGGAGTGTTACAGATTTGTCTCTACTTATGAGGAGATGAAAACTTGCTCTTTACTGTGGAAGGAAAAGTGTTCGAGCAAAACATTTTCAGGCCAATCGGAAGACCTGATATTCTTATGCACTATGGCATTGGAGAAACACCAATTTTATTAAATGTTCTCATTATTACCGAAGTATGCTATGGATAACAGACTTTGTCTCCAACAAGCTATTGCTGCACTTGACTGAATCGACCAGTTGTACATCTAGATGTTGCCATTGGTGAATTTTCTGACAGTCCATGGGGAGTAGTGTTGATGATAATGTTTCATATCCGTATCACTTGTCAATATAATGTGATTCACTTTAGCAACAATGCGCGATAATTTTAATAGATAATGGTTATAGCCAAAAGAAAATGATGTATGAACATGTGTTTCTGTTTTGCATGTGTTGCTTTGGTTCATAAAAGGATTAGTAAACGAGCAAGAAATAGTTATAGTGGTGGTTACAATATCGATAGAAAAACTATACTGATTATTACTCTTTGCGTTTATCACTTGGTCAAAAGTTGTGCAAACTTTATGTGTTAGGTAATGCTTTTTAAACATCTTTCTAAGTTTTGAAAAAGACATGCTGGTTTTATCATTCCTAATACGTGGATCTATGTAAGAACCAAAAAATCATATGCAAGTCTTGAATCTGAAAATCACGTTGAGCTAGCTATTCACAAATATATTGTAGATACCATACGTAGAACTTGAATCACTATCATGAAGCAAGCCCAACACTATCATGAAGCAAGCCCAACACAACAAAGCAAAACCAATCTTCTGAACCAAGCCCAACACAGCAAAGCAAAACCAATCTTCAGAAGTAAGCCCAACACTATCTTCAAAATGAAGCTTCCCTTTCTCAAAACTTCACTCTGTTTCTAATTTCTCCCACAATTGGTCTCTTTGGTCGGTCACTAGTCTTATTCCATATAAATAGAATACCATTGAACTTATGTAATTTATTAACTATAAAATTATACAGCTACTATCTAGGAAATAGATAAATAATATTGAATATCAAGAGGCTTAGATTTGAGGTAGCAAACGATAGATGAAATGAAGAAACCATTGCAGCATTTGGTTTAGTCACTTGGGGATAATTTTGGTCATCGGGGAAAAAAAGTTGGAGGTCTAATTTGTAATATTAAAAAGACAAAGTCGATTTTCCCATCTTTGTTGAAAGTTTCGGGTTTATTTTGCAATTAAATTTATGGACAGAAAGTATATATAGTACCGTCACCTCCTCCGGGATCGATATTCGACGAAGAAGAAGAAATCAGAGGAGAAGAGAGAATGGCCCATAGAAATCTCAGAGATGATGAATCCGATGGATCCGATTTCCCGATGATCTGCGATTCGTCTCTCAATCCGTGCGTTCGAATGGTAGATTCCTCTCTTCCATCTTTGATTTTCCCGTTGCTTGTTTTTTTTTCTTTTTTTCCAGTGGCTCCTGAAGAAGGTTTTCGGATCTTTATCTCTTAATCTGTCTCTTGTTAGCTGATGTTTTGTGTACGTATATTGGACTTGTTGAGTCTTCTAGGGTTTAGGGTTTAGGTAGTAATCAAATTCGTCGGAACTTTTTGGTGTTTTGGATGTAAATTCGTCTAGATTATAGCGGCTGATTCTGATAGCTTGTATCTAAGTCTAGTGATATTGATTGTTTTCTTCTTTCATCTAGACGAGAGCTGAAGAGGATAATGAAGCTGATACTAGCTTAACAACGCCACTCCAAAGATTGCACATATCCCCTCAAGGAGATGGAAGGCAGCGACCATCTGAGATGCCCTGTCAAAACATTAATAGTCTTGAGTAAGCTGTATTCTCTTCTCTACTGCTTGAGTCTCTTTTGTGAAATTTTATGTTTCTTCTGTGGTTCTATTTTCTCTTTGATCACCTCGTACACCACTGACAGATATAAATTGTGATCTTAAACTTCCTTCATCCTATTTTGCCTCTCGTGTAGTCAGCTGCAGAATCAACCCCCAACAATGGCGCCCCTGCAGTTTCTTGGCGGTTCGTCTTCCAATGTCCCGATCATCGGCGATTCTTCCCTCAATCCGGGCGTTGGAATGGTATGTTCATCTCTTTCATCGCTCGCACGATCTTTGATTTTCTTGTTATATTTTTTTTTCAATGGCTCCTGGAGAAGATTGTTGGATCTCATCTCTTATTCCGTGAACTGGAGATTTAGGTAGTCATCAAATGTGTAGGAACTTTGGTGTTTAGATCCAAATTCGTCTAGTTATAATGGTTCCAAGTCGTTGTAGCGGCTGGTTCTGATAGCTTGTATCTTACTCTAGTGATATTGATTGTTTTTCTCTTATGTAGACTAGAGAAGGAGTGGATTTTGAATCGGATACTACCTTAACGCCTCAAAGAACAACACCAATGAGAAGATGGAACCTGTTCCCTCAAAGATATGGAAGGAAGCCATGCCGGCATGGTGAGATGGATATTCGTCGTCATGAGTAAGCTATTTTCTTCTGTATTGCTTGAGTCTCTTTGTTGACGTTTAGTTGCCTTCCTCAGATACGTTTGTGAAATTTTTATATGTTTCTTCAAAGGTAGTATTTTCTATTTGATCAGCACATATACCACTGGCAGATATGAATTGTGATCTTCACTTTTTTTTGCCTCTCACGTAGTCTTGTTATTTATGGTCTCTGCTATTTTTTGTTCCCTTGATGTATTTATGCATGTCAAACAGTCGGATTGAGTTGCTTCTTCTCATATTCTTTTACGCATTCACAGGTTGCTGAGGGAAGCTTTATATGCGAAAGCTTGTATGGCATCTTTGGAACCACCTGAGGACAAAAGCATCAAAACGCTTCTCGTCCGTCGACTTAACCCGAGTATTTTGGAGGAGGACATACGAGTCCAATTCGGTTCTTATGGAGAAATCGAATCTATCAGATTCTTGGGGGAGATGGGTCCTGCGTTTGTCACATACACAACCAGAGAAGAAGCAGAGAAGGCCGCGCAAGAGCTGTCTAAGGGGCTAGTCATCAAAGGTCAGAGGCTAAAACTCACTTGGGTAAGGCCTCAGGTCCTCGAACCTGATCAAGATAGTTCGAACCAAGCTGTGGGGCGTCGGATTCTATCTCAGCTGCAGAATCAACCCCCAGCAATGGCGCCCCTGCAGTTTCTTGGCGCAAGCCGGGTGTTTACTGTTTCAAGCACCAATGAGAATAACAGAGCTTCTTCTTCCAATGTCCCGATCATCTGCGATTCTTCCCTCAATCCGGGCGTTGGAATGGTATGTTCATCTCTTCCATCGCTCGCACAATCTTTGATTTTCTCGTTATATATTTTGTTTTTTCAATGGCTCCTGGAGAAGATTTTCGGATCTCATCTCTTATTCCGTGTATTGGAGATTTAGGTAGTCATCAAATGTGTAGGAACTTTGGTGTTTAGATCCAAATTCGTCTAGTTATAATGGTTCGAAGTCGTTATAGCGGCTGATTCTGATAGCTTGTATCTAATTCTAGTGATATTGAATGTTTTTCTCTTATGCAGACTAGAGATGGAGTGGATTTTGAATCGGATACAACCTTAACGCCTCAAAGAAGAGCACCACTCAAAAGATGGAACCTATTCCCTCAAAGATATGGAAGGAAGCCATTCCGGCATGTTGAGATGGCCAGTCAAAACATAGATATTCGTGGTCATGAGTAAGCTATTTTCTTCTGTATTGCTTGAGTCTCTTTGTTGACGTTTAGTTGCCTTCCTCAGATACGTTTGTGAAATTTTTATATGTTTCTTCTAAGGTGCTATATTCTATTTGATCAGCTCATATACCACTGACAGATATGATGAATTGTGATCTTCATTTTCTTGGGCTGAACTTATGCTATTTTGACTCTCAAGTAGTCTTGTTATTTGTTTTGTTTGTTCCCTTAATGTATTTTCTTCTGTGTTGCTTGAGTCTCTTTGTTGACGTTTAGTTGCCTGATAAGAACCTTCCTATCAATTCCCGAACAATGTAACCGACGATCCTCTTACGAGCATAAACGCCCTTCTTTACAATGTTCACTCTCTCTCTCTTGATACAATTCACTCTCTGTAATTGCATAAACCAAGAAGAAGACACATGAACTCTATTTATACTTCTCTATCGATAGTAACAGTAAACCTTCTAAGTGCTTGAGAGTCTTTGCTTTCTCTTATTTCTTTTTCCTCTATGTCAACATCCTATCATTGCCTTCCTTATTTACTTTTGTGTAATTTTATATGTTTCTTCAAAGGTTGAATTACACTCGGATTTAAGGTTCTTGGTCTCTCATATTCTTTTACACATTCACAGGTTGCTGAGGGAAGAGTTATTTGCGAAAGCTTGTATGGGCACTTTGGAACCACCTGAGGACAAAAGCATCAAAACGCTTCTCGTCCGTGGACTTAACCCGCGTATTTTGGAGCAGGACATACGAGTCCAATTCGGTTCTTACGGAGTAATCGAATCTATCAGATTTTTTTGGGAGAAAGGTCGTGCGTTTGTCACATACACAACCCGAGAAGGAGCAGAGAAGGCCACGCAAGAGCTGTCCCAGGGGCTAGTCATCAACGGTCAGAGGCTAACACTCACTTGGGGAAGGCCTCAGGTCCCCGAACCTGAGCAAGATAGTTCGAACCAAGCTGTGGGGCGTCGGATTCTATCTCAGCTGCAGTTTATTGGCGCAAGCCGGGAGTTTACTGTTTCAAGCACCAGTTAGAACACCAGAGCTTCTTTTTCTTACCCTACGCCAGCCATACCATGACCATATGTGATTTCCATAATGAGCAGTGGGGCGGATAACATATAAACAGAATATACCATTGAACTTATGTAATTAAAATAGAATGTAGTTACACATTCTGTTTAGTTGCAAAGCTACAACATTTCTGAATTTTGAACCAAGGATTGAGCTTTATTATTCTACCTGTACTAAAAAACTACACAGGTACTAGCTAAGAAATAGATAAATTACATATAAATCATGTCGTTTGTTTTGGTTAAACATTTTATGTGTACGTATATTTTAGTTTTTTTCTGATCTTGATTTTGGTTGATATAATTAGATGAACTGCTTCTCCTTCAGATGACAATTTGGTCCATCTTCGTTTTAAATTAGACTTTTCTTCAATGAAAAAAGACAGTTGTATTGTTAAAGATCGTTAATGTCAATGTCAATCTCAATCTCATCATCTTCTCTTCAATCACCCCTTTCATTTGAGTTGTGGTCTCTCAAGAAATTTATTAATTGTACCGGTCATAATACTCATAACCCGTTTTAAGACGCTCTCACAGTCCGCACTCATCTTCAACTTATTAGTCATTGGTCTAATTTAGACGCTCAGGTTCGGGGAGGTCTAATTTGTAATATTAAAAAGACAAAGTCGATTTTCCCATCTTTGTTGAAAGTTTCGGGTTTATTTTGCAATTAAATTTATGGACAGAAAGTATATATAGTACCGTCACCTCCTCCGGGATCGATATCCGACGAAGAAGAAGAAATCAGAGGAGAAGAGAGAATGGCCCATAGAAATCTCAGAGATGATGAATCCGATGGATCCGATTTCCCGATGATCTGCGATTCGTCTCTCAATCCGTGCGTTCGAATGGTAGATTCCTCTCTTCCATCTTTGATTTTCCCGTTGCTTGTTTTTGTTTTGTTTCAGTGGCTCCTGAAGGAAGGTTTTCGGATCTTTATCTCTTATTCCGTCTCTTGGGTGTTGATGTTTTCTGTACGTATATTGGACTTGTTAAGTCTTCTAGGGTTTAGGGTTTAGGTAGTCGTCGAGTTCGTCGGAACTTTTTGGTGTTTAGATGTAAATTCGTCTAGATTATAGCGGCTGATTCTGATAGCTTGTATCTAAGTCTAGTGATATTGATTGTTTTCTTCTTTCATCTAGATGAGAGCGGAAGTGGATAATGAAGCTGATACGAGCTTAACAACGCCACTTCAAAGATTGCACATATCCCCCTCAAAGAGATGGAAGGCAGCGACCATCTGAGATGCCCTGTCAAAACATTAATAGTCTTGAGTAAGCTGTATTCTCTTCTCTACTGCTTGAGTCTCTTTTGTGAAATTTTATGTTTCTTCTGTGGTACTATTTTCTCTTTGGTCAGCTCGTACACCACTGACAGATATGAAATGTGATGTTAAACTTCCTTCATCCTATTTTGCCTCTCGTGTAGTCAGTCTTGTTATTCATGGTTTTTTTGTAATTTGTGTTTCCTTGACGTGGTGGTACTTGTGCATTTATGCGTGTCAAACACTCGGATTGAGTTTCGCCTTCTTTTACATATTCACAGTTTCAGGCCTGCACGGTTGCTTGCAGAAGCTCATGTGGTGACATTGGAACCACCAGAGGATAAAAGCATCAAGACGCTTCTCGTCTATGGACTTACCTCGAGAGTCCTGGAGCAGGACATACGAGTCCAGTTCAGTGCTTATGGAGAAGTCGAATCTATCGGATACATGGCCGAGAAACGCCTTGCGACTGTCACATACACAACCCGGGAAGGAGCAGAGAAGGCCACGCAAGAGCTGTCCATGTGGCCATTCATCAACGGTCAGTGGCTAAAACTCGCATGGGCAAGACGTCGATCTATTCAAGATAGGGCCGAAGCTGAGGCGTGTCCTTCTTCCTTTGGCCTGAAGCTTCAACGCTGGTTAGGCTTGCCATCAAGATACCACGGAAGGAAGCGACCATATGTGAAGCACAGTCGACCATATGTGTTGCACAGTCGACCATATGTGATGCCCAGTCAAAACATAGATATTCCTGACGACTCTGAGTAAGCTATTCTCTTCTGTATTGCTTGAGTCTCTTTTGTTCACGTTTAGTTGCCTTCCTCAAATGCTTTTGTGAAATTTTCTGTTTCATCTATGGTACTATTTTCTGTTTGACTGACAGATATGAATTGTGATGTTAATTTTCCCTCATCCTATTTTGCCTCTCGTGTAGTCAGTCTTTTGGCGAAAGCCGAGAGGTTCGTGTTCCAAGCACCGGAGCTTCTTCTTTTTTTTTCTGAACGGAAGCGTCTACGCCGGTTACACTTGCCATCAAAAGACCACGGAAGGAAGCGACCATATGTGGGTTTTTCTCTTGTGGTATCAGTGAAGTTGAAGTTGGATGCTAATAGACCAAACTTGCCATTATTTACCCAACTTGCCAACAATTACACAAAATCATTTTATACGTCAGAAGAAATGACATTAGAGTTATATAGTTGAGTTAATTTATTTATTGATAACTTGAAATTTAAAAGGATAGGACTTATATAAGTAGTAATGTTCACTAAACTTAAAATGTATATGAAGGGAATCTCAACACTGAATTTTGGGTTAATTAACAAAAAAATTTCAAGGGATTTGTATCTCAAGTACCACTATCATGAAGCAAGCCCAACATACAAAGCAAAACCAAGCCCAACATTATCATGAAGCAAGGCCAACACAACAAAGCAAAACCAATCTTCTGAAGTAAGCCCAACACTATCTTCAAAATGAAGCTCCCTTTACTCGGGAAAATGTTTGTGGCGTTTCCACTTTCACACTTGACTTTCCCTCTTGCGATGATTATTCACTTACCACACAAAGCAGCTGGAAACTGCTTATTTTCTTCACAGGAATGAGTTTATTATAGATGCTGTGTTTGTTTCCAAGTTTCAGCTTAACTTTTGTTTATTACTCCTTTTGTTTTTGACATCGTGAACCTAACTAAAGAATTTAAATAATCCTTTTGTTTTTTGTCAACTGGATTAAAATAATTCAATTATTCGTGTGGTTCTTATGAGAGAGTTTAATTTTTTTTAAAAAAAGAAGAGAGAAAATTGGGGATGATATTATTATTTTCCTGGTTTAAATAAATATTATTAAATGTCTAAAGTAGAGATATTCATAATCCAGGTGGGGGATCAATCAATCGATTTTGGCTAACTCGCCACATTCATAAACCGGATTAAGCTCTTCCGTGTAGATTCTTCTTCTTCTTCTTCTTCTTTAGTTGTTTCAGCTAGGGTTGCGATTCCGATCTCAATGTCGATCGATATCGGAGAAATCTCCGTTCCGGACCTCCCTCTCTTCTTCTCCATGTTCTTAATCATCTATCTGATCGCTTACACCATCGTCTTCCGCAATTGGAAACCTCAAATCCGCCCCGAAGCCTCGAGCTGTCTGATTTCAATCTTCCACGGGACTCCGGCGGTTTTCCTCGCCTCACGCGCCGTCCTATCCTCCTCCTCGAGCTCCTTCTCCTCCGCCAACACCGCCGCTCAGAACACCGTCCTCGATTTCAGCGTCGCCTACTTCCTCACGGATCTCCTCCACTACATCGTCTTCTACCCTAGCGACGTCCTCTTCATCGGCCATCACCTAGCCACCCTGTTCGTCTTCCTCACCTGCCGATTCCTCGTCTTCCACGGCGCCTGCGCCATCTTAGGCCTCCTGATCCTCGCCGAGGTAACCAGCGCGTGCCAGAACGCGTGGACGCTCGCCGGCGCAAGGAAGAGCGATCCGGAGTCTCGGTTAGCCGTGAAAGTGTACGATCTCTTGTCCCCTCCGTTTTACGCCTTCTACAGTATCGTTAGGGGAGTGTTGGGACCTTTGTTTTTCGGGAAGATGGTTGCCTCTTACGCCCGAGGCGAAGCCGACGGCGTAATCCCTAATTGGTTGTGGGTTTCTTGGGCAATCGTTGTTGGAACTGCCATCACTGTTAGTATACTTTGGATTTGGAATCTCTGGATAGAATGGTTTAGAGAAAGGAAGGCCAAACTAAGACAAGATGACAAACAAGATTAGCTAGTCTTAGTTTTTTTTTCCTAAGATCATTGTTTCTCCTTCCTCCTTCCATGTACTATATACCAACTTACCATTATTATTTTTTCGCCTTTTAGAATTTCCTAAAAGTATTGTAACGTTTGGAACAATAATAGAATTTGCTTCTGGGGATTGCCAAAGTATGTGCAGAAGCATTCTGATTCATCTCTGTATTATTCACAAGATAAATCTCTAAAGAGTTGATTTCAAGTTTGTGACAATCATATACTGTATGTCGAGTTCTTATGAATCAATTTTGCTAACACTTGGTTGGTCTTCTCTTGATCCTTGATATTGCTGAGGTTTTGAAATTCTACAAGATGCAGGGTATTAGAATTGGTTTGCTTTATAAGTAAGTGTGCCCATTCTTGTTTAGTTATATATTTGGCCTTGTAACTCTCTGTGTTTACAAACTAATGTATGTTGTTCATAGTACCTAAACGGCAGCTACCTTTGATTGATCAAAACTGAAACTGTGTGTTATGCATTACATGTAACAAATAGAGATTTTGCTGCTTCTCCTCCATACCCACTTTACACAGGGCTGAACCCGTTTTTGGAGGTAAGTGTCACTTATTTATTATATACTCCTCACGGAGGTAAATAAACATGTTTGGTCTGCTCCTGCAGAAACTGGATGTCACATTCCAGCTGGATCCGAGAAGCTTCAGATCCACACCAGCTGAACTCGACGATATACACTGTCGATGGCGGAGAAAGAGCTGTGATATTCGATCGATTCAAAGGGGTTCGCGAAGAATCTATCGGAGAAGGGACACATCTCAAGGTTCCATGGGTGCAAAAGCCGATTATCTTCCACATTCGAACCAAGCCCTACGAATTCCACTCCGACAGTGGAACTAAAGATCTTCAGATGGTCAACCTCACCCTCCGTGTTATGTGTCGCCCTGAGGTAAGTTCCTCTTGAACCACACAAAAAAAAATCTTCAATACTGATAGAATGTTGAGGATGATAAAATGTTAATGACATGAACTAATTCACTCATTCTCAAATTGATTATGAGTTGGAAACTCATGATTTCTAAAAATGGCTATAAACTCAAGATAATCCTATGTGGATCGAGCTGTGTTAGGTTTCGCGTCTTCCGTACATATTCAACCACTTGGGTCTCGAGTGCGGCGAAAAGCTTCTACCAGCGATCGGGAACGAGGTGTTGAAAGCAGTGGTGGCTCAGTTCAACGCGGACCATCTCTTTACAGATCGTCCACAGGTGTCGGCTCTTGTGCGCGCGAACGAAGGTTTTCAACATTGTACTCGATGACGTGGCGATCACGCACCTCAAATACGGTCCAGAGTTCTCACGCGCGGTGGAGAGGAAGCAGGTGGCGCAGCAAGAAGCTGAGCGGTCCAAGTTCGTAGTGGCAAAGGCTGATCAGGAGAGACGAGCGGCTGTGATCAGAGCCGAAGGAGAGAGCGAGTCAGCTCGGCTTATATCGAAAGCGACTGCAGAGGCTGGGATGGGGTTGATCGAGCTCAGAAGGATCGAGGCGGCAAGGGAGGTTGCGGTTACCTTCTCTAACTCCCCCCCCAACGTCGCCTATTTGCCTGCTGGTGGTAATCTCTTGTTTGCAATGAATGGGCAGACCCGTTAACCATGCTTCGGTTGACTAATATTGTCTGCTTTTAACCTAGGTTTAGATTTGAGCTTTGTAGGATTTTCATTTTCCTTTTGTGTTTTCCATTGTCAGATAAAAGTAATCAAATCAAATACAAGGTAATAGTAATCACAAATCTTCTGGTTAAGTCGACATTAACATTTAAGCATTCATTGTGCACATCATGCAGCAAAAACGTAGACACAAGTGACACATACGTCCTGATTAGGTCAACCTGCGCAAGAATCTGTTTTCCAGCAGTTTCCGACTGAACCTGATGGTAGGTAGTACATATTGGGCCTATCTATTGTCCCATGGGCTGATGGCCATTATCGACCGAGTCTAATACTGCAAATTAGTGTCAAACCCCTTCTTCTTTTTTTATTTAACGTCCATTAGTATCAATTTAATATTCTAAACTCGAGAAATGCCTTGTACATTTCTCTCTCGTCTTCGATTGTTAGTTAATTCAGGGTCAAGTTCACCAAGAGAGACCAAAGTTTTTGAAATTTTCAAGTTTTGTTCAGTTTTCTCATATTTTTGGCAACTTTTACAAATATTCATTAGAACATTTAATAAGATTATTAGACATTTTAGGATGGTCAAACAACTATGGAATGGACAATTCAAAGTAGTAATCCTTCTTGTTGCATACCCAAATTTAAGTTGGCTTTTGGTAAACAAAAAAAAAAATATTTCAACTCAAAAATTTATAAGGACGTTTGTCTAAATAAATGTTTATTCAATCGATATCCAAGATTGGTAAATTATGGATTTTGTAATCAAATTAATCATTTTTAGCGCTGTCTTTATGCCATCTAATAAGTAATAAGTCTATGATTGAAGCATAAATGAAGTGTCAATCTCTATGATTAGAATAGTTTTGGAATCCCAATTGATACTCCCAATTTATAAATCCATCTTCAACAATAACCAAAAAAAATTATAAATCCATGAACAACAACAAAAAAAATACGACTTGTACGTTACAACAACAAAAATTACTCTCTCGAACGAACAAAACTGAAAAGCGAGACAGAACTTTCGATTTACGGTAAACGCGTTTCAGAGGATAATTTTCTCCTCTCATACTCATAGCCAATAGCCAATGACACTTTGTCCACAATCGTCTCTCTTTCTCTCTCTATCTTCTTCCTCGTCATCATTTTATTCTCTGTAAATTAGTCGAAATTACACAAATCTACACTTGGGCTTGATCAATTTTGACTCTCTGCACCCAGCTTTGCATTCAATTTCGATCTCAATCTCGAAGGTGGAACCTGTAATTGTTCTGGAAAACTTCTGACGCGGCCAATTTCAAGCTGGGAAACCCTAGCGAGACCACCATAGATGTGATATCTCACACCTTGGAGCGACTCTCTTCGGGTAGCCTATAGAGAAAATCGTTGTAAAAGTCTGGTTTTTGATTGGAGGGAAATGCCAGGCGTAGCTGTGAAACTCTATAGCGTCTTCTTCAAGTTACTTTTGAAACATCGTCTCCAGAATCTCATTTCAATCTCTGCTGATGGGTTGTCGGATCCATTCGGCGTCTCGACCCGATCCGACGAATCCGTCGCCGCCGCGAATCCGTCCTTCACCGACGGGGTTGCAACCAAAGATATTCACATTGATCCAATGACGTCACTCACGGTAAGGATCTTCCTTCCCGAATCTGCTCTCTCTCCATCCGACCCCGATTCGCTGAAGCTACGAAACGGAGATAATCATCACCACCAACCCAGATCTGATCGGAGACACAGCCACGGCCCTCTTAATCCGACACCGGCGGAGAGGAACGAATCTCGAAGGAACAGCTACGGATTCGGTAACGAGAGTCCAGAACCATACGGAGGATATGCGCCATCTCCGAACAGGAATTCCCGGAAACTTCCAGTGATGTTGCAGTTCCACGGTGGAGGTTGGGTCAGCGGAAGCTCCGATTCGGCGGCCAATGACTTCTTTTGCCGGAGAGTCGCTAAAGTATGCGACGTAATTGTACTCGCCGTAGGTTATAGGCTTGCGCCTGAGAATCGGTACCCTGCGGCGTTCGAGGACGGTGTCAAAGTGCTGAATTGGCTCGGGAAACAGGCTAATCTAGCTGATTGTTGCAAGTCTCTGGGCAATCGACGCGTCAATGGCGTTGAGTTGAAGAAAATGAACGTTCAAGGACAGATAGTGGATGCCTTTGGAGCTTCCATGGTTGAGCCTTGGCTGGCATCTCACGCCGACCCTTCCAGGTTTGGAATTTGTATAACCTTGCCTGGTTATTGTTATAGACAGACATAGTATGAACTTAATCAGTTAATAAGTATGCCCTAGAGACACCAAAGAGTCGGATATATAAACGACATGAACCTTTTATGTTTGCTGAAGTTAGAATAAGCTTTGATTTAGATTGTTCCAGAAAGCAATCTTGATGTTTGCTTTCTGGATTTAGACCCATTTCGGTAGATTGGATCTTTACAATAGTTTCAAGTTGATCTATGATACAAAGTCAGTTTTATATTTAGAACTAGTTTGATAACTTATCTCACATCAAACCAAATTCTGTGTCTCAACTTGTTGCTCATATGAATTAAAAACAGATGTGTTCTTCTCGGGGTGAGCTGTGGTGGGAACATAGCAGACTACGTAGCTCGGAAAGCGGTGGAAGCTGGGAAACTTCTAGAGCCGGTGAAAGTTGTCGCACAGGTTCTAATGTACCCTTTCTTCATCGGAAACAATCCAACACCGTCCGAGATAAAGCTGGCAAACTCTTACTTCTACGACAAACCCGTCTCTGTCCTCGCCTGGAAACTCTTTTTACCAGAGAAAGAGTTCGACTTTGACCACCCGGCAGCAAACCCACTTGCCCATAACCGCAGTGGACCACCTCTGAAGCTAATGCCTCCAACGCTTACAGTAGTGGCTGAGCATGACTGGATGAGAGATCGAGCCATTGCTTATGCAGAGGAGCTTAGAAAAGTAAACGTCGACTCTCCAGTTTTGGAATACAAAGACGCGGTTCATGAGTTTGCAACACTTGATATGCTTCTCAAGACTCCTCAGGCACAGGCCTGCGCCGAAGATATTGCCATTTGGGTCAAGAAGTACATTTCGCTCCGCGGCCACGAGTTCTCTTACTAAAATTTTACCCTGTTATTATTATTCATTTTTGTATGTAGCGAGATTTTGTGAGTAGGAATAGAGACAAATTCAAGATTTAATCTCTTTTTGCAAAAGTTTTTATCAATTTTTTTTTTTTTTTTGGGTGGGTTTAATGATGTATTCATCATATGTACGTATTCTGAATAAACCAACTTGGATCGATCAAATTTTCAGGTTTGTTCATGAGTTGACGTCAATATCCTGATTCCTGTGGAGCACATCTTTTACATAATAAACATTAGAATCAAACCATTGAACGTTTTATATAACAATGCCCACCACTGAATCAAAAAGGACGATTCTTGAATGCTGAAATCTTCAAATTTTCTATAACTCTATACTGAATGATGAAAGATATGTAATAAGAATAACCAAAAAGCTGGGGATAATCTGGAAAGAGCTCAATTTGAACCAAGTTTCAGGGATTACAAATCACATTTTAAGCAGAGAAACTAGACAAACTAACAAGAGTATTACAGAACATGAAGGAAATCAAGATCATGTTTACTTGGAAACTTTCTTCTTCCCTGCAATGGCAATTTTCTTGCCTTTGAGAGTCCTGCAATTGTTCTTGGTTCTCTGTCCCCGACATGGCAGCCCTTGGATGTGCCTTACTCCACGGTAACACTGGATCTCCTTCAATCTCTTGATCGCAAGAGCATTGAATCTCCTCTGTACAAACACAAAAACAAAAACCCAAATCACATATTCATCCTCAAACACCCGATAACACAAATCAAAACCATATGAAACCACAAACTAAAGCAATTTAACAGCAACAATCTAGCAGTCTAAAGCTCTTCTTCAATCACAAGAAGTGATACGAGATACCCATTCTGCAACAAAACTGAGACTATGGGGATTGGTTTGTGCTAGAACACAAAGATGTAGGAGAAAAAGAGTATACCAAATCACCCTCGATCATGTACTTGGAGACTTCATCACGAAGGATGATGAGTTCTTCCTCGGCCATGTCTTTGGTGATTTTGTTCTCCATCTGGAGATCAACAAGAATCTGGCGAGCCCTTGTTCGGCCAATCCCATGAATGTACTGAAGAGAGTATTCAATTCTCTTATTACTCGGAATCTCCACACCTCCAACACGAGCACATCGGATGCTTAGACTCTGCTTCTGCATTTCAATACGAAAACAAAAAACCCCTAAAACCAGCGATATTAAGGTTCAAACTGTAACACGCACATAAGATTTCTTCAGAACGTAACCAAAAATTGACGAACTACATGGAACAATAGCAACACGTAACACCAAGATATCGAAACCGAGAAATTCAATTACAGCAATTATACGCAAGAGAGAATTATCATTGAGGAATCATTACATTGGGAGTGTTTGAAGCTGGCAGTGTAAGAGTGTTGCGAGAGAGAGGGTTGGATTTTTTCCAACTGCAAATGAGTGAGAGCGAGTGCGCGACGGGCATCGCAACCATCTGCGCCATTTTTTTTCTATCCTCTTCCTAAGGATTTTGAATTTTTTCAGATTCTGGAAAATAATTTCAGAGGCGACGAAGAAGATGAGCCGAACGGATAAGGCAAACGTCGAATCAAGAGGCGTCTCTGTTGGGCTCCGTTTATTCCACTTATTGGGCTTTTATTCTTTGTTGAGACGGGCTCATTATCGTATATTATTTTTTTTATTTTTTAGTCTGAATTTCATTATTAATTCCTTTATATATATATCTTTGACAACAACTAAAAAAATTCATTTATATTAAAATGAGTAGAAGGCTACTCTTTTCAACGTCGAATTAAAATGCATAAACGTGTGACTAATGTCCTAATTGATTTTTTTTTTTGTTTTAAAAACCATCGAGGGAACATTATTATTATTGTGTTCTTCTTTCTTGATTGAGAGATTGTATAAAAATGTCAAATGGATAGATGCAAAGTCAGCGGAGGATTAGGGAATGAGTTTTGTAACTATTGAGACGGTCGTTGACTTCGTTACATGTTGTTCTAATTAGGGGTATGGCTTTTAGTCATTTTAGCTCATCTGATGATTAATTCAGTAGGTTGCAAACGTACTACAACGTTCTGGTGTACTCAATACTCATGGTTTTGGATGTAAATTATTACGATATAATTCGGATGTTTTAATTTTACTTTTACTTTTGAATTCTATTTGTTAAAAGTGGAAAATATTATTTAAAAACATTAAAAAAAGGATAAATGTTTTATAGATATGAATAATTATTATAGCAGCAGATCATCACAATCTTGGAGAAAACAAAAGGAAAGAAGGAAGACATTAGATAACACAAAAAGAAAACTCAAGAGAAACGATATGAAGATGAATGGAAAGACATCTCAGAAGACGAAAGACAAAACGCCGACCAATGCGGTGGCGACGAGCTGAGGGTAGGCGGAGAATGTGGCAGCACTTGGAGCCGGAGCATCAACGTGGGGTCCATGTGGGGATGGAGCCGGACCATGTGACGACTTAGGACCATGGGCGACTCCGTTGTGCGACTCGGCAGTCATGACCATCACGGCCAAGACAATGCAGACGAAGGCGAAGCGGATCAAAGAACTTCTTGCTGCCATTTCAATTCTTCTTCTCCTTCTCCTTCGTCTTTGGTTTCTTTCTTTGTTGTTCTGATCTATCAACAAAGGGGACTGAATTTATAGAGAGAGGGAGGTTGTATAAAATTGGTTAGTGGTTTTAAAAGTCAACGTATAAGAATTAGTCTTGGTGTTGAGTCGATCTTTTAGTCGTTATCATTACATGTTGTTCGCGTAGACATTTTATTTAAAAAAAAAAAACGGAGAAAAAGGACAGAGATGCGAACATGGTGATGTGTCTGAAATTGTTAGTGGACACCCAATTATATGTTCGTTGATATCCTGGAACAGCTGTTACTTCGTCGTCACAAAGAGGGACGCTACTTGAGTTGACCAAACCAAGTTGTTCATGGATTAGCTCATTCCGGATTTATTAGACTGCTTCCAAATAGAAATTGGTGTATGTATGTATGTATGTTATGTACATTGTCTGAGGCCTGCCTGTTCTTTTGGCTCTTGATGTGATATAACAAATTGTAATTTTAGTATTAATTTAGTTTAGTTTCGTGGCTTTGGTTTTACCAATAGAGTATTCCCGATAATTAATATAAAACTAAATAATGGCATTCTTGAAAGCAAACAAATTTCGCATGTAAATAAAAAACCATGATGTTTTTGATACTAGATTTAGAGAAATTGTGTATTTAATTATTTTCATATATCTATACTATATTATACAGTAAACAAAATGTGTACGAAAGTTGCAGGAACGAAATGTGTACTACGCGGATTAACCGGTTAAGGGGAAAGTCTTTGTTCGATCTTAAGGCCCATCTCAGCTAATGAAGATACGGGATTAAGTTGGTCCTAGTGAGCTACACACCTGAGATTATATTTTAGTGGGCCTATAATTGATAAGTCGTTTGATTTTGGTCCCTCGTATACTCTTTCGGCCGACGGTTCGTCTTGACTCTTTGAGTAATATTCTTTCGTCGAGGTCCCCACTCCCAAGATCCCATATATTTAAAAATACTCTTATATTACTCAAAAATTTAGCTCAGTTCAGTGAACCAAAACAAAATCGAATATTTGGTTAGCTGCAATTTTATCTTCGTCAAGATTATGATGCACCAGACAAATTTTAAATATGTAACTCAAATCGTATTTTGATGACCAAGTTCAAGCAGTAATGATAATATTTACGAAATGGAACATCCCTTATATATATATATATATATACGTCGATGATAATAATTAAAACCTATAAACTATTTCGACCTCTCTAATATAGGGCTCTAACTATATAACTCGTTCGATGACCATGTATTTTATAGTAGTTTAATGCAAATAACTGAATGTTCACATATATTATGAGCGTGACGGATTAAATATTCAATCAAGAACACAATTATATGTGTAAAATGGCTTTTTCTTTTATAAAAGACTTATAGATTGGGTTGGTTATTAAAGATTATTATTATTGTAGACTGTGACATATAGCCTAATAAATTACAGTGATCTAGAATTAGAAAGATATGTATTTGTTATGCATATACCTTGAAGTACTTGGAGAATATTCCTGCATGCGTGAACGGAAGTACGCCCTCCATTTTTGGGAGTATTTTAATGCACATTGTTCCTCTTAAAAATGATACACTGATATTTCAGTGATCTATAGTATAGATTTATATATATTTCATGAAAAATGTCTTAGACATTTTAAATAAACTTAAATTTATTGAAGGCTAAACGTCGTTAATAGTGTGTATCATTTTTTTAAAAAAAAATTAGCATGGTAGTTCAATTTTTTGGCATCAAACTGAATTATTTAATCTTAAAGAGTTAAGTATTACTGAAATATTGACTTTCTTTATTAAGCAAGTTGCCTAATCATGAAGTGCAAACTAACAAATTATAAATGATGACGTAAAAAGTGGAGTCCTCAAATATTCATAACAATTACAAAATATATTCAAATAGAATGAATGAATAATGCAAAACATAAAAGATGCTTTGATGACAGAATAAGCACAAGGCTTTGAAAGAGGGGACCGATGGATCCAAACAAATCTCAAATCGTTTTCTTTTAACCAAACTTTTGACAAAACATTAATCAAATTAGTTAAATTTCTTCGGTTAATTACCAGTAATCATATAGTTTTAATATTCATCAACTCAACACGAAGAATTTTACAACAAAAGAAACAATTAACTTGTACTTGTGGAATTTTGATTTTTTTTACTCGGGAAAACTCAAATCGAAATCCCAGAGATCGGTAAATATCGGATTTTATTGTTACTTGAACCGTTTACAATAATGAAAAACTAATAAACGAGAGGATTATTCTTCTACCACCACCGCATGTATGTATAGTTGATTGGTTAGTCTATTGTTTATAGAAACAACAAAAGATAACTATGTGTAATGGCTAATATAGTATTACATAATGCTTTAGTGCAACCTTTAATTAATAACTAATGAATCATAAGCTAAAAGGAAGTTTGCCTGACAAGTTCATATTATTCTAAAACAACCTTACACAGTTCTCACTAAATCTTTGTTTAAGCGACTCTCTGCAATCATTATTTACTGCTTCACTTATTTAGTGTGTTTTGCTTTAAATTTGGATTTATTTGTCTTTTAGCCTGTAGATGACCTGTCAAAAGAGAGAATCTTTGCCCTTCCCAACTCACCTCCTATTATTTATAAGTAATGCCCATTACTTGATCCAAGGCTCTCTTCTTTATATTTTTGGCTAACTTATCAACCTCTTTCGCTTTGCTTTAAGTTAGCATTAAAGCTATATATATGTATGATATTTGATAAATGTCAATAATTAGAACTTGCTTTTAAAAATTTCAATGGGGAGGAAACCTTGCTGTGACAAAATTGGATTGAAGAGAGGTCCATGGACTATAGAAGAAGACCATAGACTCATGAATTTCATTCTTAACAATGGCATCCACTGCTGGAGAATTGTCCCCAAACTTGCAGGTACTTTTTTTGGTTATGCATACATATACATTTATCTGCATGCATGATTAGGGTTTTATTCTCTTGTTTTTTCTCTTTCTTGTGGTTTAATGTTTACATACGCATGAAGGTTTGTTGAGATGTGGGAAGAGTTGTAGACTGAGATGGATTAATTATTTGAGACCGGATCTCAAGAGAGGTGGTTTTACTGATGCTGAAGAAGATCGGATTATGGAACTTCACTCTCAACTTGGCAATCGGTACGTATAATTCATTTTTTTTTATCATATAAGTTCTTTAGTCGCTAGTCAGATTAAACTAGATTTAAAAAAATTGAAACCTCTTTCCAAGTGTAACCGTGCTTGGAATTAGGTCCCATATGTTTCAATCAACTTCCCCCAATTCAGTTACTTCTTTCTAAAAATAATGAAAATGTTTTATAAAAACAAAACCTAAGATTGACGTATATATATAGTTTTGCATGGATGTTGAATGAATACTCGGCTGTGGAAAAAAGAACATTATACATCTACTATATACTTTAACGTGCATATCCTTCATGTGGTAATTTTTGTGTTTTTGTTAAGTGGATCATGAGACTTTTAGTAGTTGTGCTTCTTATGTTATTTTACGGATGCTTTGGACGTCGTAGGTGGTCTAAAATTGCCTCTCATTTCTCTGGTCGAACTGATAACGAGATAAAAAACCACTGGAATACGAAGATCAAAAAGAAGATGAAACATCTTGGTTTAGATCCTGCTACGCATGAACCGATTAATAATATTACCGACCAGACCGATCCTAACCAGAAAACCAAACCAAACATGTGTTCTACTACCATCAAGGAAGGAGAGGAACCCAAGGATCAAACTCCAAATGATGATGTTGTACCAGAAACAACGAAAACCGTAATAATGTCCTATAATGCTGAAGAGCTTGTGGCGAAAAACTGCAAAACTCTATGTGCAGAAGAAGTAGACATCGGATCTCTATTCGAAATGCAAGGGAACGAGATATCTATCTCGTCTTCTTCTTTCTCATCTTTATATAGTAATATTTCAAGAAGTGAATCTTCATCATATTTTGCTGAAGATTCGGTCTCTTTAGAGCAATGGGACTTGGATATGACGGATCCTTTGGCACCCTGGGACTTCTTCACCAATATTGATGATACTCTTTTCCTTTTATGACATAATGTGATATAACTATTGTAATATATCTACAAATATATAATTATCGTAAGTAATAAGTAGCTTAAATTCATGTATGTAATATCGACGTGGATTGTGCATGGCCTGTGCTAATGTATTATAGTTTTCTCATACACATTGTATGCATATATAATGACTGATTTACCCCCACAATAGTTACAGTGGACAATATGTTACCAACTGAAAAAATCATACTACTATTTTTGTTCCTAGGATCACCATATCATCGTTGTGGTTCAAGTAATTTGTCATTGTTAATTATATTTGAAGTTCCACACACAATTCTACAAAATTATTGTAACACCTTCAAAATGAAACGGGAAGCATATATAACAAAACCAATCATATATCCCACATTTGCGACACACGATAAGTTTTGTATTCATTTATATTATATGCTCGTTATATGTTATCAATATGTTCATTATAGTTAGGTGAATAAGGTCAATGCGGCCTTTCATCTGTTAAAAGAAACACTTTTTAAAAAAAAATACAAAGAAACATATAATAAACAAAACCTGTGAAATTGACAGAAAACCTTTTATTTTTATTTTTTAAAACTTATGAAATTTGACCCGTTTGAAAATTAATAACGAGTTCCTAAATAAATTCTACCTAGCTACCTAACTACTTTTACTAAATATAATAATGACTGTACCTACTTCATTCGAAAGCATGCATTTGATTTTGATTTTGTTTTAGTTCAAACAAAATAATTAAGTAATCACTTCTACTAAAAATATCGATAACTCTACTACTACTTTTCTTAAGAAGATTTGATTTGATCGGACCAAAAGAAGTTAAGTTAAAACATATTTGTTTACACTTTGTTGATCATGGTGATCGTAGTTGTTGGGATAAAAGACAATGACGACGATGTTGCTTCCGTCAAGTGTTTGGATTTTTGCAATCATCAAATTAATTATTCAAAGTATACTATAAGTATTTCTTTTACAGAACGTTGAGTGCGATAGATTTAATTAAAATCCGTCAATAAACGAATAAATAAATTTCTTTCTAACAATAATAAAACTTGTAAAGCTATTTTGTATATGTCGAATTCTAATTTTGGAAAAGTGTAACACCAAAACAAAGCCGACGAACTAATTAGCCAACTGAAATCATGGCTTATCTTAGAATCGTAGTCCAATTTGACTTCGGTGCGATTCACTAACTACATATAACCGAGTGCATATTAACGTAATCTTGCTCTTGCACAATGTTCGTTACATCATCAACATAAAATCTACTACACCGTCTTCTCTCTTGTACAATGTTGGTTACATCAATAACTTAAAAATCTGTTTCATCTTCACTCGATTCTCCTGTAAATACTGCTAAGCTCTCTTCTCTTTATCTGGTCGAGGACCCAACAGATTAAGATCAATGGTGGCTCCATAACTCTCAGCAGATTTAACAACCGCATCATAAGGCTTAGAAGAGAGCTTAAGCCCTTCGTTTTGAGCCTTCAAATGTAACTCATAAGCAAGCCTTGGCTTAGCATCATTCGCAAGAGCCTCGATCAACATCTCGTACGTTATCTCATTAGGCTCAACTTTCTCGCCTCTCATACGATGAAACCACTCGTAGGCCACACCGCTTAGACCGTTTCTCGCGCAACTGCTTATAACCGCGTTGTAAGTCACAACGCTCGGCTCAATACCCTTCGAAGCCATTTCCTTGAGAAGGGTATCCAAGAGATTGAACTTTTTCTCTCCTGTCAAAACCGAAGCCATGATCGTGTACGCGTGGAGATTCGGCTCAATCCCTACCTTAATCATATGGTTCCAAACCCGAAACGCCTCATCATATAACTTCCCTTTCTCAAGCGCGCTGAGCAACGCACCGTATGAGATCACCGTTGGCTTCTCGCCGTTTTCAACCATTCCTTTAAAGATTTGAATCGCAGCCGCGGTCTCAGAGGCCTTTGAGCAAGCTACAAGAACAGCGTTCCAATGCCTGCTCTGCGGTTTCAATCCTTTATCCTCCATTTTGTTAAGTAACCTAACTCCCCATCTCCATATCCCTCTCCTGCTAGCTGCACTCAGCAAGATGTTGAAATGAGAGACCACTAGCTCGTAAGACAAGTTGTTCGGTTCAGGTCCTTCGTCAAGAAGATCCTCGTAGATCTCCAACGCCGCCCACCATTTCTTAGCCTTACCCATCAGCCAAATCAAGTGGTTGCAGACAGATAGACTTATCTCAGGGAACCTCTCTCTGATTCTCTTATACAACTCTTTACCAACAACGTAATGTTCTTCACGCGTACACGCCCATATAAGCCTCTCGTGCTCTTCCCTACTTGGTTTAAGCCCTGCATTGTCCATTGCATTCAAAAGCTTCAACACTTTAGTGGTCAAGTTTTCATCTTTCACCAGCCACCGCCTCATCACTTGGTAGCATATTCTACCAATGAAGTTTTCGAGCTTCACAAACTCAAACGCCCAGTCGTACTCAGCGTCGTTCCCAATCTCCCTCTTTGAGTATTTCTCTCTCAGTTCAGCAAAGAACTCGAGAGCTCCCATTCCGTCTTCCAGTCTTCTGTAGACCAGCAACGCCGTCGAGTATGTAACCGGTGAAGGCTCAAAGCCTTTTTCCTTGACTAAATCAAGAACACCAAGGGCCTTGTGAAACTCTCCTTCCTCCATGTAAATAACCATCAGAGTATTGTAAGTGACAATGTTTGGAACAATCCCTTCTTCCTCCATCTCACTCAGTATCTTCTCTGTTTCTCCAAACCCACTTGACTCTTTCATCGCACCCAAAAGGCTGTTGTATATGAAAAGGTTCGGACCGATCAAACCGCCTGACTCACTCTTCTTCCTCTTAAGCCAATCTACAACCGCCATCGCAGGCTTCAGTCTCTTGTCCTTGCCAAAACCCCTTATCATAGCACAGTAGACTTGAAGAGGCAATTCTCCCTTCTCCTTCAAAACAACATCCACATCATCAGCTGTCTTAGCAGCTCGCAAACTATACGCCAATTCTCTGACATCAACTCTTGAATTGGGTTTTTCTCCTTTAGTTACAGCCTTTGATTCAGAGTGATCCAAGTCTGATGCAGTAACTGTACTTGAATCTTCCCTGGAGACTTCCTCCCCGAGTTCTCGTTGCTCCCTGGCCCATCCCACCCCAACCGATGATCCCAACAAACTTCTCTTTGGCTCACACAGAAACAGAACTTTTGAGGTAGGATTTGTGGTCAAACCTTCGAACTTCCTATTACTCGAAACCAAGATCAAGCTAGATATACTACCAAAGCAAGCCTGCTCAACAAAGCAATGCTTTTTTCTAGTCTTAGAGCTAACTACAAAGCATGAACAATCCAACTCAAATTCCAATCTTGATCCAACTAAAAGACCAAACTTTAACGGCGAAATGCTTAGAGCTTGCATCTTTTCCTCAACACGATTTCACAAGCGATAACAATCAAAGAGAGACCAAATGCTCAAACTTCGCATGTTCCAAACCCACAAACTGAAATTCTTCCAAGGTCGCAACTTTTAATGCGATTCATCACCAAACACAGCAAAACCCCCGAACAGAGATGCTTACACCGGTAATGTGTTTTATACAAATACGCCTTTATGCTTTCTTCAAACTTTGCGTGTTCCACGGAGAAACAAAAAGTGTGAGTATCAAACACGACCTTTCATGATCCTCTCGCCAAAAATATTCATGCCACTGGTTCTCAACAAACCAGAATCTCGAATTCGAAAACTCGGACGCAGCCACACCAGAAATTGTTTCTTTCGTTGAGTGATGGTGTGGTGCGCTTGTGGCCATCCAATTTCCTATGAGCGGGTAAGCTTCAACTGCTGCAGAAGAACACCATTTAGACGGTGTCGTTTCAACCCATTTGTTTTTATTCAAGCCCAATAACTTGACCCGATACGCGTGTATTAGGCCACAAGCGTATTGCTGCTATTAGGCCTTTTAGAATTATAAAACATTTTTCTACACCTTTAACGGTTATAATTTATATTTTCCTCTAAAAATGATATTTTAAAAACATTGTTCTTCTACTGCAGTAAAAATGATGTTTTTTAAGTATTTCTCTGTTTCTTCTTTTCTATGTTAAAAACATTCGCTGTTTTTTGCTTTCATTCAAGTGAATATAGAATTAGACGTTCCATGTAAACAGAATGCATTTAAGACCTTACTTTAGGTTGGGTACAAAGAATATATGTTCATTTGTAAAAATCCAATAAACATGTCTGGCCCATGCACACAGACATAAAAATAATACATGTATACAAATTATAATGTTCCACAAACACATTATTGTGCGCATAGATAAATATTACATATCCTGTGTATACCTTTTGTACGTATATATGTATATGGGCAACCATGTTGGTGGCTCAATTTTGTCTAAGGAGATATATAAATATGGATTCACCATATCTCAAATACCGTCTTCTAGCTACTACAACATGTTGCTATGTCCTATCATCTTGTCCATTAATTAGTAATTAAATACATGATCACATACATGTGTATGTATGGATTGGTTTTGTGTTGAAGATCCATAATTTAATCGGAGATTAATCACACGTAACGTACAAGGAGACGATCACTAATCTGGTGGCTAAAACCTGGAAAAAATAGTGTCAATTAGACGATGATGGATATAAAAAACTATTTATATATACCATATATATAAAACCGATTTCTTTTTTGTAAATATACTGAAAGATATAGGGCATCTTACAAATATTGGTATTTAGATAAATATAGCAAGTAATTTATCCATACTGCTGATATAACTGTTATTATTCGCTACTTTAAATTTACAGTTTTTTTATTATACTTTTATGCATAAAATAAACTGGATGCAAACCGATCGTCAATTTTTCAGTTCATGGTTGATTATATTTTGCTGTGGATTAAATTTTCTGTCTGTAAAAAAATTAAGAACGTTGGAAAATGATTTAGAATTGGGCTTGCAGTAGACAGACTGATATTCCTCTAATATTACATGATCAGATTTGGCATATCTTTTGTAGTTATAAGCTGCGTTGTTTGATCGATATATATATAATTTTTTTTTGGTCGAAGATTTGAGATTCATCATATTCATATACAAACTCACACAATGATATTCTCTTGTAACCTAAACAAGAAGCTGTTGTAAGTACTTAATTTATTGATTTGTCGTTATTTCAAAACTGAAGGCATTATTAATTTTCCAAAATTGTCCTACCACATGGCGTTCTTTACATATCAAGATTCAAAATTCACCCAAGAAACGTAATCACTTTTTTTTTTCCAACTGAAATTATATATTAGATTAGAAAGTTTGTCGATTATAGATCCTGAACACAACATCAGGAAGTCCCAAATGGATGGACAACAGTTAGACCTATACATCCATATATATATACGAATCGACTACACTAAAACATAATAACCAAGACCAAATCTATTAAGTAAAAATGTTATTAAAAAAAAGACCAAATATATTAGTGAATTATTTGAGAAAATTCAACAGGACACGTTTAATAAAAAACATCCAACAGGACACGATGTGATATTGAATTGTGAAGTGAATCTAGCCTTTAGTGGTCTGTTCAACTTTTACTGTTAGTATGACAAAATAATATCTTCTAGAAATGCAATGTAGCTAGTTTTTCCTCTCTACCAAATGTCATGTGTTCATCGATTATACAAAAATCCACACAGACTTTGTAAATATCCTTACTTCCAAACATATTTCAAGTTGATTGAACGATATACTGTACTGTACTATTTTATTTAAAATGAAAAAAATCCCCAAGCTGTGAAAAATAATTTGTCAAACTGAGATAAACTTTAATACTACAAGGTCGGCCCGCCGAAATTCCTAGACAAAACAAAGCCTACCCATAATAACTTTAATCAATTAAACAATAGTACTATAATTTATGATTTTGTTTGTTCTTTCTAAAATAATTCGTATTCAGTCCTTAAATCAAGGGAATATTGTTTAATATCAGTCGAACCATCGCCCATGTGCTGATAGCCTGATACTCTCTTCTCTTAACAGTCACAATCAAAATTCTATTTAAATCTAATTTATCCCTTGTCGGCACATATTCATGGCTTACTTCTTATTCTATATTAATTGACTCTACATAATTAATTTACATAACATATAAACAAAAGATGAAGACTTGTAAATTGCAAAAAGCAACTTGCACATGCAAGTATGTATGTGGTTTTGTCTTTTTCTTAACCTCTTGTCTCTTATATATAACCACCCAAAGGTTTCCATGCTAATGTATCCCAGAGCTCGAGAGATTACAATAAAAAAAAAAACTCCACAGAAACCCAGAGTAGAAAAAGATGATGAACTTCAAGTCCAAGAGGTTTGGGATCAGATTTGGATTTGGTAAGAGAATCAACAATAAAGGCACACAACAAGATCATCAACAAAAGGGTATTGGTAATAACAACAACAATAGTAGCTGCAGCAACTGTGAGATCAAATGGGAACTTAGGCCAGGAGGTATGCTTGTTCAAAAAAGACAAGAGAGCATTGGTGAAGACTTGATCTCCATTAGAGTCTCTACTTTTGCTCATTTTCATGATCTCTCCATTGAAGCCTCCTCCAGTTTTGGTAAACATCTCACCTCCTAAACATTAATATTTATGTTTAGTATTCGTGGAGACTTATTCAACAACTAATTTTGATATAGTTCCCAAGCTTATAATTTTTTTTTGAAGGATTTAGTATAATAAATGCCAGTTTACGAAAACCATCATTTCTTAAAAAAATCACTCCAAACTATGAAATATTTCTTCGTATTTAAAAAAACTTGAGAATCATTTTTAAATGAAATAAAAATTCAAGTCCAATAATATTATTAATAAAATGTATTTCTAAATCATACAAAGTTTTGTAAATCACAACAGGTTTATAATATAAGCTTCTATTTATGTGTTTACAGGAGAACTTAAGATGGTATTATCGTTGCTTACGGGTTTAGAGCCCAAACAACAAAGGCTATTATTCAAAGGGAAAGAAAGAGAGGATGATGAATATCTACACATGGTTGGTGTTGGAGATAAAGACAAAGTATTGTTGTTAGAAGATCCAGCCTTCAAAGAGAAAAAGCTTCTTGATCTTAACAACATTCCCACTCCTTGTCCCACTATAATCGTATAACACAACTAAACAAATTCGTCAAAATTAGTTGTTTGTTAACCTCTTCGTGAACCATAATTAATATCCGTCAAGAATAATAACTAGATAGAACTGTCATTACTGATTACATAAATTACATCTTGTCAATTCTATTTCGAAGTTGTAAAACTAATGTTTACATGTTGTAATATAATTGTCAAAGTTTCCAGAGAGTTCATACTTTTACTTAGTTACATGCTAAAGAAAATATAAAACGAGAAATACATGATGCACTTAATGACCTTGTTGTCGTTAATATGCACTTTTATTCATATTATTCTTCAGATGATTTGATAGAAATTAGCTAACTTTTCTAATAAAAGAACTAAGACGGGCTAAAATAACCGAAATATTTGCATAACCGAGCTGGTCTGGTCAAGAACCCCTATACAGACCAACACCACCATCATATCTCGGTACACTCCGGTCAAGTCGTAACTTCTCAAAAAGTTACAATATAACAATATTATACCAAACATCCGCCACTTAATTATTTCCGTAGACTAGTATGTTCCACAAACCACAAGTCTAAACCAACCAGGTTTTAGTGGTTTACGAGTCGTCTCTCTTCACAAACCGGCCCTGAAAAGAGAAGAGCCAAAACGGAATTATCTTCACGGTGAATTCAATCAGTGTGTCATAAGTTACAACCCAAGTTCAAATACAGTAGTGTAAGTGTGTGAACTGCTGAAAAGAAATTAAAGGAAACTTACTTTAATACGAGGACGTTTCTCAGCGTTGAGTTTACGAACTTGGTATCGAATCCGCTTAGAGAAAAGGCGGTTTTGCCGTTTCTCTTTATACCGGAGCAAGCTCGCTTCTCTATGCCCTCTCCATAACCTCTCCGTCGTCTCCATCTCCGGCACTGCCCATAAACTCCCCGCCTCTCCACCGTCGGTAAACACCTAAACGACCATCAAAACACATTTGCCCAGTATCAAATTATGTTAACCGGCTTAATTAAAAACAACGATGACCAAATGTCAGGAACTCAAGTACTTTTTTGGTACATTTGCCTACAATATAGCTTATGATTTGATAACCTCGGTTTAATTTACAAATCAAACACGGTTAGGTTGAAATCAGCATATACATGAGAAACAATATCAAGCATTTAACAGTCGAGTTGAAAAGAAAATTCATTTCATCATTTTGCCGTTACATTTTCAATTTCTAGTCAAAGCTTTAAATATTATGATACCAATTCAAAAACTCATCGTTATGGTTGCAAAAGCACCCGTGATCTCATTAAAACTTTTCACCAGTTTTTCGTATGTCATCTTGATAAGTCAATATGATTTAACTAAGCATTGATTACGGTAATATAAAATGAAGAAAAAAATATATATTTACTTACATCAGCAGAAGCATGCAAGTCCGGCACAGTCTGCGGCGGTTCTCCGTCGACATAAAGCGTACCTTTATCCGACCAAGCTTCCATGATCTGCTCATAATCAAGCTTCAGAGCCAGCGAAGGCCGTCCATCGTTCCCGTCTCCGCCGCAACACCGTGGAGTTCCGCTCCGACTCATCACCTCCTCCACAACCTCCGAATAACTAACCCACCGCTCCTCCGTCGTCTCCTCCTCCTCGCTTGCTCCTTTCCTCATCGCCGTTCTTAAAAGCGAAGACGAGGACGATCCGTGCTCCTGAGGATCGTACGGAGACAGATTCCTTCCTCCGGTGCAATCGACATCGGCGGCGGAGGAAGGGAGGAGGTCGTCGATCGAAGAAATTGTGCTGTCGGTGGCGGAATTGAAGAGGTAAGCTGCAACGGTGTCGTATTGCTCGTCTTCTTTCTCTCCTCCAAGAGTCTCCGCTCTCTTCTTTTCCTTAAACGGCGCCGTGTCAGCTCCTTTCGTATTGCTCTGTTTCGATGGATTTTTTTGGCTCTTCTTCTTGCTCTTCGTGGTTCCGGGAATCTCGCTGATCTCGTGAGAAGTGCTGAGTTCGAGCTTGAGACTGAGAAATTTGGGTTTTTTCGTCTTTGTTCTGATCTTACGAGACGCTTCAAGATTCGAAGGTGACTTGTCCATGGTGGTTGAGTCTCTGTGTTTCCTCTTCTTGATCCTCTTAGACGTTCTCGTACTCTGTTTTTCTTCTCCGACCGGACTGGTTTTGCTGCACATCGCCGATCCCTCTCTCTCCTCTAACTGTGTCTCTCACTCTAACTCTTCTCTGATCTCTCTCTCTCTCTCTCTCTCAGTATGTAGGTGGAGGGAAAAGGAAAGCTGATAGTGATGGTACTTTTGACGCGTGTCGATCAGTCATTGGACAAAGCTATTGTAATCTTGGATTCTGTTTGGATGTGCAGGGAGGGAGTAAGGTTGGATAGATTGGATTTTGTCTAAAAGTTTTGATTAATTATTTATGTGTTAATTCCATTTTTATTTTCAACTTTTTCATAAAAGCGCTTTCTTTTTACCTTTTAGATACCACAACATTTATTAAAGTTCACGTTTCTATTAAAGGTTTGGGATATTATTGTATGAGAATTTGTTTTTAATAGCTACGAATATATATAAAGTGCTTATTAGAGACTATTAGTTGAAAATTAACAAGGTAGTTGACAAAAAAAACACTGTAATTAATGGTGCTCTTTTTCTTTTAAGCTTTAACCAAGAAAACATGAGATTGTTTAGCCAATATATATTGTGGAGGAAAATATATATATAAAGTGATAAATATCTTTCGAGTTTCCTCCGTGAGAGGATAGCATATGTATTATTTTATTCCACGCTGTCATCGAACGCAATTAAATTGTGAAACTGAAATAACTTCAAAACCCCGAATCCAATTCATAAATTGACAAAGGGAAATAATCATTCATTTGAAAAGAAACACAAAGACATACATTTTATTTGGTTTATCGTAAATTGGCTACCACCGACAGCAGTGACAAATGAAGCGATATATAGTACAGTAGCATCCTGAACAATTACAGTCATTTGATGACACCTTTCGTAGGAATAGATCTTCTTTTATGATAACATTCACGTGAAATTAAAAAAGTTCTATTCATTTTTTTTTTGGCTTATACATTTTTTTAGGCTGCGATCATGTAAGGTTACACACGTACAGAAGTTAATAATTTAAACAATTTAGGCAGCCGCTTTGTAACGTCATTTTATATTTAGTAAAAATGATTGGTTTGATTTTATTTAAAGAATATTTTATACAATTTTAAATGCATTGGGGAAGAGGAAGGGGGTTACAAATTATAAATTGTGGATTCTAGTAAAGAAAATATTGTTTGTTAAATGCTACTTTTAGGATGTCGCATACAAATTCCTCTATACAGTGATAATAAAATAATATATATTATTGCTTTCACATAAAAAGAAAAATTGGATATAGCAATAGTGGATAAATTCACTTAAACATGGAAAAGTATAAAATCAAAAAAGAAGATATTTTCAAAAATAAAGTTAAAAGATATTTTAAAATAAAGGTGTTATTTTTAGAAAACAGTATTATTCTTTTGTTATTTTAGGATATAGCCACAGACGTGCCAAAGATTTTTAATGCCGTAGGTAAAAAACAAAAACAACATTTTTATTAAATAGTTATTTTAAAAATAACTAATATTTATAAAAAAAAATATTAATAAAATTATTTATAAAAAAAAAATTAAATTGTTTTATGTTTGGTGTATATATATAATTGTAATGCATAAGATATAATATTGTAAAAATTAAAAAGATATAGCATTGTATATATAGTAAAACATTTATAAATTAGTATTTGATTCATTAATATCTAGATAAAATTAGTTTATCAACTAAATAATATATATATATAAATTAATAATTATTATAAATTAATAATTTTTTTTTATAAAAGTTCATGATTCAATATTATTAGTTTATAGAGAGTATACTATAATATATTCGTTAAATTATAAACTAAAGATAAGTAAAAAATAAAATAAAACATATAACAGAAAATAAGAAGTTGGTGAATTTATTTTTGAAAAAGATAATAGATAATATGGTAAAATAAAAAAAGGCAAAATAAATGTATGAATACATAAATACAAAGAACAAAATTCAAAGGTTTATAAAAATATAGACATAATAGTTGACTTTAGATTTTTAAAAATAAACCTTGAGATATTAATGGTAAGAACAGAAGCTTAAAATATTTATAAATATACCATATAATATCAATCTATTTTATATTTTGCTTTTAAAATGTTTCATAAAATTTTAGGGCCATAGGCGTAGGTTTTTTTAACTCCTTCGAAAGCACGGCCTGGATATAACACTCAATAGAATTTTCTGGTTGATAATTAGATTTGAGTGACTAGTGTTACTGTTACAAGGTAAAATTAAAGTAAAACCAACAAAAATATGGAGTTACAAAAAGAGAGACCTGACGTTGGCAATAAGAAAAGCTGAAGAGGAAACAATAAAGCATGTCAGAGAGAGAAAGGTAACCAATCAGAGCGAAACATACATGGAAAAAGAGCAACTTCATTTGGGTCCTACCTCCATTGACCCATCTTCGTTCCGTATTAAAATATATCATTTGTTTAATTAAGCGACAAAAGATCATTAAACAAAGTATGAAATAATCGTTTCTAATTAATACGTTTATATTTAAATCCAATTAATCTCGATTTATAAACGTATATTTATAAATACATGTACGACCTCATCTCAAAATATTATACAACTTTCTTATCTTTCCAAGCAAAACGTATTACTAATTTTTAACTTAGAAAGAAAAGAAGAAAAAGCTGATGGCAACGACTGTGCCAACAACGGAGAGCTTGGCGGTGGTTACGGCATCGCTCTTTGGTGACTCTGCCGCATTGGGTCCATCGCTTGGTCCATCAGCGACCGAGGTGCTATCGGGAGTGGGAGATGGTGGGGAGGAGGCAGCGGGTCCTTCGGCGGCGTCACTGGGACTAGCAGCTGAGTAGTCGTCTTCAGCGGCGGGTCCTTCTGTAGCAGGAGAAGATGCTTTAGGAGATGAGGCTGAAGAGGAAGATTTTGGTGCTGCGGCCGGGGCCTTGGTTGGGGTCGCGGGAGCCTTGGTTGGAGCGGCGGTGGGTGATGGAGATTTCTTAGGGGAGGCTGACGGAGCATCGGCGGCAAAGGCGGAGGCGATAGTTAATGCCAATAGGACCAAAACGATGAATTGGCGTGCCATTTTTTTTATATATATGTTTTTTTATTGAGATTAAAAAGAGGTTATTCCAAAAGCTAACACAGTGTTTTTTATTTATTTATTTTTTTACTGCAAAAGCTTTAGGATGTTAAAATTGAGAACGGGGAGTGAATTTATTGGATTATGAAGATGAGAAAAATTAGGAAATTTGATGGATATGAGAGGAAAAGTGAAACTTATAATCTATTTTTAGAAATGTCTTAAAATAATAGGACCAAAAATAGCCCCCTAAAATGAATTCTAAGAACCATAACCAGTTATTGACACAAACAATTTTAGAAATACACTATGGCTTTTGTTTTATTAAATTAGATTTTTAGAAAATATGAGTTAGTGAATTACAGTAAACAAAAAAAAAACTTTATGGGCTTTTTAAAAGGTTTACTGTGCTTATGTCCAAAAAAAAAGGAGAGTTTTCTCTGCTGATGAAAAGCCCAAATTGACACCCAAATATATTGCTGCATCGAAGTCATTACCAAAACATATAAAGTCCCGCATGGTAAAGTGTCTGGGGGCTTAGGGTTTCTAAGACATTTGGTTAATATGTTCTGACAGAGCTAGAAAACAGACAAACATCACATAATTCAATCTTTTGTCTGTATTATTACCAGCATTATGTTTTTTTTTATTGTTTTCAGCATCTTTTTTAACTGTAAAAAAACTGTATTTTGAATTGTTCTCTTTAAATGTTCGAATTCTATTATTACTTTAAACGAAGCTTTCATTAGTCTCGTCCAAACTTTCAATTAATCAATATCAATCGTCCGTGAGGCCAATATTAAATATAGAGAGGGAGAACTTTTTTTTTCGTTGGGTTCGCATTTGTTTTCTCAGTTTGCAAACGTAAATGTAGCTTATAATTAAAGAATTGCGCGGCTAATCCGAAGCCCTAATTTATCTCAATACTTTGCTTAAGATTGAAGCTTCACCATTCCAGAAATATCACACCCCAATAAACTACAGAATAACTCACAAACCAAACAAGAAAAACAAAAAACATAAACATTAGAGTCGCAATCAAGATAAAGATCAAATGTTCTTGTTCTGTAACAACAATTTATGTACGTATCATAGGTTTCTCCGGTTTACTCGGACCGTACTCTATCCAATCTATCAACGCTCTTCCTTCCTCTGTCAATCTGATGATTACTCTGATGATGATGATGGTCAACGCTCTTCCTTGCCTTGTCGTGGAAGTCGACGCTCCTCCTCGACCGATCTAAATGCTGCTCGAAAGTAATTCTCAGCTTACTCTTCTTCGACGGACCCTTTGGCGGTTTCTCTTTCTCCCTTCTATCAACGCTCTGCCTCGGCTTCTCTCTCCTATCAACGCTCTGCCTCGGCATTTCCAAATCGCTGCTCTGGTTTTCCGATTGGCCCGTGCTCGCCCTCGAGGAGAGAGATCTCTCCACGGTTGTGATGAATTTCTTAAGGTGTTTGATGTATTCAGGGTAGTGTTCTAGATCACAATGGTTACCGCCTTCGAGCCAGAGCGGTTCATACTTCTCTTTAGAGAGTTCCCACAGTTGTTTTCCATGGGAACAGTCAACAACTTCATCACAAGTTCCCTGCAACACCAGAAGAGGAACCAGAGAGAGAGAGAGAGAGAGAGAGAGTTAACGAACACTTGATTCCGGAACATCAAGAAAAAAGAAATGGATATGTTTTACTCACGTGAATGACGAGAACCGGGCAATTCACAAGTGGGATTTTTTCAATATTCTGCAGACAAACAAATACACAACTGTGAAGAAGAAAGAGTGGATGCAGGAAAATCGAAAAAGGATCCATCAAAGAATGATGAATTTATTACCTTGTAGATGTCGAACCAGTATGTCTTCTTCACTGGATACATTACTCTTAGACCCGAAAGAATTGGGCTATGGAGAACAACAGCTCTTAATCGAGGCAATCGAGCAGCGAGATCTAATGTAGGTCCACTTCCTACGGATTGTCCATAGAGGATTATGTCTTCCTGTTTTGCTCCATATGTCTCTTCAAGACATTTATAAGCAGCTTCGATATCAGCATATGTATGGTGCTCACTCGGCTACAGTCACACAAATAAGATTCTCGGATTTAGTTCTGTAGCCATTAATCATTTATCAATATCTCTCCTTGTTGTTGTTCTAAAGGACAAACCTTTCCAGTAGATTGTCCATACCCAGAGTAATCGTACCTGCGAGAAGAAATGCAGAAAAGCAACATTAATGAAGCTCGGAAAGATCTGAACTTGTTTTGTTTTTCTTTTTAATGCTATCAATCTGAAGTTGAGAGATGTATTGTTTACATAGATCATTCTGAACTAAAAGTTTCAAACACAAGCTGAAACATACAAGAGCCTAAGCATCAGAACACACCCAAGTTAACATTTATGATAGACGGCTAAATTAGAATTTGAGAAAAAGCAATGAACAACAGATTAGACCTAAAACATCTTGAACAAAAAAACTCATAAACAAGAACAACATTCAGACTTTCATGAAAAATGATCACACAACAACTTATCAGAATAACTTTGATACGGAGCGAAAAACCATAGACTTGAATTGTCTCATAACCCAAAAGAACCAATCAAACAGTGACTCAGAAGAAACAAAAGAAGGGGAAAATATCTCCAAATCTAACATTTAACCAGACAAAGAAAGAAAATCTCAAACTCCACCCGTTTCCACCAAAATCAACATGGAAACAGACATAAGCTTTCCTAGTAGCCACAGACAAAAAAAGTCGAGGAATTTGATCATATTGAAAATCACCAAACAGAGCACAATTACAGAGCAGAAGAGCTGATCATACACAGAGCTATAATATGAATAAGCACAAGGGGGGAAAACAGAGGAAAGGCTGAAAATTTAACATACCCCATAAGATTAACCTTAAGATGGATGCTCAATTCGATGAAGAGCTCATACATCTGGCCCAGATCGGCGGCGTTTCCATGGGAATAGAGCAGCGTAGATGTGGCCATCGGATGCCTGACGTACATAGCCACGATCTCTGTTCCTCTACGTGTCGGAAGCTTTAAGATTTCGACGTTTTCACGGTGAGGAAATGGGTTCATCAGAAGAAGTCCAGTCAGTTCGTCGCAGACCAGCTTGTAAGACGACGGACTCGGCGGAAAGAAAGCAAACTTCGCCGCAACTGATGACGTCACCCCTCCCATCTCTCTCTCTCTATCTCTCTCCCTCCCCCTCTCCACAGTCTAATTAGGCTTAGAATATTTTTCAGCTGCTGAAAGATTGGGATTAAGCTTTTGCTTTTTCTCGGGAACGGAGAGAGAGAGAGAGGATTTAGGAAGAAAAAGTGGCACTTGAAAGGGTAAAGAGAGGAGTATGAAAAAAAACTGTTATTTAAGTTTGGAACTTTGGCTTACTAATTTTAAAATCTCCACAATTTAACTAAAGAACATCGATAATAGTAATACTTCCGCTGTGCAATTATCTTCTTCTGTAATCCGAAACTAAAAGAATGATAAAAGATAAAACGTATAAAGATATACAGACAAGATGGAGCTTATGTCAATGGAGTTATATCTCCAAAAGTCAAATAGATGTAGACAAAAGTGTTTTAAAAAAGGTTACTTTTGCAGGTAAAAGGGTTTTAAAGACTAATAATTTAGCGTTGGTGGAGTGATAAATCATAGGTTATGATTAAACATGTGTTTGTTTATATCTTGGAATCATGAAATATATAAGAGTGAACATGAAAGGCACAAAGAAATGTTATTAAGAAAGATCAACAACTTACGATTAAAATAGATTAAATCATTAAAAATCAATAACAATAATACTAAAATAGTAGGTAAAAAATTATAAGTATATTTATGTAAAGAAATGAAAGAATAATGAGGGGTATGTTGGTTTGCTTCATGGGGGTCCATGAAATATAAGAAGCGGAAAGCAAATTTTGGAGTGGTGGGTCTTCACTCACGCCTTCTGCGACAGCTTGAAAATATTTTATTTTCTTTTGGTTATTTTAAATTTTGTTTATCTCATAAGAACTTTTAAACTCGTTTTGGTAATTAATATAATTTATATTTTGTTTTCTTCTCACAAGCAATTTGAGAAGAAAAAAGGTTATCACAACAAACTTGCTTCATCAATCGAAAAAAGATGACCAAACCATTTCCACAAAAGCCATGCATGACAATGTCTCGTACAAACTACAAACTACAAACTATACAACGAAAAACGAAAAGTCAAAAACAAACCTCTACAAAACGAGATCGAATATTCGAAATACATTAAATTGATCACTTCATAAACAATTGAGCCTTAGAAGTTGAACTCATGGGCCCTCGTCCAGGAGAAACATTATTGTTGTGGGCCTTGTGGCAAAAAGTGAAGCTTCAGGCCCAGTGGAACTTACATGCTTGTTTATTTTAATTTTTGAAGAGACTCACATGCTTGTTTAACCTAGTAAAGGAAAATTAGTTTCTGTTTTTACTAGATCTAGGTCGTTTTTGGAGATGCTAATAATATTTTTTGTTGAACAAAGAGATGTTAAGAATTCACATCTTAAGTTAATATATATGATGTAATATCACCAGTGTAGTGGTTATGATTTCAGAGGTTTAAGGCTACTGGCTACGCTTAATAATATAGTTTTCTGATTGGTTTATAGAAATTAAAAAATCAGTAAAAAAAAATGGAAACTAAAAATTTGATAGAAATTTTTTTATACTGATTCAAAGTTAAAATCTTTTTGTTAACAAGAAAAATGGTATAGAAATATTAGTTATAATATAATATAAATATAAATATGATGGCATAACAAAAAAAAATGATTGAAAAACAGAAAAAAAGGAAAACTAAAATATAAGTCAAAAGATATATATAGCAAAAAGTGTAATTACATAGACGGAGACTTAAATATAAAAGAAATTTCATGAGTTTAAATTTATAAGAAAATAACCTCATAGTACCAACAAACTGATTGCATGAGGGTCCCCAAGCTGCATGCACGTGCGTCATATTTTCATCATTTAGTTTCTTACATTCCTGATATTTACTTTTTCTTTTCCACTCTCAATTATTTTGTCTGATTGACTACAAACGACAAATTTACTATTTTTACTTTTTATATTAATAAAGTGTATATAAATTATGTTTCTTATTTAATAAATAAGTAACCATGAAACCATTTCCATGAAATGTTACTAACTAGGACTACTAATTAAAGTACTAAAACATAGTTTGTCTACTAATTAAAGTACTAATCCGATATTAAGTGATTTTAATCATAGTGTAACCAAACAATTGATTTAATGCATTCCTTGTTTTAAAATACTAATTGATATCAAACTTAGATACAGTTATTAGCTTATTCTATGATTTTTCATGTTTAGATATTTATTTTTGCATATTAATTCATTGTAATTGTTCAAAAAATACTAGTAATGACTAATGACACATGTAAACGTTTGTTAGTCTGATTTGATACCAATTTTGTGGCCTGAGAAATCTGAAGGTCATAAGAATCTAGATATTGCCTTGGAACAATATACTTCTTACTTTGTCAACACAGCAAAAGATTGACTTTAACAATAACCAAAGTTGAAAAATGGTCAATAACCAAAATTATTATTTTTGTCTAAATAAGGAACTTAATTAATCTTTTAATTAAAGTTCAGTGAACCTACACTAGATATGGGCTTGTGTGTGTGTATATGTGTATATATATGTATATACAGACCAAGAAGAAACATTATAAGAGATATACAATTATTAAAAATAGGATCGGTCTAATTAGAAAGACAATGCTGGTCTTACCCATCTTCTTGTCGTTAGGATTTGTCTTTCTCCCTATTTTGATTCACTATATCTCAATATCTAAACAAGATGAAACAAAAGATCATCACTCATCGTTAAATGGTAGCATGGGATGGCCTTTCATTGGAGAAACCCTTTCTTTCTTCAAACCTCATAGATCAGACTCCATTGGCACATTCTTGCAACAACGTGTTTCACGGTAATGATGACCTCTTTTCTTTACTCGACTACCATCTTCGAATATATATAAAATGTCCCGAAAAATATAGATAATATATATGTAATTCACAGGAAAATATCTGAATTTTCGCATATACAAAAATCTCATTTTTCGACTATTTTTGTTGTTGCTGATATATGTAAATCTAGTAAAATGAATTATTTAACATTTTCAAAAGAAAATTAGTCAAGAGAAAACTAGAAACGTTTTTATTTTGTAAATCTATATTGACAGTAATACAACCTGATACTTCCTTGTATGTACTTCACGTCTTCACCTAAAACTGAAGATAATTTTAAAATTGTGAATGTGAATTTTTCAGGTATGGGAAAGTGTTCAAGTCAAATATATGTGGTGGAAAAGCCATAGTCTCATGTGACAAAGAACTCAATATGTTCATACTTCAAAACGAAGGGAAGTTATTTACGTCGGACTATCCAAAAGCTATGCATGACATTCTCGGCGAATATTCCCTTCTATTAGCCACCGGTGAAATTCACAGGAAACTAAAAAATGTTATCATTAGTTTCATCAATCTCACAAAGTCGAAACCCGGCTTTCTTCGCTGCGCAGAGAACCTCTCTATATCGATGCTAGAGTCATGGAAAAATTGCCGAGAAATCGAATTCCATAAAGAAGTTAAAATGGTAATTAACTTCGAGTCCTTATAAAACTTTAATTTAGACGATATTTTTCCACTATTGATATCTTACTTGTGGTTGAATCATACAGTTTACTCTTAGTGTTATGGTAAACCAACTCTTGAGCATCAAACCAGAAGACCCAGCAAGACGTTACGTATTGCAAGATTTTTTATCTTATATGAAAGGGTTTATATCGTTACCAATACCGCTTCCAGGAACGGCTTATACGAACGCAATTAAGGTTAGATTCAATCCTAATACATTAAATTTCCTAAGACAACAAAAAAAGTTGAGCTCTCAATTGAATTTTTATTTCTTGGCGCATTTTTAATGTAAAATCTGGGCCATTTTATAAGAATTACGTATATTCACTTTTTAGGGTTATGCACTTTTGTGTGTGTGTGTGTGTGTTAGAAGCTATATTCACTTGCGCCAGACGTTATTGATTGTACTGTTTACATTTAGACACGTTTATATATGTGAATACATAGCATATATACATATAGTTATAAATCATTTTCAATGTTTGCTAGGCTAGGAAGAGATTGTCCGCGAGGGTAATGGAGATGATAAAACAAAGAGAACATGAAGAAGAAGAAATGAAGAAGGCAGTAAGAGAAGAAGATTTTCTAGATGTGATAATGTCAAATGAAGATCTAAACTATGAAGAGAAAGTTAGCGTTGTATTGGACATTTTGCTTGGAGGCTTTGAAACGAGTGCTACTCTTCTTTCCTTAGTTGTCTATTTTCTTGCAAAATCTCCAAATGTTCTTCAAAAACTCAAGGTTTAGTTCTTCTCATCTCTTTTCTCTTAATTTATATGTACGTGATCTGTAGATATAAGATATATCTACATGTATAGTTTATCCATGTTAATGTGTACAGGAAGAACATGAAGCCATTAGAGTTAAGAAAGGAAATGAAAAATTCATGAATTGGGAAGATTATCAGAAGATGGAATTCACGCAATGTGTATGGTTCACACCGATCACTTCAGTTGTTTGCTACTCTTTCTTTTTTTTTTTGCAAAATGTTTTTACCTTTATATATATATATATATATATATACATTTACATCATAAAACTAATTGGGTCAAATTTACAGGTGATGTCTGAAGCATTGCGATGTGGAAATATTGTCAAGACGGTACACAGAAAAGCTACCTCTGATATTAAGTTCAAAGGTTTATTAATTTTCATCATCACAACTAAAACTTTTTGCTATTTAAAAGAAAATATAAAATTGAACGAATGTTTTTTTTTTAATATGTTTGATTTGCAGAATATGCGATTCCAAAGGGATGGAAGGTGTTTCCGATCTTCACAGCAGTACATCTTGATCCATCTCTCCATGAAAATCCTTATGAATTTAATCCCATGAGATGGACCGTAAGTAAATTATTTAAACATGGATACATTCATATGGTAAAAATTTGAATATGAAACTAATTTTGTTTTTGAAAATTATAAAAATAGGACAAGGGGAAGATGAACAAGAAAACGACGGCGTTTGGAGGAGGAGTAAGGGTATGTCCTGGTGGTGAACTTGGAAAACTCCAAATTGCTTTCTTTCTTCATCATCTTGTCCTCTCTTATAGGTTTGTCTCCATCTAAATCACTCTCTTTAGTTGATTACTACTTAATTAAACTCTACCTTACTCGACATAATCATCTATTAAATGTTGGTTTGTTTTTGTCATAGTTAGATATGTATTATACCGTTAAGTTCCGAAAAATATCATCATTAACTTGTCTTTTTCATTGGTTCAGTAATTTTATCTGTTTGAAAACATGTGTGTTCTTTATCGTGTATTCAGAGTTGATGTTAATGTTTCAATACGAATTGTTTATTGACCAGTTTGACGAAAAATCTACTTAATTACGCATTTATAAACTCACGAATTTTATGTATTGGTGTAGGTGGAAAATAAAGTCAGATGAAATGCCAATAGCGCATCCTTATGTGGAGTTTAAGAGAGACATGCTTTTGGAGATGTACCCCAGCAACAAGTTATATCCATGAGAACTAGCTCTGCTATTATAAGAATACAAAACTGATTTAACTTTCAGAAAATAAAAATTCAACAATATTGATACAATACTACTATACTTCAATTTTTTTATCAAAAAAAAAAAAAACATTGTACTTAAATAAATTGCTTCCGTTATTCCCCAAGTTCTATCTCTAGTCACAGAGTTGTGTACGTATATCGATTAGTTTCGTGATGGAATTTGAAATAAAATGAGTATTTGCCTTTGTATATTGTATATTTTCTATTTGGGTTGCCTGCACGTTAATAGTTTTGCCCAAAAAACTATCTAAGCTATGTTACTATTTCGATCTTTTTTCTTTTTTTTTTTCAACTTTCGGTTTTAAATTATATCCCATGATCTTTGTATAAATACAATTAAAGATATAAATTCTTATACACCTATTGAGACTGTAAGCTAAAACAGTGTGGATTTCAACTACTATCCATCCAATTATATAATTTTATTTTTACTTTTTTCGTGAAAAGGTTACAAACCAGGCACATAACCAAATAGTATAATTAGAAACAAAGGATCATAACTGTAGTCTCTTTACACGGAATCGAATTATATTTGGCGTTTTTTTTTCAGCCTCCTTTACATAACAACTCTAGGAAGAGATAATTTAGAGGTGAAGTTATCATTTCGACCTTGGAAAGATCTGTCGAAAACATACTTATTGTTCAGAGAAGAAGGATTAACTTGCATGAAAAGGTAATTACCAGCAAAGAGATCACCAAAATGTGATTGACTCTCCTTCAACCTCTTCAATAACTTTAAAATTCCAATCTTAACCCTACTTGCTTTCTTCCTCACAAATCCCCTAAGTCTCCGGATCTTAACTCTAACCCTAATCCTTCTTCTCCCTCCCAATGACACCACTCTCTTGAACCTATACAACAAAGTCTCTCGTTAAACAATAATATAAGATTATAGAACTGTGATGAAGATGATTATGTACATATTCATTAATAAATATAAAAATCCGGAGCTTGTACTGTGTGAGTACATGCACCATTAGCATTCCTACAAATATAAACAGTCCGAACCTGTACGAATATGATGAAGATCTTCTTGTTGTTTCGCCGTAGACATCATTATTTAGAGAAAGCCTCTTGTAGGGGAGATTGATGATTTTGGGAGAGGAAGCCATGGAAATTGGATTAAAAAATGGTACTTTCGAGTTGTTTCCAATAGATTTATTTGAGAAATGTATTTCATCTGTTAATTATATGAGTTGTCATTATTGTTTCAATGTGTATGGTTGGTGGGTCGATTTATTTGAAGTAGTTAGGTGTGTGTATGTATTTATTGCGATACCTTAATTTAATTTTGCAAAGATTTTAATATATTATTATTTTTTTCAGTTTATGCCCTGCAATAAATGGTTTTTTTAATATCTTATTTAAAGAAGGGAATAATGTGTGAGAATATATCATATAGTATGATTTTGTAATCTTTCATATGTAGATTAATTCGAATCTAATCCCACTGACTTTTAAAACTACAATATGAAATTCGGTCTAAGAACTCAGTTACAACACACATAGTTTCGTATTTTTATAGTGTAAGTTGGATTAAGATGGAACTTTCGAAATTTTCTTTGTTACGTACAAAGGTTAGTTGGATTGATCTGATGTATAATCACATCTTTTAAGACAGCATGTGATTTATTCACTATATAGCCAAACACGGAGGCTCATCATGTGAAAGAAAAAGTAGGTTCCTAACTATTGTCTACTCTCCTCTAGACATTACATACATCTCTTTTGATTTTCTAAATTTTCAAATAACCAATTTTTTTAAGAATCAAATATATTAAGGGGAAAAAAATAACACATTGATAACAACATTTTTACTGCAAGCAAAGAAGAAAGAAAGAAGTCAAAGATTTTGGAACAAGATCAAATTAGGAAAGTGAATCAACGAACAAACTAACACGTGAACTTTTCTTTTTTACAGAAAGATCTGATCTTTCTCGGAGAAACCTCAGTGATTAGATCAAACTAATTTTCCGAAAGAAGTTGTAAGAAGATGAACAAGAGAAGAAGGGTTGTCGATCTGGTCTACTCGTTAGTAGAGCTTTATTCTTGTCTGGATTGGTGCACGGCAAATCGGACACATTTGGAGATCCGGTCCACACTCGCAACAAGTCTTGTATCAAAACATAAACCAAGTTAGATCGATGTTTCCATCCATTAACTAGAGAAGAAGAAGATGATTGTAATTGTCTTTTTGTAGGATTTACCTGATGGCCACAACCAAAGGCCATGTCTTTCGGGTTGCTCAGACATATCGGACATAGCTGTTCCAGAGAACCAAGAACATGAAGTTTCGAACTTTTAAAATAACATTTGATATAGATTTTGAAATTATCTTTCAGGTTTTGAAAGTACATACCTGGTTATCTGAAGCAGAGGTTGTAGCGGGTGGCGCAGGACTTGACCTTACGGGATAGCTTTCAGTTGGATAAGGTGGTACGCTCGGTTTGAAACTTGGAACACGTGAAGCCTTTGGCTTGTTGTAAGACGATGATCCACCATGGACTGGAGGTGGAAGAGGGAATCGTTCCGGGATATTCCCATTTCTTCTTCTGCAAAAATAAAAGTTTAAAGAGCAAGAAAAAGGTCAGAGTTTTGCGGGTAAACATTGAAGCCAAATTGATGAAGATTATGGTTGGTGATTTACCCTAAAAGGTTAAGCTCTATTGTCGCCTTGTATTGTTGAGGAATCTCCATGAGAGCAGAAAGAGCAAACTCTGTTTCCTTCAAGGACTGAGCTTTATTCTTCGACATGATCTCTGTGAAGTTCACGAACTAGAAACAGAGGATCGTATCAAAATATTGGAAACAACCAAACTTTGATGTTTTTAAGCACACAAGTAACTTACTTGGAAGTTATCAAAAGCTCGAGCCGGGATATTATCGTCAAATTCCCTCATCATGTCCCACGGTCCATCCCCGACCCCGACCAAGACGATTGATAAAGGAAGCTTACTGCCGTTGACAAAGAAAACAAGTCATAAAACCAGCCACAAAGAGGGATAACCTCGAAAACAAATTGAAAATATCAGACAATGTTCCAACCTCGCTTGCACGATAGCATCCACGGTCTTCTGTTCTTGCGGACTTAGTTGTCCATTTTCAGTGTCAACGCTTCTTGTAACCTGAAATAGTCAATTGAGGTTTATTCTCTTGACACAAAAACAGAGGATCATAACAGTATTGTTCGTACCTGCCCATCTGCTATTATCACTAGGACGTGATATTGGCCACCACTCTGCTCAACAATTGTCATGGCCATATCGATGATCGGAGCAAACGAGGTGGGCCCTGAAACACGTTCGATATTTTCACAAACATGGTTTTAGAGCTTGGCTAATGTTTCATGAGACTGCGGCCAAATAATGGAAAGAAATAAACCTGCGAGCTTAAGCTGAGGCACGATCTCTTTATACCGACCAAGTACTTCCTCAAATCCATTACAGAACCTATCCTCTTGATTGAAACTAAACACATCTTGATCATGTGTTGACGCATCTCCGAAACCATAACATGGAATCAAGTTGTCCTCGTCAAAGGCGGCTAAGGTTCTTCCTATTATAGTTATAGCTTGTTCATAAGGATTGGGACTACTGCCTATGAAATGTAAGCTTTTCCTATTGAAGGACCTAGCCCCTGTTATCAACAACAAGAAGAAAAATGTCAGGTTCCGAGGTGAAACCATTCGACGCATTACACCAAAGACAGAATCTTGAATCTCACCAACCTGTCCACTCGTTGCTCTTAGTGAAATCAATACCAACGATGAGATTTGAAGATTCTAGACCCGCACGTGCAAGAGCCTCTGTCACCTAAATGAGATTGATCACAATGTGAAGCAAGGCCACTATAATCTACGGCTTTCAAGTTTTGTAATCATAAAAAAAAACACTCTAGATTCCGCTAAAAACCAAATAGAGATTCAGCTCACCTGCTCCAAAGAAGAGTAATCATCGGAAATTTTTGAGTACTTCCGTTCCAACCTCTTCTTATCACTGCCATAACTTTGAGAAGGCGGCTGAGAATAAGGCTGAGTACTGTATGAAGGTGTAGGAGGCTGTGCATACTCGGGAGGTGGAGCATATGAAGGTGTAGGAGGATAGTTATAGCTCTCTGGACCATATTGAGGATAGCTTTGATGAGAAGCCCATGCAGATGAAGATGGTGATGCTGATGAATCTGGAGCCGACCTAAACGATGATGGAGACTCCTGTCTCCAGTTCCCCTTTGAATTCCCTGTTCCCATCAAACTTATGACTAAACCCAATTCAAGTAACTGCAAACAAAAGATTCAGAAAGATTTGGCATTTAGAATTATATTAATGAAATCTTAGAAAAAGATATGCAGAAACTTAAGTTAAGATTTTTGACATAAATCCGCTAGAAGATGCAGTTACCTAACTCGTGAAAAGGCGAAAGCTTATCTTGGAAAGATGTTGAATTTTCTCACCGCTTACGAAATAGCTTTTAAATCGAAGGTTGGTGGTCTTTTTATAAAGAAAGGAGATTCATTCAATTACGTAATGTAAATTTCGTCAGAGACTCGGCAAAACAAAACGCGATTTAGTGACTTCTAGATAAAGATAAAGTCTTTTTAACAAAACCTACTGCAATACTCTAAACCCGAAATTAGCAAAACCCAGTTTTCTGACAAATCTACGAGCGTTCCAATTAGATTTTATTCCCGAATTGAACCTAAACATCTTCGATTGAATCAAACCAAAACACTGACCCAAAAGGAAACTGTACATAGATTTGAGGCTGAATCTGCCGACATTCGGCGGAAAAGGATTACATTAATCACTCATTTCGATCGAGGAGTGTGATAGATAAGAAAAATTGTCTACCTTTAAACTTGACGAAGAAGATGAGTAAGGAATAGGAATGACGAATCACAGAAGTCTTTGAGAGAGTGAAGAAGCTTCAATGGCGGATCGAATCCTGCAGAGTTCGCCTTAAAAGTTTTCCCTTTTGTTCGAAAGCAATTTCACTTTCTTCTCTGTTGTCTCGGTTTGTTTCTTCTATCAAATCATTAAGAGAATAATCACTTTCTCTTAAAAAAAGTGTGAAGCACGCTCATGGTGAAAACTTCTAATTTTGCCCCATATATTATTCACTTTTCCCACAATTGGCCTTTTAAAATATTATAGGTTTACAAAGTCCAAAGACTTAAAGAAGCCTAAAAACTCAGAAATACAATGACAATTTCGTCGAGTACTTTGTTTTGGTCAACTTTCTCCGAGTACGTTAAATTCTTATATTACAGATAAGGTTTTGACCCATTATAAAAAAAACAGAATTACAAATAGGTTAAAATTAAAACGAGATTAAATTATTGGTTTTGGAGTGGGAAATAATCAAATACTATAAAATATGTTGTTGTGATTATCGATAATTAGGATCGAACCACTCAGAACTGTAATCACAATAAGAAAATTTTGATTTATGAAAAAGAGCAGCACTGCTGAAGTTTTGTTCCTTGTTTTATTTTATACTATGATTTGGAAATTAAAGGTTATAATATTAACATCTGCAATAAATTTCTTTGGCCATTTGGGAAAAAAATGGATGGTTATCAGAAGTTTCCGTCCACGTGACTGAAGTGCCAATCCTATCTAGTAATCTATCTTCAATATTTTTCCTTCGTCGTGCGGTTAAAAGTTGTCGCTGTGTATTGCTCTTTCCTTTTCGGTATGCTTACGTACCTTATTATAGAATAAGAATAATAAGAAACTGACCTACGATTTATTTCTCCATTCGTTTTTTTTGTGGTCATGGGATCTTGAAAATGTTTGTATAATAATCAATTAAATTGTCTAATTAATTTCAACATAACACTTTTTTGTTTTCTTCGGAGAGCAGACACGACACGTGGAAATTAAATGGAGTTACTTCAATTTATGAAACTTCATTTAAGTGAATTATGCAACTCCTTTTTTTTTTCTTTTTTTCTTGGACCGTTATTTCAAGGAGCTAGCAAGATGTACGTGGGACTGCACTATGTAACCAAATATACTAATTAGGGAATAAAACTAAAAATTCAAACCCGAACCATTAGTTGGCTGAACCTATATAACATGTGAAACAAAGGGACGCACCGGTCCAATACGACTTATTAACACTAATGGTTTATGTTTGTTACTCCCGTCGTTACATTATATATACTGTCGGCAAAACAAAAACAAAAAGATCCAATCTAGTTAGTAAAGTAGGCATAGTTTTTTTTACAATAGCTAGTATAGTGACTATAATCTCTTAAAAATAGAGTAGGAGTGTAACCGAGTTGAAAAAGGCAATCTAATGATGATTTAACATCTTCTGCATATTAACGTTTTTTTTTAATGTTTCATAAAAAAAAAAAAATGTTACAAGAATTGAGTTCATAAAACAAATATAAAAGCCAGACGACAAAAAAAACACTAAAATGGAAAAGCCCAATATTCTGCAGTTTAGGTACATATAGTCCTTAATACAGGCCCATAAATTTTAACCGCGTGTTTTTAGTTAAGAAGGAGCGTAGAAACATTCCAAGTCCTTGTCACAGAGGATCACAGCTACCAAATATTCCCTTGCGCATAAAATCCGACACTGGTCATTTTCGTCTTCTTCGACCTCGCGGGAATCTACTGTACATCACACACACTCCACACTCTAATCCTTCTCTTGACCGGCAGCTGATTTCCGGGTCCTCAGTATCGGGTCAGATCTGGATCCGGATCCGGAGTCACTGACTATGAAGCACTTCAGAAGCGAGCGAGTCCGTGCGACCCCGAAGCTCTTCACCTACGTCCTCGTCGGTTTCATCGCTCTTCTCGGCTTGACTTGCCTCTACTACGGCTCCTCGTTCGCTCCCGGATCCAGAAAGTCCGACGAGTTCGATGGATCTATCCGCTCTCGCACTGGATTCGCGAAGAATCGAGAAGGTGCGCTTGGAGTGAGCCGTTTCGAAGTTCCCAAAAGCGTCCCGGTTCGTGTTCACGCATTGATCATGTTGTTCTTAGATAGATTGAGTAAATATTTCCCGATTGGTAGTGTATAAGTGAAATTTTGTGCAGATTATCTCCTTCTTCCACTAATTAGTCTCTCGATTTAGTGAGCTTCGTAGATTTTTAAGTTTCTATTGTAGTAGTCGTTCTCATTGTTCTCTCGTATTGATCCTGCTTGATGTTTGCTATCTTCCACAGATATGTGATTCGAAACACTCGGAGCTTATACCGTGTTTGGATAGAAATCTTCACTACCAGCTGAAACTGAAACTCAATTTAACCTTGATGGAGCACTATGAACGCCATTGCCCTCCACCAGAACGGCGTTTCAATTGCCTTGTTCCGCCTCCATCTGGTTATAAGGTCGGGCCTCTGTGTCTTTTCTCTTGTATTGATTTTTTTTTTTTTTAGCATTCGTGAATATGTTATGGCTGTGGTGTTAGTGGATGATGATGATGTTTGTTTATGGAGTTCTTAGATCCCGTTGAAGTGGCCGGTGAGTAGAGACGAGGTGTGGAAGGCAAATATCCCGCACACACATCTTGCGCAAGAGAAGTCTGATCAGAATTGGATGGTTGTAAATGGTGATAAGATCAATTTCCCGGGAGGAGGAACACATTTCCACAACGGAGCTGACAAATACATTGTTTCCCTTGCTCAGGTACAATTATCATCTTTTGGTACTTCTTGGCTTTATCGAATCTCAAGCGCAGAGAGCCGATTCTTTTTCTCTTGATTTTGGTTACCAAAGTTGCATTACCGAGCATTAGTTATATGGTAGAAGCATATAGCACTATACTGGATGGACCAAAAGGAGTATTAGGTTGTCTATTATCGCAAATTTTGATCTTGAATTTGCGGGATTTTCTATACTAGGGAGTGTATAGCTCTGCCATTAACAGGAGGTTTTGGCTATGTTTTTTTTCCTTTCAAGTTCTTCTTTCAGATGACATTAAAAACTGCTTATTGCTTTAGATGCTGAAATTTCCTGGCGACAAACTCAACAATGGGGGAAGCATTCGGAATGTTCTTGATGTTGGTTGTGGGGTAGCTAGCTTTGGAGCTTATCTTCTCTCACATGACATCATAGCCATGTCCCTAGCTCCTAATGATGTCCACCAGAACCAGATCCAATTTGCTCTAGAACGGGGGATTCCATCAACACTTGGTGTTCTTGGGACTAAGCGGCTCCCATACCCAAGCAGATCATTTGAACTTGCTCACTGCTCTAGATGTCGAATAGACTGGCTTCAAAGAGATGGGATCTTGTTGCTGGAGCTTGATAGGTTGCTCAGACCTGGTGGCTACTTTGTATACTCGTCACCTGAAGCTTACGCACATGACCCAGAAAACAGAAGGATTGGGAATGCAATGCATGATCTTTTCAAGAGAATGTGCTGGAAGGTCGTGGCCAAACGAGAACAATCTGTTATATGGGGAAAACCGATATCCAACAGCTGTTACCTGAAAAGGGGTACGAGTGTCCAGCCTCCGCTTTGTCCTTCTGGAGATGACCCAGATGCAACTTGGAACGTCTCGATGAAGGCTTGCATATCACCTTACTCAGCGAGTAAGTGTATTATATCTTATTACTGCTTATACAGTATCAAGTTTCATGAAGTTTGGTATTCATTCCATATTTGTTATATTTTCCCAGGGATGCATAAAGAGAGATGGAGTGGACTTGCTCCCTGGCCACGGAGGCTTACAGCTCCTCCACCACGTCTTGAAGAAGTCGGTGTCACTCCCGAGCAATTCCGTGAAGATACGGTAACTTTTCTCGCCCTGCATCAAACGCTCTGTTTCAGTAATTCAGTTTCTAGGAGCTACGATTTCAAAAAGGTGCAACGCCTGTCTACGTCCAAACGCTTGTGTACTGCTCGCTAAAATATGTGTTACTGCAGGAAACATGGCGGCTTAGAGTGATGGAATACTGGAAACTGCTTAAACCAATGGTGCAAAAGAACTCCATAAGAAACGTGATGGACATGAGCTCAAACCTCGGCGGTTTTGCAGCTGCTCTAAACGATAAAGATGTATGGGTAATGAACGTTATACCCGTTCAATCCTCTCCGAGGATGAAGATCATCTACGACCGTGGCCTAATAGGAGCCACTCATGACTGGTACGTACATGTTTAGAACTCGAAATATTGTGCATCACCAGATAATGTTTTCTTGAGGTTTTGTTTTGCTTAATGATCTCTGTAGGTGTGAAGCCTTCTCCACATACCCACGGACATTTGATCTTATCCACGCATGGAACACATTCACAGAAACCGAAGCACGTGGATGCAGCATCGAAGATCTTCTAATCGAGATGGATCGGATACTACGACCAGAAGGATTTGTCATAATTCGTGACACATCAGACAATATTAACTACATCAAGAAGTATCTGACACTGTTGAAATGGGACAAATGGTTCACAGAGACAACTCCAAAAGGTGATTCTCTGTCGACCAAAGACGAGAGAGTTTTGATCGCCCGGAAGAAACTTTGGAGCGTGACGGCCATTTCGGAGTTGTGAAAGCAGATTGTAATGTCATTTCTCGGATCTGATAGGCGACGGATGAGTGAAAGAGTTTTTCAGCATCAAGAGGCGTAGCTGAGGAAAATTCTCGGTCGGCTTTTTTTAAAGTAAGAAATGGAGAACTGTAAATTACACTACACTCACAGGTAGTTATGATGCATTTGTTGTAGGAAAACTGAAATAGCTTCTTATTTGCGATTTTCATGCCCGATTATAAATTATTTCTGTTGCGTGAATCTTTAAAAAGTTTGCTTCGTGAATGTATATGCTTGAATCAATGACCAATTACGCTTAAAATGGCCAAAGTAAATTACCATTGAATAATAGAAAGGAACCTTTCACCAATACTTGTATCAAAACTGAGCCCATAAATCGAAATAGAGTAAGTACGAAGTGAAATACAAGGCAGGATGAACAAAAGAGAGATCAGATAAGGACTTATGACGATGTTGTGTTGACATTCTTCTTCTTCTTCTTGTTCTTTTTCTTCTTCGAAGGAAGGCCATTGGAACTGAGCTCTTCAGATTTCCTCTTTTTACTGCTGGGTACACACAAATATTAGTATCCATTAAACTCCTCAGTAGTTACCAATAAATTAACAGACATGAAATTTCATGGTACCTTGCAGGAGTCTCATCGGAACCATTATTGCCATCTTCATCAACTTCATCTATTATGCAGTCATCCAAACTATTCTTCTCACCTTCATCGACTTCGCCTATTTTGCAGGTTTTAAAAATCAAAAACTCCAACTTGAGATTCAAAGTAATAGCCATGCATGAGAAGATATACAAGTGAACAAACCTATTGGCTCTTCTTCCCCATCCTTTTCCTCTTCCGAGTCTGAATCTGATCCCCATCGATCTCCTCCATCATCAAAGTCCCACCTCTCTCCATCTGGTGGCATCCAAAAGTCCAGCTCCTGCGCCTCAACATCTTCATCAATTTCATCTTCGACTCCATCAGATTCATCTTCTCCATTCTTTTCCATTTCATCTGAATTCCTGTTTTTCTTCTTCTTCTTCTTTTTATTCTTCTGCTTTTCTTCCTTTACCCCATTTTCCTTCACCGGCGTTACTCCACCTTCCTCTGGAATAGATCCAGACTCTTTCTCTCGTTCCTTCTCCTCTGTCATATAAGTAACAATCCCACCGTTAAACTACAAAAAAAATGAATATCTTGCGCAAACAAGTTCTGCAACAAAACGGAGTCTCATCAAGCTTCAAATTACAGACCTAATTTGTTGAGGAAGCGCCGTCCATTGATATGCTTCCAAATATGTTCCTCAGTCTTGTTTACTTTATCACCCGTAAGCTTACATAGCACTTTTGATCTGACAGAGAAAAAGGCCAAAAAACCAAATTCAACAAAAATATATATTCTGAAACAGAATTTTCTCAACGATTGGACTTAAAGAAACAAACATTTCAGGTCCTTTCTAGTGTTAAAGTACATGAAATTTCCAACTTAAGCCACAAGCCTACAAAACCCTAAACCCTAACATACAGAAAGGTGAAAAGTCCCGAGAAGAAAAATTTCAGGATGTCTCCGGTATCTAGAACCCTAATTCAAAACGCAATCAATCAAAGCTGAAATATCTACTGTTATAGTCTTTACTAATTAACGAAATCGAAGAGTTTTCGGGAGAGAGGGAAGGGAACTATAGATTACCGGGAGCTGGGATCTTGCTCGAACAAGTTAAGAGGAGGCTTGTTGTGGGTTAAGGCATGATCGATAAGCCCTAAACGGCACCGTTTACTATGTGAATAGACCTCCTTGTCTTTCTCGAGTAGCTCGTGGCCAGTCTGCACGCATCTGAACCTCCCGTTCTCGAGTTTCTTATACTTCGGCTTCCCCAATAGGTTGGTGCCTTCCTTCGTCGGCGTCGTCATCTCTTCCGCTGTAGCCGCCATTGATGTGCAATTTCTTAGAGAGCTGGGTTCACTGAAGGGGTAAATAATGACACGACGAGGTGTTACTGTAATCTGTTTCATACAAGAAACGACTTGCCGTTTTGCTGTTCCTAAGATCAGTTGCGCGTCGTTTAATAATTTGGGCTTATCAAAGTCCAGACAATATATGGGCTTATTGATCATAATATCAGGCTAAATAAGAGAAAAGACGAAGACACAAGAACATTTACAACACGTTCCTCGTACATTTGGGCCATTTGGCAACTGAAAAACAAAGTTTTTTTGTTTGTTCCATCTCAAGATAAATCAAGTTATTCGGCTGAACATCAGAAAATTAAAGAACAAGAAAAAAAATGTTCAAAGCAAAAAATAGAAAAAGATCACTGAAAATTTAGAACATTTGCTATTTTTCTTTTCTAATATATGGGTAATTTAGTTGATAATTTTTTTAATTTGTCATATATTGGTTAATTTTCTGGATTAATCAAGTCGTGAAAATATTTATGCTTTTTAGGTAAATTGTGACTATGACTGAAAGGTACCGACAATGATAACCGTTATCGCCTTTTCTGGGTTCTAACAAGAACACAGCTCATCACTGTTGAACTGTGGTCCGGTCCAACTCTCAAGACACAATATCCCTTTTCTTCTGTTTTTTAGTTGTGTAATTCTCAGAAGAAGAAAAAACCCTTTTTACCTCGAACCCATTTTCAGAAAATATCTAAAATGAAAGCCTTTTCCTCTGTTTTTTGGTTGTGTAATTTTCAGAAGAAGAAAAAACCCTTTTTACCTCGAACCCATTTTCAGAAAAAAATCTAAAAAAGAAAGCCTTGTATTATATAGAGCCAGTGGAGTGAGAGACAGGGTGTGAAGTGCCATTACCATCACTCCCTCTCTTTCTCTCTTTAACTGATTCACTCTGGTTTTTACTTGCTCACAATGAAGAATGATCTCCAAAGGGCAAGACTTATGGTACCTTCTGCTGTGTTTCCATGGCTTCTTCTGTGCCTCCTAACACTATCAACAGCTGTTTCAGTTAAGCAGAAGTGTATTTTTCCGGCGATTTACAACTTCGGAGATTCTAATTCCGACACTGGAGGAATCTCCGCCGCTTTCGAGCCCATTAGAGCTCCTTACGGTCAAGGTTTCTTCCACAAACCTACCGGACGAGACTCCGATGGTCGTCTCACCATTGATTTCATAGGTAAAAGTTTGCAAAGAAACAAGCTTCAAAAAATAAACTTTGATTCAATGATCTCAGAAGTGACTTTTGATTTGTGATTCGTGGTTTGTAGCTGAGCGTGTGGGTTTACCGTATTTGAGCGCATACCTGAACTCACTAGGATCAAACTTCAGACATGGGGCAAACTTTGCAACAGGTGGATCAACCATAAGAAGACAGAACGAAACCATCTTCCAATATGGAATCAGCCCATTCTCTCTCGATATGCAGATTGCTCAATTTAATCAATTCAAAGCAAGATCTGCAGAATTGTTCACACAGAGTCGGTTCCTTTTCTTCTGTTATATCTTTCAAGTTTCTCCTGCCCTATGATGATTTTAACCTGTATGTTTGGATATTTCTGTTACGAATACAGCTAAGAGTAGATATGAGAGAGAGAAGCTTCCAAGACAAGACGAGTTTGCAAAGGCTTTGTATACTTTTGATATTGGACAGAATGATCTCTCTGTTGGGTTTAGGACAATGAGCTTCGATCAACTTAAGGCGACGATACCGGACATTGTCAGCCATTTAGTTTCTGCTATCCGGGTGAGATTTGTTTGCGGGTCCCTAAAAGATCTATGCAATGTTCTCTCCGCCTTTGATTTGCTTCTGATTTGCTACGCTTTATGATTGGTCACAGAACATATATCAGCAAGGAGGAAGAACATTCTGGGTACACAACACGGGTCCTTTCGGTTGTTTACCCGTAAACATGTTTTACATGGGCACTCCTGCCCCGGGCTACTTGGACAAATCCGGCTGTGTGAAGTCTCAGAACGAAATGGCGATGGAGTTCAACAGAAAGCTCAAGGAATCAGTCATCGGTCTCAGAAAAGAACTCACCAAAGCCGCCATCACTTATGTTGATGTCTATGCTGCAAAATACGAAATGATGCTCAACCCCAAGAAACTAGGTTACAGCAACCCTGTTCAATTTGTTGTAACGTACATATTTTGTAGAAAGTTGTGAAATTTTGATCTTGTTTTTTGCAGGATTTGCAAACCCATTGAAGGTATGTTGCGGCTACCATGAGAAGTATGATCATATCTGGTGCGGAAACAAAGGGAAAGTGAACAATACCGAAATCTACGGTGGCGTATGTCGCAACCCGGCAACGGCTGTGAGCTGGGATGGAGTTCACTATACCGAAGCTGCAAACAAGCATGTGGCTGACCGTACCCTTGCCGGATTGCTCACAGATCCTCCAGTTCCAATCACTCAAGCTTGTTATAGGCAGTGATACTTAGTAGAAAAGCTTGATGAACCGAAATGTACTTTGAACCAAAATAAAAAAATTCGGGTTTTAAATAGACTCTTGGGAAATAATATAAGCGTTTAAGGAAAAAACAATGATCTATGTAAGCCTGTATAATCTTTAGAGTTGTTTGTCGCCAAGAATCCACCATTACTGGACTTCTATGGAAGCGTCCAGCAAAGCGCAAGTCGTTTTCTTCTAGAAGTAGTTTTTAGTAATTGCTGCTTCTAACTCATTGAATTCCCAAGCGTCGTTAGCAGAATATTCTCCTGAACTCCGAGAAGAAAATGGTTAGAGACTTAGAGTGAATCAAACTTATATAGAAAAACCAAACTGTTAAACGGACTTATGGACGAACGTACCGATTGAATCTCGCCGGAGAGCAGTGAGGTGAGCACAACTGCAGCAAAAGGAATGATATTTAATAGAAACTTCGTTTCTTTGGATCTGTTAGTAATTCAAGGTGAAAAGAAAAGAAGTTTTCACCTTCCAAGAGCTTTAGCAAGATCTGCACAGAGGGATCTTATGTATGTACCCTTGGAGCATACAACCCGAAAAATAAGATTTTGTCTGCAAAAAGAGAATCAAGAGATCTTCAGTGAAACCTACCAAAGAACATTGTTTTCAAATTGCTTATGCACTTCACAGAAATTAGATAAAACCTGTCATCCAAACTGCGTTCAATGTCAAACTGGAAAATTGAGATTCGTCTGGGAGAAAGCTCTACGGTTTCTCCTCTTCTTGCCTTATCGTACATCTTCTCACCTCCAACCTAAACAGAAATTACAGTTAAAAGCTAGGAAAGAACGTAATCCACATCAAGGCACGGTTTTAAGATTGAACAATGCTTACTTTTATCGCAGAGAACATTGGAGGAACTTGCCATATCTCTCCAAGAAATGATGTCAAAGCTTTCTTAATATCATCATCTTTAATATGCTCCCAAGGTTCTCGCTGAATCACCTGTAGCAATAGTACGGTTGAGCAAACACTAACGAGAGTCATCAAGAACTAATGAAGAAATGAACCATAAAAGCAACGAAAAGGGGTCATTGGAGTTACAGGAGAGTCGGCGTCTAAAGTTGAAGTTGCTTCACCAAGACGAAAAACTCCACTATAACCTTTGATCATACCTTGGTATCTGCAGATACAGAGGAGTTTTTATATTTCCTTTCTGTAAATCATCATAGATAACAAAAAAAAAGCAAGCATAAACTTTGGACTGAGTTATCACAAACCTGTCAACCACTTTAGTGGCTTTACCGACGCAGACGATTAATAGACCAGTAGCCATGGGATCAAGTGTCCCAGCATGACCCACCTGAGAGATACTTATAAGTTAACAAATTCAAATCTTGGATCAGACAAGGATTTAAGCAACGGACCTTTTTCACTTTGACTAATCTTCGTAGCTTACCACAGACGGTGAAGGAAGTCCATCCTGAGAACAATGCCATAACCAAGTCACATCACATTTCAAAAGGCAAAAGAAAGAGAGGGAGAGATTTTACAAAATTGCTCTCACCTTTGGGTTTGTTCACCAAAACCACCGTACCGTTGGGACCATCCCATTTAGGAGGAAGTTCACCGTTTCTCGTCACAAGGAAAGGCTCTCCATCACCGCCACTCGCCACAGCTTTCTCACTGGGGGATTTCGTCAAACACTTGAAGAACTGTTCTACTTTCTTCTCAGTGACATCCTCTTCAGGCTTCTTCTGCTTCTCCTTCGCTTCATCAAAAAACACCAACTTGTCATCATCGCCATCGTCATCCTCGTCAAAATCCTCTGCACCGATTCGTTTAACCTCGTGTCTCTTTCCACCATGTGCTATCTTCTTCTTCCCTCTAACTTTCGCGGAATCACCAGCCTTGGAAGTTTCTCCGGGTTGCAGAAACGCCTTGTCTAAGCATTGATCGGGGAAATACTTCTTCTCCAGCTGATACACCATCTTGTAATGCTTATCTTTCTCCCATGGATACGCAAAGGTATCGTAGAAATACAATTCCTCTTCTCTCTGATGCAACCTATCAAACTCCACGACTTCGGGTTTCAATTCGACGAACCCGTCATCTGATTTTCGGCTCTCGTCCTCGGAATCGGACCCGTACAGCCTCTTCCTCCTCTTGCTGTAGTATTTCCTCTTGGCCTTATCCATTTCCGGATCTCCGGAACCGGGTCGACCCTTTTCACGCTCCGACGCCAGTTTATTATCGACCCACGAATCGAAATCCGGCTTTGCTGGATCAGGGGAACCGGATTCGATAGCTCGGGCGGGTCGACGACGGTTCTGGGAGAGAGAAGACTGTGTGGGGCGATTGATGATCATGTCGTATTGAAGTGGGTACGGCGTAGATGTAGTGGAAAGGAAAAGAGGAGAAGAGAAGTAGGGTTTAAGGATGTTTCTCGGTTTGACTGAGAAAAAGAAGTGAGAGGCCACAGCCATTCTTGCTGAAGAGGACATTAGTCTGGTGAAGTGTAGAGATTTCGCCATTAATGAGAACAAGGATGGAAACTGGAGTCGGGGCGGGGAAAAGATGAATGAAATCCACCTCCGGCGATTATCGCAGTGCCACCAAACAACGGAGATGATGACGATGTTGAGTGATAAATAAAAAACGACGCGATGTTTTCTCACAAAGCTCGAAGACGGCACGTGAGGTGTGGCTCGCTTAATTGCTTGACTTATATTGATTGACTATTTCAGTTGAGTCAATTGTTGTCTTTAAGTTTTTGTTCTGTTTTAAACTTTTAATTGTCTTTGAGTTTTTGTTCCGTTTTAAAATTGTGATTGACATTCGAAGGTCGAAATTACGGTTCATGTGCTCCCATGACATTGACCAGAAGAAATCGATGGGCCTCATCTGAGTAATCATTGGCCCATTTGAATACATGGAAAAGCCTTTACGATTAAGACTGAATTTAAATGGGACATGAACCTAAAGTATTGGAATTGAAATTAACAGAATGATTTCTGTGTTTTGTTAATCTGATAAACCGAATCGGAACGAAAATACAGTAGTAATTATTTGAAGTTAATTCTCACAACAGAACTAAACCGAACAATTCCAATAATTAGGTAAAACAATTTTGAACCGAGTGGTCCTTAAACCAAAATACCCAACCACACAAGCCACATGGGGGATATTGATTAGAGATAACATATACTTTAACATACAGTATTTTTCACATCTATATCTTATTATTGAAAACATGTTAGAAAAATAAAATATTACAGCTTTGGATGATTTCCCAACCAATTGGCTCTAATTCAATAAGAGCACTAGTAGTAACTAAGCACAAAAAGACAAAAGTTTTGAAAAAATCCGAAAGGGACAAAGCAAGTTACTACAAAACTGGTGGGTGTGATCGTAAAAAAAAAAGAGGCTGATGACCAGATTCTACTCTACGTGAACGCGTGTTTTGTAAACTGTGGTCGACAGATACTATAAACTAAATATGTATATATAGATACGTATAACTATGAAGAGGGTTGGATATCTAATTGAACTGTTGGGTCAACAAACACTCAACTCGAGTCTAGGTCCAGAGTTGTTGGATCCATGGTTCCTTTTTATTTTCATCCATAACAATGTTTTGGATAATTCCTTTTTTTTTCCCATAATAAGTACGGTATTTGCTGAGAAGTTTCGTACTGTATAATATTCTTCCCTCTCTTGCTTGTTCCTCGATATTTAATATATCACGCTTTTCATCATTTATTTGGGTTGACAAGTTTTACGTTGAAACAAACAGGAAACAAACAATAACACGTAGTACATAGTAGTATTAATTAGAGTAAAATTTCGAAAATATATAATCAAATGTCAACGCACGCAGTCATCTCATTTGTCATTTCCAATGTTTAGATTTCCAAATTTTTTAGAAGAGATTAGCATAGTTAATTAATACTTTTTCGACGGTTTAAATAGATCAGATACAAAAGTCCACATCTCATATACATGTACGTAGTAGTAGTCGCAAAAGTAAAAATTTGTCCTCCTTATCATCATTGAAGTATTTTTTTTTTTAATGTTTTCGTTACTTTCTTAGTAGTTTCTTTGCTTAAGTATATTCGGAGTTATTTGACATGTTAATCATATCATATAATCTTCGAAGAAAAACAAACACAATTGAATAATAGTAGGTTATAGTATTAGTAATTAATAAGTACGCGGGTAACATACTGGTCGTATAGTATATGGTGGACAAGAACATATCATTTCGTGATACTCACGAACCCAATTCCAAAGCTTTGGGTTACCACAATGACCAGTTCCAAGTGTTTCAATTTGAGCTTGCATATTAATTAATTAATTAATTATTAGCAACAAGCTTGAGTTTTTTTTAGCGACCAAAATCGAGGGAAATTACAAGAAATTTGGTGGAATTACGTATATAACGTTCATCATAGGCAACACATGTTAGAAAGATAACGGAAAACATGTACAGTAAACGACTAAGAATTAAAATAAACAATCAAAAGTTATATCCTTAAAACTATTTTTTTTTTCTTTTGTCAAGTTTAGGTTACCTATTGGTTTAAACTTACTTTTAACCTTTCTCATGATTAATTATGCGATTGGGATTTCAATCGTTTAAATAGCTTTTTTGGTAAAAAGTGTTATATAGAGTTGATTTTGAATTAAACAAAAGAATTAGGGTCACTCGGTCTTCGTTTATGCATCATAATAGTACTAGCTACTTGGTCACTTGGAACATGTATTATATTGACTGGCTAGATGAGGAGACGAAGACCCCGTTCAAATTTCTATTTATGATCCTTTGACATTGCAAGCATTCCTCATTATAAGAAATCAAATTATTATTCATCAAATATTCTACAAAAGAGGCTTTATTTATCTACAATAATGTGTATTTTTAAATATTAAGGATTCAATATTCCCGGGGGAATGTAATTTTGACTTGCTGGAATAGAAAAAAAAAGGCCGAATTAATTCAAACAAATATTTCTATTTTCGATATATACCAAGTAGTATACTAATACTAGTGATTATCATCAGAAAAGATCAAACAAATATTTTTTATTTTTTTCGGTATATACCTAATGTAGCTTATATAATACCACTAGGTATCATCTCACACAGGTATTTTCAATCATACTGTAAAGTGGACGTCAAATATTGATTTTCTGATGTTATTAAAAACGCGTCAAAATAGGTATTTTTTTGAAACATAATGTCGAAATATCACCTCAGTTTGTATATTGACTACAAATTTGTACACATCAACTTATTTATGTAATTAAACTATTACAAAAACTAAAAGGATATAACCAGGTTAATAATAAGTTGGATAGGATTGAAATTATTTTCCTCTTATAACCTAATAAACACTTCTTTTAGGCTTAACCCAATTTGTAAATTAAATTTTTCTTCTTCCTTTAGGCTTAGATTTTATCTTTTAAATTTAATTTGCCAAACTATTTATTTAGACGTCCTTAAAATTTAAAAATTGTCAAATTATGTGTTGGCAAATAGCATAATTGACAGATCAGCAGTGAAAAAAGGTTCTGACCGTAGGATCAATGTCCAGACCCGCTTTTAGTAACATCCGAGGGATAAAAAATTAAAAATATTCCTAGTTTTCTTATAAGATTATTTTCCCTATATTTGTTTTTTTTTTTGTTTAAGCTGATAAAAGCAATTCCCTTAATTAATGTGAATTAAAATTAATTAATTCCAGCAGGTTTAGGAATATATATAAACCAAAAAGCATCAAACGGCTATAATTGGCGTTACAGTTTTCCTAAGACGAGAGGGATTAGATTATAAGAGAGTTTTTTTCCGGATATTTATAGTCTAAGAGACTTCTCCGTTTTTTTTTTCTTCTTAACTATTTTGTTGGCTTTATTCTTCTAAGTTTCTGAGAAATTTTGATTTGTCGGGCTTCGATTTTCGGGGTTCGATATTTTTCTTCTCAAAGTTTTCTCGATTTCTTCTGGGTATAATCATGTCCGATGGATACTATAGTTCTAAGAAGACGGACGATATCTGCGAAGATGTTTGTGGACAGGTGAGTTCTGGGTCCTAATCTCTGTCGGGTTTCCGCAACTTTGCTTTTAATTTCTTATCGATTAAGCCAATCGATTTTAGTTTTTGTTCGTTGCCTTGTCCTGGCATTAAGGAAATCAGGGATTTTGATAACCAATTTGTTTTTTTTTTTTTTCTGAAATTGGATGAGAATTGTTGGTAATGCGGTTTTCTTTTTCCGATTCTGATTAGATGTTTACTTGTCGTAGGTTTTGTGGTTCTCAATCGTATATAATTATCGTGATTTAAGAATCGAGATGACGATTTAGATGATTTCTCGATTGTTTTTTTGTCATGAAAAATATGGGGAATTTGAAGCGAATGTTCAAAGTAACTCTTTGTCTCTCAAATTTCATAAACAATTCTAGTTTTTTTTTTTCGGTAATCCGTAAATTTGGTCTAGGGTTTGATTCTTTATGCACACATTATACAAATCTCTATAGGGTATCTCGAATTGGATTACAATTTGTGTTCTTTTAAGAGGGTTTTTTTCTGTTCTTAAGGGACATTATAAACTGTTGTGTAGTATATTAATTTGATTCTTAAATGTCTAAATTCGGTTTTTGTTTTGTTTGCAGGATGGTTCTCGAGCAGCAAAGGCCTTCTCAAGGGTTAGATGTGTACTAAAGGGACTCGATTTCAAGACATACATCTTCTTCTTCACCATTGTTCCGATATTCATCTTTGGAGTGTATCTTCACGGCCAGAAGCTCACATATTTCTTGAGACCGCTATGGGAATCGCCGCCGAAGCCGTTTCAAACGCTTCCCCATTACTACCATGAGAACGCCTCCATGGAAACGCTCTGCAGTCTCCACGGCTGGAAACACCGCGAGTCTCCAAGGAGGGTCTTCGACGCCGTGCTGTTCAGCAACGAGGTCGACATGCTCACCATCCGGTGGAAAGAGCTGTACCCTTACATTACTCAGTTTGTGATCCTCGAATCCAACTCGACTTTCACTGGTTTGCCTAAACCGTTGGTTTTCGCTGGTAACCGGGGGAAGTTCAAGTTTGCGGAGCCGAGGCTGACGTATGGGAACATCGGAGGGAGGTTCAGGAGAGGTGAGAACCCGTTTGTGGAAGAAGCGTACCAGAGGATTGCGTTGGACCAGCTGATCAGACTCGCCGGTATAGAAGAAGACGATCTTTTGATAATGTCTGATGTTGATGAGATTCCGAGCGCTCACACCATCAACCTGCTTAGATGGTGCGATGGATACCCACCGATTCTCCACCTTCAGCTGAAGAACTACTTGTACTCGTTCGAGTACTTCGTCGACAACAAAAGCTGGAGAGCTTCGATTCATCAGTACAAGCCCGGGAAGACCAGATACGCTCATTTCCGACAAGGCAACACGCTTTTGGCAGATTCGGGTTGGCATTGCAGTTTCTGTTTCAGGCGCATCAGCGAGTTTGTATTCAAGATGAAAGCGTACAGCCACAACGATCGGGTCAGGTTCTCTCATTATCTGAATCCGAAACGAATCCAAGATGTGATATGTAGAGGCACTAATCTGTTCGATATGCTTCCGGAGGAGTATACATTCAGGGAGATCATCGGGAAGTTAGGTCCTATCCCGCGGTCGTACTCCGCCGTTCACCTCCCAACTCATCTGATCGAGAAAGCTGAGAGTTACAGATACTTGTTGCCTGGAAACTGCATAAGGGAAAGTGGCTGATAAGTGTGTGCGCTTATCAGTCTTTGTAGTCGTTAGGTAATTTGGGGGAAACGGCTTATCATCAGTAGAGAGGGAGTTTGAAACAGAGGATGGTACAGTTTATTGGGATTGGAGGGGAGCGATCTGATAAGTGGAGTCTCTGGTTTCAGCATCTCTCTCGTGAGGGTATATAACCTTTTGTCTGCTTATAATACTGACCATGTTCCCATGTTGTTTTGGGAAGTTTTGCTGGAATAGTCTCTATCTCTCTTTCTCTTTACTTCAGACCTCTTTTCAAACTCTCGCTTTTAGTCTGTACAATTTTATTAGTGATTTGTTTACTTTTATCCTCAGATTCTTTGTAATCTTTATTTTTTTAAATTCCTAATTTGATATGTTGGTTCATTTTAGTCCATTTTGTTTCCAGTGCGTGCAAATCCCAATAAAATAACAGATTTTATATAACTTTTGAGATCCTTCACGTTCAAACAGGTCCAAAAATTAGTAGGGTCAGAGAGAAACAAACCTGCTTAGAAACAGACAAATATTGCTGGAAATGAAAAAGTTCCGCTAACCTAGGTTCTTTTTTGTTAATTGTTATACACTCGATAAAAATGAGAGTAAACGCTTAGATATAAGAAATTTTAGTAAGCATAAGTAAACCGTTGGAGATCTGAAGCCATTGAAAACTGTATTTTCTACAAGAGTAACATATTAGCTTAGTTATAGTAAACAACAACAACAACAAACATGGTTCAGAAACTGCGACAGAAGATCAAATGATTGTTAGAAGAGGAAATGATTCCAAGGAGATTTGAAGTGATTTTCCAGGTGATCCGAGCAAAAAAAAAAAAATAAAAAACCAAAAACGCTTGGTGTCTCCGACGTCAGAAACTGAAGACAATGGCGATAGATCTCCCTTTTACTGGCTACTTCATATTTTTACATTCCTGCTTTTGCCTCTGTTCCTGTGTCTTCCTTCTCTGAGTTTTCTCCTTGTTCATCTAGGAAGGCATCATTATGGAATCCTTTATTTGGGCGTTTCAAATCCATCCTAGACAATTCAATAAACTGTCCTCAGAAGCAAACTGCAAAAATCCACAAAAAAAGATATCAGTTTCGAGTTTCTAAATGATTTTCTTTAGATAATTAACAAGTGTTTTCGTTATCTTTCTTACGGAATGGAAATCAGGGAGAGTCCCTAAGTCTGCATTCTCCGACTCTGGCACTATAAAGTTTTCAGACCCAATGTCGATATCCCAATGATTCGGTTTCTTCTCCACAATGGACGATGGATCTTCTTCAACTCGTTGAGCTCTTTCGTGTGAGGTCGAACCACAAGAAGCTTGTGGAATGGTCTCCAGTCCCTGATTTTACCCACACAAAACACACATAAAGTATAATGTACGGAAAACACTAACGATACTTGCAGAGAAAGGAACTAACCTGGACCAATGGATCAAGAACCATCTCAGTATCATCATAAGCTATATGATCATCCTCAGCAACAGAAACCACAGGTCTTGGTGGTGTAGGATTAGTAGTTTTCGGCCTTCTTGTGCCACCTCGAACCCTAAAACTCTCACTCTCACCCGCAGATTGCGTTTGTTGCTGATACATGATCTTGGAAACAACATATTCTCCAATCTTCTCCTTTTCCGTTCCCAAGTGGTACTGGTGCAAAACCCATCTGTATTTCTCGGGTTTTAATCCCTTCTTCGCGCTCTTGTAGAGCACCATGAACTTCTTGGAGCCTCTCTGGACTCCATTGAGCATGACCGGTTTGGTTTTACCTGTCTTGTGCCAGCGAACCGCTTCATCCTTGAGACCCGACGGTGTGACCCGTCTCCTCTTTCTCTCCCCATTTGTATATGCCTTCACCGTCTTGTTAAAGAAGAAGGCACTAGTTCCATCCTTTTTCACACCTTCAAATTTAATGATTGAATTAGTAATTAACAACCTGAAACATCAAATAAACAGAGGATTTTTCTATAAAACAAAGATTTTACCTGGAAGGTTTTGAGGGTGAGTGTAATTGATATCACTCACTGAAGAGCAGATAAAGTCTTGGATACAAAGATGTGGCTTTAAGCCATAGATCCCACACTTAGCTTCCAAATGCTCGATCACTTCTTCATCGGTTGGCTCGAACCGCACACCTTTAGGAAGGCCTGGCCATGGAGTCTGTACCTGAACCTGACCAACCAAAACCAAGGAAAAGAAACACAGCTAAGTAGACATGACCATATAAGCTTGCAGTTATTACAGGGTGCTGTAAAATGTAAATTATTCTTCACATTGCTGTTCTCTATAAGACAAGAGCAGGTAGGGCATTTTATACAAGCTCCACAGTCTTTAATCTGCAGATCTGAAGACACAGACGCATTCTTTACATTCCTCGCAATCCATGGGACATCCATAATCCAAGACCTGTGTACATTTTTCATAGTTTTAGTGGACAAGAGCAAACCCATATAAAGGTTATTAACAACATCTCACTCAAACCCAGATTAAAAAAAAAAGTTCAATCTTTTTTTTTGGAACAAAGATAAGAGAGACCTTTATGGGTTTTAACAATCACAAAACAAACAGTAAGAATATCACATTTCATTGAGTAATCGGAATCAGCTTAGGGCTCGAGTGAAATTATATCAACAAGATCTGGTTCTTAGTAGATCTTGACATTGCAATTTTAGTTATTTCTATTCAATCTTACCTGTCCATGGTTACCAAAACATAGAACGACTGAAAGAAAGAGAGAGAGAGAAAGAGAGCTTTCTCCGCTAGGCTAAGTAAAATATAGTCAAGAGAGAGAGAGAGAAGAAGTATATACGTGTGTGTAGATGAGCGGGAAAGTGGACTATATGAGAGGTTCGTTTACTCCCGAACCTTAGCTTCGAGTAAAGCTTCTCAAGAACACAAGTGCAGACGTCAGGCTCGGAGTAATCTATCTACGTGTTGACTTAGCTTGACTAGAGTTTGGTTCGGCATAACGAACCTGAGATTTGTAAGGTTCTGTGCAACTTCGAAGCAGTGAAGAGCTTCGGAAGTCGGGATTAATAGAAATTCGTAAATAAAATGTTTTTTTTTTGGTAGAGCCCAGCCTACTACCTTGATCACCAAGCCAACATGTTACGATTTAACCTTTTTTTTTTACATGTACTGTTCTTCCTACTTGATAAATAAAGAGGGAGTTACAAAGAAAGGACAATGAAGGCATGAACTTCTAATCCGAATAGTAAAATGACAAATTATAAAACTTACAGTATATTTATTTACCTGGACTTGCATAAAGTAACTAAGAAATCTTGGGTCCAAACCGTGGGTAAATTGATCTGTATTTGTATCAATACATCCAATTAATCATTACATTTATACCCTTTTATTAATGGAACGACAAGATGGATTGTGATGTGACTATATAGAGAGTTAATGATAGATGGATTTGTAATGATTGTTAAAATTTTAACATTTTTATTAAAATTTACTGTTATTAATATAAAGATTTTTAAATTCTTTGTTATTTAAAAAAAATATTAACAATTTAACGTACAAAACAAAATTTTTAAAATACTATCTATATATCTTAAACTAAAATTAGTTTAATAAAACATTTTGATAGTTTTCTAAATATACATAACTCTATTTAATTTTAACAAACTTTTTACAAATTTAACAAATCTTTTAACTTTTAAAATAAGTTTGATGTTTTAATTAAATTTTCAATTGATAGAAAATAATGAATTTTGAAAATAGATAAGAATTATCTTAAACTAAAATCTGTTTGCTTGTTTAAATTGTATCGGTATGGCAAAACTGTCTTTTGGGACGAATAAATAAATCAATTCAAGAAACTAAAACAGAGTCGTTGTAGTATAGTGGTAAGTATTCCCGCCTGTCACGCGGGTGACCCGGGTTCGATCCCCGGCAACGGCGATTTTTTGCATTTTTAATGAATTTCATAATTTACTTGGGCTTCTATTCCTTTGAAAGATTAACAAGAAATTACGGGCCTCAAACTTGTGAAGATTAAGAAACCACATTTTTAGCCCCAAGTTGTTTCGGGAATCTCTCTTTTTAATCGTCTCTTTCTTTTGGAGAATCAATACAATGTACATAGTTGAAAAAGGTGCCCTTCGACAATTTGTCGGTACTGAAGAATAATAGTAGCATCAATTTGTGTCACTAAGAAAAAAGTGCGAATGGACTTATCATATGGAATGGAATATCTAAGCAACCACCAAAATTACACCTAAATCAACAACAATATGACGACAAAGTTATTGTCAAAAAAATTTGAAAACCGGAGTAACATTTCCGATTAACCTGACCTGACGGCAATAAAAGAGTCACATTTATAGACGATAGCAGCAATTCTCCATGAAGGAGGCAAAAGAACCTCAAGTGACTAATAAGACGATTCAATGAAGAAGATGGATTCAATATAAGATTGATGTTTCCGGGTAAACCTTACACACCAATGAGTCGCTGACAGTCGCACAGAAGGCAACGTTACATTAATACTACATTTGCCAATCTCTCTGTGTGTCAGTCAGAAACTCAAAAGAGAGCAATAGCTCCAACCAAATCAATTATCAGAGACTTGTTTGGGCATCATCGCTTTATCCATGAAGACGATTTAAATATAAGACTGACGATGTTTCCAAGTGTATTATGATCCTTTCAAATAAAAATATAGTGATGATATCAGCCATCCCCGTAGAGAACCTTACGTGGATCGAGCTGACCGCTGCAGTAGCTTGATGAGACGATAGAGAGTTCTTGCCTGCCTTTCCACTCTTCACGAGGTTTCAACAAAATCGGGGTTTCTATTGCACCCGAATCAACGCAGAGCATCGTTGTGTAGTCCTCATCCCCCATATCAGCTATACTCTTTGCCTTCTTGTCCCAAGGGTTCCATACAACTGCTCATACCAAAGATAACATGAAATTCATAAGAAACAATAACCCCACTTTTTAATGATTTTAGCTTATTGAAATCATGTAACGCACCTGCATTTGGCATGCCTTCCTTTCGCAACTCGATGGTTCTCTTTCTCTCATGATCTATGACTGCAATCTTTGTCGGCGTGTTCAAGTACACTCTATCAATCTGCAAGGAAGGCACAAACACAGTACGTTGTGTTTCTGTTTGTTTTACTATTTCGAGAGGAAAACAAAGGAATGGATCACCTACCTCTCCGTCAAAGGTAAGTGCATCTGCCTGTTCTGTGAATCTTTCTCTACGCATCATGTTGTCCAGATAATCGAGTGTTTCCAAACCTTCAACCCGAACTTCACTGAAAATTTGATGCCATGTGTTGTTGTTACTTAGACAAAAAGAGTTTTTAAGAAAAGCAACTTCTCGAGGAAACTTTGATCAGAGAGATTCTTTACATGATGCACACAAATAAACGAAGGAAAAGTGACATATACCTTATGTCGGATACATATAAGTAGTTACGAAGTGCAAACATAAAGGAGAATGCCTTTGGGTCAGTGTTCCTCACACGCGGGATAATAGTAAGTTTGCCAGGACTGATAGATATGCGAACACGGAGTTCAAAGCTGCAACAAAGTACGCAACATCGAATTGTATATTAAACCAAGAGATGATGACACACTGAAATGTACAAACAGAAATACAAGCAACTGTGCACACCTATGAGGCCAAGTCTTCAAATCATCTTCAGTAGACTTCAATATTAAATCGACAGTAGATTGCTGGTTAGCTGGAGGCAGAGGTGAAGGATTGTTATCAAATGACCAGAATCTGTTCCGGGCGAATCCATGCCGCTCAAGAGCACCAAAATTTCCAAACTGCAAATGCGATAAAGAACGGTTGATGGCGGAACGAGAAGACAAGAGAACTTTACTCAGTTATCTGAATATGATTACAGATGCCTAACCTGTGGAAAACAGACAGGTAACCCTCCCCTGATCGCCTTAGGTGGCTTCAATTGCGCCTAGATTACACACAGTGATTACAGAAACAGGGTTATTGCAAGTTGAAACGTCTGGAAACTCATTCTTTCTACTCAAGAAGCAAAGTTTACAGATTATCCAAAAAAGAAAGCTGGCTAAGAAGAAGAATGGATTCATCATTCATCTCTGTCAAACATACCAAAGTTTATAGATAACACAAGAAGGCAAAAAAAAAAAAAGCTTAATGTCAAGATGACATTTGGCAGATCCAATCCGAATTAACATCGAGATGATTCGTTTACAGTTTACCTTGCTGCTCATATAAAGCAACTGCTCTCTCCTTTCATTCTTCCAAGAAACCACTTGTCCTCCATACAGAAGCACCTGAAACCATTTCAAACAACAAAACCTGTTAGAAAAGTTTTCTCAAACCATAAAGCGAAACCTTTGTAGTCGAGGCAAGATTAGTTTTTAACAAAATTAACATTACAATTAAGCTCAAAATACTACTCAGAGAATATTATCCTCAATATTCTCTGATTACCACTAATTCTCAAGGTTGATTCTTGACGCTATGATCAAAACTTACAGTGAAATTCAGGAGACCTCAGAAGAAAAAAGATCAATTTTTTAGGGCAAAGTTATAAGAAAAGAAGGCGAGGAAAGAGTCAAACCTCAGCAGATGATCCGCCAGGGTCGGTCAAAATAATACGGGAGGATCCATCGCGATCGTTGACTACATTCAAAGGCATCGATTTTGGCCTTAACCTCGATCTTATTCCCCTCACGAATGGGTTCCCTTTCCCTTTCTTCCACTCCAGCTACACCACACGCACAAAACAAATCCCACAAACCCAGGTGCATGCGTAAATCACGGGTTATATACCACAGAAGTTTTAATCAAACTGCTCATGATCCACAACAAAACGAATATAAAATTGGGGAAAAAATCGAAATCTAATCCGCAAAACAAGTGAGGAAATCGAAAAGGGGTAGAGAACTGAAGAGACCATAGAAGGTTGCTTAACCACTACTAAGGGGTTAGATTCAGCTACTGGGAAATCTCTAGGGGTTGCAAAGTAGTAAAACAATACAAAAGGCTTGGTGATCGGCTGAAATTTCAACAATCATCAGCGAACAACAACGACGGAGATATCGACTGATACGGAAATAAAGAGATAGGTATAGGGAGAGAAAGACTGTTGATGCAATAGAAAATGCTGACCTTGATTCTTCGAATATGGCTCTGAGTCTCTGACTCTCAGAAATTAATTGGTTTGAGTGGGAGGAGCTTGAGGAAGAAGAAGGAAGGCCTGTGCGCATTTGTACTTTCTTCTCCCTATAGCTGCGTAAGCTCCGATACTGCCACGTGTGCATTTGCTAATTGTTTTTTCTCAATTTTTTATTTGAAAAGGCACTAAAACAAAAGTCATTTTAGAAAAAATGTTGTAAAATATCTTTCAAACAATAATAAAAAATAATAATATAGTACTAAATAAGAAATATCTACCATATAGCCTTCATATTAAATCCAAAGTTGTCTTAAGTAGCTGTATTGTCAAATTTTTAATCGAATTTAATAGAATTGTAACAAAGTTTAAAAACATAATAACTATCAGTTTGATTTTGATAGATTGACACATTTATTCGGTTTCATGTAGGTAACTGTAAGCACAAACATTAAATTTGACTGGTAATATGTTAACAAAGTTATGTAATAACAAAATAACATTACTTTAATGTGACGATGTTTGGTAAATAAGTTATCTTTAATGTGACGATGGGATTATATCTTTCACCAATCATTTATCTTTGTTGTTCTCCTCTAGCAGAAACAATAATATTCCTTATCTTTTTGTGACGTTATATTCCACCATTCCAACAGTAAATCAGAGGAGATTATATTCAATTACAGCTCTCACGCCCCCACCATATATATATATATAAGTTTCATTTTGCAAATCATATTAGAGCTCTCTAGATGAAATTAGCGATAGCCAAATCCTGAAGAAGGAAGAATTTTGAGAAACTATATGATGTTAAATTGAATGTAAATAAGTTGACGGATTCACGTTACACTAAAATTTATCCATGCAAGGAAAATGGTGGGGCTTGGAAAATGCGTTCTTTTATTTGTTCTTCTTCTCCTAATTATAAAAGAATATAGTAATCATAAAGACATGTTGCACACACAAAAAGTATCATAAAGACATAAGTTGATAAATTTAAAGTAAGAAAACAACTAGAAGTAAAATTAAAAGGCAAACCGAAAGGCTATATGCCAAACGCATCGTGTCAAATGCACAAACCAACATGCATACATATAATTTTGTATCGTATAATTAATCAGCTAAAGCCATCTTAGTTTAAATCGAAATTCGGTTATGTGTCTCTTCTTATAATTGGGCACGTACTTTTTATGAGTATGTCGATAAATGTCCAAAACTCCTTGTTCTTCGATCTTAAACGTCCATAGATGACGACGAGAACTCAATTAGAAACTATTGGATAATGTAGAGGTTAATGGGTCTTTACATTATCCATGAAATCACCGTCTTTTCTCTCCTTCATGTGTCGACATCGTGTGCCACTGTCTCTTCTCTTCCCTCCATCATCTAACCCTTCACCGTCTTCCCTTGGTTCGTCTCGTCTTCTTGAAAACAAGCCAATGCAAAGCTCGTAACTTGGAGATATTAAGCAGCTAATTTTCACCTATACTACACTTCAATGGCTGCTTCTGATCAACGCCGATCTCACTAAGACGATGGAAGCCCTTCAAAACCCAACAAGAAGAACAAGGCAAACAAAAACCTTGAAACGAATCTTTACTTCAACCTCTACATTATCCAATAGAAACACTCTGTTGGAGACTATTTCAAAAGATCGCCACGACCACAACAAAATATTTCTTTGTTCTTATAAATGTTTAGAAGGGAGAGGATAAATAAATTACAAACCACATTAAAAAGCAATATTTACTAAACACAAATATTAAGCACTAAAATGTCTAGAAGGCATTATTTACTAAACACAAGTATTACGCACTAAAATAATCTTTAAACATTAAAAGTATGATGGCATTATTTACTTTAATGTTTAATATTAATGCATATCATCAACTTTAAGCCTGTGATGTTGGGATGAATAATTTAATTAACGTTAAAAATATTTCTTTTTTTGTATATTTCTTGATTATATGATTAGAGATAGAAGAAAGGTTCTGCATCTTGTAGATTAAGATACCAGACATACATTTTACTGTATGTCTCGATATATGAGTCTACAAGATGCAGAAATATACTACAGTAATAATTGTAGGTTTTCATTTTCTCTCTTTCTTCTTTTTGTTTGTTTGTTCTTCTACTTTCTTTGGCAAGCTTTCATAACTTGGTTGTATTTTCATCTTTTTCTTACGAATGATTCCATTATTTACATATCGACTGTTTGTATTTGTATTTCTGTTAGTCCATTTCAATGTGTTATTATCTAAAGTATTTGATATTTCCCCAATTATTCGTCAATAAACAATATAAAAAGCTAGTAAATAATAAAATACAAAATTATGAAAAGCTAGAAAATCATAAATACATTGTGGCATAATTGTTCTAAATTAAATTATTCATAAGTTGTTGTTTCACTTTTGCACAAAAAAAAAAATAGTTGTTGTTTCACTAAAACACCAAAAGAATTGTCATGTGGCCTTCCACTATTAAGAAAAAACTAGATACATGTCGATTTCATCATACCAATTTCTTAGCTCTTCACGTTCTCTGCTCTGCGTAGGCTTTGTGTAATAACCATTTGGGCTCTGCCAGTTAAACCCTAAGATAAATAAAATTTTCCTCTTTTTTCTTTCACCTATTATGTTAGACAGAAATTCAAATACAAGAAGATACAGGGCAAAACATTTTAACATAACCAAACGTATCTTTGTATTCAACCATCTTTTCCATAGCTAATGACTCAGTCATGATTTGCCTTTCAAATGCTCGTTTATGCATTTGGTATGACAACCATTTCTTCTACCAGTATCAGTTCGCTACTTTGTCAGTCTACCACAAACCTCTTTGGTTCATTGGTTGCTGCTGAAGTACTGGAAGGATTTGCTTGGAATAGAAGATAGGGTTATTAATGTTTAGAGGGATCAAAAGCTATAATATGGTAACAATTATTCATAAAGAAGAAGAAGACTTTCTTTCCGCGAAGAGAAACAGTAGATGATTTGATATTTATATACAAGACCTGAAATCTGAACCACAAGAAGACTAAGTGCTGAGTTTGGAAATCATCTCTTCGACCAACTTCAACATGTTTCCTGGTATCCGCTCGCCTTCCTGATCAATCTCCCTCATAATCTGCTCAACAATCTCAATCTTGGACTGCTTTTCTTGTATGACATATCCAGAGCAATCCCTCAGCAGAAGAAGCAGCTCTCTAGCCATTTCTTTAGCTCTCCGTGTCCCATCTACGCTCACTTGAAGCAATCCTGGCATCACTCCTTCTCTCAGTATCATTCCTCTGTTTGTCTCTCTGTCGAAGCTGCATACACCGAGCAATATCCCCACCGCGTGTTCTTTGCACTGACCCGAACCTTCTTCAATGGCTTCCACCAGAACCCCAATCGCTCCACTGATCCCTGAGATCGATTCTGGCGAATGACAGATTATGTTTTCGAGCAAAGCCGCTGCCTTATCAGCCAAGTCACAAGACTTATCACAGAAGCTGATCACTTGAAGCAGAGCGTACGGCGCTCCAGAAGCTACGACGAGTGGGACAATCTGATGCAGAGTCGATAGATTGTGTAGTGTTGCTATGCCATCAAGCTTGGCCTGAATCGTTAGTCTATCGAGCACAATAAGCCCAACTAAAAGCTGAATCAACCTGGTAGATGCTATCTTGACCTTGTTCTTGTTACATGAAGAGAGGATCAGAAGAAACGCCATAGCCAGTTCAACTATCTCCATCTTCGTTTCTGACTGGAGGATCTCTAGCAACATTGGTACTGCACCAAATTTCACAATCCGGACTTTGTTCCTGTAAATTTCAGCAACAAATTTAACCCGATTGTTACTTTCCTCTGTTACTACAAGGATATATGCATAGATTGAAAACACACAAACCTTTCACTTCCAAAGGCAAGGCTGAGTAATGCAGACAGAGCAACTTCTGTTGTGATGCAGTCTTGAGATTGTAACATTGAGAGTAAAGGAGAAATGATTTCTCTTTCTGACATTTTTTGTCTTTGCTTCCTGCTTAGATTACTCAGCTCTATAGCTGCTTCTATTTGAGCCTCTCTGTTACCTCTAAGAAGACTCTCCACCACAATCTCTTCCATTTGCAGCACTCTTCTTCCTCTCTGTAATTTTGGCTAATAACTTCACTTGGAAGAAGAGTGTGGGAAGGTATGGTGGTGATTGGTGAAGTAAATATAATAGAAATATATATATATATATTTTTAAAAAACATGGAAAATTTGGTTGCTTTAACAAGCAATGTTAGGCTTTTTTTTGGGCATCCATTGTTTCATGTTGAAGCAAACTCACCTAGACCTTTCTCTTTCTTTCTCTCACCCTTTTTTTTTCCCTGTGCGTTTTTAATTTATTTCTTGCTTTTTATCCTGTAGATTTCTTAAGATTATTTCTATAAAATCTTAGAAACCAGAAGGGAAAGTTATAAGTATCTGGTTGAATATTTTGTTCTTGATTGCATGATCTATCCAATGTTGATTCCTGAAGATTTGAATCTTTAGCTTTCCTCATGTAGACGCAAGGTAGGCTTATCTGCATTATCAGTGTGTCATTGATCCCTAGAAATTATACTATTTAAGCAATGACATTGTCATTTGTCACATTGTATATAGGTTAGTACTTTTCTCTGTAAAATCTTCTTTTTTTCTAACAAAATTTTCTATTGCTTAAATAACGTGATTCTTTCACGTATATCGTATTTATAATGAGATTCTTTCACGTTATTATAATTTGATTAAAATGATCTTTAAAGTGGGTCACTTTAACAAACAACAAACAAAAATATTATTTGAACCGGGTCTTAAGTCTTAACATTGACTATCTTTGTGCGTTGATGTGAATGTTGTATCTTTCTTGTTTTAAACGCACAAATTATCATGATTTCTAATAATTATGTCAACTTTTTCAATAAATGCAAATCAGTTGTCTTTAATCTACCATGCACTGACACATCATACGCATTTAGGGATTTAATTATATATTTTTCATCCAACCTGATATGAAAGACCAGGATCTGTAGTCTAGTAAAATAATGACCATGTGACACATGCATGAAACCAGTTTGAATATGTTGCCTACCTTTTGTAGGGTGCTTACAAATTTTTTTGATTATTTACATAAATAAATCTTGTCCGTATTTGATCTTAATGTCTTACGTCTTTCTCCTTTCCGTTAGGACAGAGAAGATGATCAAGTTTCTTCCCCATTGGTCCCGGCTCAGAATACGTGTAAGAGAAAAGTGCTTCAAATTTCTTCAGTTACAAGTATGGAATTCAAATATGTAAATGAAGATTTATAACTTGTTAATTTGTTATCTTATATCATCTCGCTTACTAAAAGTAAAACACTGTAGAAAATTAGAAACCAATAATAAACTATAAATTACAGTTAATTTGTAAGAACGTCGTCTCCAACTAGAAACTTTCGCTCAAGTTAGATGCCAAATCTGTAAATACTGTCGTTTTCGTATATATAAAATTTATTAGGTGAATAAGATTATTTCTTTAAGTGTACTCATGGATCAGAAAAAAGAGATCCAATTTTTTTTTTTTTTAAAGAATGCAATGTTCTTTTTATTTCCATGTTATACGGCGCCTTTGTCTTTACGATCATTCTTGTCTCACTTTTTGCTATTATTTACTCATGCGTGTATATTTGTATGCTTAATATATGACAAAAAAATTATGAAAAAAATACAAATTAAGAGTTTTGAAGCTTAGACTTTCACAAGAATTTAATATTGATCGGAAACAAAATCGTTCGTACGTATTTCTCTTACTCTTTTTTAAAACAAACCCTTGAAAATATGAAAGACACAATACTCTTGCTTGTTTTCAGAATTCATATAATATCTTTTAACGTATAAAATTAAATCAAAACTTTTAGAATTTGGTAGTACATGAAGCGATCGACTTGGATAATACATAAAATAGCCTGACAAAACCACAAATGTAAAGAAACTGATACGTTTATTGAGCATTTTTCAAAATTCTCCTGCGCCGCTCGAGTCGTTCGACAGTTTCATTCTTCCTTTCATCCCCCATCTGCAGAAAGTTTCACCAAACAAAAAACATCAGGTTACAAACAAAATAAAAGAAAATGATTCTGCAGGCACTTAAACCAGGGGATCAGAAGTATTGGTTAAGCTATTGCAATTCATGAGACTAGTGACCAAAACCTATATAGAAATGATCAATAAAAAAATAGAATGAACGGTACGGTTACCTTCATGGCGTCGTATAGCCCCCTCGCTTTACGGGACATGAGTAATCTGGGCATCGCAGCAACATCTTCAGCGATTTGCGAAACTGCTGCACCAGCTTCTGATTCTTCAGGGATTTGCGTCTTTGCTTCATCATCTTCTGATTCTGATTCTTCACCCGCACTTCCAGTCAGTTCCATCTTCAGTTCCTCATGGTATTGCTTCTCCAGCTCCTCCATCTACATTATATACCCACAAAACATTTATATCATCAACACATACGAAAATATAACACAATTCATATATATATATATATATATATATAGGTACAAGTCAAACCTTCTTCCTGGTTCTAGCAGCTTCGGCTTCCTCAGCACGGCTCATCACACCAGCGTATAACAAATTTTGAGGATCTTCAAGATCGTCTTTCCCGACACCTGGCAACGGAAGCACGTCGTTTCTGGCTGCTGCTTGTAGCCTTTTAATGGTCTCAGCATAATCAGGAACATATCCTTCTGCTTCATTGTCCACAAATGGTGACAAGTGCGGCGGTAATTCCCTGTTTGTAAGAAAAGTACACAATGCATGTTTAAAGACCTGAGAAAAAAAATTAAGAAATAAGCAAGTCTTGTGAATGAATGTGTTACCTTCCAACCAGATATTTTTCAGTTGGCAAGATTATGAGAGCATTTACGCAGTCATAGATCCACTGTGGTTGAACATACTCCCTTGACAGATACATATGACCGGAGTTGGGCTTATCGATTATCTACAAAACAGAACGGATGGTATTGAGATCTATCTATCTACACTTTGTGAGACAATGTTAAACAACAAGCTAGATAGCTTCTTACATGATGTGTAATACTCTCATCATCCTCCTTGAAAGGTGCACCTTCTCCTTCCCAAGACACCATCCCACCAAAAGCAGGAATTACAAAGAGGAGGGACTCTCTTGGAACCTACATAATTATTAAAAAAAAGAAAAGCCCCAGTCATGATTTTTTTAAATTATCTTCTTTGTAACTATTTTACAAGAATAGCAGTGGTGAAAAGTGAATCAATAACATACCTCACGGCTCAAGAAAAACTTCAGATCTTTGAAGAGCGACTTGCACATTTTTGTGTCTTCATCCTCTTCAACCTCTTTGTCTGCAACGAGATGCATCAATGCCCCAGGCTCACTCGAAGGCAGCTGGTGCTGAAGTTGTGCAAGTCTCAGTTCAGACTCTTCACGGCCATTTGACTGTGAGCTAGAAGAAGCATCAACTTTTGGTTCCACAGACATGCCTCGGGAGCTAGCATCTATGTATCTCGACAGTGCATAGAGATCTGCAATGCCAAAAATATCAATTAGAGTAACAGACTCCAAAATCTAATAGTTTACATATGAACTCCGATATGATATATCTAAGAAAAATCATAGCTGCTCGAAAGAGGACAGCATACCTGCAGCCAAAGCCTCCAACCGAGAATCAAGGATTGGTGGATATTTCACATTCATAGAATGGTAAAGCTTGAAGTTTATAAAGGCAAGAAGCGTCTGCATGAAAAGGTGAATGAAAATTTGTAAGCACGAGACCACACTTTTCAGAATTCACATTAATTATTTCATACTGAACTGATGAATTAAGTTAGCAAATGACAGTGGAAAAAGAGGTTAGGTGTTGTCACCTCATAAAATTCCAAGAAGGTTAGCATGACACCAAAGTCAACATCATTCGTAAAGACTTGTTGTATTGCATGAGGGGTCAACCAAGTGATCTTTTGACCTTCTAATTCAGCCTATCAAGATAATAACAAAAGTTTCATTAGAGAGGAAGTAGTACTCCACAAATTCCATTATAAAATAAATCAAGGTCAAAAGTAACACAATACCTGATAATATATGCCCTTAACAGACACAAACACTTTCCGTAATGCATGATTACGAGAAATGTAAGCTTGCCACTCGTGGCTCAATCTGTATCAAAGAAGAAGCACAGAATAAGCTTATGGATAAGAGAATACGAGAAGCTGTCAAAATAAAGAAAAGACCCAAGGGACTTATAAGTGAACAGATAAGATTCTGACTTTCTACAGTTGTGGACTCGTTTCACTTCAAGCTTTTCCCTGTCTGAAGCAGGCAACACCGCAAAAAGATGAACCATCGTAAGACAGTCATCCAAGTCGCGTAGCGCATCGATAAAAGTGGGATACCTACATATTCAGAAATGGGGTGTTAACGGTCTAAACTCGTGGATGTCCAGACAAAGCTATAGATTGAAGTGTCTGCAGAGCAAAACCTTTCGCGGATCAATCTATCAAGCTTGTAAGTGGGTTGTCGGGTAAGCAAAATGCGTGCGAGCTCCTCATTTTTCTTGGCTTTGGCTTTTATGACCTTCTTTTGGTATGTTCTAATTTCCCTGAACTTCTCAAGAAGCGGCTCATGTTGAAGGAAAGCAATGTCTTTCACATGGTAGTAAGTGTGATGGTTTCCCTTCACCTTCTTCTTCGGTTCTCGGGGAAATATACCTTTGACAATACATAGCCTCCTGAAACCCCCAAAACAATTGATCAGTCATGAAAACATTAAGAAACGAAACCAAAAAAGCAACAGATAAGTCACCTATTGACAAATTTAATATATCATGAATGTATATTTTGTTTTCCCAATTTGACGGAGAGTTACAATGAACAGAGTGAGGATAAACCAAAGAAATAAATAAAAATAGCTCAACTTATTAATAAACTGTTACCAGAAAAATTAGTAAGAGAGCAACCAATCCAAAAATCTTAGGGTAAATCTTGAAAAATGGAAAATATAAGAACAACACAGAATCTCGAAAACCTAGTGCACACCCAACAATGACTCGAAGAGAAAAAATGGCGAAGGTGAAAGAGAAAGAAGTAAGAGAGTGAACCTGAATAGGTTTAAGTTAACTTGAAGATGCTTAAGTGCTTGCGACCTGGTCATATACCTAGCGGCATTTCCTTCCTTCTTCTTTCCCTGCAAAAGACGAACAGCACCAAAAATATTACAGTTTCTCGAGAAAACGAAAAACGAATCATAGGAACGATACAGCTCTAATTAACGAATCATAGGAAAAACACAACTTCAATCCAACAGAAACACTCACCGCTGGCCTATAATGCTTCGGCATGATGAAACGCCACCAACGAGGGAGGGAGGAAGGGAGGGAGAGATTGAGAGAGGAAAATTAAGAATTAGGGTTTTAGGCAAAACTATATACAGGTTATCTCGGGTGAACCGGTAGGGCTACATTAATGGGCTTGCCAATTTGACTGCTCAGCTTGTTCTTGCGTGGTTTATTTCGAAAATGGGTTTCAAGGCCCAATAATCTCATTGTGAACCGAACCGAACCGAACTTCATCGACTCCTCACCGAACCAAACTTTAACAGATTTACAAATCGCGGTCAGTTTTGTGTGCAAAATTGATTGGACTCCCAGCTAATTTCGAACTTTTTGTATGATTTGCTGTTATTTCGAATTAATTATGTTTTTTTCTGAATCAAGAAGTTTGATTACTAATTTCGCTTGAGCCTTTGATTCCCATTTTACCTTACAAGAATGACGCATTGGTATTCTCAACTCTTTTTGTAATGTTCTATCTGTGTTAATCTAGAATTTATCGTTTTCCCAACAAAATCAGAAAATGGAAATTAGGCTTCTATCTTCAGAGTTGTAGTAACGATTCGATATCCCATTGGAATACAAAAACGACAGGACGAGCCGATAGAACTAGCTGAAACGGCACGTGGTGCTTTAACTGCGTTGTTGGTCGGCAGGAGGATCGGCGGGGGCAGGTGTCTCGCCGTCGTTGGGGATCCAGAAAGTGAGAACAGTAGAGGCAGCAACGAACATTGCCCTACGAGGTGCCCATTTCAGACACGACACTACTCCTATGTTGTTCTCCCACCTCGCCACCTGCGTTTTTTAGACAACATTTAGATACTGTGACAGGCATAAGGATGTTTTGATTGTTCCGCATTTACCTCCGATGGGTTCTCAATGTTCCACGCATGCAAGGTTCCATCTCCTGAACCTGTATCCGAATTTTTTTAAAAATTAAACATAACTGTGAGGTCATATAGATTCATAATTTGGAGTTACGCTGGATTAAATTTGGATGTTGTGTAGATGAGTCATGATAAAAGGTAATCTTGCATCATTCGGAGAGGTGTATGATGTCTGTATTACCTGACAGAACGTACTTGCCATCTGGTGTGAAGGTGGCTTCTATGGATGTACCCTGTGAAGGCTCCAAACTAAAACCACATTTCTGCAAAACAAGAAAAATTAAATACCGGCTTTACCAATTCAAATCCAAATGTTGCTGTCTTCTTCAAGTGAAAGACACAGAATGTGATTACCTTCTCGCCGCGATATGCATCAAGAACGTAGATATTGTTATTTGTGGTCGTTAGGAGCATGGATTTTCCATCGTTGCTGAATTTTATATCGTTAACCTCAGCAGTATCCCCACCCACCAGGAATGTGTCAAAGGGACCCTAGAGAAGAGATCAATTGGGTTTACAAGTTAGAGCTACAAGAGCATTCTTCTGTAAACGCCGTGTGAATCATAGTAAGTAGCTAACCTTGTCATAACACCTGGAATCAAATAGTTTAACAGCACCTCCTTCCATCGCAATTGCAAACACCAGTCCTTGTTGGTCATACGCTACTGCAGGTCTACCACGGAGATGCAGAATTCCCTATTGACTAAAAGGGTAAGCATAAATCATGAAACCATATACATTCACAGAGGGTACATTAAGTAAGAGAGCCTAAATAGAGAAAACATTGTTCTAAATGTTACATGTTTCCCCAGCATCATCATCGAGTTAACTTTCAAGTTGAAATTACAAGGGTTTGAATAGCAAATACAAAGAGCATTTTCCCGATTAAAACTCTAGCATATTCAGTCTTATTCCATACGGAATTCTCAGGCTTTGTGAAACTGGAAACCAACCTGGCAGGCATTTACACGAAGATCCCAGAGTCTGACACTTCGGTCGAGAGAACCAGACATGAAGCTATCATTAATAGGAGACATACAAAGCGATACAACCCTGAAACAGAAAAGTTTCCATCATATTACAAGTGCAAGCAAGTACGTAAACATATATGCTTTTCCCCTTAAATCAGAGGCTATATCAGACCTGTCTTTGTGCCCTTTAAAGTAGCGAAGGATCCGGTTATCATACATTGATAGGTATCTCAAGGATTCTGGTAAAAGAACAAGTATTCAGGTAAGTGCTTATTCACCATCAATGATTATCCAAACTCAAGCAAGTGAAAAGGACGACTCACCTCCAGTGGACTCCAAATTGTATAGAGAGGAGCAAATTAGAGAGCTGGGATGATGGGTAAAGCATACACGATCGGTGCCATGTTTCTTATGATACGTAATCTTGAGCTGTCTACGTTTTAACAAACATACAAACATTCAGATGAAATTGAATTTCTCACTCGTCCTTTTTGCACAAAAATTCCTGTTCTACAGAAATTCAACTAGTCGGTTTATCAGAAAGTTTCATCTCGATTCACCCAAGTAGTCTAGTTTCTCTAGAAGTTGATGATGGGCTAAGTAGAAAACCTAAAAGGGAGGAAGAACTGACTTAGCGTTGGCGATATCGAAGAGACGGAGTGAATCATCCTCGCTGGATGTAACCAATAGATCATCAGTCCTATGGAAACCCATCGAACGTATCTTCCCTCCCTGTCAATCCAACAACGAAATTGAACGGGTTAATCCCGGAAAATGGATTCTGGCAAAGTTAATCAGAGTAATCAAATCCGTAAGAGAAAACTCCGTCCGTACAAAATCGGAGAAGACTGCGCCGATGGCCATCCCGCGCACCAGTCCATCGTCTAGCTCCGTCAACGACATCGTACGGTGAGCAAACAGTGAAGAACGAGGAAATCCGAGACCGAGAAAGCGACTGAGAGAGAGGCGAGCGAGAACGAATACTCGAGTCAGAGTTTAGTGGGTTTCGCGGGTCTCTAAACGACACCGTCTGCTGTTTAACGACGCCGTTTAAGAAAAAGATTTTAAGTAATAAACTGTTTGTCGTTCAATACAAGCTAATAAGAAAAACTACACGTCGTTTAAAGCGTGCGCACAAGCGACTTTGTAATACCGTAGAGTCTGTTATTTCCAAAGAGTCAAAATACACAAATGAAACACAGAAGAAAATATAATGTCTGAAGCTTCAAGTTTGAAACACACAGGGAAAGCTCTGCGAAAATAATGAAATCCCAAATACCGTAGAGTTGGAACTAGAAATCTGACATGAGAGATGAGACTATACAATGTCAACGAAACAGCAGTTTTTAGAGACAAGGCTACCGAGCACCAAACCAACCTCTTGGTGGTTGCTGTTGCTGCTGCTGCATCAGAGCTCCTCTATCTCCATTCATCAGCTTATCTAAAACAATATTGAGGTCAACGGCTTGACCGTTCTCCGTCAATGTCCTCACTGTTCCTCTTACTTGGTCCCTTGGAAAGCCCATGCTAGTCACCTTGTCGATTACATCATCGACTGGCACTCTGCCTCCGGAACTTGGAGAACCGGAGCCGCCACTTCCACCGCTGCTGATAGCTGAAGCCATTGGCAAAGCTTGTGGCAGTGGGCGAGCCATTGGGAGTTGCGGGTAACCAGATCCGTTTCCACTCTGATGTGATGGTTTCAGGGATGGGGTGTTTCCAAACTGTGAAGGTGGACCGGTATACGGGTAAGGTTCAGGAGAGTACCCGGAAGGGAAACCTGAGCTGGATCTACCACCAGGTCCATCGTACATTGATGGCGGCGTTGGAGGACCGCTGTAGTACTGTTGAGATGGGGCGGAACCAGAAGGTGGTTGACGTGGAGGGTATGATTGCTGAGGGTAAGATGGTTCCTCCGGGTTGTATCCTGATGATGGTTGTTGAAGTTGAGGAGGTGGCTGTTGCGGGTACTGTGGCTGTTGAGGTGGTGACTGGTAAGGTGGTTGATGCAGTGACTGGGTTGGAGGAGGAGCTTGATAAGGAGACTGGTTTGGTGGTGGGGGAGGCTGGGACTGACCAGGCGGAGGGAAATAAGGCTCCTGCTGGGGAGCAAACTGGTTGGGAAGTTGAGACACTTGTGATGAAGGTGGCGGGAGACTGTGCTGTGAGGCGAGCGGTTGAATAAATTGTAGTGGCGGGAGGCCCTGCTGAGTAAGAGACGGGGGAGCTGCAGCAGAAGCTGGTGGCTGAGGAAGTGATGCGGGTGGTTGAGCAGTGGGCTCAACATGTGTGGAGTGCGTCTCGGGATGCTGGTTTACCTTTGACACCTGAAGCTTCGAAAGCTGAAGCTGCGCTTCAACTATTTCTTGTTTGTCCTTCAGCAACTGTACACCGCTTTGCACCTGAATGCAATTATACAAAGAAAGTATTGAAGAATCTAGAAACTTGGACAGATGGTATATAGAAAAGTATGAAAGCCCAGATGCGTATAAGATTGCTTCTAGATCATTACTGTATATTGAATATCATAATATCTGAAACTTTAACTCAGATTCTATTTCAAACTAATCTCCATCAGGTTTCACAAAAGCGTTAAGTTACCTCTAACAGGATGGTTTCAAGCTGTCTCATTTTCCCGTCTGTGTTACCGTGACTGTTCCCAACAGAAACTTTCACATCATCTACCAGGTTCTCTAGGTTTCGGGTTCTGGTCTCCAGCTGTGTAAGACGTGCACTGATACCTTCCATAACATGTAGCAAGTTATCAGCATGCGCCTTCATCGTCTGATCTATTGCAGATATAATCGCTGACGCAGGGGGATTTTGATCCTTCTCAGCAGACAACTTCGAAGGTTCAAGAGAGTCGAGAGAACCATAACTCTGCAAAGACGAACAAAAGCCATAAGTAAGGCTACTGAAGGGGCAGATATGAATTCATGATAGTTGTCATTATCCTAAGTTCCTAACCATGCAAGCATCAAGGAAGGTTTAAGCAACTTTATAAGGACACAGATAAGCAAAAAACAGAGAAAATAGCCGTGTATCATACAAAACCTTATAGTGTAGCCAACAATAAAAACAGATAAGCCAATATTAGTATTGTGCATAAACAAATAGTCTCCAATGCTTTTAACCTCAGACGATGAACGAAAGAACAACACAGCAAGACAAGGATATTATTGTGTAAGCACAGTGAACTAAACACAGAGCGAAGCTTGGGAACCAGAACAAGAATATTTCCATTAACACAGGATTGAAGAAGTTTGACAAGGAGACGCTATAACTAAAACTTAGACAAACTTTTTTCACTATTACCTAAAAGCAAAATCAGGCACTATTACAAAACGTAATTCAGCTAAACCTTATAACCGATGATTCCATAAAGTCAAACATCGTAATCTTAATAAACGGACAGTCCTCGCGAAGGAGATTGATCCTAAATCATTAATACCGAGAGAGATATGAGAATTTAGGAATATTACTCTTGCGGATGAGGTTGAAACCGGTTGTAAATCAGAAGCAGCCCAGCCCCTAGCCGCCGTGGAATTGACAGATCCGGCGAGATCTAAAGCGGAGTGAGACAATCCGACGGTGGCATTAGGTCGAATAGGCTGGAAATCATAGCTAGGGACGATCGCTTCCTTCTTCGACTCCAAACCATTATCACCGACACGCTGACTCTGATGATCGCCGTCGTGTGATTTATTGTCGTTCATCAGATCCATTAGCTGTTGTTTATCCAAAAGAACAGAGGGAGCCGTATTCATCGATTGAAAATAAGATTTAACATTAAATATATAATTGTCTCCCTTGATTTTATATGATTTTCTAATTTCCTTGCGGGAAATAATAACTTTTTGATCCGTCACGTTCCTTTTCTAAGTCAGCATTTCTATGTAGCGTGTCAATATCAATATCAATATTTTCACCCATTTGAAAATTAAGCAATTGTGCACTTTCAATTTTGATGAAGCCCATTGGGCCTAGAGACTTAATAGGTCCATCACTATTTACTTCGTCCAACCAACTGTAGCTTCCAGCATGACTCAATGTGGGACAAAAGAAGAAACAACCAGTGATATTATTTTACTACGATGGCGAGTAAGATTGAAGCTAGTTAATACAAGAGAACGAATCAATCAGGGCTAGTTAGAATTTATTTCATACTGTGATTGGTGGGATACGCCAAGCCCTTGCAATAGTGCAATGCATGGGCGACGATAATGAGCACAAATAGCAAGCTATTTTGATGGCTCACACCCTAAATAAATTGAGTTAATATCGTGTAAACCAATGGTTTACATAATCAGATATTAAACTGATAAGAACAGATACTACACTTGATCTTAGCCAAAAGGCCGAGAATGGTATGAGTTGTTATGAAGTTGGTGTTCTCATTTTATAGCAAAACTTCAGCTTTGTTTTGCAAACACTCTTCCGATGTGGGACAAGTACGCTAATACTTCTACTACCCAGCTAAAGTTTCATTTAGCTTTAAGCCCTTAAGAAAAGAATCTCAAGACGGCGTCCATTAATGATCTTGAAGAATCACAGGAATTAATCTACTAGTAATAGGTATTTTAAGTAACAATGGCACAAACTTTCAAATAATGAATTGATAGAGTTGATCTCCGTAAGAGACAACCCTCCAAAAATAGGCGTATGCCGCTAAGTACGACAAGCACACGGTATTCTTTAGTAAAAGGCGAAAGAATAGTTCGCTATGTGCTTATCGCACGGCTTCGTGAGTTTTCAGCAATGGCTCTCTCAGTATTATATATGTTTAGTTCTCATTATATTGCTCTGTATATTTACGATGTGGGACTAAAACTATTGCAAAAATATCACCTCTTTCCTTTCTTCGTCAATATCGCCCAGTCCCCACGCACGTCATTAAATACTAGTGCGTTTAATTACGCTTTCCCACTTTTTTGTAGTTGTGAGGTCACTTTGATCTAAATTTAGTATTGGGACAACCGAAATTATATAGTAGTACTATGATAAATTCTGGAAGAGAATGCTAGTACAAAACTCGCCGTTGTACTTTCTAAGAAGTACAATGTTGATTTTCTCTTTTCTTCTTCTAATCAATATTGTGCAGTACACTAGTCTGTTGTTTTATCTGTACTATATACAAAACGTAAATGAATTGTAACAAAACTTCCTTGTAGTACAGTTTTTGTGGTATTATTGTGTACTACCCAATCCCTTCATAATGAGTGTATATATACTTCCCAGCAGTTTAGAAAGGAAATCGGAAACTCAGATTATAAAAATCCTTTATCACACAGGTTGAAAAAGAGAGAAAAATATCTTGAAGGTAGTGGATCTCGACAGGGTCGACATGAGAACACATGCGCAAACTACGGCTGTAATGATGCCACGTCATTATTACGATCTCTCTTCTCATGTGTTCTCAGGTCACCCCTGCTGAGCTCTATCTCTACCGTTCCCGTTTCTATCAACGTCTGTCGCTTTATTCAATTCACCAAATGGTAAGTTTTGTACATGTAATGTTGATACGATTACAAATCACAAATACAATTATACAAACATAACAACTCTTCGTAATCTTACGTACCTATGTAGTATGTATGATATATTCTTGTGAATGGTGAGTGATTCTATTTAATTGTCTTGCTCTTTGTCCCTCAACAAGATAGACTGCCAAAGGAACACAGGAAGACAGAAACCCATAATGAGTTCATCATATGTTGTAGAATGTTCTCTCTTAGTTTCAGCGACTATTGTAATATTGTGAAACAAAAGCTAACCTCACGGAGGAGGCGGAGAGCGGCGGGACGAGTGAACTTCCTGGCGAAGAGGAAGCACGGTGACGGTTTCCCATTACTGCTACACCATTCTCGCCGGTATTCGGTCTCGTAGTTTATATTGTCGATTTCCTGAGAATCAATGTGGTTGGTTAGAGATTCTATTTCTGTCTTAAGTTTGCAAAAGAGTTTAAAGCCACAACAAGAAAAAAGAAGATATATATTGTATTGGAAATTCTTTAGTTATACCAAATAAAATGCTGCTAAATATAAAGGATGTGTTACCATAGTATAACTAATGCCCAGACCTAACTAAAAATTTGGATCCCAATATTCTCTATTGGTCCGATAAGTGATAGGACGCGTACCTTGATAGACTTTATAAGACGAGGAGTAGCATCGGAGAACTTGTAAGTCATCGGATGCCATCCACGACGTTCGTTACTTTTAGAGGAAGAAAGGTCCCAAGCTGAGTGTGTCAGTGACCGTCGCGTGAGTTCGCCATCAACACCCTTTTGCTGGAATTTAGGAAGCGTTAACGGATTTGATTAATTGTACAATTCAGTTCTAAACAACTATGCATATGGTTGGATCAAACGTTAATCTTACAGATAGCAATGTCTGAACGTAGTGCTCATCAGGTATACAGTTGTGTTCCTTCCAACCTTCAGCTGGCTAAACAACAAGACTATATTAATTTAACACACAGGGTGTAGCTACTAGCGTGCCAGACTAAAAAGTGCAGGAATTGAATGAACTGTTAGAACTGGTGTGGTCTTTAATATGTGACGAGGGGAAAGCAACTTACTACAGGACGATCTCGCCAAAACTCTGGAAGTGATTTCCTCTGCAATATCATATCCACACAAAAATTATGAGAGAAGAGACAGTGATCAGTCCACTAACAAAGCAACTCTCAGGATAACACCCAATTCTAAATTCCGTGGTTCTAAGTCGTTATTGCCAGCTAAACCATATTTCTTTTGAAAGTTAATGAAATATCCATCTTAAGAGTATCATACTAGAGGACAGCTCATAAACTTAATTACAGTATATATCCAAGTTTGCTAATGAAGTGAAAGTTTCAAAAACTTACCCTGCAATGCTGCTGAAACATAGGTAACACGATCGTATCATTCACCACAATTTCTGCGTGTTTTCTATTCAGAACGACCCACTACGAGAAGATAATAGCATAAATATAAAAGAGCAAAGAGAACGTCAGCAAAACTGCATATATTCAGAATGAGAATCCGTATCATGTAAGTAATTATCGGAACTTCACCTGTGATCCTTTTCTCCAGTTATGAACAGGAATTATGGGATTCATTCTAGGATTATAACGGCTATCTTTTGTATCTGCAAAGCTGCAGTCAAAATTTTATTTTGGTGAAACTTCCAACATAAAGTTATCTTCCATGTCAGTGACATATGAAGTTCTGTATTTAGGTACTTTCTATAAGATAGGCAGCACTGACCTATCAACGAAACTAGTTGGTGTTGACATGATGTAGTTATACGTGTAGCTGAAACTGTACAGAGGTATGCAGCTGAGAAGAAACAAAAACAACTGAAATTTAGTTAGGCAAGTCAACAACTGCAATCCAGGCAAGAAAAAAGGTATTTACAGAATCAATCTCACCTGTCGGAAACAAAAACAAATCGGTGATTAAATGGATCTCTAAGTGCATGTCTGAGCAGTACGCGTTCTGCTTCAATCATGGTGGCTTCTCCCCAGTCCACCTGTAATTTGCAAGTGAATCAAACGAACTTTAAGAAAACGAATGTAGTGAAAAAAATTCATGATTTGGTAAATTGAATACATTCTCATAGCAGGAACCTGTATACTGTCATTAACTTGCCGATCCAAGAAGAACTTAGATCGAGTTGTAGCCTCGCTAAGAACGAATCCAGGTCTAGAGTGAACAAATATTGAGAACTTGCCTTCCTCGCCCTGCAAAATAGCATATATTATTATGGACTCAAGCTCAGTGCTTCTACATGGCTTTTGAACAAACTTTAAAGATCAATCCGTAAAAGCGGTCATTGTCACTATCTATTGCTACGAGTACACACATTCCAATGGAGAAAACGTTCAAAGTTTTGTAACTCCAATGACGTTAAAGCTAAATTTAGTATCAATGTTATCAGACACAGAAGAAGAAATGCCCAATCCTCAGGGGAATCAGTTAATTTGATCACAAAAGGCTACGACTTTCTCTGAAGCTATTGATTTCACATCCGATGATGAACTAATCTGATCCTCAAAGACCAGAATCGAATCGAATCTATAATTTCTGAACCCAATTAGAGGAGGAGAAGTGTATTTGTATACCAGAAAGAATGCGTCCCAGACAAACTCGAGAGGGAGCCGGTTCCGCGCAATGAACAGGAAGGCAATCTGTGGTTGCTGATCGCGACGAGGCTTCAGAGACTCGAGCGACGCAGTGATTCCACGGTAACGAGCTTGTATAAATGCGAAACTCCCCAAGCAGAAAGCAAAAATCAGCGTGGCGAATACTTTCCTCTTCCATCTGTTCAGCAACTTCTGCTGCGACGCCTTCTTCTTCATTTGATTTGGATCCCAGTAAAATCTCAGTAAAAACAGAATTCACATAGCTAATCGGACGGTATCATTATACGCAAGCTTCAAATCTCTCTCTTTTACTCTCTTTATCTGTATCTCTCTCTCTTCTCTCGTATCTGGATAAACTGAAGCTGTTTCGAGGTAATTTTAACTCTCGATCTCTGGAGCCGAATCAGATCGGACATGGAAGAATTTTTCTTCAACAATCGCAGTAAAATCAGTGACACATAGCAGTTGATTGAAGCAAACGCCAAGAAAGAATGGCGTCAAACGCAAGGGATGGAAACAGCGAAAAGCTTGTGATCGGGAGGACAAATCACGTGGAAGAAGATGACCTTTCAGGAGGAGACTTGGAGAATGAGAATTGAGAAAGAGACGCAGGTGAGTGAGAGTGAATGAGTAGAGCTGGTGAGGTGGGCCTCTCTGAGATCGTTAAGCCTACACTTCTTCAATAAATTTGAAGCCCGGTCCAATTGATAGATACCCTCCAAATTAATAAAATTCTTTTATTACTACCTTCTGACTTCTGTGGTGTCTGTGTTTTATCCCTGTGGGATGTATATATTTCTGTGTAGATTAATTATTGATAACAAATAACAGAAAAAGCCAAACTATTTTGTTGTCGGTGAATGCTGATTGACGAAATGTAACATGTAATTCGATCACAACATATAGAAACCTAGTAACAACATGTTACATGTATAATCATCTTCTACAACATTAACATGTATCACTTTTCTTATGGCATATATATAAACCTAGTTACATCGTGTTCAATTCGAGATCACCTCATATATAAACTCACATATACGTAACAGAGAGGAGAATAGTCATTAATTACAACATGTATCGAATCGACTGTAATATATATCTATAAATACAACATATATTAATTCGATAATTATTCCATGATGTAAACTGAGCTATTGCATATATATAAACCAAACTTTAAAAACCGAGCTATCTCATTGCAATACAGTATCTATAAACCTGATTACAACAAATATAAATTCAACTACACGTATAAAATGTTCTAAATACTTGATATTATACATTTACGTTAAGTGTTTAAATGATTTGATTATTCAAACTTTGTTGACTGCTTTAAGTTTCTCTATTTATAGGGATAGAAATAGAATTACAAAAAATAGCTTTCATCACAATTATTCGAACCTAAATAAAATATCTTTGATATTTGACTTGATAATATACCGCATACGCTTTTCGTTTTGGCCAAATAGTTCAAACGCGGAATCAACAAACGGGACGTAGTGTACCACTTATCACTTTATCGTCTTCCTGTTCGTCATGTACAAGGAGTCGCTGGGATAAATCATCGGTTTCGGAAGGAGAAGGACCACAACATATTCCACCCCACTGTGGAAAGTAAATAAGTGTAACAGACAGAGAAACAACAAAAGTCATTAGACCCATAAGTGAAATGCTTCTCTGCTTTCGAACACCATCTCCTGAAAACAACAAAAGCTGCGTTACCACCGCTCCTACTGTGCCGCCGCTTCCCGTCATTCCCGCCACCACGCCTAGAGATCTGCCAACACATAACAAATTTTTTTATTCAAATATTTTGCACTTAAACCGTATCCAAACCGATAGAAAAATGTGATAAATTGAATGGTTACGCAAAAGAATCAGGAAAACCGATTTTTTTTTTTTTAAAAAAATAACAAACCTGGTGGAGACGAAGGGAACGACGCCAAATACGAGACCAGAAGCAGCTTGAACGAATACAGAGAAGACCCACATGACGGCGATTGATCCCCAGAGCGAGTTGACTCGTCCGAGTAACACGCACAACAATCCAGCCACCGATTGTACGACCCAGAGTCCCCAGAGCCTCCCTCTCATCCCGAATCTCCTCCCCAGCATGTCCGAAACCATCCCTCCCGCCGGTCGCGACGCAACGTTCGATATCGCGAAACTCGCCGCGATCGTTCCCGCCGCCTCGAGATTCACACCGAATCGCTCGTAGAAATATCCGGCGATCATGTTGTCCGTCGTGAGCTCCACACCGAACGAGTACCCGTACAGTAGCGCTAGGATCCATGCTCTGTAATTTCCAAGACCGTCGATAAGGATTTCGAGAAAATTGGAATGTTCTTCTTCTTCTTCCTCCTCCTCTGGATTTTTGGCTTTATTTTGACTCGACGTTTTTCTATCACCGTCGGGAGTATCTTGGCCGTAGAGAAGGACGAGGACGGCGGTTATCACTTGGAAAATGGCGGGAAAAATGTAAGACACGCGCCAGGCGACGGAGCGTGGGAAGAATTCAGCCATGGCAGAGTAGAGAAGAGGCATAAGAAACTGAGAGATACCGGCGCCGACGTTTGCCCAACCGGCTGAGACGCCATTAGCGAGACCGACGACGTTACCGGAGAACATGGAGGACATCCAATACTGATTAGCGACGAAATTGGCGAGCGAGAAACCGACGAAGAAACGGACGAGGATGAAGGAGGCCGAAGAGGAGACTAGTGCGGTGGAGAGGATGGCGGGAGCGGTGAGGAGAGATAGGATCGCCGAGGAAGTCCGTGGTCCTATGAGATCACAGAGTGGGCCCATGGCGAGGCGGGAGAAGATAGAGCCGGCGAAGGAGGCGATTCCTGCGGCGGATACGGTGGAACCAGAGAGGCGGAGGTCGGAAGAGATGACGGGGAGGAGAGGAGGGATAGAGAAGGTGGAGAAGAAGCAGGAGAATAGTGAGAGCCACGCGAGGTGAAAGTTGCGTGAATGCGGTGATGAGAGAGAGAATGGCCGGAAAACGGTGGCCCTGCCGCTGGAATCCACCGGGGTTGTGGAATGCGAAAACGACGACGTTCGGGTGTTTTGTTCCGATGGCTGCGTCATCATTCACGGAGTGAAGAACACGCAGGCTTCGTTTAGAGATATTTTAGCGGCGGGTGAACATTATCTTTAAATTCCCCTAAAACACTTTGAAGAGGCAAGTTTCGACTTTCGAGTAATACTAATTTACAAAAAAAATTCGTTACCGAAAAAAGCCACGTACGAGTGAAAAGATACAAAATTAATTGAAAACATTTACTTGAAATATTGTATGAACTAAAAAGCTTTAAATCCCGGATTGATAACAAAAATATCGTGCTGATACTGTGGCTAGAATTAATCTATATTTATTACTATTTAACATCAATTTCTTCTTTTAAAGAGAACTCGGACAAAATATTATTGGAGTGCGCGTCTCTTTTTAGTCTTGTTTTAAGCTATTCTTGCCTTTGATATTTTTGCAAAAATGGGACCAAGAAGATGAAACTTACGTTACGCACCTATCAATAACTTTCGAAGTCGTCATCATACGCTAACAAACCATACCGTCCACAAAAACCCAATAAAGGAGAAACAAAACCGCACGCCAAAATTACCAGTCTGGTTCAATTTCTCTTCGATCCAAACTCTCCGGCTCTTGCAGCTAAACTGAACCAAGGCCAAACTAAAAGGACTACTCCGCCTGCAGAGAAGAACAAAAAAACACAGTTACACTAATTAGTTCCATTTTTCAGCCAAGGAAAACCTTTGCAAGCCAATGAATCTATCTACCAAGAATTGTTAGCTAACGATTATCTCTTGATTCGATCCATATGATAAACCATTTCAAAACAAAACTCTCATTTTGATCGATTCTGAGTGATCCCTCAGATTTTAAAAAAACTTGTAAAGAGGAAAGAGCGTTTACCGTTAAACCTCCTACTCGTCGTCAACCAAAGCCATCACAGGTTTTCCTTCAGTACTAAAACCAGTACATTTCACCTTCAATGCGTCTCCTACCTCAAACTTTGTCTCTTCATCCCCCTGTAAGCAAGCAATACAATAATGTAAGTGTTAAGACTAAAGACTAAATCGGAGAAAAGAGCCAAAAGGGGATGCTCCAAAACATACCTCGAATATGTACTTCCCGCGGATTCCACCACCTAAATCAAGAACCAATCCACGGGGTCGAACCACGTGGACTTTGGCCGTCACTTCTGTTCCTATTTTCAGTTTCCGGGCAGTAATCGTTGCGCTCTCGCCACCTCCGTTCTCTGATTGTCTCTCCTTCCTAAAAGATTTCCTAGTTTTTGAAGATGATACTAGGTTAGCATCACTAGGCTCGAGTTTCTCGTCTTGCTTCAGCGTCTCGCCACAGTTAGCCAGAGTTTCTTCTGCCTCATCACACTCCACAGCAGTACGGATGACAACTGCAGGAACTGATAGTCTAGATTTCCGAGGTGGCTCTACAACACTGCGCATGCTTGCAACTGCCTCTCCAACACTAGACGTTTCTTCTATAGACGACTCTTTCACCACAGAGCATTTTCCACGTTTAGACGCTGGTTTCGGTTCGGGTTTGGGTAACACTGCCTTGAGAGATACTTTAATGTTGCCGCGGACATCCTTGTCAATGCACGTCACAGTGATGGACTTGTCAACATGTAATACATCTGAAACCTTCAATACCTGGAAAATCGCATAAGACAATAATAGTTAAGCTAAAAACCAAAAATCGACAAGAGTAAATGGTAAACATGAAGATTTGCTTTCTATTTTCAAGAAACCAAACAATACAAATCTTCAAGATGAACTCAGACAAAACCATCCTTTACGGAAAATAAGCGGACACATAGTTTTATCACTAGAAAAGCTTACTGGGTCATGAGATAGCTCAGACATATGTAGTAGACCTTGCTGACCACCACTGAACTCAATAAATGCGCCGTACTCTTTTATGGATGTCACTTTGCCTGTGTACACGCCACCAACAACTATTTCACGACCGATGATCAAGTCAACCTAAGGACATGCACAAAATCAAATCTCTCGAACATCATCTATCAACTAAGATCTCAGTAGACTGAAATATACCTTTTCCTGAACCTTTTCCATCACAGCCTTATTCTTGGCAACAATAGTTAATGTTCCGTCATCAATAGACAATCTTGCACCTGAATGATAGAAACCACGAGGATATTGTTCATCAGCTTATGGATTTCATTTTAAAGAGTGCTTTACTTCAAAATGAGTTCGTCAATTCCATTGCGTTGATAGGGCACAAGAAAGAAGATCTGAAGATTAAAGTCTAAGTCGAAAAAAATAACCTGTTTCCTCTTCAATCTTCCTCTTGATGACGCCCAAAGGTCCGATCAAGCTACGAAGCGCATCGTTGCTGTACCTTAAAGTTTCTGCAAGGCAGACATAATTCGTCAGTTTAAACCAGGGAAAGTTTTATGAGCTATGGTGAACAAAGTAACAAGTGGGAAAGAAACCTATCTGAGTGGAATCTTCATCCTGTTCTCGTGGAGAATTAATTTCTCTCTCCATATGGTCAAGAATCTGAAGACGGGCTTCACGTGCATTTTCTAAAGATTCACAAACTATGTCCAACGGTATTCCAGCCGGCTTGATATCCAATTGAATTGCCGTCACACCATTTCGTGTCCCAGCAATCTTGAAATCCATATCTCCGAGATGATCCTCTAATCCCTGTCAAAAGCAATGTATGTGTTTCTGTAAGATCCATTTCACCAACTTAATACAACTCAAGGTTCAGAAGACAAATGGTTAACTCATCATTCGAAGCAACAAAATAAACTAGAAGAAACCCACCAATATATCCGTTACTATACGGTACTCTATAATTTCGCCACTTGATGAATCAACGTCAGTGATAAGACCAACAGAAACACCTGCAACATGAGCACGGAGAGGAATTCCGGCGTCCATCAAAGCCATACTACCTGAGACACAGAATTTTCCATCATGAATTTATGGATTTGCAAAAAAACATAGAAACTTGTGGGTGAAAAGAGGATAATTACCTCCACAAACGCTTGCCATAGACGTGGAGCCATCAGAGGACATCACCTCTGAATTAATACGAATAGTATAAGGAAAATCTTCTTCAGTGGGCAAGACAGCAAGTAATGCTTTCTCAGCCAGTGTTCCTACAGAAAAAATGAAAAAGGCAGTCAAGCACAGAAATATTCTTACAGATGGAAAAAACACTATAAGCTAGATACAATGTATATTAGCAATACTATGTTTGGAAAAAGTTAACAAGGATTGATATTACACACGGATAGAGAAAAGGATTTACCATGACCAACTTCACGCCTGTTAAGGCCTCTTTGTTTCCCGACTTCATTTGTACAATAAGGAGGAAATGTGTAGTGAAGCATAAATCTCTTTTTCGGGGGACCAACAAGAGAATCCAAGCTTTGTGCATCTCCTGGGGCTCCAACGGCGACAGCACAGAGAACCTTTTAACACATATAACAAACATATTTAAGAAGGATTCTCACTACATTGAGCTTTGCCTCCTAAGCAACCAAAAAACTGAAACTAAGCTTCGTACAAGGAAATCTACTCACGGAAGTGATACAGAGTACACAGTAATGTCATTGCTTACATTCTAATTATCCAGATTTACTTAACTTTTTTTGGTACGTAAGACACAATTTTACTATTTTAAGTCGGACGGTCTTCATTAATGAGAGTCATTGTGAAGTAAAAATTCCTACCATACACTCTGCAACTGAAGTTTCAGCACGAACCTGTGTATCACCACGTGAGAAAATTGCTGACCCGCGCAATGCAGGTAAGTAATGCGATTCGCAATGGATGGGCCTAACTTCATCAAGATGTCTCCCGTCGACTCGAAATCCATCTGAAATCATCCTTGAACGAACTACCTGATATTTCAGTTAAAGGGACAAAGTAATAAGACAAGGAACTAAAGGAAAAATACAAAAGCCTATAACACATACTTGTGACTTATTATGAATTCTCTGAAAGTCTTAAATCAATAAGTCTTAATGCATCACAAAGTGAAAAAAATCATCTCAACTATCTAAGAAACAAAGAACGAACCAACTACGTTTACAAAACATCAGAATCTGGCTTCTATAGAATAGAAACATAAAATTAGATACAGCAATCCCATAATGAAACATATTTTTATCATATGATTCAAGCACTAAGTTCTACGTCAAGTTTTCAAGAACAAGATAAGCCAAAACAAAAGCAAAGAGGAACAATGAGCATATTTCCGAATGTTAAATTTACAAAGGTTACCTTCTTTCTCACTGTATCAACAGCCTTTGGAAGGATGCTCAAGCTTTCTAGATCGCCCTCTTCTTCAAATACTTTTTTCACATCTTTGCCAATGTTATCGAGAGCCTCTCCACGTTCGAACTGTGTATATAAAATGATCAGGCCAACTGAAATTCGAAATTTTGAGGCAGAAACAAAGTCAGCACGCACCTTGCCATATGAAGGATCGGTAAAGACGGATTCAATACGCGTTGCAGCCAAGTCAGTGACTTTTTCTAAAGTTTTCTCAGAAAGCATGGACAGTTTGTACTCCTTCTTTTGTTTCCCAGCTTTCGCAGCCAATCTTATTTGGGGATCGATGTACTTAACAGCCTGTGTAAACAAAGATACTATAAGACAATATATAGCATTACATTGTTACTAGAAAGTCCAATAAAGTTCTGAGACATACCTCTGGATGAGCTAGCCTCAGAGCAGCTGCTAGATCTTTCTCTGAGATTTCCCGAGCTTGAACATCAATCATCAGAGTCTTATCCCTTGTGCAAGCGTATATCAAACTGAGATCACTTAAGGTAAGCTACACACAGTTTGAAGACACAAAAAAATTTACAAACAAATGAGAAATAAGCTACTGTCAAATTTGTGAGTAAAATAACAATATAAAACTTTTTTTTTTACCTCATCCACAGTAGGATTGACAACCATTTGTCCATTGATCCTTCCTATTCGGATGACTCCAATGGGCCCTCCCCATGGAACATCCGATAGCATAAGTGCAGCAGATGCTGCGTTAGCAGCCAATACATCTGGATCTTGATTCCCATCCGACGATAGAACACTTGCCATTATCTGCATGCATACAAAACATTTAGAGATGAAGATACCTCAAAAAAATAACTTCCACATAGATCAATCTCCCAAGGAATTGAGAAAACTTCACACCTGAACTTCATGGTAAAACCCTGTAGGAAACAATGGTCTGATTGGCCTGTCAATGAGCCGGCCGCATAACAGTTCCCGCTCTTTTGGTGCTCCCTCTCTTCGCGAATGCGTATTTGGAATCAAGCCTTGAGCGTATTGCTTCTCTTGATAATCAATCTGACAGTACATAGCAAACGAGTTTCCAACAAGTATCCATAAACATCAGTTTAAGCAAAACACATCTAAAGGTACTAAACATCTCTAAACCATTTCTTAATTCCTCATAGATCATGGATTCCTTCAGAGGAGATACACTTGCAACCATAAAAACTTAAAAATCGGAAAGGAAATTGAAATGGAAAAAGTAGAGAGGTTTGTAACATACAGTGAGAGGTAAGAAATCTCCAGGCGAGTTGGTCTTAGCACAAGCAACGGTGGCGAGAACTTTGGTCTCGTCCATGCCGAGCACAACGGAACCATTGGCAAAGCGGGCGATTTTTCCCGTCTCGAGCGTGACGACGCGAGATCCGACTTCGAATTCCTCCTTAAATGAGTCCAGAACTTTTACCCCGGCGGTGGCCCGCGAACGTGGAACAGACGATGCCAAACCCAGGCGGCCGGAGGAGATGGTGCGAAAACCCAAAGCACGCCATGCCAGGAAATTCGGAAGAGAAGTTGACCTAGCTCGCCGCACAATCGATGACATTACACATACACGGAGGACGAGAGATGCGGAGAACGGAAAGGGCTTGCGCGAGGGTTTATCACACCGGAGCCGACAACTACAAAAATAATGAAGGGTTTAAGCGATGGCGGTCCGCTACGGTTCTGCTGCAATCGAATTTTCCCAAACATTAAACCGGCGCCTATGATCTCTTTTTACAGAGCTGCGGTAAACTGAGTCTATGTTTTTGTTATCTCCAGAAATTAATGACAAGAAAGTGTACCTTTCTTAACATTTCGTTCATTTAAATTCGTTTTGCAACTTGGGAAACTAAGTTTTTGATGTATGTATTAAAATGAAAAATTCATGTTTGATTAAAGCTATCGTTACTCAAATTCTTTAACAACCAAGAACAACAAAACAAAACTGTATTTCTAAAAAAATCATTCGACCCGCCAATATTATTTTTGTGGTTTTTACTATGACATTATTATGGCCAGCTTTATTTTTGAACTGTTCCCGGAAATGGTCAGACAAGCTGTGACTGGAGATTGGAGGCTACTGCATCAATGAACTCTTCAGTGTTCAAGAACAAATCCCTACTCACCCTGCATTAAAAAGTTTTATTAAACCATCAGGATCAAAATCAGAATAGTAACGGTATTAAAACTGTCGTCTTTATGGTTTTCTATCAACAATATATACAACTTATTTTGAAGTCTTTCCATCACATTCTTCAGGTTTTCCAGTTCATTTTGGATTCCGGTTCGGTTAACTGGTTTGGTTGATCAAGAAGGTAAAAAAGCTCTTTCGCATTTCATGCAAATGACCAGATTGTAATGGAAATGTTGCTGCTAGTGAGAGAAGGAGATGTTACTTACTTGGGACCATGGGTTAAAATGGCAAGATCCTTGGTCATTTTCCCTGTCTCAACAGTGTTTACACACGACGACTCGAGCTTCTTGACGAAATCCAGCAATTTTTCGTTCTTATCGAGTTTCGCCCTTGAGAAGCAAAAGGGAAAATAATCCATCAAAATGATGATCAAGCGAAAGTAGATTACACATGGCACAAGAAAGTTGCAGGTGTAATAGGTAAATGCATTACGAAACGCAGAACTCTGTTAGATAATCTTGCTAGAATCCTACAACAAAGGACAATAAAAGCCATGCGTGAAAGAAGCTAGAGAGACCTGTGTTCTAAGCCTCGTGTCCATGCAAATATGGAAGCGATGCTGTTAGTACTGGTTTCGTGACCCTTCTGATGCAGTCGGAAATGCCGAGTTACGGTTCCATGAGCCGCCTCCGACTCAAGTGTTTTCCCATCAGAGGACAACTGCACAAAACATATCATGTAAAGGACTTTTATTTGCAAAGAGAACTAAGTATTATGGCTTTTAGTTTACGATACAAACCAAAACAGAGGTCATGAGGCCTAACGAGCCAAACCCTACATTTGAAGAAGAAGGAAAAACAACATGTGTCAAGTATGCTATTGGCTTAATCAGTACACAAATAACAAATTAAGAATTGTAGTTTTGAATTTATACCTTGGGCAAGAAGATCGCTTTGAACATCACCGTCGTAATTTTTGCAAGCCCAGACATATCCCCCTTCACTTTTTACTGCGTAAGCCACCATATCATCGATTAACCGATGTTCGTACCTAAAACCACAATGCCACTTACATATTACATTTACCAAATATGAAAACGAAAGAGGAAGCATAAATCAAATTAAAAGTAGATAAGAGCAAATGAATATCAACCATATTGAGTGCTCTTCAAACTTTTGCTTCCAATTCGCCTCATAAACTTCTTGAAATATATCCTTGAACCTGTATTGTTCCACCATATTTTAGAGCAGCTCACTTAACGCAGAAATCGGAACTTCGAAATCACCAAGAAGATAATAACAAACCTGCCATCATATTTCTTGAGAATTGTGTTCTTGGTGCTCAAGTATAGTGGCCATTTCTTAGCAAGTGCCATCGCCATAGATGACTCAGCAAAAGCTCGAATTGACTGGCATGTCACAAACCACAGCACGGTTGTTAACAAAATATAACAATCTTCACAACCAGAGTGACGAACACTAAAACCAGTTAATGAAAGAGACAGACCTCATCTACGTTGTACATAGCAAGAGCAACACCCGGGCCTTTGAAATCATACACATCTAGTTCCACAGGTGCGTTCCCATCTTCTGGGACTATTCATTTAAACAATAAAATAGATGCACTTACAATCTATATAAAATGGTAGAAGAATTTCTATTATTTAATGGATCTAGTTAGTATGATCTTACCAAAAACCATTTTCAACTTTCCTGGCCCTTTAATTACTGTATCAGTGGCACGATACTGGTCACCAAAGGCATGCCTACCAATGCATATAGGTTTTTTCCAACCTGTAAAGACAAAAAGATTTGAGTCCTCATGTGGTATTTCAAATACAGATCGTAACACACATTCATAACAGGGCAAAAAATAATTTACCAGGAACAAGCCGAGGGATATTGCTGCACATGATAGGCTCACGGAAAACAGTTCCTAGAAAATATTGAAACGTTATGTTAAAATTGCAACGCCCAAAGAACCAGCAAACTGGATGAAATCAAAAGTTGCAAAGCAATTTAAGTAAGATAATTCTATGCTGCAAAAATGCTCTGTTCTCCGGTATTACAAAGACAAACCATCTAAAATGTTTCTGATTGTCCCATTAGGACTCCTCCACATTGACTTCAGTCCAAACTCCTTCACTCTGCCCTCATCTGCAAATAAAATATCACAGGGAAGGTAAGAAAAATATTGTTTCCTCTGAAGCGAACAAGGCAGCATATGTATTGCCAATGAGAAGACGTCACAAACCCGGAGTTATAGTGGCACATTTGATAGCAACGTTATACCTGCAACCCGAAAAGGTTTAAACACTAAATCAGCTTAACTTCACACAGAGAAAGAGTAATATCGAATTTAGGCCACACAAACAAAAAAGGAACAATTTGTTGATAAAAGAGTCTCCTATGGCGAAATGTGAGGCCAAAACTAAGACTTTGAATTCAGGCTATAAAATAGAACCAGTAGCACTTACTTAAGAGCTGCTTCTGCACTCTCAACTGTAACCTTGTCGTCAGTAGCATCGCGATTCAGAATTCCCAAGTCGAAGTACTTAATGTCCAAATCCAGATAAGGAAAAATAAGCTGCACACAGAGGAAGAAAACAACGTGTGAGCTCCGTAAGAAACGTATCAAATGGTACGGACATGGTGATAAGCGATAGCTACATCCTTACTTTATCCTTTATCATACTCCATATCACTCTCGTCATTTCATCGCCTGAATTTTCACAAGAGAAACAAATCCGATCAATTTTACACACAACCAGTTGCAATTTAGTGGACCCAAGCTTATGTGATTAATGCAATTTCAACCGTTGAATCAACTGAAATTTTTTAAAAATTCATGTGAAGAGCACTTAGCTGGGCGAAGAATCTCACCATCCATTTCAACGATAGGGTTCTGAACCTGAATTCTATCAGAACCGCCAGAAGATGCAAAACATCGAACAGATGAACCCCGATGAAACTGAACGGGAAAAGAGACGCGATTCCTCGAAGCGCTGCTCGAGAGCATACCGGAACCGAGAAATCCCGGCGACTTCCATGAATACCGAGGAGAAATTAACGAAGACGATAAACCAGCAGAGGAAGAAGTAGACGAAGATAACATGGTGACGCCGGCACGATACATGAAACCGCCGCGTGTGAGCTTATTCAGCATCCGAGGCTCCGCTCTTTCTTTCGATTTCGATCACTGAATACGAAGCTTCGGCAAGTGAAGAGAGTGCTAACGCGTGCCCAGAACTTCAAAGACGATTCCGGCAAAAACAAAAGAAAAGGGAACCGTAAAGATTATTTCAGTGGGCCCAAATTATAACTTAAGAAAAGGCCCAGTTACATTACAAATCCAAACCGGACCGGCCGGTTCAAATGTATCAAATTTGTAATCTGGTCCAGTTAGTTTCCATATCCGGTTTTAATTTGAAAAAGGAAAGCGAAAACCCTACTAAGGTTTTTCTCTCGTCTGGTCTGGTCAGATTTGTTCTCACAAATCATATCATCCCAAACTCCATTGTCAGCTCAAGTTTTAAGCTTTTTCTTCTTGATTTCCTCGGTGAGTATTTTTATGTCTTTTTCGCTATCGTTTTGCTGTTCCGTCTGCTTCCTTCTTATTAAAGCCGTCGCTTTTTGTCTGGTTATTGTGTTTGGTTCCAGTTTATATTAACCGCTTGTGCTCTTTGTTAAAATTTGGGTTTTTGGATCCGTGAATTGGACTTTTTTACTGATTACGGCTCATTCCGATGCTTAGAGACGATAATTGTTCTTATTAAATCTTTAATGTAATCAAACATGAAACTGTTTTTCTTCCGTGCAGCTGATTCATTATCAATGTGGTTCGACTGTTTAATATTGCGTAGCTTTGGATCGATAATTTAATTAGACTGTGTTGTGATTTTGTGAGAATCCATTGTTTGGTAAAAACCGTGTTGTTTCAGTAATTAACTCGAGACTTTTGAATTTTCAGAAAAAGAAGCTGAATCTCATTCTACAAGTGTGATTCCGAATCTCAAGATGTTACCAACTGAGTCAAAGAAGGCCTTGTCTTTCAAAAGATACATTGAAGATGGCGACTTAGTTATCGTTTACGAAAGACATGATGTGATGAAACCAGTTATAGTAAGCAAAGACGGTGTGCTTCAGAACCGTTTTGGAGTGTATAAACACTCGGATTGGATCGGGAAGCCATTAGGGACGAAAGTATTCAGCAACAAGGGTAAATTTGTGTACCTGTTGGCTCCCACTCCCGAGCTATGGACACTGGTCTTAAGCCACAGGACTCAGATTCTTTACATTGCGGATATCAGCTTTGTGGTAATGTACCTGGAAGTTGTCCCTGGCTGTATTGTTCTTGAGTCAGGCACGGGAAGTGGTTCGCTTTCGACTTCACTTGCTCGAGCTGTTGCTCCAACTGGACATGTCTATTCGTTTGATTTCCACGAGCAACGAGCTGTCTGTGCAAGGTAGAAACTTCTGTAATGTGTATCTGTCTTCTCGTTGTGCTCTTTTCTTTAAAGGTCTGTTCTTTATGCATCTTTTCTTTTTTACTCTGCTTTGCAACAGGGAAGATTTCGAGCAGACGGGTATCAGCAGTTTAGTAACCGTTGAGGTTAGAGACATTCAAGGACAAGGGTTTCCTGAGAAACTGTCGGGTTTGGCTGATTCGGTGTTTCTAGACCTTCCACAGCCTTGGCTCGCGGTTCCTTCTGCAGCAAAGATGTTGAAGGAGGATGGAGTTCTCTGCTCTTTCTCGCCTTGCATCGAGCAAGTACAACGGACTTGTGAAGTCCTCAGATCAGATTTCATTGGTAAGTCTATTTTCATTTTTAAAACATGTCTTTCTACTTTATTCTCCAAATCAAACGAAAAGAGCTGTGAAAGTAAATTCTAGTCAACCCATTACCCGAATATCCCTAACCTTGGAAGGTTCCTAAACTCAAAAGTACCATATTAGTGACTTTGGGAGTGAAAACCTCTTCTTGATTTTCAAATTTTTTTCTTACAAGTCTACCATAGTCACACATCATTTGGATTAATAACTCGAAAAACTTGTTTTAAGTAGATAAACTCCTTCCTTTACATAAATAGTTTGACATTCGTTTTCAGTTGTCATAAACAGATAAGTCACTCTTTGTTTGCAAGTTTCATTGGATCTCATACTGGTTTTTGTTTGTGATGTGATGTGTTTTGGCAGAGATAAGAACGTTCGAAGTGCTTCTCAGAACATATGAAGTGAAGGAAGTGAAAGTGGATATGGTTGGTCAGAGCCAGGACGAGAAGAATGAAGGATTGAGACCTTGCAAGAGAAAATACCGTTCAAAGGAAGACGACACCGTTTCGCAGCATGATGACTCATCTCTTGCTACTGCGACTAGTAATTCAGTCGTCATGGCTCGGCCTTGTAGCGAGGCTAGAGGTCACACCGGCTACTTAACGTTCGCAAGACTCCAATGTCAATCTTAGGTCGAATTCTCCAACCAGAAATCAACTCTCTTTCTTTTGATCCAAGTTCTCATGTATTAGATTTTGCATTTATTTAAATATATTTGCAGTTCCCTTTAAAATAATTGTTGTGAATTTGATTGTTGTAAAACAATGTTTGAAATTTGGTAATGACAACAAAACCAAATTTCTATATAAGAAAAAAGGAAAGATCAATAGATTTTAGTTCTACAACGTCTAAAATCGCAATTTTTTTAATCATAAGCAAATATTTAAATAGATTTCTTCAAACACGTAACATATATTTAGAAACGCGTTTCCTTTTTTCTCGAAATATGTAATGGCCAGCCTATAAATATCTCACAAATTCTGTTTGCTTCTTCTATTTGTTCGCGCAATTCGACTACCAGACTTTGCAGGATCAAATCCAATCTCTTTTCTCTTCTTCTTCGTTTCCTTTTTTCATCAGGAAAACAATGTGTCCTTTGAGATTCATACTAGTGTTCTTCTCAGTGGCACTCGCCGGATATTTCGCGTGGAAGACGGTGAATTCTTCGCCGGAGCTTAGCTCAGACAACTCGCCGGTGGAAGCGAAGGATAAAGATAAGCAAGGACTCGATTTCAAAAGGAAGATGGATAATGTGTTCTGGATGTTCGTTGATATGGCTACCGGAAGATACCTTTGGAGAAATCTCAAGGAGATGAGTGACAAAATTCAATGATGAAGATATACAATGTTCATCTGTTTAGCCTCTTGTGCAGAAAGTACCAGTTCTTCGTTCTCGTGGATTTTATTATTGAAAAAATTGTGACTTTTAAATCCTCAATCATGTAGTTCGTGAATAGATTGCTTTTTTTTTTTACCTTTTTTTGCTGCTCAAAATTTATTAAACTTGAAAACATACAACATATTTCTCATTCTGAACACTTGGCATAAACCAACGAGGAGTAAAGTAAACAAAAATCTAACAATGAAGGTTTATTTAGCAATTGTATCAGCATAAAGATTAGCCTGTCTCTCTATAAAAGTAAAAAAGATCCTTCAAACTTATTCCATCTTATGCCAAGGACTTACACGATTGAAGTCTAAGATAAACTTTTGCCCCGTACCAAAACAGACATTGCCCTTTAACATCATAAACTAGCCATCCAATAATATTACCACATTATTCAGACTTTATCACGAGGTTGTTCTTGTCTCTTTTTTTTTTTTTTTTTTTTTGGGTCAAAAGGTGTTGTTGTCTTGAATCCATTTTTTTCCCTACATACAAAAGTAGCTAAAACATAATTGGGCCTCATGGGCCAAGATAATTTTGAGGTTCAGAATATTAAGCCCGCCCACTAAGAGAGATATTTTCTTCAAAAGGTGCGAGTTGTTGGAAGCGAACCGGCACGCTTATTTCCTCTTCACTACGCCTCTTCTCTCTAACGTAGATTTCTACAGAGTGAGAGTGAATCAAAGGTCTCTGCTGTGATTTTTTTCCTTGGATAATCTGCAACATTCTCTCTCTCTCTCGACAGTGAAACCCAGTAGGTGTTTTTCATTAATCTTTTTTTTTTTTTGCTTTCAGTCCCGATATCTCTGGATCCGATTTGCCGTACCACTTCCGGGTAGTTGGGGGATTTTAGCTGCATTTCATCTTTTATTCGTAGTTTTCTGGCGTAGATTGTCTGTGTTTATTCGCTTTTGTTTTGTTTTGTCGTCTGGTGGAATCTGTTCTTCTCTGCATGCTAGGGTTTTCGCTCGAGCTGTGTCCGAATCTCTGGCTCTGTGCCATTTACTGTCTTGAAAGTTTATCGTAGTGTTGTTAAGGGTTCTAATTTTCTGTTGTTCATTCGTGTGAAGCTATAATCGATTTTTGACAATCTTTTTCTTCCAGGAAATTTGGAAATGGCTGCTACAGCTACTGCTTCTACAATCCGATACGCACCTGAGGATCCAAATCTCCCAAAGCCATGGAAAGGGCTTGTGGATGGCAAGACTGGGTACTTGTACTTTTGGAATCCAGAGACGAATGTGACCCAGTACGAGAGACCACCTTCTTCAGCTCCTCCCAAGCCTTCTCCTGCTCCGGTAAGCGCTTCGGCTCAGACTCAGCAGCCTTCTTCTGGATATCTCCGTGCTTGCAGTCCGGTGAAGGAGGAGGATAAGTACAGCAGGGGCTGTGATGGGCCTAAGACTGACTCTGGCTCTAGGTTTACTGAGGTACTAAACCAGTGGTTCTGTCCTTAGCTTCTACCGTTTATATACTCTTTAAATTTTCCTATCCCACCTTGGTCGTCTCGTCGTGTATCATAAGATTCATCTTTTCATTTGGGACAGGCTAGCAGAAGTGAATCAGCAAATGCCAACAATGCTGCATCTGCCAGAGTAGGGCCGCCTTCTTCAGCTGCTGGAACTGAATCGTTGTCCCCAGAGGCCTATTGTCGCCGTCATGAAATAACTGTTACTGTGAGTATATTATCTGTCTCTCTTGGTGGGTTTTATCTGGTTGCTTTCTCCTCCGAGGTGGTACACTGATATAGTTGCAGGCCTGTTATGTTGGTTTCTGTATCTTACTGACTCTGGTTTTCATTTTTATTTTTCGCTAGGGAGGCCAAGTACCACCACCTTTTACGTCTTATGAAGCCGCTGGTTTTCCCCCAGAGCTTCTCCGGGAGGTATGAAATCACCTTATCTTTCCTTATCACATCAGGTTTTCTTTTATGGTCACACTGTTTTTGGTTGGGGAAAGTTAAATATTTTCACATTTTTCTGCAAGGGAGCTTGATTTTCTTTTTGAGTTTTTCTTTTTCTGTTTCTAAAATTCCAGACTTATTATGTCTGCTAGCTTAACTGTTTTGTTTGAGGGAGTGGGCTACATTCTATTCCCATACTGCTCTGAAACCGAGCTGGACTATTTTGAGTTTTTTCTTTTGTTTGGATGGAGTGATTTTTAAAAGAGGGCTATTTTGCCTACTATTGCACAGATTTATTATATCTGCTAGCCATAGATGTCTCATGAGAGTTTTACAAATTTAGATTTTATGCCATGTGCACTCTCTTTTGTCCCAGGTGCGATATTTGCTCTTGGAGGAGCTAATGTCGTACGCTGTGCCACTTCTTTGGGGTCCTTGCAAATTATTTGGAGTGCCCTTTTTGGTGGACCAAATATTTTGGTAAGGGCTTTCAAATTCATCCAAAGCTCGTGGCAGAACCTTTTTGATGTTGATGATTCTTTTTCCCCGTTGGGACTAGACAGAAGTAGATTCGTCCTCCTGCTGCAGCCTGCAAATGGGAGGATGATGCTTCTTCTGGCTCCATAAGCCCTTAACAGAACCCTTGTGTTCCTATTCTAAAAAGAGCTTTCTTGTTTTTTGTTTTCTCAGGTATACAGTGCAGGATTCTCAGCTCCAACTCCAATTCAAGCTCAGTCATGGCCAATAGCGATGCAGAAGAGAGACATAGTAGCCATCGCTAAAACAGGCTCTGGAAAAACTCTTGGTTACTTGATTCCAGGCTTTATGCATCTCCAACAAGTCCGCAATGATACACGGATGGGCCCGACGATCTTGGTCCTGTCACCTACTAGGGAGTTGGCCACACAAATCCAAGCTGAAGCTGTGAAATTTGGGAAGTCATCAAGAATTTCATGTGCTGTAAGTCAAACTCCTTGAATCTGTATTCACTGAACTTGCTACTTGAGTAGTGTCTTCTTATTGAGCCTTTTTTCCCCGATGGTTGTTTGTAGTGCTTGTATGGTGGAGCACCAAAGGGTCCACAGCTGAGGGAAATTGAGAGAGGTGTAGATATTATTGTTGCAACTCCCGGGCGATTGAATGATATCCTTGAAATGAGGAGGATCAGTCTGCATCAAATATCTTTTCTTGTGCTAGACGAAGCTGATAGAATGTTGGACATGGGGTTCGAGCCTCAGATCAGGAAAATTGTGAATGAGGTTCCCACTAAGCGTCAAACCCTCATGTACACAGCGACATGGCCTAAAGAGGTCAGGAGAATAGCAGCTGATCTGCTCTCTAACCCTGCCCAGGTCAACATTGGTAACGTGGACGAGCTTGTGGCGAACAAGTCCATCACTCAGGTTTGTGATTAGATTCGATTTCCTTTAGTTATCCTGGTTTTTGATACTGTTAAGTCATGATTAACATTGATCGATCTGATGGTTTTATTTTGCTTGATGCAGACTATTGAAGTCATAGCACCGATGGAGAAACAAAGAAGGCTAGAGCAGATATTGAGGTCTCAGGAACCTGGTTCCAAGATTATAATCTTCTGCTCGACCAAGAGGATGTGTGATACTCTCGCAAGGAACCTGACCCGCACGTTTGGAGCTGCTGCTATACATGGAGACAAGTCTCAGCCAGAGAGAGATGATGTACTGAATCAGTTTAGAAGTGGCAGGACTCCTGTTCTTGTTGCAACCGATGTGGCTGCTCGTGGACTTGACGTTAAGGACATCAGGTAATGAATACATGATTTGCAGTTACGAATTTTTCGATTATAAAGAAAGCTTGGAACAAATGATGATACTAATAAAGAATCGTGATTCGCAGGGTGGTTGTGAACTATGATTTTCCAAATGGAGTAGAGGATTATGTCCATAGGATCGGAAGAACCGGAAGAGCTGGAGCAACCGGTTTAGCTTACACCTTCTTTGGGGACCAAGATGCAAAGCATGCATCAGATTTGATCAAGATCCTGGAAGGAGCAAACCAGAATGTTCCTCCACAGGTCCGTGAAATGGCTACACGCGGTGGTGGTGGAATGAACAAATTCCGCCGCTGGGGTACACCTTCCGGTGGTGGCCGTGGAGGAGGAGGTGGTGGCTATGGTGGCCGTGGCGATTCTGGTTATGGTGGTCGCGGTGGCGATTCTGGTTATGGTGGTCGTGGGGGTGATTCCGGCGGCGGTAGAGGAAGCTGGTCTTCTTCGCGTGACAGGTAAATAACAAATGAAGCCGTTATATTTTGTTTGATCTCATAAACTCTTATTGCATATAAACTTGAAATCGAGTTTTTGGTGTTTGAAGCAGTGGCAGCTCGGGATGGGGAAGAGAGAGAAGCCGGAGTCCTGAGAGATTCAACAGAGGTCCACCGTCGAATTCTTCTCCGCCTCGCAGCTTTCACGAGGCTATGATGATGAAACAAAGGTAAACTTATTGGTTTTTTTACCAGATCGGGGGTATATATATTTTATATTAATGAGCCCCGTTCCTTCGGTTAATTATTCATTTTGTGATCGTGTGTGTGTGGAGCCAAGTCGCTAATTACTTTTTAACACCACACACCCGGAGAAGAAAGATACTTCTAATGTTTTTGTTCTTCGGAGAAACCTTTTTTTGTTTATATATCAAAACAAAGACTCGTTACGTGTTCTTACGTTGCTGATGGTCTTAGCGTAATATTATGTTATGACTTTGGTACTTTTAAGCAACAGGTTTGTTTGGTTATTGATTTCCATAATAATCTTTACATATCCACCCGAAAACAAAACAAAATGAAATCTATCAATCACTGAATGCCTTTCGAAACTGTTTATTGTAGTTGTACGTTTAAATTAGAGAAAGAAAAATTGTTCAACTTGGCTTTTACAAAAATATTGCTTTGATTTGTATGAGCAAGCCCATGAGTTTGATTGCTCACGAGCACATAAATTTCCTTGAACCAAAGTCCACAGTTCGATTAGAATGCGTTTGACCTTTACAGTCGCATTAAATAAAATAAGAGAAGCAAATAAAGGGTTTTAGTAGATTAAAGTTTGAATCAATCATATGAGAAATATCAAGACTGATCGCAACCTAACTTCTGAATATAAATAATATATCTTAGTCATTATTAGTTTCAAATTTAGGAATATTACATTTTGAGACTTGAAATAATTAATATAATTTTTTTATAAAACGGCGGGGAGATTGGTGAGAAATACTTTTTAAAAAACATCCTTTTTCTTATGATTTTTATTGGTCCATAGAAGTCAAAAATCCTTAAAAGGCTACATATGGGGTTTTTGATTCGGATATGGGCCTTTATCAGTCAATAAGCCTAACTTAGCGTTTTATCAAACAGACAAACGCAACATGAACATGATCAAGATTCAAGACAGACGAACAGACACAATAAATAGTCAGACCAGAGTTTCCTAAGGAAGAGAGAAAAGGTTTTAACCCAAAATGATCAAGATCCTCTCATCTCCTCTGTTAACTCACGAACCGACTCCAGAATCCGGCAATACTCATAGAACAACACAGACTTATCACCATCAAGACCATTCCTGGTTACTCTGTTACCCCCAGCGAGGTTGTTGCACGGGCTGCCTCCAATCACCAGATCAAACCCACCATACCGCTTCATCAGCTCTTTGATTTTGTCTTTCGTTACGCGTTGGACGTCTGAAAACTCCACCAACTCTCCTTTCTGGTTCGTTTGTTTCCAAAAGTCCTTCAATATGCTTCTGTTGATTTCCGATATCTCCACGGAGACGACAACTCTCATGGGGATTTGGAGTCGGTGAAGAGCCACTTCTCCTCCACCAATCCCCGTGAACAGTGAGAGCACATTGATTCCCTTTGGATACAGGGGTTTCAGGACAGACAGATGATATGCCACGGTGTCCACCTAAAGCAAGTTCAAACCATCAAACATAAATTATCAACAACAATACCATAAACGCAACACACTCTATGGTCAATGCTAAAATAGTCACTTGTACATGTATAGTGGCAAAATATCATCAGGGGAAGTTACCTGAAAAGAGTTGCCGAGTGACTTAAAACGCTCGGACCTGCTCATGCCACCGCCGCGCGTATGGTTTCTCGGATATCCCAGAAGATTCTCCATTTCGTCCGCCTCGAGTGGGGCGGTTTTTGTTTCTCCCACCCATACAAGATTCCACCTTCTGCACTCTTCAATGACGTACTTTTTTACATGGTCAGGTGGTTCTCCAGTATGAGCCTCTAGTGCTTTGCGGATCCTAAACGTCAACTGGGCACTAGCTGTAACAGTCAAAATGCAGTTCAGCTTGGTCCTTGGGTCCCATGTTGGCCACCACCTCTTGCTTAGAGGAAATGCCTCTTGAACTGTGTATTTTGGAGGAGGCTGAATCTCAAACCTGTTGCTGATGGGGAGGTTGTGTATGTATCCTCTCTTCCTCGCTGCGGCACAGATGTATTTCGAGTCCACAAACTCTGGCGCAATGTCGTACAAGTGTCTTGAGAAGGTCTCCCAAACGCCTTTAGGAGCAAGAGCAACGTTTTCATAGTAGAAATATGGTGGGCCTCGAACTGAAGGTGGGAGTGACCTATGTGTGATGCCTCCTGGCTCATTTGGAACCCCAAATCCTATCATTGGGTTTGGTAGGCGAACCAGCTGGGTATCCTTGGGCTCTCTTGTTGGCTCTATCCGCCTTTTCTTGACGTCATGACTAGGCTGCATTCACAAAAATTTACGTCTCTCATATTGCTGACTGATTGATTATATACATGCACCAAAGAGTTTCTGACCATACCTTCCGTTCTTCAGGGTCAGTGTGAAACTCATCAGATTCTCGAGCCATCTGAGCAGCACAAATGAAGTCTGCGAGATCTGCGAGGCTCTCATCTTCGCCTGAAGTTTCGACAAGGCGACAACATACGTTACATGAAATACATCTAAACATCCAACAACTGTATTATACGCTGATGGCAATGGATTTACAGAGAGCTTACCACATCTCTCCAAAGCTAGAGAAGCTTCAAGGTGAGAGAAACCCATTTTCATCAAAGACCGCAATTGACTGCCGTTTGCAAGGGAGGAGCCTGGATCTTTCTGTCATGTCAGAAAAATGCATACATCTGTAAATCACTGAGATACATTTGCACTACTGATTGGTGGTGTGATGTTTAGATACATGAAACTGATATACCTCATCATCCTCATCATCACTTTCTGACCAGTCAATGTCATCTTCTTCCTTTACCTCAGGCAACTTCTCTGCCTACAAACCACCAACGAAATTTAAGATATATTTTAATGCAAGGAGACATGAAATCTTCGCAACATCACTCACCGCACAAGAGACGAGTGCATTTGCTATTTCTTCCATATTGTCTTCTCCTGCGAGATATAAAAACAAATGTCAAGAAAAAAAAGCCAAAATAGTTTTACTTGTTAGTTACGTAGAAAGAGAGAGATCTGTGTAACTACCATGTTCTTGTATGGCTTTGATAACCTTTTCCTCATCAAATCCCATCGCAAGGAAATGATCGATAGTCTTGGACTTGGAAGAGCCAGCTTCACAGTTACTCTTCACAAAGAATAATAAGATGAATCAGATATACACAATCTAAAACGACAACCGAAACGTTTACGACAGGAGCACATGAAAGTTGCAAGCAACACCAAGGATACAAAACACTAGAAACTCACCGAGTATTTAGAGATAGTATCGATAATCACCGAAGTATCTGCTCCAGGTCCTGAAAATTGATAGATATCACAGTATTAAAAACCTTTAAAAAACATGTATGTGGAGATAAAGGAAAAAAAGGCTCACCATTTTCCTGGATTGCTCTAGCAATCATCTCCAAGGGAAAGCCCATGTCAACCAATGTAGCAAACATCTCGTCTGAAGTGATTGCTGGAGGTGGAGATGGAGGTGGAGATGGAGATGGCTGGTAGTTATCGATCTCCAATTCCAGATCAGTATCGTTATTCCAATCAGCAGAATCCTGCGCCATCATAAACATTGATTTACAAAAAGAAATAGGGCAATGAGATTATGAGAGTTATTCCAGCAATAATAAAACCTCATGCAGGCTAATCACAATGTACCATTGTTGTGCTAAGGTGATTGAGATCAAGACTCGTAACTGAGGATCGATTTTAGGATCTCCTGTGTGACCTCAGAGTAAACCCTGCCAAATTATCATCAAAACAGTGGCAAATGCAATTGCTAAGTATCAAAAACCTCTTCTGAAGTATTGGATTTTGGAAATCAATGAGTAATCAAAAATCGTGATACGATACAAAGGCATGACCTCATCTACACAAGTTCTATTTCAGTGGATTTAAAAAGAGCTCAAATAGTTTTTGAAGACCAAGTTCATAAGGAAATCAAACGAGTTGAACAGTAAGAGAGGAGCTCATGTACTCGAAATTACCTGGTTAGATTTTGTGTGATTCCTGGAAGATCAGACCGATCCCTTGCGTTTTTGTAACAACGGGAAGTGAATGAAATTTCCGAAGATCCTCCAGTAGAAGAAAAAGGTAAGGAATCCAATTTAGAGAACCCAGGAAAGCATAAAGCAAAATCAACGAATAGAATGGGCGCTAAAAAGGTTAAAGGTTTGAGATTGAGAAGTGTTATTGAAAATGGAGTGAAGTGTGAAAAAAATATTGAGAAGAGTTATCGACAGCGTCAATGGTGCTGAAGTGTGAAAAAGAGTAAGCGTATAAGCCCTGTTAAACCCTAGAAGTTTAAGCGCGCATTAACATCCCTACAGAAAGCTAGTGTACGAGAATGAGAGTAATACCAGAGAAATCCGAATATAAGGCAAAGAGCTCCGGTCGCCGGCAAAATTCCGGTCGGCGTGGTGTGTGTCCCGTCGTTCGTCTAGACAATAAGCTATCAAAGACGACAGAAAAACAATAAACAAGGTGAGTTAAGAGTTTGTCATTTTATAACTTTATTTTTGTTTTGTAAAAATTATTATTTATTATTTTTTTTATAAAATGTCAAACAAAAATCTATTTAGCTAAAATTTTAATTATTAATTTTTATACAGGGGTTTCAGGAAGTGAAATGGGTTAAACTTACACTTATTCCCCCAAAACATGAATCAGTCGTAAAATTTAAAAATAATTTTGGCACAAGCGTTGGATGCATGCCAAAGGTAAGACACGTGACAATCGAGAGAAGAATATTTAAATAATCCCACATAATTGAAGCTAGTCAAAGACAGTTGTTAACATTACATTAATCATCATCATTCATAATTTCATATCATACTATAAAGTACAACAGCGCTTCTTAATAAGTGAAAAATGTCTAGTCATCCGTGGCAAGAGAATAAACGACACAAATACGTAGATAGAGATGAAAGCTAAATTATAATCCTGAGAAGCTAACTCCATTACTTAATCGATCGCATGTGTAATGATGTAACACACACATCTTCTTATATAGTGATGTAATCATTTAGAGACTAAGGAAGGAACATTGCTTTCGAGCGTGGTCAGGTATCAGCTTAGACAACAACTCTAAGCTTCCTCCTTTAAGCTCTACAAAATATAACAACAAAAAAAAAACCATTTAAAAAAAAGGATACCCACTTTTAGTGTTATTTAAATTAAAATTTGGAAAACAAATAAATGCACATTCTTCTTTTGGAGGAGACAGACCTTGAGGCTTAAAATTGAAGAGAGGAGGCAAGGGACGACCATTAGGCAGACGTGTATTGGGATCACGTAGCTCATCGAAGAACGGGTGAACTATTGCCTCCATCTACAATCAACAAGTTTTTGATTTGTTTGAATCAACCACCAAACGGATATCGAATATAGAGTGTTTATTTTATGATGTGATGAAACTGTAAAGATTTCATGGACTTACAGCGGTTGATCTGAGGTTTGGAGAATACTGGAGAAGTCTTGAGGCGAGGTCTACAGCTTCTGGAGGTGTACGCTTATGGAATATCTTAGGAAACCAAAAACTAAATCAGTGAGGAGAAAGAAATGAACATGGAGGAGAATGTTGAGAAACTGATGAGTGTTTGCTTACTTTGTGCCAAGGATGAGCCTTTATTTGAGGGAATTTGAATTCAGTGTAGTTTGGATTCATACATTTGATTTCCTCTCGAGTTGGTGTTCCAAGAACCTTTATAATCTCAACTAGCTGGTCCACTCCACTCTCACCTGGAAACAGAGGCTACCCAAAAGATGGACCAGCAAAAGATTGGTAAATAAACAACTTTAGAAATCATTCAACGATTCACAAAAGATCAATGATGGAAAGTTTTTGAACGGTCAAACTACCTGTCCAAGGAGCAATTCAGCAAGAACACAGCCTGCAGACCATATGTCAATAGCTGTTGTATATTCCGTGGCTCCAAATATAAGTTCAGGTGCTCGATAGTAACGGGAGCAGATATATGAGATGTTCGGTTCGCCTTTGACCTGTTGCAGAGTGGCAATTCTCAAATGGTTAAGCTCAGTTTACACTACTCTTTTATCAACGACGGTTAGGACTAGTATCAGTGTTGTTTAGTACCAAAAGATGTGCCAGCTTTTTCAGATTAAAATAAAATCAACATATCTCTTATTCGGAATAATAGATGCTATACCAGAACTTTAGCGCTACCAAAGTCGCAGAGCTTGACCTGATGTGTATGAGGGTTGACCTACGAGAAGCACAAGATTAATTAAAGCAGCCGCATGTAGACCATAAAAAGCTATGACCAAGATCTCAAGTTAGGACACGAACCAGAAGATTTTGTGGTTTGATGTCTCTGTGGCAGACTCCTACTCCTCCATGAATGTATGCCAAAGCTCTGCAAATCTGCATACACAACAGGAAGGCAGAGAAAAAGTTACGAAAATCACTGAAACAATAGTGAATTAGCCATAGAATTTCAACTTATTCTCACAGGCTGAACGAAAAATTACCTGATATGTATAGAGTTTAACATATATCATGGGCATCCTCTGATTTGCCCGACTGTAGTGCTTTGAGACACGGTATACAGTCTCAGGAACGTATTCAAGGACCAAGTTGAGATACAACTCATCTTTCTCGGTGGTTGAGAAAAAACAGTGCTTGAGGGACACAACATTGGGGTGATCAAGAAGACGCATCGTCTGCAGCTCGCGGTTCTTGTATCTCTTGTCTTGCAAAACTTTCTTGATTGCAACAGTTTCCCCCGTTTCCAAACACTTGGCCTGAATATAGAAACGTAACAAGATAAAAAAGAAGAATGATCTACATTAGGTACATGCACCAGCCACTTAAATAGTAAACTCAGTTATTCAAGGTATGTAATCGAAACACCACCTGGAAAACAATTCCAAATGAGCCTTGCCCAACGATGCGCTCTGCCATGTAACTAATGGTCTGAAAGAGAGTAAAAGAAAAAAGAGTTACAAGAGCTGCAGCGATCGCAAGTTATCCCATTTAATCCGTAGGATTTAGTCATTGTGCCAGTAATGTATACAAATGATATTTCTGCCAGCTTAACATAATGTTAGGCAAACTAACCTGTTTAGGCTGGCCATTTTTACCACCAATAGTTGTAACAATAATGTGACCTGTTTCAGTTCCATTCCCATCAACCACAGCTGCTTCCATTTCCTAAAAGAGCAAAGCAGAAAGAAGAAAACACACATTAGTAGCAAAACAAAGAGGCCAAGTATGTTCAAGCTTATCTTTATGAATATAAGTTCAGAAACCTTATCGTCTTTTATCTTCATCTCATTTATTCCTTCAGGTAGTTTCTCAGCGCATAGGGAATCATTGTTCTGTTTTGTAGCCATCGAAGAAGGTAATGTTCCCACAGACGCCATATTTAACAACTTTGATCTGTCAGGGCCAAAGCACCAAAGAAAAACACATTACATTGGTTTTTAGTTAAATCCAATTACACAACCAAATACTCGAACAAAATGACCAAGCACAGAGACAGTGAAGAGGATCTTAAGAAGTAAGAACAGCCCAAAACCTAGCTACGTTTAACTCCGATCCAGTTAACATAGATTCAGGTAGAAAATATTCACAAACTTCAACGTTACTAACGAGAAGAGCACCTATCTAAAAAAACTTAAAATTTCAGTTCCATAATCTCTCGGCGTCAAGCTAAACAAGTGAACAAATCAAAAAGATGAAATGAAACCGCCGACACCGTCGTGGCGGCGCCGTACCTGAATGTCTCCGCCGCAGATTCACTTCGTCATCTTGTGTTGGCAGCAACTAGAAACCCTAGAAAACTCTTGCTCGCCGAAAATGGCAAATCTCTCTCTCTTTCTGTGCTGTGTTTCGGAGTTCTCTCTCTCTGTATTTTGTTTTTTTTTTTCTTCTGATGGCAGAGAAAGCGGACCCCAATAGGTAGTTTCAAAGTTTTAGTTGATAGTTAGTTTTGACGTCCGCGCTTGAGGAAGAGTGCCCGTACACGTGGCGTGTTCTGGTTGGAAAAACTTAGACTCACGTCATTTGTGTTGACTGCTTTTAATTTATTTGAAATGCTTTGCTGTAGTTAGGTGTATGGTAAGCTTCTCAAGTTGACGGTTAGATTTTATTAAGAAAAAGTGAGAATGAATGTCAGGAAATAATCGGACGGCTACGCTTGGGAGGAGTAGGAAACGTATATTGAAGCATGGCGCACATAGATTCTCGTTCCTCGCTTTTTCGATTTTTTTTTAATTGTGATATGTTGTTTTGTCAGAGAAAAGGTAATCTGAACTACGAAATCGCCAAGTCAGCATAAAAGCGACAAGATCAGGTTCGCTAAACGATGTCGTGTCTTACTCGACCGTTAGTCACGCACGAGACGATGGGCCTTAAACTGGTATGGGCTTAATATATTGGGCTAGTTTGGCTAAATAATATCTGGGCTTTCTAATGATGCATAGTCGTTGAACATTGGAGGAAGTGTGATGTGACAACAATTTGATAAGTGTTTACGCATTAGGAGGAATTACAAATTATAAAGAAATGGTTACGACAAAAGAGTGAATTTCGTACACGATACTAGACAAAACCATCAGACAAATTGGCGTTATTCACAGCGTTGCGTACAAATCCGTGCATGTAAATATTAATACAAAAGTTGACTAAAAAACATTAGTATAAAAATGATTTATATCCATACACGCCTATTTGTATAACAATAGATTAAATGGAATTACATTATATACATAAGAAGGTAGCAAACGTTACATCAAATCACGGGTTAAGATTACATAATGGTGCAATTTTCAAATAATACGTCTTACGCGAGTTGTTGGGCATATACACAAATTCTACCGAGTGCTAGAAATTATAGTTCATGTGACTTGCGAGGTATGACCACTTTCCGTGAAATTATTCAACTTTTTTCTTCCCCACGTAATATATACAGAATTTACTAACAAATGTATTTTTCATCTTCCTCGTGGAAAGCATCTTGACCAAATAAATGAAAAAAAAATGTTTTTTTCAATCAAATACAAATTGCAGCATACGTATCTCGATCTCGTACTACACATTTTCAAGATCTTGAGAAAGAGGACAGGAAATCAGTTACTTGACATAGAAGCATTGGAATACCGTTAAACCAATTTTTTATAATCACACTTTCAACTGCCAAAGCAAGAAAAATTAATAAAATAGTACCAACAGTTTCAAATAGAACCAGTGATTTAATTATTATAAATTTGAGACCAATAGGCTTCTCAAGATCATGAAATCAAAAAGAATAATTCAACCAACTTTGTCAAAGTCAACGCATGGGATGCATACACGTAGCAACGTGCTAATCTATATTCTATAGCAGTCTATATCCTTCCACCTGGGGCTGCATGCAAAGTGTACTTTCATCACGAGTTCAATTTCATACTTTGAATCTTACTAAATACTAACATTACCGAAAATAATTAAACCAAACAACCCTTAGATGTTGGTCTAGTTTCTCTATAACAATAAACAGAAAACCGTATCGAGCATCCCCTGTTGCCATTCAACGAAATGTCTTTGAATATTGACGAGTTGAACATAAAGGATTAGTAGATTTCAATTAGCGTTTGAAAACGATGCAGTGACACCATATACTTAACCTAAATTACGGTGCTTGATTTAAGGAACTAAAAATTAACAAGATTATCTTATGATGAGGTTTACGTGACATACCTGTAATTGTATGGCAACTTTTCTTGACCTTTTCATAAAAGCCTTCGACATTTCTGGCGATGCCTGATAAATGGATTTTGGTTTTGATTAAACCGAAGAGCTTGACTGGTTAAGTATCTGATTTAACAAGACCCCTGTTATTTATAAACGACAGTGATCAGTTGCTTCTAGCGATTATCGAACTGCACACATACCTCAACATCAGTAATACATAGCCATTTAATACCATGAAACTTCGAATTTATTGCTAGATAACACTAAGATGTTTGAAGCGACCCCAAAAAGTAACACGCATTATTCAAGAATCAATAACTAAATCGTAATTAAAGATTTTGATGATATTCAAGAAGAAATCAAAGCCAAATCGCAAGTAAAGTGTGACGATGCGGTCAATCGAACAAGCTGATCAAGCAAGTAAACCTCCATCAGCTTTTTTACTCATTTTCCAATTAATTTTAAAATATAGCAAATGAGTAGAACATGCTTGAAGAGGAAGAGAGTTCCAAAGCTTTTTGTCCTCATCTAACTGTTTAACTGTATCATGGATTCATAACTCATATGCGGAACAGTGCTTTTCTCTACTTATAAATATGAGCCTCTCTTTAACAACTTCCTCTTCATTCCATACTAAAACACATTCTTCCTAGAAACAAATTGTTTTTCGATACTAAAGATGTATAGACTAATCTTAAAATGTCTTTCCCTGAAATTTCTCCTTTTACTCTCCCTATCCTCTTCGAGATTCGGGACTTGTGACGCTAGATACAGTGTATACGGGACAGGAAACCGCAGGTCTATCGCTGAAGGGGAAAGTTCCGGAACACTCAATGTCCTTGACTATGGCGCAAAAGGTGACGGGACAAGTGATGACACGAAGGTGAATGAGCATTCCTATGATTCAGCAGCATAGATATCTCTGTTTTACACATAAATAATGCAATCATACCGTCCAAGAAAATTAAAGAATTTGATGTATTAATGTACCGTTAATATTGCAGGCTTTTGAAGATGCTTGGAAGGAAGCTTGCAAGGTGGCAGCATCGACATTATTAGTTCCATCTGGTTCTACATTCCTCGTTGGACCTGTTTCCTTCCTGGGAAAAGAATGTAAAGAGAACATAGTGTTTCAGGTGAATTTCCAGTGAAAAGAAAGAAAACAAACAATGAAAGTTAATTCGAGAATCATTAGTTATATAATTGGTACCGATTGTACTTGGACCATGTGCAGTTAGATGGAAAGATCATAGCTCCAACGAGCTCAAGTGCGTGGGGATCAGGTCTCCTGCAATGGATAGAATTCAAATCGCTTAAAGGAATCACTATAAAGGGAAATGGGATAATAGATGGACGAGGATCAGTATGGTGGAACAAGTCCCCTGACTATGATCCAGCAGACGAGTCAGAGTCAATGAACGACATGGTAATAATGAATTCAATTTTCTTAGCTAAACAAAATTTGGATAATCTATCTTGCAATAACCTAAACTTCTTGTACTTCGATTTTTGAAAGGTGAAGGAACAATTGAGTACGAAAATGCCAGGAACTAAACCAACAGTAAGTTTCATCCGTTTCGTCACATGAAATGGAGATGCCTATGAAAAAAGAACATTTGAAGCTTAATTTGATTACCGTGGTTGGTATGTATAGGCTTTGAGATTCTACGGGAGCAACGGTGTAACGGTGAATGGAATAACCATACAGAACAGCCCTCAGACCCACCTCAAGTTTGATAACTGCGTAAGCATTCAAGTGTCTGATTTCACAACTTCATCCCCTGGAGATTCCCCAAACACAGACGGCATCCACCTGCAAAACTCTCAAGATGCAGTTATTTACCGCAGCACGCTGGCTTGTGGTAACTAAAGATATTACAAGTCGACTCATTCTTAATAAGACACTACAAGTCAAAATTATCATCAGTTTCTTGCATTCTACAGGAGATGACTGTATATCAATTCAAACTGGATGCTCGAATATCTACATACACGATGTAGACTGTGGGCCTGGCCATGGAATCAGCATCGGAGGACTAGGAAAGGACAAAACAAAGGCGTGTGTTTCAAACATCACTGTCCGTGATGTCACCATGCATGAGACTACGAATGGTGTTCGAATAAAATCCTGGCAGGTAAATTCCTCTACACAAGTATTTGCATAGCATGCCATAACAATTCAACGATGCTGACAACTTTCTACTAATGTTAATGGTAGGGAGGGTCAGGGTCTGTGAAACAAGTTATGTTTTCAAATATTCAAGTCAACGAAGTAGCGAATCCGATAATAATAGATCAATATTACTGCGATGGTGGAGGATGCCACAATGAAACTTCAGCAGTCGCTGTATCAAACATAAACTATATAAACATAAAAGGTACCTACACAAAGGAACCTATACGCTTTGCCTGCAGTGAGAGCTTGCCATGCACAGGGATCTCAATGTCGACCATCGAGCTTAAGCCGGCCACATATAAAGCAAGTTCACGTGATCCTTTCTGCTGGGAAGCACATGGTGAACTGAAAACTAAGACTCTTCCACCAATTCAATGTTTGAAAACAGACAAGTCAGCAGGAGGTTCAAGTCAGTCTTACAATGATGCTTGCTGATATTAGAGCAAGCGATCGTGTAAAAGTATTAAGATAGGGTTATACGAATAACGAATAACGAAGGATTAGTTCCCTTAGTTTGCCTTATACTAGTTTGTATATATCAACTGCAAACAAAATGTAACATGTTGCACGTTAATCTATTGGATATGTTAGACTACTGGGAGTTATTACATTGGTCAAAATCAAAACAAGAGATCCCAACAAACCTAATCACAATTATGACTTTGGGACCACTTAACACAGATCAAAATACAAGCAATATAATTATCCATAAAACGAGTTTTATCATCTGAGAGAAATTGAAAAGGTAACAACTGAGAGCTAAACGTTATATAAAACTAAATATTCCAATTTCCAACACAAGTAAACCACTAATGCATTTTACTTCATCAAAAACGATATACCAAGACATTGTTGAACTTAGCCGGCAAGAACATTCTAAACACAATTCTAAAGCTCAACCTAAAATGCCAACATTAGATAACAGCACAAAACAGACAATCTGTATATTACTCTGACAAAAAGATTCTGAAATATATAATCTGTGTCTCAACCGTACATCCTGTTTGGGAGATTTTCATCACACAATGTGATGTGCTCCTCTAAATTTAGAAAGGCAAACGCGTTTCTTGTCGTTGTCTGCTTCCTATATCATAGTTAAATCCTGCAGCGGAAAATAGCAAGAAAATTTTCACGACAAAAAACCAAGAAAACAAAGAATAAAAACTCAAGCTCAGAAATAACAGTTGTACCCATATCCTACACGAAGAGGAAAACGAGAATTTGAGCGAGAATGTCTCATCAACGTTTGCCAAAACCAACTCCTGCTTTCTTTGGTTGTCGTGCTTGTACTCTTTCAGGGCTTGGCAATCCAGTTTTTTCTTCATACTTCTTTTCTAGGGCCTGCGGTACAAAGCTTGTCAGGAATACTGTAGAATTAAGATAACAAACATGTTTAGACAACGGACAACTTATTTTTTAAGATGTTCACCAAAAGTCACTATGTACAAAAGGGTGATTTTATCCACGAAATTTAACTGCTGTGCTGCTACAGTTTTTACTCACCTCTAGCTCTTGACGAATGCTGTCAAGAACTTGATCCGTCATTCTGTCGAAGAAGAGAACTCCCTGTAGTTGACAGATAGTACCATCAGACCGAAACGAAACCTTGCAAGTTGCAAGTGATACTCACATATAGCAACACCAGACACCTCCATGAACACAAGTAAAAAAGCATGCCTAGTAGTAACACACAATGTACTAAACGAGAATATATCAGCTTTCTCTCTGGTTTCTTCCAGTTGTATTGTATATAAACACAAATGCAGCCATTGAGCTGTCCATAAATGTATTTCTATCTTTTGTCTCTACTGTTCAACCAACGCAGAGTGGAGAAAGAACCTCGAGATGGTCGTATTCGTGCTGAAAGATCCGTGCAGGTAAACGTGAAAGACTGATTGAAAACTTTGCACCGGTAATGTCCCTTGCATCAATCTTGACAGATTGTGGTCGCTGAAAAGCAAAAGTAAAATGACGGTTAAGAGAAGAAACACAAGACTGGTGAAGAAGTAATTCAGTGGAGGAAGGTTGAACATACAACTACATCAGCATAGATCCCAGGGAAAGATAGGCATCCTTCGTTAAATGGCACTAATTTGTCGGAATATTTGTTGATTTTCGGATTCACAAGAACGATTTCTTCTCCTTCACCAGGCTCCCCAGCCGGATTAAACACCATGAGTTGAACATTCAGACCTACTTGTGGTGCTGAGAGCCCAATGCCATCCGTTCTGTCCAACAGCACGTAATCACAGTTAAGTACTATGTTACTTACAGATATCATACACATACATACTGTATTCAGTAAGAAATTCAAATACATTTTTCATAAATCAAAGCATATATATACAAGTTAGATACTTACTTGTACATAACATCAAACATAGCATCGACCAAGTTCTTCAAATTCTCGTCAAAAACACCAATCCTCTTGTTCTTAGCCCGTAGTATAGGATCCGGATACTCAACAATCTTCAAAGGCGTCTCAAATTGAAGATCAGAAGCTGAAACATTATCACGAAAAATTCCAAACAAAGCTACAATCAATGATAAGATTGAAAAATGCAAGCACACCAGCCAAAAAAAGCTAGAAGATACTCATTGAGTAATCACTACTACTTTCATCTCAATCCTATATGTAAACCAATGCGTATATACTTTACCCGAAGCTGCTTCGTCGTCCTTGCGCGAGAGGCGTTTTACTTGAGCCCGGACCGGAGTTGTCAAAGGTCCGGTCCGGTTCACGGCGGAGGAGAACATGACGGTGGTTTTGAGTCGACTATAACCGGCAGAGAGATTAGCAGCACGGCGAGAGAAAACCGGTAGTAAAAAGCGACAGAGTGGCGGAGCTTGGATGAAGCAGTTACAGAAGGCCATGGCTAGTGATTTTCGGCTACTGGAGAAGAAAGCGTAAAACTGGATTTTGTGTGGAGAGAGTAAGTAAGGATTTTGAGTGAAATTCGAAATATTGCTATACTATAGGGACAAAGTTGCAACATTGATAAATATTCTATTATTAGAGCTCTAGCGAGAAGAGGAGAGAGTAGAGAGAGGGAGTCATTTTCTCTTCGAAACTCGCGGCTTGCGTTACAACAGATCCTTCTTTGGAGCTTCTTCGAAAGGTACAACTTTTTTGCCCTCTCATACCGATTCCTCGATTCAAATTCTGTATCATCGTTTCTCATCATCATCTCTGGTGTATTGATTTTCTCGGTTTTGTTCTGTATCGTTCTTAAGGTATCAAGAGATTGATCGATAGATTTGTCTTGTTTATAAATTCTTCTTCTTTCGCTTATGGATTTGATTTTAGTATACAAGTTTAAATCGTCGATTCCTACGTTTTCATTTTGCTTTGAATTCAATATCGTGCAAGTAAGATCCAGGCGTCGAGATAACTTTTCCCCCGATTTAGAATAACTGGGTCTTCTAGAATTTCGTCTCTGTACCTGTTTCAAGGATCTAACTATCGATATATAAGAATGGGTTGGTTGGAATTTTGTGTTGAGATTGTTTGGACCTGATCGTGTTTATCTACGGTTCAGACTTTCTGATTGTGTTGCAGAGAGATTTAAGATGCCGTGTGTGTTTTTGTTGGTCTTTAGCTGAATAGAGCTTGACTTCATTGTATTGTGGATTGCTTTGGATGTAGGGCTACTAGCTAAAAGGAAAATGGGGCTTAACTTCACGAAGTTGTTCAGCCGGCTTTTTGCCAAGAAAGAAATGCGGATTCTGATGGTAGGTCTCGATGCTGCTGGTAAGACCACCATCTTGTACAAGCTGAAGCTTGGCGAAATTGTCACCACCATCCCGACCATCGGTAAGTTATAAGGGTTCCTCGAATCAGAGTCTTTGTCGATGTTGATCCTGCTCTTTCGAGTTTCTTACTTGTATCTCTCTTCGGTTTTTATGTGATTTTCTCCTGCTCCTTCCGGTTTTGCTTCTTAAGTTTAATGTTGAAGAGGTTGTTGTTTCCAGGATTCAACGTGGAGACTGTTGAGTACAAGAACATCAGCTTCACTGTTTGGGATGTAGGGGGTCAGGACAAGGTGCGGATTTTTATTTCTCACTTAGATCATAGTATAGTGTGATAGTGCCGTGACTCATGACTTATACTGATCTTTCGTTTTACCTGATTATATGTATGCAAGCTCAATTTGAATAGCCTTCTTCTTCTTTTCTGTAATTTAACATTTGAGAATGCGGTTTCCTTGAAAACAGATTCGTCCCCTGTGGAGGCACTACTTCCAGAACACTCAAGGTCTTATATTCGTGGTTGATAGCAACGACAGGGACCGAGTTGTGGAGGCGAGGGATGAGTTACATCGCATGTTGAATGAGGTTAGCTTTCTTTCTGGCTTCCTCTTGGATCACAGTAAGACAGAAACAGCTTTCCGTAAACTGATTCAAACCCTGTTTGCAGGATGAACTGAGGGATGCTGTCCTTCTTGTGTTTGCAAACAAACAAGATCTTCCAAACGCAATGAATGCTGCAGAAATAACCGACAAGCTTGGCCTTCACTCTCTCCGCCAACGTCATTGGTAAAGTTATCTTCTTTAGATGGTTGTTAGATTGATCACACAACGTGGAAGAATGTACATTATATGCTTTTTCCTTTAACAGGTACATTCAAAGCACTTGTGCGACATCTGGGGAAGGTCTTTATGAAGGTCTTGATTGGCTCTCCAACAACATCGCTAGCAAGGTATTTAACTAAAGTCCCCATTTCGTAAAACAAGTAACAAATTGAAAGGAACACTCTTTTATAAGTATCGATATCCTTATTTAACACACCCTTTAGAGATTTAGATTGTATGCTCATCTCCATATGCAAACTCTGGCGAGAATAGTATATTCATTTATGTGTTATTATATTCTTGTTGCTCAGATATAATTCATGAAAAAAATTGATTTTGATTTGAGTAGGCATGATGGAGCTGCTGGTACAATTTTGTTGCGCTTGAAAGAGACCAATAGTGATTGTGGAGAAGAGAGAATGAAGAGGAAACAAGTATTGTAAGTTTCAAAAAAAAAAAAAAAAAAAAGTATTGTGTCTGGTGTTTTCAACCGTCCGTTGATGTTTGTGTCCTTATGTACGTCTAGTCTCTAAAACTCACGTCTACTCTTTTGCTTTTGCCTTTTAGTTTATGTGTTTTCAAATTTATCAAGTGCTCTTTGTAAGGCAGTAGATATATATGTTACCTTTGTTCTTAGAATATAAATAAATTGCCGATTCCGGTTATGCTGACTGATCACTTGGATCCAAGACCCTCTTCATCCACATGTTCAACAAGTGTTTCAATATGGATTTTGTTTCTCGTTTTCAATACAAAAAGAGAGTAACCAAAAGAAAACCGAATCAAATACACAAACGCAGTGATGATGGCTCAATAAGTGAAAAGGTTAAGTTTCCAACAGAGTTAGGCGATATGGTGAAGAAAACTAGCTGGTTCTTGCATATGGACGAAGGAGCTCCAATCAGGTGATGAAAACTAGCTGGATCTTGCATTTGGAAGAAGCTCTTGGAAGCATTAGCAAATCCGTGGTGATCCGCAACTTTTCCTCGTCGTCTTCTGCGTAAGCACGAACTTTAACAAGCTCGAGACATGACAACTCCTCCAGGAAACGCCTGATTTGCGCCACATCGTCGTCACTTCCATAATACTTTGTTACTTCTAGAACCTTGACAGGAGACGACACCACACAAAAATCTACCGGAAAGCATTCGCAAAGAACTTCGTGTTGAATATGATTGTGGCCGCACAAGGGACCCTGAAGCAAGAGGGAGGCTTCTTTGTTAGAGATTGTAAAACTGCGTTTTTGTCCAGCAAAATCTTTTGGAAGCATACCTGGATGACGAGCGTCTGTAAATTCGGACATTTCTTCAGTAGAGATGGTAGAGACGGTAGAGACGAGAGAGAATGACAGTAGCCATCAAGAGTTGTAATAGATAAATGAAACAGGTTTTGGAACACAGGCACTGCTTCATGGAAGATCCCAAAAGCCTGAAACCACAAAAATATATAATAGTCTATCATCATCAACCAATTGCAATCGTTGGAGCATATTCTTTGTACAGAGAGAAGAAAAGCAATTTACCTCAACAGTGTAGGGAAATGATAAGCTGAGGAACTCGACATTTCTCAATGCCTTGAGCAGATTCGATGGATCGCAATGATCAGGATTACCACGTCTCACATCAATATCCATGTTGGCTTCAACAAGGGAGCGAAAATTAACAACTGGATACTGAAGCTGAACTTGATCAGAGTATTCCAAGTAGACAAGATTGGGATGATCAAAACTCATGCTCCCTAACGTCTCCACTGATCCTCGAAGGGTAAGTCTCTTAAGCGTCGGACGGGACAGGATGTGGCAACATTTCCAAAGTCCCCTAATGCCATCAACGATCAGTTCCTCAAGTAAAGGGCAAGCAGAAATCAGCTTTTCAAACGCTCCAAGATTATTACAGGGGCGAATGAATTTAAGAGAGAGAGACTTGAGAAGTGGGAAAGAAGCGTTCTCGGGAATCACAGCAAGTTCAAAAGGACTCAGCTTCAGCTTAACAAGCGTCTTGCAAGCCAAGACCTTGAAGAGTAGTGAATCGTGAACAGTCATGTCGCCAAGATCAAGATCCAAGACGCCACGGCTCAGCACATTACATATCCAACGGTTGGCAACAGCTGAGCCATTGATTCCCCATTCCAGAGTGAATCTCCTTATTTCGGAATCCCCTGACACATCCAACACTCGACCCACGAAATCCTTGAATTTCTGTTCGTGAACCGCGAAATCCGGGAGGTCTATTCCGTGGAACGTAAGGGAAAATTTGAGATTTGGTGAGAATGCAAACATATCCCTCCATCTCTTGGAGAAAAGAGAAGTTGAAGCAGCTTCACGCGTGGAGAGGAAAGACAGAATGTGGACGATAAGTTCATCTGGTAGTCTGCTGATCTGATCCATTCCCCCTCGCCAAACCCTAGAGAACCCTTTTCTGAGAAGAAAGCCAAGAAATAAAGAAAGCATGTACCTTCGGTGACTTTTCCAATTGTTTTTATAGCATCCGCTGGTGTTTTTTGCATGCGTTTTGCATGTTTTTGACCTGGTTCTCATTTCGGTTATTTATCCGGGTTTTGCATGCGTTTTCTCTACTTTCTAATAAAAACAAAATGCTCCAACCTTGGAGTAATCTTGTAATGATCTGTCATTAGTTTGAAATAAATCCGACCTTCTTCTAGTAACCCGGCATGGCTACAAGCAGCGAGCGTAGTGAGAAACGCGATTATATCAGGGACGAGACCCGAGTCTTGCATTTTAGAAAACAATGCCACTGCGTCACGGCCTTTTCCGCTGACTCCATAAGCTGAGATCATAGCTGTCCAAGAAACAACGTCACGGGACATCATGTTCTCAAAAACATACCTCGCTCTATCTAGACATCCACATTTCGCGCACATATCAATCAATGCGTTCTCTAACAACAGATTCGGTATCAGATTCTTCCTCTCGATATATCCATGGATTTTCTTACCAAGAGACACAGCAGATGGATCTCCACAAGCAGGTAAAACACTTGTGATTGAGACTGCATCAGGTTCGATCCCATCAGCTTCCATACGGGAATACAATTCCACGGCTTCAAGAGGCATCGCGTTCTTCATATACACACCGATCAACACGTTCCATGAAACCAAACTCTTTTTCCCCATTCTCAAAAACATGTCTTTAACATACATAACATTACTCGTCGTTGTATTGGTCACTGCTGGTAACAGACTAGCCATCGTGCCAGCGTTGTGGCTTATCTTCACGGACTCCATTTCCCTACAAACCTCCAAAGCATCATCGAATCTCTGGTTTTGCGCCTACCCAGCAACTAACGAGTTCCAAGAGACCACATCTCTCCTCGACATCTCATCAAGTACAAGCCTTGCTTCATCCAAAAATCCACACTTTTCCATACATAGAAACTAACCCATTCCCAACAAAAAGAGTCGAGGAGAGCCCAACTCTTGTAGCGGACCCATGGATTTTCTTCCCGATGACAATGTTCCCAGAACAAGAACACGCCTTTAGAACACACGGGAAAGTGTAATGATCGGGTCTAACATTATAGCCACACATCATCCTAAACACTTTAATACCTTCACGGTAAAACCTTTTATTCACATATCTTCTGATCATAACATTAATGATGATCACGTTTCTCTCAGAAATTTCGTCGAACACCTTGCCTGCTGATACCACATCTTTTCAGAGAAGCATAAGCCCTCATAAGTTTAACCCCTAAAGACGAATCGCAGCGTAGATCTTCCAGAACAATTCTGGAGTGGACAGTTCTGAGGGTTATGTGATCTGGGTAAGTGTCCAGTACCTGACCCAGCAAGTTTTCATGAAAAGATGTCCCATGTCGTGACGAATTCGGTTCGAGTTCCGGTTTAGTTGCAGAAGAAGCTACTTTTCGGGTTTGAAATAGACAGAATTTTGGAAATGGCGGAGACTAAGATCGTCATTGATGCGTTTCATGAGCTTTGAAATTGAGCATACTCGTCATCGCTACAGTCTAGACAGCACCAATGTGACAAAGTGTGGGGGTAAACCGGTAATAAAGATTAACCGTCGGAAGCTAGTTAAACCGGATCAGACCGGCTAAGCATCGCCTGTGCTTTTCCTGTCAAATGGGCCCGGCCTTCTAAGAAACCATCTTGAAAGAGACCAATAATGATTGTGGAGAAGAGAGAATGAAGAAGAAACAAGTATTGTACGTTTGATGTTTTCAACGGTCCGTTGATGTTTGTGTCCTTAATGTGCGTCTAGTCTCGAAAAACTCACATCTACTCTTTTGCCTTTGCCTTTTAGTGTTTGTGCTCTCAAATTTATGTAAGGCAGTAGATATATATATATATATATATGTTACCTTTTCTTCTTAGCGTATAAATAAATTGCCGATATTCCGGTTATGGTGACTGGTCACTTGGATCCAAAACCCTCCGCTCTTTCACATTTACAACAAGTGTTCTTCAATATGGATTTTGTTTCGGGTTTTCAATACAAAAAAAAAAAAAAAAAAAACCAAAATAGAACCGAATCAAATGTACAAACGCAATGATGGCTCAATATGGTCAACACTCAACAGTATATAGGTTCAGGTACCAACAGAGTTAGGCAAGTACGAGTGGCAATATGGTGATGAAAACCTAGCTTGCATATGGACGAAGGAGTTCCGATTAGGTGAAGAAAGCTAGCTGGATCTTGCATGTGGAAGAAGCTCTAGGAAGCATTAGCAGATCCGTGGCGAGCCTCAACTTTTCCTGGTTGTCTTCTGCGTAAGCACGAACTTTAACGAGCTCGAGACATGACAAATCCTCCAAGAAACGCTTCATTTGCGCCACATCGTCGTCACTTCCATAGTACTCTGTTACTTCTAGAACCTTGACAGGAGATGACACCACACAAAAATCTACCGGAAAGCATTCGCGAAAAATTTCAGTATGATCATGGCCGCACAAGGGACCCTGAAGCAAGAGGGAGGGATCTTGTTAGAGATTGTAAATTGCGTTTTTGTCCAGCAAAATCTTTTGGAAGCATACCTGGATGACGAGCGTCTGTAAATTCGGACATTTCTTCAGTAGAGATGGTAGAGACGGTAGAGACGAGAGAGGCTCATAGAAGCCATCACGAGTTGTAATAGATAAACGAGACAGGTTTTGGAACACAGGCACTGATTCATGGAAATCCCCAAAAGTCTGAAACCAAGAAAAAAAAACAAATTTGAAGGAGCTTGAGCATATTCTTAATTTGAACAGAGAGAAGAAAAGCAGTTACTGTACCTCAACAGTTTCAGGAAATGATAAGCTGAGGAACTCGACGTTTCTCAACGCCTTGAGCAGATTCGATGGATCGCAATTCTGATGGTTTCCTTGAACCCAATTAGTCTCGATCTTAGCTTCAACAAGGGAGGGAAAATGAACAAATGGATACTGAAGCTGAAGATGATCAGCGTATTCCAAGTAGACAAGACTAGGATTATCAAAACTCATGCTCCCTAACTTGGGAAAACTGCCGAAATGTCGAATGGTGAGTCTCTTGAGCGTGGGACGGGACACGATGTGAGAAAGCTTCCAAGTATCATCCCAAATATTATCAATGCTTAGTTCCTCAAGTAAAGGGCAAGCAGCAATCAGCTTTTCAAATGCTCCAAGATCACAGGGCCAAGCGAAATAAAGAGAGAGAGACTTGAGAGCTGGAAGAGAAGCATTATCGGGAAGCACAAGAAGTCCGAAACGACGCAGCTTCACCTTGACAAGTGTCTTGCAAGCCAAGACCTTCAAGAGTAGTGGATCCTGAGCAACTAGGCCGTCAAGGTGAAGATCCAAGACGCCGCGGGTTAGCACATTGCATATCCAACGGTTCGTAACAGCTGAGTCGAGATCGCCTCGCCACCATTTCAGAGTGAATCTCCTTACGGGGGAATCGCCTGACAGAGCCAACACTCGATCCACGAAGTCCTTGAACTCATGTTCGTGAACCGCGAAATCAGAGGGGTCTCTTCCTCGGCACGTAAGGGAAAATTTGAGATTCGGTGAGAATGCAAACAGAACCCTCCATCTCTTGGAGAGAAGGGAAGTTGAAGCAGCTTCATCAATGGAGAGGAAAGACAGAATGTGGATGATAAGTTCATCTGGTAGTCTGCTGATCTGATCCATTCCCCCTCGCCAAACCCTAGAGAACCCTTTTCTGAGAAGAAAGCCAAGAAATAAAGAAAGCGTGTATCTGAGTCCGACCTTTTCCAATAGTTTATAGCATCGGCTGGTGTTTTTGCATGTGTTTCTCTACTTTCTAATTTTTGACCCGTTTCTCATTTCGGTTATTTATTCGGTTTATGCTCATTGATCACCCGGACCCTATGACCGACGAAAGACTGATGTTCTAGAGAGTGCTTGCTTTTATCCTTTACCGCTTTACGTTTCGGTTGCAATCAAGATTTTGGTTTGGTTTGAAACAAGAAATGCAAGAGTCGAAAGATTACACAACGAATAAAAGAAACTTTTGGTTTTGATGTTTTAGAGAATGCACACACGATAATAATAATGCTTGAATCATGGAGTACTTACTTCAACTAGAGACGCACTTACTAAGATGAACCAAAAGAGTTTTTGTTTATTTCTTCTTCTGTACTGAAAATCACCGCAGAGTTTGGTGTCTGGCTTTGGAATCTAGTCATCAGCTGGATCTTGTGGACTTTCTTCAGCACTGCGTTTGATTGTGATCACGGGGCATTCCGCATGCTTCACACAGAATTCACTCACAGTTCCAACAAAGACCCTGTCCAACAATAGCAGCAAGAGCGATTTGATTACACAAATACAGCATACACATTAGTGTTCAAGATGTTTGATGTCCCACATGAGGTGTAATCATTTGCATCAAACAGCTTGCAGGAAATCTAATAAGAAACAAGCCTACTTGAGGAGTGTGTGAGGATTGTACGTACTTTTGGAATGGACCGAGACCACGGCTTCCCACGACCAGAAAATCAGGCCTGACCCGTCTCACTTCATGGCATATCACTTCCGTGGGATCACCTTTCCTGATCCAGGCCTCGCACCCAACCTACAAGAGTTCAACAACTTACATATGTATCATAGCCCATCAAAAGCTACGGTTGGTCATATGAGGCTATGATACACAGCGAGGAGGATCACAGAGACAGGTAAGGGTATATCAATGAGCTAAAACAGTGTTTTACCCCAATCTCATGACATTTTTTAACGAAAAACTCGAGAAGGTGAAGCCCTTTTGCCTTGTTACGCTCCCTCAGTTGTCGGAAATCATCAGGGGAAGCATATATGCTGTCCATGTCATCAAAACCTGGATTCCCCGATTCATGATCAAAACAAGTAACATCAGCTTTCTCTATGCTAATCTTACCCTCGAAACTTATTGTATCACATTGTTCTCAATCAAAGGGGGAAAACAACAGCATCTAAAACTAACATGAAGTAAGCCTCTATCATGATATTTCTTAGCAATCAAAACCACAATTAGCTAGTAACAAACAGCAAAAACGCGATTATGTGTGAAGTCTATCGAATAAACGAAACTTTAAACAGAGCAGAATCACAACACAAAAAGCAGATAACTAAACACCGAATTTAGTAGTCTATAGTGATCTACTCAATCCCTATAAAAGGTCAATCGTACATCATTATTGAAACCTACAATCAAAAACACTATGCAGAGACACAAATTAAAAGTATCGAGATTGCGAAATAAATGATATGAAAATGAGAAATCACCGTCTTCGTCCTGAACTTGTGCGTGAAGCAAGAGAAGCTTGAAGCCAGATGTATTGGATCGAACGATCTTCTTCAGTGTCCACTCGAATGCCTTTTTGCTGCTTATCGACGCGTGTGGATAGCCTTTGATCGTCGACTCGTTCACCGCCACCATCACTCGTGTCGGCTCGCTCTCCATTTCTTCACTGATTCTCTGAAAACGTCGTTTTCTGGAGGAAGAAGGCGGGGGAAGAGGGAAGAAACTGAAAGCTATGACAAGCAGGAAGAAGGATCAAGTCCTCTGAGAATGGAAGGAATGAGGTATTGTACGCGGACGGCGCAAATTAGAACACGATGGTGTAATAATTCTGGGAGCCTACTAAAATACACGCGCTCGGTCACGAGACTCGCCACCTCAAATATAGAACCAACAATTATCGTACGACCTTTGTTGGTGGGCCTCATATTTAGCCCAACAATAGGAAATCATTTATGAATAGGCCCAATAAAATCCGAAAGTTTTCTACAATCTTTTCATTTATCTTTAGTCGGGAAAAAAAATACAAAAAATGCTTTTCTTTTTTATACATCTATCATCTATGTCATGTTATTTTATGGATCAGCTTTCAAGCCTTCAACCGTATGCTAATCACTCTACTATATTTAGAGCAACTCAACGGTAACACCACTAGAAAAGGTCTTAATAATTAATTATTAATATTTTATGTACTTTATATATATAAAATATTTAGTAGAATTTTGTTGTTTTTAAACATACAATGGAAACACTTTGATGAGTGTCTTAAAAAAAGAAAATTAATAAATTTATGTAAAATTTATTTTAACAAATTTTCAATCATAATATATTTTCACAAAGGTAATACATATAAACATATAAATTATAGAAATGTAATTCAGTGCTTGTTGAGAAGCCTTTTCCTTTGGAATTCCAGTGCTTGTTGCTAGGCATAAGATTTCAGATATTTCAGATAATTTGAATCGGATAATTTGGATAATCAGATAGTTTGGATTACTGAAATTCTACCGAAAATAACCGAAGTTTCTTATCTGAAACTATCTAAACTTTTTTTTAAAAAAAAAAAATTAGGTTAAATTCGGTTAATTTTGGATAGATTCGGGTATTTTCGGATAGTTTGAATATTCGATTTGATATAATTTGATATATTTTTGTATAATTTGTTTTTTTTTAAAAAAAAAATTTGGATAACCGTTCAATTCAACAAACCGAACCGAACTGAACCAGTTAGTGAGAAGGAGGAAGACAGAAACGAAAAATAAAAATGGAAGACTTTAGACGTTATGAGTTATGATGAATACAAAATTTGAATATGTACAAATTACGATGCGGCCACTTTATGAGTTTATTCTACAAGCCCTGTGGAGCATTTTTTGCAGTTATATATTTTTTTTCGAAATTTCTGAATATTAACTAAAAAATCCTACAAATTATTGATCAATCATTGAATTCCAGTGAAGGAGACTCTCCCGAATCCAAGATGACCAATCTGATACAACTCTAACCACACTCTCTCCGCTTCAACTCTTGCACTTATTCTCGACTCATCATCTCCTCTAAACGACGTCGTTTTCTCCTCATCTTCCTCCTTCGTTAAACTCCCATCTCTCTCCACCACAAACCGGTGATCATCATAATCTCCGCCGCCACAGCATCCTCCGCCACCGCCGCGTTTCTCATCCCCATCGGCCGTCTCAAACCGGCGGTGATGGTTATTATGATCGTCAAACTCGTCTTCACCGTTAATTTTCCCGCGGCGTTGTCTCCTCCTTTGTAATTGCCTCAGTTTCTTCTTCTTCGTATTCCGGCCGCCGCCGAGACATCGTCTTCCGATCATCCACGGAACTCTGACGAAAGTGAGAGTAAGAAAATTAATGATCGCACACGGACAGCAGCAAAGCGCAACACAGTCAGCAATCGCCGCCGCCGCCCACGACCTGCATCTCTTGCCGGAGCATTTGACTTCGTCGACGTGAGTGTGGTGGTTGTAATGCCGTTGGCGACGGATGTCTTCGTCGACGGCGTCGTTTTGACAGTGGGTCCCCCCATTGTTTCTACGTGAAACTCGATGCGGGTTTTCCTCCATCAAAACAGAATCCTGCTGGGCAAATAAAATTAGAGAAACAATGAGCTTCATCACTCTATATATATGCGATACATCAATACGTAGATATATATATATATAAATATATATTAGTATATGAATGGATCAAAATTTGAAAAAGTTTTGCTTACAAATTGATACGTATAGGAAATAGTAAACAATAAAGAAAACAGAGAGGTGTAGGAAACAACAACTCGAGATTTTCCATGCACTTTCACTTAATGACTCGAGACAGTTCAGGCTTAGATTCATCACTCCCCCACGCTCTCTCCTTTAGCGCGTGTGTTTTATGGTTAGGAAATCTATTGAATTATTTTTCTTTCAATTTTGATTCCTTTTGTTATATTATAAAATAAAAATATTCGGTTTGGACCGTTTGACTCTGGTTAAGAGCTGTGAAGGAGCGCGTGGGGGTTCTTGGGAGTATTACCATCGGAACTTTTTTTTTTTTATAATGTAACAAAGTTTTAACAAGGAGTTCTTCTAGGGATGTGTAATAAATTAGTGATTTTTTATTGTTTGCTCTAAGTTTGGGGCCTGGTAGGAATCTCATTATGTGTATGTGTATTAGACGACTTATCGATTTAATTTTTAATTAAACTCGGATCAAAAAGTTATTGATTGTATCATTCTTGTACGTTCTATTATAGAAATAGTAATTTACAAGTAAGAAAATAAAAGAATTTTGTTATCTCAAACTAATTTACGCCACAAACAAAAGGACGGAGATTGTTGTATCAGCAAAAGTTTTTATGTTAACTAATATTATATACTATGATAACAAGGGAAAATTAAAATATTAATGTGATAACGTGGATGGTTAGTGGGAAGGATTCTCTTTCACATGGATTGCCGGGTCTTCTTATGGCCCAATTACGTGGCCCGTAATAAAATACAATTTAGAATGCGATATAAAAATAGGGCCCTATAAAATACACTAGAGAATGTTCAATTACAGTTTAGTCCTCCAACTTAAATCATGAAACAATAGAATAAATCAGTAGCCCCCTACAAAAGAGTAGTCCTAGAAAGTCTATTAGGAATCTCCCTCAATCAAAATACCGAAAACAATAATGTATATCAAAAGATAAAATAAACTACATCTTGTAGAGTTATATGTTTTCGCTTTATCTTTACGAAAGGGAAAATCGTAATAAAAATATTTTTTCTATATCATACATTTGGTTCGTGATTAGAGATTAAAGAAATAAAACATTTTCTATTTTTGCCTTTTTTTATTGGAGTGTGACCTAGTACAATTGTCCCTTTTCACTTTGTTTTGGTCAACTATTGTCCCTTTTCACCTGTATGGTAAAAGTGCAAAATGGTGGGTGAAATCTGAAAAATGAATTTTGCATGATATATATATATATATATATATATATGTGTGTGTGTGTGTGAATGATTTATCACTATTAGAAACTAAATTTCAGTATCTATGGAAATTTTCATAAGGAAAAAAGCAATTCAAAATTAATTATGAAATACATATATATATATATGATTGTATATATCTCCAATTTTCGTACTTCACAAATGACACACAATAAGCAACCTAAAAGAAATTCCTCTAGTTAATCATATAACCAGGATTAAAAATAAAATAGCTCGTCGGATATATGAATTGTCAAAAATGAACACTGTATATATAGCTAATTCAGAGCATCATAATAACTAATTGGAGAGGGGAGAAATTAAACCCTACTCCGAATCGAAAACGGTGAGTCATATATAAGAGAAATGTAGAGATCGTTAATGGTGGATTACCTTGGATTGCTTTTTTCTGAACCTATTAACTTGCTTTCTTTCGGGGAAATATATGTAATTATGTACGCATGTATATAAAGGATCAACAGAAATACATTTTTATTTGATATGTTGTGTATTGTAATAATCTTAAGATAATTTTTGGTTTAGTATGATGGATATGATATTGGAAATACGTAGAATGGGATAAAACGGAAAACCAAAAAGAAGGAGAAGAAGAATGATTAAGGAGAGAGGATGAACCGAAAAAAAAGAACAAGGAGAGGTTGAAGAAAGATGATTTGATCTATCAAACGCTCCATTTATACATATATATATATATATATATGCACTATATAGAGTTTTCTCTCTTTCTCTCTCTCTCTGTATATATATACTCCTTAAGTTATAATCTCTTTTTTTTATGTACCTATAAGCATATACGCGTGTACAGAGCTCTATTTGAAAGAGTTAAACACGGTTTTTTTCACCATATATATACGACCGCACAACACAAAGAGCTATACAAATATGTACATGTATATAAGCTAGTAAATACATATGGAAAATGTATTTTACTTTAACTATATATAAATTTCGATAAAAAAAATAGCATAACATTTTGTACATGTCAGTTGTATCAGTTTTTGGGTACGTATAAGGGGGTCTTTATCTAAGTGGCTAAGTTAAACCGATACTTTTACCATGATATGAGTCGTATGAGTACTATCCGTTTAAAACTTTAGGCTTAAGCTAACTAAAACTTTTAGTAAGTTATTCGTTAGTATTAGATTTAATTATTTAGTACACGATAATTATACTAGTATCAATTAAAAGCCGAGAAATGTGTGATATGTTCAAAGATTCAGTGATTCGCGATAATGATAATTAAATATTTAGATGCATGTATAGCAGTATAAATACATATCAGTAAATTACAACGAGCCAACGACAATGGGGTGATAATATTTTCGCATATATACAATGCCCTTATTTTTCAGTAATCATAATATCATATGATAATGTCTGAGCGTGACTAAGTGTTTTTTTAATGGTACGATAGATGAAGTAATCATGAATATTTATATTTTGTTAATGAAAGTATATCTCATGCATGATAAGAATATTCGTATTTGCTCATTAACATTACAATATATATATATAATATTGTAAATAATTCGACAATTACGTGTACAATATTCATAATATATATGAATAATAGTTATATTTATAGGTACGGATCGTAGTAGCTAACAGATTTAAGCATAATTGTGAAGTTTTCGTCTCATGGATGATAATCTAGAGTCTAAAGGTAATTTCTTGAGGACTGAGCAGGAACCCTTGAGGAGTATAAAGAGCTGATACGATTAGCGTCATTAAATAGTTTTTTCTTGATCTGCTACTTGACTTATACAGTTATACAGCTAACTTTTGTTTTTTGTACTTTCGACTCAACGACCTGCTAGTTTTGTAGTATGATTGTATTACTTGTGAGTAAAAATCGGAATCAGACATGCATGTAACTTGTTAATACTACTCTCATTGATTACTCCTTACAATTATGGTCCTCGAAATATGTAAAAATATTTCTAAAATTTTGTAATCTCTAACGCAAATCTCGAAATCATTGCTCAGAACTTTAAGTTTCTCCTCCCTAACAATAAGGATCGAAGATATGCGTTCATTCCTCTTATATCATTCATAGGAGATGCCCTCATCGACGATTCTTTGCTTCATAAATCATAAGCTCGCATTTCGCGTCTACATCCTTCAATCTCAACTTGTTTTCAATATAAAAGGGGTTTACTGTGTTGACTAATGACTACCATAAATTATAAGGTTTTTAAAACCAGATTATTTTCACATAGTTTCACATAATTAAATAAACCGATTTGAGTATAAATTAAGAAGAATTTATACTAGTAAATATCGGAGCTTGGTGTTCGATGAGTCCCGAAGACAGATAGAATCATAACATGGGAACTCGGCCCCGTTTGTGTTGCGTTCCATGCATTATTAAAAAAACTTAAATTACAAACAAAAAAGAACAAATACCCAGATTAGATATATTTATCTATTTATTTTTATTTTATTAATTATAGACTTTAAAAAACCAAATTGATGATGACCAAAAAGTATCTTAAAGTTTGCACTTAATTAGGTTGCGTTCAATAATGAATGTAAGTACAACTGTACAATGGTAACAGTGCCATGAAAAAATGATACTCCAACGAGTAAAATTGAAGTTTCTACGTTTCAATGATGCATTTAAGAGTGAAATTATTGCAGAGCTGCTGAAACGAGTAATATATAGTAGTAGTACTATACAACTTTAGAGTTTTTTATTAGCAGCTTATAATAATCTTGTAAAATCGTGATGCTTGTTAAATTAATTTGTCAATCTAGTGATAGAAATTGTCATTGGACGTTTCACAATTTTAAGCGTTTATCTCCGTTCCAAAATAAGTGTCAGCAGTTGGAATTTTCACACACACAAAAAATTGTTTAAAGCATTTTTATTCAAAATCATATTATGATTTTCCGTGCCTTTTAGCATTAAAATTAAAAAAAATAGCAGCGTCGTTTACGCCTTTTTCTCTCTGGTGTTGCTGCCTTTGGAGTGACTTTGTCTACAAAACACTTTGCACGTGCATTTGATTCTGAGATCGCCACGTCGGCGAGTGAGATGCTCTATCCGCACCCTGGCTACGCACACATCAGTCTTCTTCAGTTAATCATTCGTTCTGCTATTTTTCTTTTCTTCTTTCTTCTTATTACATGATGACACGTGTTATATACTGTACTTCCCTGGTTCGAACAGATTGCTTGTTGTGGATGAACCGTTTGCGTGTTGGATCTTGGATGAACTGATTAATTACATCATCAAAATGTTTTTTTTTTTTACAAAATCGTTAAAATGTTGAGTTATCAGAAAATTAAACGTTTATAGTTTTAAATGATTCACAAAATAAAAAGATCGAAAATATACATTTGACCTATAAAAGAAATGCATGCAATCATTTTGCACCGCCCATATTCAAATTTACGTATTGCTGAAATTGGCTTTTTATGCTCGTTATTGACTTATTGTAATTAGCTACCAAAATGCAAAAAGAAACACACTACTTATTATTTTATTTTTTTCAATAAGATGGAAAATAAATCACAACGAATACCTACTCTACCGCCCTTTGCAACAACCTCACTCCATACATTAAAAAAAAAAAACACATTCGTACAGATAATAATGATTATAAAGAAGATAAGATAAAATAATAAAGCACATATATATAAATAAATAAATAAGAAGAAAAGAATAAGAGCAAGCATTACATCCCTAGCTTAAAACTGCATCCTCCTTAAGTTTTTGTCGACTCTAGCTAACTTTCATGATAGCAACTTCGTAGAGTTCTTGACATAAGATCTAAAAGCTTTTTATCTGATATGGTTTGTAAATTAGGACGAGAATCTTCCGCGTTTGCGTCTGAGTCGCTGCTACCGCAAATCTTTTCGATTTGGACATCAATATCTTTAGCAAGCTTCTCGGCCCCATCTTTAGAAAGAATAGTGTCGAAACAAATGTATCTACCAAACGCGGTTTTATTACCCAAACCTTCCCATAAACATACGTGGGCTTTAGCCAACCTGTTCACATCCATTGTCGCTAATAATCCGTTGCTATACATCTCTTTCGCTCCTACAATTTGAGAAAACAGCAAAAAGCCAAAAACTTATTAGCTGTCTTTGTCTCCTTGTTGAAATGGACCACCCGTGAGCTACATAAACATATGCGAATAAGATTTGTTTGCAGCTACATATATAATAATAATAATAATAATAATAACATTATTCTTGGACGTCGGTCACAATTTTGGATTCATATTCATTATAAGGGTCGTTCTAATATTACCTTTGAGATAAGCCAAGGTTGAAGTGGAGTTACGGTTGAAGAAATCAGGACCAGTTATAAGAGCAGGACAGATAGTGGCAAGCCTTAATCCTTTTGAATCTGCGATTCTCCACGCAGCTTTCTCGGCTCTCAGTTTTCCAAGCGCATACCAAAGCTGTGGAGATTAGTATTAAAGGACATTTATCAATTAATTATGGTGGATCCATCAAGAGCACTATATTATCAATTTATCATATATATATTGTAAGTCTGTGATATTCTTTTCTACCTTATTATCAATGCAGAGTTGTTCATCGCTCCAGCTTTCTTCGTTGATAACAGAGTACTGATCAAGACTGTTAAAAGAACTGTCTTGCCAAGCGCAGGCTAAGAGAGATGATGTGAAGACGCATTTTCTCACTGAACCTGTTCTTGTACATGCTTCTATTACATTCTCGCTCACTTTTGCTTCTAATTCCGCCATTGATTTCTGCAAAAACATTAATAATGAAAAAATGTTAAGATACATTTTGGCAGAATGATTTATTAAGACATTTTGAAAGAGATTAAACAAGAAAACATGGAACTCCTAGGTAGTACTTTTTTACAAAATCTGGTAGGTCCAGTTTTGGTTTTGTGTTATTGAGGTCTGATGATGAAATTAATGCTGTATTTACTGACTGAATGTTCTTGGTTCGTCCACGTTTCAATTAAATAGTTGCCGTAGATATATAAGGTATCGGTACCAGTCACATCGTAATCAAATAAATTACACAAACCCTTTTCTAGGCAGCTGTCGTTGTGAGTAGGTAGAGTTTGTGGCTAAGGGAGTTCACAGGTAACTATCAAACAAGTGGAAGAACCTATTATCAATCTACAAGCGGTAAAAATTCCATTATGTAAAATTATATATATATATATATATATATATATATATATATCTCTTCCAAATCAGTTGAATACTGTCAAAATGTCAACAACGAAAAAGAGAAATCACTCAAATCTTAAAATAAAGTGAGAAGTGTGAAGAATTCATAATGCATGAGATATCAACTCTATTTTATTTATTTTGAGGAGCTAATCACATCTATCAATCTCATTCGGTTAATGATAAAAAAAAAAATCAACAAAAAGAGAAAAAAGAACCAAGCATGTAGACAAAAAAGATATGCAAAATCTAAGTCTTGGCCAGCAAAAGTATAAGAGAATAAATAAAAACAAAAGTATAGAGGGCATTGAATTTTATGGTTGAAAATATGTGCTCTCAACAAACATTCAGAAAAACTAAGGTACTTGCTAAGTACCAACCTCAACTCATAACCACTTTGTTAACATAAAGCAGAGCCACTTAAAAGTGTTCTAGAAACAAAACGAGAGAAAGATAAACTCTAAAGCAATTAAAATATTTCTGTTGACACATTCCCATATTCACACCTGGTACGTACGCCAATAAATTGTGTTTCAATAACGAAAAAAAAGTTATTTCAATCACGCAGAAAAACCATTATTTTGTGAATAAAACTCAATAAATAGAATGATGCCGTGGGATAAAGGGAAAGGAAAGGTTTCGATGAGTTAAAACTGGAATGTAACTGGTTCTGTACATTCCACGTGACTGATGTCTTTCGTAGGTATGCATGAGTATACGCATCTCAGTTGTACACACACGCATACGTATAAACGACGTCGCTGATATGCATTTATGTGTGTGCCTCGTGCATAGGTTATATGATCTTATACATGTGTGTGTAAAGATCAGGTTGATGAAATTGAAACATACCGAATAACCAGAGATTCCAGCTGGATCCACAAATGCAGCGGTGTGGAAAACGCCAGCGCAACCATCAAATGCTTTAATCAAACTCTCCGTCTCTGTTAATCGTGAAACTACTGAGGCAATCCTGTTGCTAAACGACGCCGTTTCAGCGTCAGCTTCCATCTCACTCACTTTCACTTTGTCCTCTGCATTTTCATCAAAGCAGGGACAAACAATGATTAACTTAAAGCCTAAAACAAATATTATCTTTTAAAAAGCCAAAATTGAAACTCAGATTAGTGACTTCAGAACTAATTCGTTGAACTTTATATTAGTTTTAGATTTTTCTCCGTTTGATCGAAATCGCTTTGGCAGAGTTAATATTAGAATTAGGAAAGAGTGAAACAGTATTAATCCTTAAATCCAAAAGGATAAAAAAACAGTAAGGGATCAAATTTACCTGGACAATCGACGACGATTCTCACGGAGTATCCATGAACAAGGAGTCGCTTAACAATGGCGCGACCGAGGTAAGAAACGCCGCCGGTAACACAAACCAATCTGTTTCCGGCGTCGGAATCAAGATCCATCGCATTTCTCGATTTACCACCTCTCGAGCCTCGGAATCCGTCGTCGTCTCTCCTCCGCTGCACGGCAGCGCACATGAACTGCTTCAGTTCCGCCGAGGGCATCTCCGTCGCGTGTTGAATCCTCATAGTCGGAGTTAAGAAGAAACAACAAATGAACGAGTGAAAAAGATTTGTGTATCTTCTTTGTTCACTGCCTCTGGCTTAGTATTGTTTCGTTAGCTCTAGAGTTCAGAGAAGGTAGAGAGAGTTGCACGGAGGATTGAGAAACGAGGAAGACGATATATATAGAGTGAGAGAAAGAGCAGAGGCCGTTACACATTACATATGCAAAGAGTTCTCTCTGATCTTTCGGAGAAAGAAAGTCTATTGAAACCAACCTTATCGGCTCGGCTTGGCTTTAGCTATATTTTATTGTTTCTCCATGAATAAAAAATACTTACAAAACTACATCATGCCGCTTATTCTTTTTGATTCTGTTAGATTTCCTGGTATGTTTTATTTTAATTTTTAAATAAAACTTTCCTATGATTTACTATAAGTTATAAATGATCTTTTCGCATTTATTGTGTATATAAGAAAAATATTAGAAAGTCTTATGTTTTCCTTCTAGCTTAGTTTATTAGTGAATGAATCTTAAATTAGTTATTATTTACAAAACTGGTATTTTTAATTAGTGTAAAACGTTATGACCTTGGTCCTTTGTTAAATAAATGGTGTAACTGGTGACTAAAAAAATGATAGGAAATAATGAATTCATTTTCATTCTTTAATTTTTTTTATCATTTACTAGAAATATTGTTTCCACATTATTCATTACTATTTCTTATTCTAAAAGAAATAATAGAACAAAACTATTCCTTATCAAATTTGAGGAGGAACAAAATATATTTATTTACAAATTTTTTTTTAAAAAAATATATATTTATTTGTTTTTTTTTCATTCCCATTCATTCCTATTATTTTGTTTCTTTTCATTCCTGTTGTTTTTTTAATAATCACCAGTTAGAACCAAAATATATGAAGTGACTAATTTAACTACCCAGTTTATCAAGAGCCAGATTGTTTTTTCTAAAAAAAATAAATCTATGTTTTATTGGACTATGTAGCAAACAAGAAACTAATTGAAATAGAAGTTTGAAAAAAAAATCATGTAGTTTTGTTTGACCCTTTAATTTTATCGGATTTAATACTATGAAGTCATATACGTTACCATAATTAAAAAAAAATACTAAAAACACCGATACATTTAAATTGAATTAATTTAGTGTGGTAGTGGCTTTTAAATAAAAACTGAGTTGCCGCGTATTACACGACTGATTACTTTGCATCTAGTTGGTTTCGGTCCAAATTAAACGATCATTACGGTCAAACTAGTTGATAATAGGAGATTAAGACAAAATAACTCAATGTTCGTAAACTAAGTTACAGTAAACATGTCAGAAAATATTTTCATTTGGGTAAACTGCTAGTGATAGTATTTCGATGCCAAAACGCAGACAAACAAACAAACTCTTCCCTATAACCCATTATTTTCCTGATTATAAGTTTTTTCTTATTTCGGTGATTATAAATTTACACGTTTTTATATCTCTGGTTTATCTATAGTAACTTTGTGACGTACACGGATTTTGTTTATGCCACTTGTTTTAAAACGCGAGTGAAGTCATGGTGCGATACATTGTCACCAACTCTTGTTATATAGGGTTACTGTTAAAAGCTAGAAAATAATAAAAAGTCAAAAAATACCAATAAACTTTTTGGAAAAAAAATTGTCAAATCAAGCAAAATTCTCATATTTTAAACCGTCTAACTCTTTTTAGCACAAGCGAGTTAACCGTGCAACACATTGTCACCAACTCTTATAACTTTATGGGTTACTATTTCTTTTAATTAATAAGGACTAATCTATTGATCTTGCTTAGAAGGTCTCGCAGGGCCAAAAGGAAAAAGGCAGAATCTACTGCTCAGGAAACCATTAAAGCTATTCCACGTTAAGTTTAATCATTATTATAATAAAACTCATTGTAATTGTTATTGGATGACATATTAAGTAGACCTAATACCACCATTAGCAATAGTGACGGATATATATGATCATTTGAGAAATTGTAAAGTTTATCCATAATATGATCTCGTAGGGAACTGAAATATAAAAGTCAATTATGGTCTATTTTCAGTTAACATACTAATTAGCCACAATCTAAACATATAATAAGCATGCATTACTATCGGTTGATTATATATATTATCGTAATCATCAACTTCCTAAGGCCAGTTTAGGTCAAACAATGAACGAGTGAGAAAAAAACGAAGATGCAGTGAAGTACTCGGTCAAATTTTGCAATACTGCTTTTGGGCCAGCTTTTATGTGCTCTGACCACAAAGTTACAATTCAATAATTTAGATAATGGTCAAACATTTACTCATTTATTTTTTATTTTTATTTGACTAACATTGTCACATCGGTTTAACACACAATGTGTACACATTTGATTTACAAAAAAAAAAAAAATAATCTATGTTAAATAAGTAAATAGTTCTAGTGCAACATAAAACTTACACATGATTATGTGATTATCAGAAAACTGCAGATCATAAATTTATCATGCCATTATAACATATTCGAAATTACAAATCAAAATCAATGTTGAATAACTAAAATAAAAAGACTAGTTATATAATTCAACTCTAACGCACACAAAAAAATATTAGCACAGATACATTCGTACAATAATAATAATATCGGATGCCTAAAATACACACATAAAATCACGATCTCTACTTCATATTTAAGATCTAAGAAAATACTTGGTCAACAATACTTGATAATACTTATCAAATTATACTTCAACTAGTTATGTTTTTATAAGCAGAAATTAAATATTTAAAACAGAAACGTAGCTATTAGTATTTTATTATATATATAGGCTATTATTGTATTCTATTAATTTTGTCAAGAAAGCTGTCTCCACAATGTGAAATGGCAAATATAATCTATAGATGATATGTATTATGAATAAGTGGAAGTATATCCTAAGATTTGAATGAAAAAATAGAAATATGTAACTGTATTTAAATAAAAAATGATGTGGCGATAAACGGCTCGTCGTGAATGGCTCGGCTGAGAGAAAAATATCTTAACATATATATACGTGTTAAACGGCGAGTAGGCTAGCACGGGATTTATATTTTCTCAACCGTGCTTCCTTTTTTTGTTCAGATATTGAGATGGTTAGTTTTGATGATGCGTCACTAAAGTAACGGGCTTGTACAATAACTGTGCTTACGTGGAAGCTTCTGGTTGGTACGTTATAGTTACCAATTTACAATTACAAACTGAGTGCGTGGTTTTTTTTATTCGTGTGGTCTGTTTCGTTTCATGTAGTCGCATGATAAATATGTTTATAAACAAAAGTCGTAAATTTCGTTTTCCAAATTATTATTTTTTTTTTTTGTCGGCGGGGTCCATTGGCCATAATTTTTTCTACGTGAGAAGAGGAATCGAACTCGTAGTGCCAGCAAAGCGGTCTGTCGTTACCACAAATTCGTTTCTTAACTACCACAAGTCAAAACCATTAGTTGTTTCGTCGACTAAACAAAAATTAAGTCAAGGCAAAAAAAAATGCGTATCTTTAACGGGCCTTTTTATCGACTGTTAGTGGACTTCTTTACTGGGCCTTAATATTTCTGAGCTTTTCCTTCAAACGATACCGTTTCCGTTTCCGCTACTCTTCTCTTCTCGTTGGAGTTGGGAAGGCATAACACGAAGTGAGATACTCAGACTCAGAGGAGGAAGACGAAGAAGCATAAGACAGAGAGAGAGAGAGAGAGAGAGGGAGAGTTGGAAAGACTGATAATGGAAAGCGTGGAAGCTAATTTTCCTGTGCGCCATAGAAAATTCTCATTAGAATGTAAGGTAATTTGAAAATCTAATCGAATAAGTTTCGTCGGGAGTTTTCTCGATTCTTATGTGAAAATTGGACTTGATTTGATCAAATAATGTGTGCTCTGTTGTTTTGAATACGATTCTCTGGCTTGGTCATGTTCCAGTATCTCTATTCGAATCGATTTTGTTATCTTACACCAATTTAATGTGCTAAATACAAATTGCTTTTTGTCGAGATAATCAGATCGAGTGATTTACAACTGCTTGTTTGAACTTTTTTTGTCAAAGGGAAACAAGACAGAGATTGTTATCTGCAGCTATGAAGACCATATCCTTGTGAGTGTGTCTGTGTGTAAGAGCTTACTTCGTCTGATGTGAAGTCATCGTTTTGTCTCTCTGAATCTCAGTACAACTTTGTTTCAGGTCATAGCCACGCAGATTGGAGCCATGGGAACTATATTGCACGCAAGGTCTCTCATTTCAAAATTGTTTATGGCTCTTTTCTTCTACGCTTTCTCTAGGAGTAAACTACGATTCGATAAAAAAATTTATGTTCTTTGTTGCACACTAGACGGTCTGTGATAATATGCTTCGTCTCTGTATTTCATGCAAGGTCTCTGATTTATTTAGTTATTGTTCATGCTCCTGAGGTTGTCTAGAGGAATGAAATCGAGTCTTCTCCGTTTGTGCAGTCTCTCAATTTGGCGATTAATCTATCTGTTTATGCTCCGAGTGGTGGTCTTTGTTCCTGCTTTTAAGATATTCTTGAGGAATGAAATTGAGTTATCTTGATTTTCTCGGTCTCGAATGCTGTCGATGATGAGTCTAATATCGGTTGTGAACATCAGAGTTATATGTCGAGTGTTTTTTTTTTTTTTTTGCTGACAGGAAGGAAGAAGGGATGTCTGTTGAACCAACATTTAGTGTCTCAGTGATATTCGGAAAGCGAGATGAGGTAAAATTCTTATCAATTTGTAGTACATTTATATATTTAATAGCTAAACAAAATCTTACGGTAGATTTCTCCGACTATGTTTCTTGAAGCCAATGCTGATAGCAACTGCTCGTAGACTCATTGACCACATAAGGTCTCTCTCTCACCTTCGATTCTTGATTCTTGTCCCCCTTCTCCATTCTTTTGATATTGCCTAATTAAAATGGAACACAACAAAGTGATCTAAATATGTTCTTTTGATTTTCACCAGTTCTTACGTTCCCTCGAAGCCTCTGGTTCTTTCACTTGGTCTCAAAGATCATTCTTCGGTACTTTACAGTTCCTTGGAAACATTGATATACGATTATGAAAAAGTCTGCAAAAAACCAATGTTTATTTAGAGATTATCTTTGTTTCTTTTTCTGTAGGAGACGTTGAAGGAAATAGTAGCGGCTGTGATCGAGAATCGCCTTTGGTAATAGATTTTTGTCCATTGAAAGGATAACGAAAATATGTTTTTATATTTTTGTTTTCTTGGATAACGAAAAGGTAATTTGTTTTTATTACTTTGGTAATTCAACGATATAAGAAAATCTTGTTTTGAGATAAAAAAAAGTTATGTTGAGTGTCAAAATCCACTCTCTTTGTTCCCCACAATTACATTTTCTTCACTTCTTGATACATAAATAAACAGTATTTTGTTTTCATTAGCAAAAAAAGGCGAAGAAGATAATAATAATACAAACGCTGCAATATATATATATATATAGCACATCATAAACCATAGGAGGCCAAAGGGCAGTGGGAAAACCCCACAAACGTAGACAAACATTGTAGCAGTCGTTGTCGCAGATAATAATAAACCTGTCAAATAAATTACACCCAACAAATATTATATAAAACACAAATCTCTCTTTCTTCTTTGCCTTGAAAGGGAATCTGGGGTTTTTACTTAAGGTCCACAGTTTCATCCTGAGCTTCTGATTTGTTGTCTCGATCTCTTGCGAGACTCAATCGTTTCTGTGTGTTAATGCGTTCAACTGATTCTCCAACTGCAGATAATAAGAACAAGATTCCCATTTAGCGCGATGGAAATGTGAACGTTTATAGATAATTAAATTTCATTCATTAGTTTGTAAATATCTAAAAGATTCTATCTATCTCATAAGCAATTGATAGTGAAATTAGTTAACTACTGATCTCGTATTATAAAATTTAATGATGAGGAATTCGTGATAGAAGATGTGAGAAAAGACAAACCTGCCCATTTCTCTGCTTCTGTTTCTTTAGTTCTTCTGTTAAGCTCCAAAAGCTTCAACATCAAAGATGAAAAGAAAACAGGTAGATTAAATGTTGATGTTAAGTAAGACGCGTTTTAAATTTTGGTCACGTTGGTTCGCACATAATCAGTCACCTTCAGAGATTTCCAAGTTAAATTCATTGTTGGTAATCAGAAATGGATATATGTATGTGTACCTTTGTTGTAGTAGCATGACTTGGGACTGAAGTTCTCTCTCTCGCGGCGTTGCAGCAGGCGTCTACATAAAAGATGATATCAATTTCGGGTTGATAAATATTTGAATACGGTTTGATTTGAAGACAAATTTTATAATGTTTTTCTCTTCTTCTTTTACCTGCAATAGCTCATCGATGCTTGTCTCAGGTGATCCAGGTTGCTTGACTATGAAATGAGACAAAGACAAACTCAGAACATTTATGTTGAATTCTTCAACAAAAAAAGGAAATATAAGATACTCGAGAAAATCTATCGGTAGATGAAGAGGATGATAGTACCAGAGGTTTGCTCCACGTATTTGATTAGTCTCAAAATCTCTTCCTGCGAAGAGAAGAGTATTTATTTAACTAACGACTGTGAAAGACTAAGTAAACTTTTTTCTGGGTTTCAAAACTTACCCGTTGCATAGAGTTTTGCTGCAAAATCGACTGAATTGATGGGAGGATTGAGGCGGTCGTAGCATTGAGGGAGTTCGGGCTACTTGAGCCACCACCAAACGGCGTGAATGTAGAGTTTGTGGATCCCTAATTGTACCAAAACCATATCTTCAGTTTTCATAAAGACAAATTAACTATTCCACACATTGCTCTTTCATGCTTCTACCACTCTGTTTAAAGACCATACTAGCTTCAACGAACATGAATAAGCATATGAAGTTTATAGACTACGGTACTTGTTATACCTTGGGACTCAGATCTGCTGATGTGACCTTAAACCGTCCCTTGTGCTCCACATGCGGGGCTTCTGACGTCTCATCCACTGCATAAATCATACTGAAATTGAAGAGTCTACAAGAATTACATGTGCACTGATGAGTGGCTGGGAGGTTAATTACCTGCATCTCTCTTGCTGCGATACAATGATCCACTGTAGCTCCGCTCTGTCTGATATCTACGCTGTTGAATCTCCCTGCAGAAGTAATTCAAGTGGCCTTTAAAATTAACTCACCATTCAAGTACATAATAAGAGCTTCAAAGTTAATGTGGCCATGTCAAGATAGGTTTAAACACTAAAATAAGTTCTGAGAATGCTGACCTGTCAGCATCGGATGAGTTTCTTTTTGGAGAGAAATTACTCTCTGGTATAATTGAACCGCTCGAATATTTTTTCTGTTCAGAAATGACATGACGTGGTAAAGAAGTGTTTTGTGTTGCAGTGTCCTCTTCTTTTGTGGTGTGGGACAGAGATCCAATAGAAGCTTTCGTTAGATGCTGTTGTCCGGAACTCATTAGGTTCGCATCTTTCCAATCAGGAGTAGTTGCATTATCCTCGTCCTCGCCGATATCAAAGCACCCTCTGCATCATAGCACAGGTAGAATAAAGATCAATCATTCGTTCAAACTTCAGAAATGTTGTAGCTTTGCAACTAAACAGAAGCGATACTTATGAAACACGTTTGCCACACAGCTATACTACTCAATGAAACAATTTTGTGTATTGGATTAAATCCAGATCTATGGGAGCTAGGTAATATAAATTTAGAGAATAAGATGTACTTGAGTGCTTGAAGAGGTTTGATTGGAAACGAGGCGAAAGAACTCTCTAAATCATGAATGTCGTTCAGCTCGTCCTGAAAAGAAGAAGAAGACAAAGAAGACATGTTGAGTTGACACCGTGCAGCAGAAGATTAAACTTAAAAGACCTTTATTTCGATTCCAAAAGCAGGCTGATAAGTGAATAGAGAATCGTTTCAAAATAATACATCTTGACTGGGAGCTGTTGCTGAGCTACTGTCCCTTTCAGGAGAGAGAGCAGATTCATCCTGTCTTTCACATTGCTTTCTGTTGAAATCAGGCTCTTCAGCATGTGAGCTATCATCATCTGAAATCTACAAGGCCATCAAAATTAGTCCCCTGCCTTGTATAATTAACTAAGCCAGAAAGGTGCTAACTTACAAGGGCAGCCTGATTCTTTAGGTCCTCGAGATTGAAATTCCAAGCGCTTATTCCCCTTATGTATTCTTGCTGCAGAGTAACAGGAAGTCATAAGTATAGATGCAAAAAATAATTCACACACACAACCAAACTTTACTACCAGAAGATGTTTGCATGCTCATGCTAAAATTTAGCAGCTTAAAAACATTTTCCAGAATATTGTCAACAGAAGGGTGAAATCTCTGTTTCTTAATCCTTGCCTGTGATAAGTGGGCTTCGTATTCAGACTTGTTTTGCATTAGAAGATCAGCTTCCTTTGACTGAAAGAAAGAATTCACATATCAATCAAGCTTTTCTAGCAATTTCCTTCCCAGCAAGAGACAGAATAAGTTTAAAGGATGGGCCGGGCCAGAGACCTTTATGGTTCTATATCGTTCACCTAATGGAGGCAGACCATTTAGAATTGTTCGAACAAGGTAATCGGGTGGACGTGCTTGTTTGAAGAAAGGGTGCTTTAAAAGCTTTTCTGAAGTTGGACGCTTCTTTGGGTCCTTCACTAGGCATGTACCCACCATTTCCTTGAAGGCCTGTGAAGGCAAAGCAACCATTAAGGTGAAAGGAACACACAAGAAGCTAGAATGATACAAACAAAAAGTGACCACTCACGCACTTTTGAGAATCTTTTGTCTCTCTCATAGTCGAGTCCCGGAGGTGCATTTTGTAAGGTCATCAGCAAAACCTACAGGTGATAGTTACCAGAAAAAGTAAATACACAAACTACGTACCAGAGAGCAGTGAAGATCATTACAAATCAAATAGCATAATCATAACTTTACTTTCATTGGCGGATACTTAGAAAATGGGGCATGGCCATGTGCCAATTCAAGTGCCGTTATTCCAAATGACCATACATCTGCTCTGTGACAGGGAAATGTATTAGACAAAAACACCTGCTTAATCTGGTGAGGAAGTAATGTTTTAGCGTAGAGTTTAGAATTTAAAGAGTATCAACTTACTTGAAATCATATCCATGTAATTGCTGCATGACTTCAGGAGCCATCCTGTGCCGAAACAAGCATGAATCAGAAATTTTGTCTACACCCAAAGAACATGGCAGTACTAAAGTTGAAAAAAAGTACCAGCATGGAGTCCCAACGAATGTATTTCTGGAACGTTGTCTATCTCCTGTATCAAACATGCAAGCTGATACTCCAAAGTCTGCTAACTTAACGGCACCATTGGAATCCAACAAAATGTTTCCAGCCTGCAAAGTCAGTCATATGTATTGATAAAAACGATAACATATCCTCACCACTCAATAGAGGAGGGCAAGACCAAAAAAGCCTTCGTCCATAGATGAGGAAAGTACTATACTATAGGGAAATAATGCAACCATATACCTTCACATCCCTGTGGATATGTCCATGAGCATGAAGATATACAAGAGCTTTCAGAGTCTCACGGAGTAAAGTAGCAATAACAGGTTCCTCAAATCCATCTGGATAAGAAGACTTTATTATATGGAGACAGGATCCTCCAGCCATGTATGGCATCACAACCCATAGCTGGTGCCCAGCGGTAAATGAGCAATGAGCTTGCAACACATTTGGATGGTTGATCAGGCTCATTGTTTGCACCTCTCTCCGGATCCCATCCTACAAGCAATTCAGTTCCTATTCATTCGGATTAACAGAGACAAGAATTCCATGGTGTTCGCAACTGCATCTAACTCTTTACATCTAGATTAAGCTCGTGACACTTCGACATAAAAAAAAGAAAATAACAGAAATTATAAAGTCGAAACATGCAACTACAATTTGAAAGGTCATTAGGTGTCTCAACTTTCGAAGGCAATTGAACTACAATTGGGCTCACAAAGTCACAAGCATCAAAGCATGAAACAGGAAAATCAAAAAGAGAAGGCTTTTTTTTCTCTACGATAAGTAAGACCAGAAAAGCACAAAGGCAAAAACAGCTAGAAACTGGGAATACGCAAGGCGTTTTTTCATTTTTTATAATAAGAATGAATTAGAGTACATACCAGATCATTGTTGCACTTTTCCAGATCAAGAACCTTGATAGCAACTACCTCATTAAGCGGTACGCACAAAGCTCTGTGCACAGTCGCACTGACACCATCTCCAATTTCTTCATGTAACTTGTAGTCTTTTGCATTGAGAGGAAATTTTTTCTCTGAACCCGAGTCCATAATTGTTATTTTTGAATCTTCTTAAAGCATATATTATACACCTTTGACCCCGTAAGTTTCAAAAAAATTACAAGAGAGGTCGACTGACGAGAGCATCAATCTGTGTGTGGTTTTTTCCAATTCGCCAGCATTTTACATTTCTGCAACGCAAAGCAAATGCGAAGATCTCATCAATGCCATATCACCAAAATGTTTATCTGCGCAGAAGAGCAATTCCCAGTCAAACTGAAGAACAGCATTTCATGTCATTTAAATTGATAATAAAGCGGAATCCGAAACTCGAAACCCTATGACTCATAAACGTATCCTTTTGGGACACAAGCATCATATTTCCCTAAATCCTTCAAATGTACAATTATGTCCAGGATAATACTCATATCATGGTAAGGAAATGAGAACAATATGTATAAGCACTTGACCATCAAGAGAGCTGTTTCAAGTTCTAGAATAAAACGAGAATGCAATTCATAGAAACAACTAAAAAAAATATGGATATCAATCACATGGTCGTGGTTTCCACATTCGTTCTTGGTGGCAAACAATTTAAGAATTCGATCTACCCACTAATTTCCAGACATCTACAAATAATGACGCGCATTCAGATTTTCTACACCACACAATTGATCATCACTATATCTCTCAATCAGATTTGAGGAAAATGAAAAGAAAAACAAAAAAAAAACCGAATCATGAAAAAAATAAAGTACGATGAAATTAGAAAGAGAAATGAAATCTGAAAATCTTCTGATAATCCTACCATTACCGGAATGAATTTGAAAGGGGAAGAAAAATCAAATCTGGGAGAAGAAACAGCGCTGACCTCAAGTCAAATCAAAGGAGGCGTTACTTAAGCTGTCTTCTCCAGCTGCTGGTCCTTCTATCACGCACAAACGAAAGCGACGTATACACAGCCTTCAATTGCGGCGGAGGCGGCGGCGGAGCTTGATAATCTGCGATCGATCCACCAAGGAGAGGAAATTATTTGAATTCGAAGCACGAGATAAGAATCTCGCTTTCTCTTCTTCGTTGTCGAGTTCTTCTCTCCTCCTGTTGTGTAGCTTTTCTGTCGTCTGGTTTTCGCTTAGCAGAGAGAATCTCCAGAGGAGCTAAGAGAAAACGGTTTAACCGTGTGAATATCAGGAACCCGATTTTACTGGGATTCTGGTTCAAGTTTACCAAATCAACAAAATTAGTTGTATTGAACTAATTTCACATGTGAACCGAGAAGTAAACCCGGACACGATTTTTGTTTTTATGTTAAAAATGAATAAAATGGGCGAATTGTTCTTTATGTTGAAGGGTGTAATTTATGATGATTAATATAATTTGACAATTACAATCATATTTTTAGCTTAAACATGGCCAGAGCAAATTGTCAGACCGGTCCATGTATAATTTGTAATTTAACTGAAACTTTTGGTTTATACTAATTGTAGAAATTGAATTATTGTGACCTTTCTAAGTTTGCTGAGGACTTAACCGAAACTTTCGGTTCCGATTCCGGTTCTGTGTATCGTTCTATCAGTTAAATATCGTACCGATATTCTAAATTAAGGAAAAAAGACTCGAACTTCTCGGGCTGGCGAAGAGATGATTACTTCACAAGGAGGGGAGGTGTTGCTGGGGTCAACCCCGCTTCTTGATTGGGTGGAAATTGCTTTCACAAGACTTTATTTCTTAATTTTCATTTTATGTAACAAGTGAAAATATTCTTAAGGTGAAAATTGAAAGAAACAAAATTATATTCGCAAACATGCCAATTAGGGAAAGAAAATATGTATTTTTACTTTAATCAAATTAGAAAACTTTTTATTACGACACACACAGATGATGTTGACAAAATAAAACTTTACTACAGTTGAAAAGAAAGAAAGCTGATTACAATAAGTTTTTCTTAATTGTCTTTCTCCGCATGTGCTTGGGAAATATATAACATGGACAACAATATCTGGAATATAGATCTCACTGAAACGCAAAAAAAAAAAAAAAAAGAGATCTATTATTAAATCGGACTATGCACACTGCATATAATTTTGAGTGTTTAAAACACGTTATGATGATTCATAATTTGAATTGAAACGGCATTATTCATAAAACACAAATTTAAGTTATAAAATAATGTTTGTGGTGAAACGGAGGAAACAGTTTGTTCTAACAAAAGATCTCAATACATGATTATGTGTGTTTGAGAACATGCCAATATAATGTTCAATAATGATGTTATTTGAAGTGATGAATATTAACAAGTGGAATAATAAATGCTTGTGTTTTTTTATGCCCAACTTGGTCAACACAAGAATGCATAACATAATAGTATATTAATATTGAGGGTCCATGAAAAAAAATACAATTTGGTGTATATTCGCAAAGCAGTTGTGATTTTTGGAATACGTGAAACGGAATAAAAATTGATAAAACTAGTGTATCGTATTCGGAATCGTATTTTTGTATCCAAAGTGCAACTTTTCTAACATCTACACAAACAAATTATGGATTTGCATGGTAATACGGTAATAGTAAAACATGCATAACATGCGGATTGGACAAAAGTCTCAAAACAAGTATGGCTATTTAACTAATTCTACGGATTTAGCAGTAAGAAACAAATAAACAACCGCAACGCATTAATATTCACTTGAGATGTTTTCCCTTTTTCTAATTTTTTAAAGTATAGTATATATTGATATCTTCTTCCCTCAAGTCGTCAGCATTGACGCGCAAATTCCCAAAAACTCGGTGATTATATTTTATAAAACGAAAAATTATCCTTAAACAAAGACAAAGAAATAGATCACGGTTCCTTCCTTGTCAAAGCCGCCTCGTCTTGATGCTCAAGTAAACCAATACATTCACATCTCTACGCACACACGTACGCAGACACATTCACATATATGTATATATATACACACACAGAGCAAGTCCAAGTGTATGAACAGAGTCAAGAAGGCAGAACTTCGAGCACATAACAATGCAGGACTATTCTTCTACGGTGTCGTTTAGCCCCAGTTTCAGTTTCTACGCCTCCGGTGACAGTGACATCATCGAAGCCGCCGTTAGAGTTTCCCGTGAGTCCCAGAGTTATCATTCCGTTAAAGTTGACGGCTACGACGACGCTGAATTCGAGTTCGAAACATCGCCGTTACGAGAAGAGAGCTTCTTCCATTTCCCAACGACGAAAACTTTCAAGCGCTCACCCGAGGAGGAAGAAGACGATGACGTGGCAGCCTATCGAGTAACGACCAAGAATCTTTTATACGGTGGATGGGAAATTGATCAATCTCTATCTTCGCCGTCTCAATCGCATTCATCGTCGGAGTCAGAAGATGTGGAGGAACTCTCCCCGAGGAGATACTACTGTTTCTGGAGCCCTATCAGATCTCCGGCGAGAGGCGATAGCTCGAAGGGCAAATCTTCCAGCGCTCCGAGACGGTGCCGTTTTAAGGATCTTCTGCAGAGAAGCCACAGCGATGGAGCCGTTACGGCCTCGAGCGAATCTAAACGGTGCCGTTTAAAAGATCTTCTGAGAAGAAGCCACAGCGACGGCAGCGGCGGCGACAGGTCTCCGATTTCGAATTCGTCAAGCGGAAACGGAATACTGGCAGTGAAAGGAAAACATACAACGGCGTCGTATAAGCCTACGAGCATCGGAGAAGTGGATAAGAGAAGAAAGACTTATTTACCGTACAGGCAAAACTTGATCGGCGTTTTCGCCGGAGCAAGCAGATTCCGTCAATAATGAAGTTTGTCGTTTGAACTAGTACATTTTTACAAATAGTTCCTTGTTTCAATATTTGTTTTCGTTTTTGGCCATGTAAAGCTTTTTGGTACTATTAGATCCAAAATATATTTGTTCTTTTTTTTATTTTCTAACTGAAATGTTATGCCACGTGTAAGACTTTCGAGGAAATAGAGGTTACATTTGACTAGACCAACTAATTTATCTTCAGTTAAAGCCACAGAAGAGAATCCGATCACCCCACTTGTGACTTTAGTCTGCATCATTTCTGAGAAGGTGCCTGGAAACAAGAAATGGGATAATGGAAATTTCCCTTTAGATGAATAATATCAAAGAGAGTTGTGCTATAGAATGTTCTATTGTAATCTGTGGTTTGATGCTTTATCCTGAGTAAATAAAGACAAAACTTTGCGCCTGCCTTCTTTTTCACGTTAATAATGATGACATGTTGCATGAAAATGTCGACATCGTTTCCTCATAAATCCCACACCAAATATATATATAAGTAGCAAACCAAAAGCTTTGCACATTCTCCATTTCTCCTATATCTCCCATTCCTAGAAGAAGCAGAAAGCTTGTCAAGTATCCGATCGATTTATCAACAAGACAAATACACGAGAGAAATCGAATGACTAATAATTAGATGTAGAGAGAGTGTTGGTTTCGTTTTTTTCCTTATCTGGCTTTTAGTCTAGTACTCTTCTTTTAATTCGTCTTTCAATGTTACACTCTCCTCCTTTACTTATGCTTTGATATAACATAAGTACATGTTTGTAAACAATCTGTACAAAAATATTATGTTCTCATATCTAGTTCACTTTTTTGTAAACAAGCAATACTACATGTTCCTTGCTGTGTAATCTTGGTCCCTTTTTAGGTTTCGGTTTCTCTAAATGGCTCAGCAGACTCAGAGACGGCTCTTTTATCTGCTTCAGAAACCACAATCAGGTACATATAGTTATAAAAACACAAAGTGATGGTGTTTATTTAGATAAGCTTAGCGAGAAGATGAAATATATAAGTGGAGCCTCTTGCTTTGGTGATACGATCTTATCCTCTATATAATCCACACGGCCACACCCATCAATCCCCTTCTTCATCTTCCACCACTTGTTTTTTTGTTTGTTTGTTTGTTTTTGATTTTTCTTTTCTCTATCCGGTAAAATTTCAACTTCCGAAATCAATAAATTTCCGTTTAACTAGCTGAAAGAAGGAATTGAAATTGTGGGAATTTCCCTTTGATATTTTACTGTTATCGCCGTAACATCAAAACAGGAAAGGATTAATATACAAGAAAATCACAAAGAGTATGACTTATCCACCGCGAGAAATGATAGAAAAGAAAGAAACTTTTCTATTCACCTCACCTTTCCCTTTCCTTATCCATGAGACCCCCAAAATCCCGTCGGCCTTCTTTTAATCAACCAATCTCTCAAATACACATCCACACATTATTTAACTATTTACTCTTCAGAGATAATCTTTACATTATAGCTATTTGTACCCTTCTTAGTACTTTGTGCTATAAGTACCCTTTCTCTTCGTCCCTTCGTCATCGCCTATCTCTCTTTTTCCTCTTCCCGTTCCGTTTCCGCACCTGCATCACCACCAATCTGGTATACTGGTATAGTGGTTAGTGTTATGTATTTGCATGCATGGTGCTTTGGTCTTATAATTTGGATTCGAATTTGATTTCTAGTATATATATATACTGTATTACGCTTAAAGCTGATCACAAGAAAACTAAAGGATCCTTCTTATTTATGTTTGTACACATGCTTTTTAATGTGTTGGTCAATCACGTAAGAGATAGGTTAGTGTGAGTGTATGTGTAAAGTAATTTCGCCAAACTTCCAAAATTGTTGGAACATACTCGTGTTTCCATTTCTTTATTTTTTTCCCTTACTAATTAAACAACCCCATGCTTATTTGATCTTTAACGTGACGTAACAAGATTGTTGAATTAAAAAAAAAAGCATCATAATCTTTATATCCAACCGCAATAGAAAAGAACTAAAGCAAACTCCCATGCATTAGTATGGAAAAGCCACATTCCCACTATATTTCCATCACATCCTTACCATTCCATTATTAACACGTGTTATTATTGTCATTTGCTAATTATATAATGGATAATGTCTGTAGGATTGTCCTATTTTACTCATTTTGTAATGACGTTACTAGTATTCGATTTTCACCAATTTAGCTACCATATTAAAAAAAAATATACTATGTGTGTGTTTATCTTAAAATATTTGATACAAGGAGGATCTCGTCTGAACTGTTAATTTCCGTTTTAATCACGGGTCATTTTTTATATTTATGGAATTATATCGTTTGTATATAAATTTTAAATATATGACGTTGTCGTTGTCAAGCAATATTTGTAGAAATAAATACATGCAAAACAAAATTTCACCATACTTTTTGTTTTGTTTTGATGAATGGAAAAATTTAATCAAAAAATACCACCAAATTTTTAGAAGGGTATTTTTTTTTTTCAAACAACGGTACGTGAACCAGTTCTAAGAAATGTTTTAAACTGTTCAAAATATTTTCTAATTTTTTGTTTTTTTAACTTATAAGGTTGCATAGTAGTTCTAAAAATTAGGACATAAAAAGTAACATTTCTAAGAATGTTTTTTAGTAATAATGGTGGAGATAATATTTAATTAGTTCTGATCTTACAATTCTAAAGGTGGTCTTCTGAGTCATCAGACTCATCACCCAGACAGAAAATACAGGTTTCTTTCCTTTATTTATAGAAGAGATACAAATCCTATACTTAAGCATGCATCTAAATTAAATTTCTTATTTGCTTTCTCATTTTCTCTCTGTATAATAACTTTTTAGATGAAAGCTGAAGATTACTTTCTTTTTCTGGTAAGAAGATTTTTTCATATATATAATTTGTTTTGGGTCCATGATGATTAGCAGAGAGAACTGAGAAGACATGGGAAACGAATCATATGAAGACGCCATCGAAGCTCTCAAGAAGCTTATCATGTAAGTAAATAATAGATACGGAATACCGACAGAAATTAAAAGACTTTGTAATATGGGAGGCTTATAACACTAATTTAACAGTAATAGTTGAAAAAAAATTATTTTTTAATCAATAGAAAGATCAGAAAAAGAAGGATTTTATATACGTATTTTGTTTTTGATAGAGAATCCTATATTAGGTTTAGTTTCATAACATTACTCTGTGTAATAATGTATGGGCAGTGAGAAGGATGAGCTGAAGACGGTGGCTGCAGCCAAGGTGGAGCAGCTCACGGCGGAGCTTCAGTTAGCCTCGTCATCGGACAGCAAATCTTTCGATCCCGTCGAAAGAATTAAGCAAGGCTTCGTCACCTTCAAGAAGGAGAAATACGAGTAATTAACAAATAAATCTCTCTTCTTATCAATAATTTCATTTTAGTAACACATATATATATTACCAAGTCATGATCATTAAAAACTTAATAATATTGCATCTTAATTCTCTGCAGTACGAATCCTGCTTTGTACGGTGAGCTCGCCAAAGGTCAAAGCCCAAAGGTATTTAAAAAAAGAAGATGCAGAAGAAGAAGAAGAAGAAGAAGATATTATATAGTTAGTTATATATGTTAGAGATTATATTATATAGTCACTCACTCGTATATCATGAATGGTACAGTTCATGGTGTTTGCTTGTTCGGACTCACGTGTATGCCCATCACACGTGCTAAACTTCAACCCTGGAGATGCCTTCGTGGTTCGTAACATTGCCAATATGGTTCCTCCGTTTGACAAGGTATATATACAACACATTCAATTCATTACATCTTAATTAATCTAGAACCTTCTACTCAGAACGGAGTGTTTGACTTTGACTTATGAAGGCCTGACATGGCTTTTCTGCTTTTTAAATAATTTCAGGTCAAATATGCCGGAGTTGGGGCCGCCGTTGAATACGCTGTCTTGCACCTTAAGGTTGCTCCTCTCTCTGTCTTTCTCTCTAGTAGATTGTTTTGTGACTTTCTGAAGATGATTTGCTTCGTTCGTTATAAATTTATACTTACTATGAGAAGACCAAAAAAAAAAGTAAATACATATGGGTGTAATGAACCCGGGCGAAAACGAGTGTTATGCATATGGGCCTTATTGGGCCGACGAGTGTTAAGTATATGCGCGCATACTGACATAACAACAAATCAACAATACATGCGTATATTGATGATTATTGGTTTGACTACCAAAAAGGAAAGATTGATGATTATTGGAAGTTATGAATGTAGGTGGAGAACATTGTGGTGATAGGTCACAGTGCATGTGGTGGCATCAAGGGACTTATGTCATTTCCTCTTGACGGCAACAACTCAACGTAATAAATTTTTCTTTAACATATGTTAAAGTTAGCCAACATTTTTCTAATTTCGTATAGAACATTAAACCATATGTTTTTTTTTTTTTTTAACTTAAATTTACAGTGATTTCATAGAAGACTGGGTAAAAATCTGTTTGCCAGCAAAGTCAAAGGTTTTGGCAGAAAATGAAGGTTCAGCATTTGAACACCAATGTGGAAGATGTGAAAGGGTATGTCTATTCTCCTTTAGATTTTTAATTATCGGCTAATTGTATTATTCATTAGAATATGAAAAGCTTAGTGAGGATTTATTGAATTACAAAGCCAACCAACAAACTTAAACAAAACTTTGAGATATTTGAACGCTTAGTTTAGAATGTATTTTATTTTCAGAACATAACAAGATTTAGTAGCTATCATCGATATAATTCTGTGAATATATATCAGAAATTTTATCGCAATGTTTCTCAATAAAAACATGTATGAATATTACAGGAGGCAGTGAATGTATCACTAGCAAACCTATTGACATATCCATTTGTGAGAGAAGGGGTTGTGAAAGGAACACTTGCATTGAAGGGAGGCTACTATGATTTTGTTAAGGGAGCTTTTGAGCTTTGGGAACTCCAATTTGGCCTCTCTCCTGCTCGTCCTATTTAAACCAACATCAATCTATCTTCATCATGTGTTACAACTCTTGATCTCCCATCTTAATTACTATACTATTGCTATTTGCAAGTGTAATGCGCCTTTACTTGAGATGATGAGCTTCCTTTTCTACATTATCTATCCGAATAATAAGAGGATTATCTGAATCATATAGAAATAAGTTGATGTTTTATTTTGTTGTTCTTTTGAAATAACAAAATCTTTTTTTAAAAAGCAGGATAAGATGTTCGCTTAACGAAAAATGAATTTTTTTTTCTTTCTTTTTGTTCGCTAAACGAAATATGATTTAAGCTGCAAAAATTTGGAATGAAAAAAAATACGATATTTAAATAAAAATGTTAAATATCCTTGTCTAATATAGATGGAGATATGGCTCCATATTAATTACATTAAGATCGATCTGAAAAAAATTGGGAACCTTCACGGCTTCACCTTTTCATTTCCATTACATATGACCAACGTGTCTCCTTGTAGATCATCAAAAACCCTCGACTTAGATTTATATATTTCATGTGTAATAGTATCATATGCATTGGTATTTAAATGACTTTATAAAAATCAAGGAAGGGTGGGGGACAAGCTTTCAAAGAACATATTAAAATCAAAGACACCGAACATAAATTAAAGTATTAAGAAGGGGGACAGCTTTGTCATAGAAATTTATAGATTTTTTTTAGGGAAGGGTGAATGTAAATTTGACCCATTTATACTTTCTGGCTTCTATTTAGTTTTCTTTTGTTTTAAATTATAGGCGTAGTCGTCAGGGTAATCAAGGTTTGTGTCTAATTTCTCATTTACAGAGTACAATTCTATCATTTTCTTTCAACAATTTGGGAAACACGAATAGTGTATTTTTAAATAGTTTTTTTTTTAGCAAAAAAAATGTGTTTATATGTTTCTATTTACAACAAAATATATAGTAAATAGACTAGTAATCATATGCACTAGCTAGTTTCTGACTTTCTGTGTCCAGATATGTTCTTCTTCTTTACATTTTATAAAATGAATTTATACAACATCTAACCTGCCATTATCCTTAGACTCTTTCAATTATAAGTTGAACTAAAATTTAACTGGTTTAAATGAGCATTTCTCACAAGAAAATCCAAATATTTTGCTTAGGAAGGAACAAATATAGCATCTATCGATGCATAAGGTTTTTAAGCATATACATATAACCCAAGAAAGTTCACCTATTTTAAAGACTTAGCCAATCATACACTACCACATCAACAACTTTTAATCTAAGACTGTTGATGTATTAGTGTTTGATCAGCTTTGAAAGATAACACAACGAAAAGAAAGCCAAATCTATATAAAAAAAAACATTAAAAACAGTGCCCGTCTATAAAATCCATCATGTTGGTGAGTGTGCTAAGCTCAAACTCATCCTCATGAACCCAAAGTGAACTCAAATAGTTACTTCCTTGACGATCTTCTTGAATTTCATCTCTGAGAATAATATTATTGTTATCGTTGATATCCGAGAGTTTTGTTTCTTTTGATGTTTCAGTAGGATTTGTGAGATTGATCTGATAAACAATATCACCATTGCTCGGCTTGGCTTTTGGATCTTTGATTCCGAGTTTCTTACTAAGATGCGTGTTCCAATAATTCTTCACTTGATTATCCGTCCGACCCGGTACTCTTTTAGCAATCAAAGACCACCTAATTAAATACGCATATAAACTATATATTAATTTCAATCATTTTTTCTAGAAATAATGTATTGAAATTTAAGAATAAATATACCAAGCAAGAAAATCACGAATATAGATGACTATTTATAGTGATGAATATGAATGGAAATACCTGTATTTTGTTTTTCTCTCGAAATAGCTAGTTTCATTGTAGATAGCAATAAATTTAAGTAAATGTAAATGGAGCTATACCTATTACCAAGCAACTTGTGGAGTCTAATGATAAGATCTTCTTCTTGCTCGGTGAAATTGCCTCTTTTCACATTTGGGCTGAGATAATTCATCCACCTCAATCTACAACTCTTTCCACATCTCTTTAAACCTATTTTGTATATACAATTTGTTTATTTATAAGAAACGGATTCATAAAAGATAAACAAGCAACCCATAATAATTAACATGATCAGTTTCACCCATAAACAGTAACTAAAAGATAGGGAGCAATTATATTCCAATTTCAACGACTTTTTAACGAGATAATCAAATAGAGTTGGTTAATATAATACTCATGCGATATACGGTTTAAAATTAATTAAGACTTTAAAGGGGACTCTCCACCATCAGAATATAAACGAACCCTTAACGTTAAGCCTTTCATAAAAGAAGGTCGAGAGAGAGAGAGAGAGAGAGAGAGAGAGAGAGAGAGAGTAGAGAGATAAAAAGAGACCAGTCTTTTTGGCAATACGATTCCAGTGGCCTTTGCCATGAGCTTTGACATAATCCACGAGGATCTTGTCTTCTTCTACTGTCCACAAACCTTTCTTGTACTCATTGTTTCCTTCTTCTCCACTACTACTTACTTTCTTTCTCATTCTTTTTGTTTCTTTGGAAGATAGACGAGAGAGAGATCATAGAAAGAGAGAAATAAAGTAATTCTATGAGTAGTTCGTTGATGGAGTTATTAAATAGTACTACAAGTTCAGAACCTAGTGGAATATTTATTTATAGAGTTTAAATAACTAGTAATGATATGTAGCTATACATATATTTATGATTATCGGGGTTATTAAATAATGTATTGATTATGTCTGGCATGTGATGATAATTATTAATGGTAATGGACTTCTGAGACGCAAGCTGGTAATTACTGATACGGATTAGTTTAATGACTTAATCAAGATTTCCGACTATACATATGAAAACATGGACCGCCTAAGATGGTCTTGGGAGACACAAAAATCACGTGTATGTTTTAAAAAGATTCGTCTTTGATCTTAGAGCTCTTTCGGCATCGAAGTTTCATGTGTCAGGCTAGTGTTTAAATATCTTCTTGATCCTTAGTTAATTGAAATGAATCATAAGTAGTTCTTTTTGGTTTAGTGTTAAGATAATTAGACCGGAAAAAAAATGTACACCACTATTGTTTTACGGGAAACTCTATCGTCAAAAAGACCCATGATGATGGAAATTTTGAACTCATGAAGCCCAAAAGAGTTGAGACCATACCAAAATCCGAAAATATAACTCGACGACTGATTGTTCTCGCTGCAACCGATAGGGAAGTGAGATAAGTAGTAACCAACGAACCATAACGTTAAAAACACTGATGGAAAAATGAAATGCCTAAGCAGATTTTTTAACTTTATTTTGTACAATGAGATCCTTGGACCAGAGGCCGGGAATCTTGGATTAGACGATTCAATATAATTAGTTTGACTAACTACTGTTTTTGTATAAGTGGCATGAGAGTTAGCAATAGTGGGTTAAGGGAGATATTTAATCAGAAGATCGTTTGACTCTCTTGGGATTCGGACTTTAATCACGAAAGAAAAAAACAGTGTTTTTGTATGAAAGAAAGAGAGAATAGAAGCTCCCTCCGTTATCATTAAAGTATCTTGATCTTCGTGCCCCACCATATATTTATGGATTAATTACGTGTATATATATATATATATTTTTTTTTTTTTTTGAATAATAATTACGTATGTATTGTGTTTTTTTTTACAAACAAGGGTTAGTTTCGTATATTGTTGAGTTAGAGTGTACTTTGTTAATTTGTTGTTTTTTAGTATTTGTTTCACATCTTCTTTTAATTTTTATTTATTTATTTATTAAAGAATTTACGGTTCTGTAAAAGGTTTTTTCCCATGGACTACTTCAGTGCCGTCAAAAATATCGACCTTTATATATAACAAACAATAATAAATGATAAGCTCAATGATTAACATTTTATGTTTTACATATTTTCTAAATAATCATCACGGGTTTACATAGTTTAGAGTTTGCTGCATATAAAAATCGGAATGAAAATTTGGGCAATGCAATGATGATATTTGAACAAAATTTATTATGGTACAATAAACTATATGATAAAAGAAAAAATAGTCAAGGATATAGCTGGCACATTTAAATCTCTAGACATATATATTACTCTTAACGCTGGGAGCTGAGTCGGTAATAAGTCTCTGCAACATTTCATTGTAATAACTAGTGCTTTATATGTTTTCTTTATTTCTTACAAATAGTTATTAAAACTATCGAGGAATTCGGTGGACACGCACCATTGTTACCTATCTATCATTCAAATTTGTTTGATTTTAATATCAGGTTCGGGTATTCCATGGCCAACGAATATGTGATTCACAAGTTTACCATCTTTCCAAAACCGATGTAGTGATTTATTTATGCTAAGAATGGAATGATCTACTTAGATATACTTGATTGTGCTAATTGCTAACGTTCATATATTATTAATTTCATAAAATCAGAATTGTTTATAATCAATGATGAAAATATAGCTAATTTTTTATCATAACTGTTTAGGGGGTTCTATACATAGTTTACGTGGTGAAATTGTAATTTGATTTGCGGAAATTATTAATAGGTTTTTCTCAAAAAGAAATATTTATAGTATTTCAATGGAATTAATGCACATGTGGGAAACTGGTCTCTTTCTTACATGCATGTGTGCGAGTTTCACCAGCAAGGTTTCACCAAAAAAAAAATAACCTGAGGTTATGTCTAGACGTAGATGGCCCATGAGAAAAGTGAGCCCATTAGTATTAATTCAAAAGTTATTACTGGAGCCCACTTTCAAATGGGCTTTATCGACTGAGCTCCAATATTAAACGACTAAATTATATAGCAAATTGGGAAATATATTTTAATCAGGAGTAATTTAATTCTAGATTATGAAAACTCGAAATTCGTACTAAATCGAACGAAACTATAGTTTGATCTGATATAAATATTATTTAAATTTTTTAAAAAACTTGAATCTGAACCGAACAACGATGTCGACCCTTAGAAGGCTTAGAAGCCCAACCCTTTAGAGGCTAGAAGAATGTTTTGTAAGGAAAAAAAACAAGAGGAGATTATGAAAGCCACAACCTTTTCTTTCTTTACAAATTGCATTTGGTCTTTTAATAATTTCTTGTCCGATAGGAAAATTCTGAAGCCATCATCAATAAAAAAGCCAAAAGTCAAAAGATACTAATAAAAGAAGACTCCAAAGTATTCTCTCTCCATTTTTTTTTCGAGAATTTATAATTAAATTAAATAAATGGCCGTTGGAGATTTCCATTAGCCATGACGACTCGTGGAAAAGTGATTGTTTCTTTTTCCATGATCCTCAATTACAACTTACAAGGTCATGCTTGATGCATGCATCAACAACACATATATATGTAAAGCTGTAATACAAGTTGTTGGAATACTTTCAAATTTAAAGTAATATCATGGATATCTTGGTGGTCGTACCTGAAAATTATATTCGAAAACTAAAACTAATTAATTTTTCTAACGAGATGAAGTTGAGTTATGAATATTGAAGTTTTGATGCATAATTGTAAATATAACTTTTAAGAAAAAAAAAACTTTTAAGAAAAAAGTTTAATATTTTTGATTGGTCTAAAAACGCCAAGAGATCCCAAAACCATAAAGCGGAAAAAGAAAGAATAAAAAAAGACGACCAGTGTGTGTGTGTGGGGGCGGCTCGAACACAATAAGGAAGGCGCGAATTTCAAGGACCAGAAACCTCTGCCTTCGTTTGTTTTCGTGGTCCTTTTCATTTTTCCAGCATTGGTTTCTTCTTCTTCTTCGTGAGAGGGAAAAGATCTCATTTTCGTTTTGTTGCTCTTGCGTCGCAATTTGATTTGGTCCTCTTTGCGAAAAAGTCGTGCCTTTTTTTGTTGTTGTTTTCACTCTGAATCACGTTCTGTTGATCTACGTGAATTCCCAGATTTCAAACCCACACTCGTCTTCTTCGTCACCTGCTTAGATCAGACGCGCTTCCCGTGATTCCGTAAGAGTTCCGTGTTTCATTAATTACGACTTTTGATTTCAGGATCCCGAATTTTTGTGTAATTTACCTCTCTGTTCCTAAATTCCGGAATTTAGATTTTTGTTTTCTCGGTTGGATTCCGAGTAACAACACTCTCCTTAATTTCCCATCGCTCTTCAAACAAATTTTGGATTTTGAGTATCAAGGTCCATTGTAAAGAGAGGAATGGTGTTTTTGTTTGATTATGTTTTCTTATGAACAACAATCTTTACGATGTTGTAGGAGCCGAGCTTTAAGGTCGGAAATGGCGGCTAATGTTTCTGCTGGAAACATTCATGATTTCTATCTCGCGGGGCATGTCTTTAGGGGGCAACATTCATGGAGCTCTCGTTTTACTTTCAGGGCAAATTCATTCAAAGACCTCTCTTGGTATCACTTCTTTCCAAACTTCATATCCCCAAAAGTTTGTCATCTCTGTGTAGCAATTGACATTGAGATTCCTGATTCACCATCTCTTTGCTCTTTGTTCTCATGAAGAATTCACAGCTTTCTCGTTTTTTTTTTCATAGTTAACTAATTAGACTCATAGGCGTTTCTTATGCTGGACTCAAACTTTTCTCTAATCTTTGTGCACATTAGGTCGAGTGGCGTATCTAAGGCTTTAAAGGCTGAGAGGTGTGGTTGTTACTCTCGCGGTGTTTCCGCCATCAGTGAGAGCTCGAAGCCTTGTACAAGTATCAGGGCAGTTTCGGTATCGTCTTCAACAAAGTATTATGATTTCACTGTGATTGGCAGTGGAGTGGCGGGTCTGCGTTATGCTTTAGAGGTTGCAAAGCAAGGCACAGTGGCAGTGATCACCAAAGACGAGCCTCACGAGAGTAACACAAACTATGCTCAAGGTGGTGTTAGTGCTGTGTTATGCCCTTTGGATTCTGTAGAGAGTCATATGCACGACACAATCGTCGCTGGTGCTCATCTTTGCGATGAAGAAACTGTAAGAGTAAGTCTCCGTTTAATGCACTAAAAAGCTCTAAGAGTTTACCAGTTTGGATCCTATTGCGGTTCTGTGGTGTAGAGAGATGGTCCAAACCTTTCTCACTTTTCACTGTCTTAATGTCCTTTTTTCAGGTTGTGTGTACAGAAGGCCCTGAAAGGATTCGTGAGCTGATTGCAATGGGAGCATCATTTGATCACGGCGAGGATGGAAACTTGCATTTGGCAAGAGAAGGTGGTCACTCGCACCGTAGGATTGTTCACGCAGCTGATATGACAGGAAGAGAGATTGAGAGAGCTTTACTTGAAGCCGTACTTAATGATCCAAACATATCTGTCTTCAAACACCATTTTGCAATCGATCTGCTCACTTCTCAGGTTCCACCTTCGACCCTGAAAAACCAAATTTCCTCTGACCGATTTGCTTATCAGATCGATCTTTTTGTTTATTTCAACAGGATGGTTTGAACACAGCTTGTCATGGTGTTGACACTTTGAATATCAAAACAAATGAGGTACAAAACAATCTGGTTTTCGTCGGTTTGACTATTCTTTCTGTAGCTTAGATTGGAATATTAAAAAACCCTATGTTTCTTCAGGTAGTACGTTTTATATCGAAGGTGACATTGCTTGCTTCAGGTGGAGCTGGACATATCTATCCCTCAACTACAAATCCTCTGGTAACATTCTCTTTTTAGACTCTCTTAAGTTTCATATTACCATTTGTATCAGAAGAAGTAATTAGCAGGAACTTTTTGTTTTATGGGAAATATCTAAAAGTGACACTTTTGATTCTCACTTGAAAGTATTTGTCGAAACTACCACTTGTTCACATACGTATTTTCAATCATTATGTTATTTGTATAGGTGGCTACTGGAGATGGCATGGCTATGGCTCATCGAGCTCAAGCTGTGATATCAAATATGGAGTAAGTAAATACCGAATTGTTTTTGAAGATACCTGTTGACAATGAAACTTATGTATTTGTTTGTATGTCTTTGGTAGATTTGTGCAGTTTCATCCCACTGCTTTAGCCGACGAAGGTCTTCCCATCAAACTACAAACCGCCAGAGAAAACGCGTTCCTCATCACTGAGGCCGTGAGAGGCGACGGTGGCATCCTCTACAATCTAGGAATGGAGCGGTTCATGCCCGGTTACGATGACCGAGCTGAGCTTGCTCCAAGAGACGTGGTTGCAAGAAGCATTGATGACCAGCTCAAGAAACGGAATGAAAAGTATGTGTTACTTGACATAAGCCATAAGCAGAGAGAAAAGATTCTTGCCCATTTCCCCAACATAGCTTCCGAATGCCTTAAACACGGTCTGGATATCACCCGTCAGCCTATCCCGGTTGTGCCTGCAGCTCATTACATGTGTGGAGGAGTTCGTGCTGGTTTACAAGGCGAGACCAATGTCCTTGGATTGTTTGTAGCAGGTGAAGTAGCGTGTACCGGTCTTCACGGAGCGAACCGGCTTGCTAGCAACTCGCTTTTAGAAGCTCTGGTTTTCGCGAGACGTGCTGTTCATCCTTCGACTGAGCTCATGAAACGCACAAGACTTGATCTAAGCGCGTCAGAGAAATGGACAAGGCCTGTTGTTGCAACCGCGAGATCGCTGGGAGACGAAGTAATATCGAAGATTCTAGCTTTGACCAAAGAAGTGAGAAGAGAGCTACAGGCTGTGATGTGGAAGTATGTTGGTATCGTCAGATCGACCACTCGACTCAATACCGCCGAGAAGAAAATCGCAGAGCTAGAAGCGAAATGGGAAACGTTTTTGTTCGAACATGGATGGGAACAGACAGTGGTAGCTCTTGAAGCTTGTGAGATGAGGAATTTGTTCTGTTGCGCTAAGCTCGTTGTGAGCAGCGCCTTAGCCAGACATGAAAGCCGCGGTCTTCATTACACGACGGACTTTCCTTTTGTGGAAGAAAGCAAGCGGACTCCGACAATTATTCTCCCGTCTTCTCCTACAACGGCTAGCTGGAGCTCAAGGCAGTTGCAGGATTTGAGCAGCAGCTCACTTGTTGATTGTTAAAACTGCAGGAGTTTTGTTCTTATTTAAAGCCCAAATCCTTTCTGATTGTTGTATTCATTTGAAAAAATTTGGAACTCAAAAGATATCTTTGATTATGACACTGTTATACAAATGAAAATAATTTATCTTTCAAGCCTTTTGCTATGGTTTACTGATACAGTATGGGCAAAAGGAAACAACTGTGTAGTGTATGTGGATGTCCCCAAGCAAGGAGCAAGACTGGGAACAGTCTTGTGTTTACTGTCTCCATATCCTCAGTTTCTTTCTTCTGAGTAAACCATTCCAAAAGCTCCAAGCCTCGGATATGGCTTTCCATCATTAATAGACCAAACACGAGTTCATTCGTCCTGTTTGGCCTGAAAAAGTTGCACAAAGGCAAATCCATCAAGAAACAGAGATTCTTCTTCAATGCCACTTTACTACTTCCATCCAGAATAGTCTTGCCTACTCTGCAGCCGCCATTCCCGTTTTGCTACAAAAGAATTCAGTGAATATTTCTCAGGAGATAGTTTTGGCTCGTGCAGTTTGATTTAACAAAGAATAAAGACATCCCGAGACATAATCTGAAGAAGTACTATGGTGCCAAAATCTCACCGGCACTAACCCAATTCTGGAATCACGATTGCTTATGTGTCCTGTTTGGAGCCAAATCTGCTACTGTAGTATATATCTGCGGAAATTAAACATTTGAGTATAGTTGCAGCTTAGTCTTGGAGCGAGACTAGGATTAGAAGGACGAAACGGAATTACCCGGTTCACGAATTTGAAGAACGAGCATTCTTTTTCTTGTAACACTCCTTCAAGAATCTTTCAGCATCAACCTTCATTCCAGGTTTAGAAAAAGCTGCACTTATCCAGTAAATAGTTTGATTACACGGAATATATCCCTTATCTTCAACCATCTCTTTTAACAACCCTTTTGCCTCTGCCAAGTACATTGCTTTTCTATTCCACTCAACTTCTGGATCAGTGCAAAGTTTACACAAACCAGATATCATAGTACAATAAGTCGACGTGTTGGGGCTCACTCTTCTCTTACCCATCTCCTTCATGAGCTCTCTCGCTTGAAGCATCTTCCCAACTTTAGCAAAAACACTGATAAGCACATTGTACGTGCCCGTTTTTGGTACCAACCCATCCGCGATCATCTCACAATATATCTTCATACATTCTTTCTTGTTCCCCATCTTAGCTTGGCCACATATCAAAGCATTGTACGTAAACTCGTCAGGGCGCATACCTCTACTCTTCATCTCACTCAGCCATTTTTCCACTTCTGTTAACAGCCCTGCATCACAGAGACCTCTTATGATAGTATTATAGGTTGCAACATTTGGGGATACTCCTGTTTCCAACATAACAGAATATGTTGAAAGAGCTTTTCCTACATGACTGCCTACAAAGTACCCGCGTATAAGGGCATTGAACGTCACAGTATCAGGAACAAAGCCTCTCTCTTTCATATCCTCCATAACCATGGCTGCCTTTTTCGTCATACCTAGTTTGCACAGAGTTGCAATAAGAGTGTTGTAAACTTGCCTACTGAGTTTAATTCCACAACTCAGGAGTTTCTCGTGCGTTGCGAAGATAGCATCAGCTCTTTTATGCTTTGAAGATGTGTCGAGAAGAATTCGGTATGTCGTTAAGTTAGGATGGATCTCCATAAACGTCATTTGATCCAATACGTCAATTGCTCCATCCATCTTATCATTTTCACATAGCATTCCAACCACAATGTTGCAACTCATCAGACTCGGTTTTATTCCACAACTCTTCATCTTATCCCAAAGCTCAAGGATGCCTTCCAAATTCCCTTGCTTTCGTTGTGAATTCATCATTATGTTAAATGTGGCGATATCTGGTTCTATACCCTTCTCTCTCATTCCTTTGTAGGCCCAGTCTGCTCCGACTTTGCCAAACTTTAACAGCCCATTGATTAAGACATTATAAGAAACAACATCCCATTGCATCCCCTTCTCCTGCATTTCTTCAGCCCAAGCAAGAGCAGCTTCTTCGTCTCCTCCTTTGAAGAACACATCAATCAAAGACGTGTAGTTAATACGATCCAGTGTCACTCCTTTAGCTACGATGTCTTTGACTAATCCCTCAACTTCCTCAATCTTACCGGTTCGCTTCAAATGATTTATTAGAGCATCAAGTATGTAGTTGTTCTCCTCCAACCCAATAAGCTTCATCTCCTTACTCATATCAATAGCCACTTCTTGTTCCCCTGCCTTAAACAAGCCATCAATCACTGTACCATAAGTAAAACTATTCGGCACAACGTTCAGGTCCTCCATATTTCTCATAAGACTTACAGCTTCTTCTAGCATCCCTTTCTTCACATAGCCGTTTATCATACTAGAGTATGTGACAACATTCGGAAGAACACCTTCCTCTAACATCTGCCTTATGATAGATTCCGCACTGCTTAAATTTCCCGCTTTGCACAACCCATCTACCAAAGCCGTATAGGTAACCGCATTTGGAACCTGGTTATCTTCCAAAAGCATCCTAAATGTTTTCTGAGCCTCCTTACGTTCCCCGGCCTTAAACAGACCATCCATCAAAACAGTATATACAACTAAATCTACAGGAATCCCACGCACAACCATTTGACTGTAAAGGGCCAAAGCATCTCGGTATCTTTCTTCTTTAAATAAGGAATCAACAAGAGTAGTATAAGTTACATGGTTCGGATATACACCCATCTCCTCCATTTCTCTCAGTAGCAATCCCGCTTCCAACACTTTCCCGTCTTTGCATAATCGGTTAATAATCGAGCTAAAAGTAACAACATCCGGATGAAACCCGCTCATAACCATGTCCTCGTAGGATTCTTCGATGGCATGGAGACTATAGTAAGAGCTTATGAGTATAGTGTGAGTGATGAGGTTTAGTTCGGTAAATTCGTCCACTAAAGCCTTGGCTCTCGCAAAGTCTCCAACTTTACAAAACCCATTAATCAGAGTATTGTAGCTAACCGTATCGGGCAATATACCTTTCTTCACCATTTCAGAGAGAAACCCATAAGCCTCATCAGCCAAACCATGTTCGCATAAACCACAGATGACGGTGTTATAAGTAACAGTATCAACGCTGATTACACTATTCCTAAGTAAACGAACTGCGAATCTCAGTTGACCAACTTTGCACAAAGAATGAATCAACACATTGAGAGCAAAAACATCGGGAGAAACCCCACAAGCTATCATCTTGCTGTAAATCAACGATACCTGGTGAGGTACCAAAGAATCAACATTGAAACGGTGAATTAAACTATTCCAGAGACGCAAATCCGGAACAACCCCGAAGGTGCACATCGCAGAGAGCGTCCTTGCTGCTCCGTAGAGCCTCCCGCAGCTTAGATAGAGCCGAAAGAGAGTGTGGAAGAGAGAGACGTAAACCCGAGCGCTGCTTGGAGCTAAAGCTGTATTGAATCCGCGTTCTGTGATCAAGAGGCTAGTCGTCTCTTCGCTTCCTGGGATTTGTGGTCGTTTGATTGACGAGAAGGAGCGGCAATTGGAGAGAAAGAATCTGTATTTTCCAGTATAGTTATTCCAAATCCTTATCATCATCAGGAGAGGAATTGGAGTTCATCTAAATCTCCAAAGTTCTCCAGAGACTCCTGCAAGCTCTCATGGCGTCCGCTTGTGACGACGCATTGTTTCCCTTATACACACACGACCGAGTGAGAAAAAGAGTTTCGGAGCTCGACGACGAGAGTCTCGACGGCGTCGTATAGGTTTTCGAATACGATGTCGTTTGATGAAATTCAAAAATCATACCGGGCCTGGACTAACCCTTTTACATTTTCTGATCTAAATTTATAACAATAATAATCATTTTATACAATTATTAATAGTCCGCTGACACTGCACTTATCCAAAACATAAGTATCAAATTACAATCTACCAACAATGCCTTGGAGCCGTCGGATATCTCTTAGTTTCCACGTGGCACATAGTGTCTGGTCCGGAGAAAATGATGATTTCGTTCCGGTGCGTGAACTTTCGTCGCGTATAAAAATGCTCTCTTCTCTCTTAACAAAATAAAGAAGTAACGAAATTGATAATAATCTCCTTTTAACTCTGAGAGCTGATCTACTACCCTACTGAGATTGAGAAGATGGCGATGCGACGAGTCACCGGAGCAGCGATCAGAGCTTATGCTCACTCTTCTTCTTCGGGTTATTTCGCTCGTCAGTTTCATGTAAGAACTCTTCGAATTCTCTCCTTAGATCTCGCTCAATTGAGCTTTATTTTGCAGTTTTTCTCCGATTTTTGTGTGGTGATTCCGCTTGATTTTGCTGGTGAATGAATGCTCTTCTTCTTTTATTTTTTTGGGTTGAAAACGCCTCTTTTACGGTAGGTTGTAGTTCCGATTGTGTGGTGCATGATGGAGGTTCCTTGGATCTTTGGCCGTATGGTTTTACTAAACGTGATGAGATATACAATTTTTGTTTTGATGAATCCGTTTTTGTTGTGATATGATCAAGACCGTGCATGACTGAAACGTGTTACCAAATTTAGGAAAGCTCAACTATCACTCTGATTAGGCAACTAAAATTTCCATCCTGGAAGCAAAGACCACAAAGTTTCTCTTTGTGGAATTATTAAACGGCAGGACGTTTGAGTTGCCTCTCTAATACTTTGGGCCTCTAAACGAGCTTATAAACATTTGGGCTTTGGTCTATTTTGATGGTTTTTCAGAGTTTATTAGTTAGTTCCTACATGCGTAGAGTTTATTCTTCCGATGTACATAATCATCTTCTTTGAAATGTGTATATTATAAACTACATATGTGATATGTTACATAGCTTCTTGAAACTGGGTTATGAAATTACAGGCTTCTTCTGGTGAAAGCAAAAAGATCGTTGGGGTTTTCTACAAGGCCAATGAATACGCTTCCAAGAATCCTAACTTCCTTGGCTGCGTCGAGAATGCCTTAGGAATCCGCGACTGGCTTGAATCACAAGGACATCAGTACATTGTCACCGACGACAAAGAAGGCCCAGACTGCGGTGAGTGTTGCATCCAATCGTAGATCATTATACCAAGATCATCATAAATCTTGTTTCTTCTTTTTTTTGTTCATAGTAGTGTATGGTTCCTGTTGATGCTATACTCTTGTAATTGGCAGAACTTGAGAAACACATCCCGGATCTTCACGTCTTAATCTCAACCCCGTTCCACCCGGCGTATGTGACTGCTGAAAGAATCAAGAAAGCCAAGAACCTGCAGCTTCTCCTCACCGCTGGTATTGGCTCCGATCACATCGACCTCCAGGCAGCTGCGGCTGCTGGCCTGACGGTGGCTGAAGTCACTGGAAGCAACGTGGTCTCGGTAGCAGAGGACGAGCTCATGAGAATCCTTATTCTCATGCGCAACTTCGTACCAGGGTACAATCAGGTCGTCAATGGGGAGTGGAACGTGGCCGGCATTGCGTACAGAGCTTACGATCTTGAAGGGAAGACCATAGGAACCGTTGGAGCTGGGAGAATCGGGAGGCTTTTGCTACAGAGGTTGAAACCGTTCGGGTGTAACTTACTCTACCACGACCGGCTTCAGATGGAACCGGAGCTGGAGAAAGAGATTGGTGCAAAGTACGTTGAGAATCTCAATGAAATGCTCCCTAAATGCGACGTCGTAGTCGTCAACACTCCTCTCACAGAGAAGACAAGGTAGTAAGACGCTAATATCACAACCCCGAGCCTAGACTTTTTTTTTGTCAGAGATTTGACCAAAACGGTTCGTGTTTCCTTTTTTTGGTACAGAGGAATGTTCAACAGAGAGATGATAGGAAAAATGAAGAAAGGCGTTATGATAGTGAATAACGCGAGAGGAGCCATCATGGAGAGGCAAGCGGTGGTGGAGGCGGTGGAGAGTGGACACATTGGAGGGTACAGCGGAGACGTGTGGGACCCTCAGCCAGCTCCTAAGGACCATCCATGGCGTTACATGCCTAACCAAGCCATGACTCCTCACATCTCCGGCACCACCATCGATGCGCAGGTAAATATTGGTTTCCCTAAATGATTAACCAATAACATACATAATTTGCCTTTGAAATATATCCTAAATATACTTGGTGTTTTGTTTAAAAACTAAAACAAATCAGCTACGATATGCTGCGGGGACGAAAGACATGTTGGAGAAGTACTTTAAGGGAGAAGACTTCCCTGTCCAGAATTACATCGTCAAGGACGGTGAACTTGCTCCTCAGTATCGGTGAGCTTTTTCAACTCTCAACTCTTGTATCTAAGGGGCAAAAGCCTACAATAATTTGTCCCTTTGTCCATTTGAAAAAAAAATGTAATAAATCAGCAAGACATGTGAGGTTAATATTTTAAAACATTTATGTCTTTGATCTTTGAGTTGAACCGATCGAGAACTGGTGTAACTGGTTAAGAATCTAATTGACCGAGGGTTTAAGTATTCGTTTACGATTGGTTTACCCTCGAGAGGTATTTGCTTTTCTGTGTACGATATCTATTATCTAGTGTGGGTTGGTAACAAAAGACGTGTGGCCGATCTTAGGATTTACACGTAAATATGAACTTCCGTGGGTTCAGTTCCTTCTCTCATTAGTTCGTCTTTCACAACGGTACAGTTCCGTGAGAATAAGAGCTTGAGGATAACAACTCGAGTTACATGTGGATTAAAATGCAAAGCTTCACAACAGTTCAACCATAAAATTTGATAGACAGTTTTCGTCATAAGTTTATTATTGATCATGATGTGAAACTAAATACAGTTAGTTATAAAAGACTAAACTCCGTTGGGAAAAAACGGAAAAAGGTAAAAAGTAAAAGAATCACGACGAAAGTAACCTGAGGAAGGTGTGTAACAATAATAATTCTATCCGCTACCAAAAAGCAAAAAATCACGACGAAAGTAACCTGTGGAAAGAGTAAGAAAATACAGCGAACTAACTAAATGCGGTTTTATTTATTGTCACAAGCACAACCCAAATAAGCTTTGAATCATGCGGGGAAGAAAAAGAAGACAAGAGTCACCAAATGACTCTTTGGGCTATTTGATCATTTGGACAGTGTTAGGTTTGGCAAATCCGTAAATGTGTGTTGTGAGTTTCTTCTTGTAATAGAGGTTTTGATATATTGTTAAGAGTTCAGACTTAAAGCCGAAAATGAACAGGCTTGACCTGGTAAGGTAGTAGACACACACCGACGCTGGTCTAACGAGAACATTACGACAAAATTTGTATAATGTTTTAGAACGTGGGTCCTCCATATTTGTACTCATATTTATTTTCTCGACAACTATATAAATCAATCAATATTATGGGTATTGTGTATTTTCGCAAGATGGGAGAAGAGACGGTGGATGCTAATCATTCATTTTGTAATTTGATCAAACAGTGGTTAGATATGGTGACACCCAACTTCTTCTTTTCTCCTTCTTCCAAATCTGCCCTTCCCCACAATGCCTTATCGCATCATGACTCTTTTTCTTTTCTTTTTACAACATCAAAGTGTCTGATGTTCAAACAGAAATTTAATGGAATTGTATAAAAAGATATGCATAATTTTCAAAGAATGTTAACTTCAATTCAAACTGAACTATTATACAATAACAAGTTTCTTATCATTGTATCTTTAGAATACAGAGTATAAATACTTGTGATTAGGCTTTCCCATCATTGAATTATTGATAACAACATTCGAAACTTCATGACAACACCATAAAAACACGCAAAATCGCAAAGTCTTTTTTTTGTCATCGCCAAATGTTATTTGTATATGAATTTTCAATTAGAATGATTCAAGTTAATCATTATACGGATCTGACCAGATTTGAATTTAATTCTTATATAGAGAAGTACGATATGGATTTAAAGCGCTTAGACCTACCTACCATATTTCTTTGTATCCGAAAAATGTAGTCATTGTTATCAACACTTATGATAAAAAAAGAAAGCATTTATACAAAAGATTGCTGGAAAAAAACCATTTAAAAAAGATTATGCTAGATTCACAGCGACAGTCGACAGTTGATGAGGATGTTTTTTTGGCGCTGGAGGGTCAAATCAAAAATCTAATCACATAGCTTTATTCAAAATAAAATATGATTAATCAAAGAGAGAAAATAGTTTTATTTGGAAATAATATATTTGGTCAGAGGATATTTATGGGAATAATGTGAACAAGAAAGAAAACAAACATTAATTTCAACCGCGAGGCGATCGCATATGGTAACTAGAAACCGACAAAAAATACGCTTGTGCACATGGGTCCCACTTATATTGCTATACGACACCGTATTCGATTCACACCATACGTATACGACGTCGTACTGAACCACACCATACGAATACAACTCGTGAAAGTACATCGCCGGTTTATATTTTTCTTCTTCAATAAAATTAAGACTCTCTCTCTCTCTTAAGTTTTTCTCTTTCGTTCTCTCTATTTTCTCTGGCATTTCAAATTTCATTTTCCTTATTTAGGATTTGAAGGTCGGCGATTTTCGAGTCAACAGATATTCGCCATTCCGCCTTCAGTTTTTCTTCTCTGAGGCGGCTTGCGTTTCGCCACCGCTTGATTCGCCGGTAAATTTCTCTATCTCATTTTCCGGTATACGCGTAATGCAAACCCGAACTGGTACTACGGGTATTCATAGGCCTATTTTTCATGTGGTTTTGATCTCTCGAATTATAGAATTTGTCAGCCGCTGAAAACTATTTTGAATCGGATTTTTGGAATCGTTAGGACTTGTTTGAAAACAAATTGAGATCTTCTGAGAGTTCTAGAGTGAGATCGTGTTTTTGTTGTTATTGTTAAATTGCTTGAAATTCGAGTTCGCAATGTAGATCTATGCCGTGTTCCGTTTCTTCGTTTGAATTGGTCCGCTTTGATCGTATTAAAACAGTATGTGAAGTTGACAACGAAGAGTTACTCAAGATTTTCTACATTTTTCCTGGTCTATTGATGGCATTTTCCGGATAATAATTTTCTTAATCTGCTGTTATCTGGTGGAGTTTCTTGGCTGATTCAAGCTTTATAGAGATCTGTGCGCAAATTCCAAAGATCTATTGCTTTGTGATGAGTGAGAAATGATTTTGAGTGTCTCACTTTAGGCTTAGTGTGACAGTATTACGAAAAATTCAGTATCCTCTAGGTTTTGTTGGATGTAAACTCGAGAAAGTGTTTCTCTAAAGTAGATTATGATTTTGGTCTTCATCGTTTTGAATCATAGTTTTTCTTCTTGCAGTGTGGTTGCATTTATCGTCTCCATTGTATTCCTGTAACTGTATGCTTTTTTTTGTTGCGATGGTGATTTATTTGAAGTTCTTCACGCAGGTGACTTCACGCATGGCCAGTAATACTTTAAAAGATCTGAATAGTCTTCCTGTTACTGAGAAGTTAAGTGAGTGTAAAGCAAGCTTAACCAAGCCTTGTGTTGGCAAAATGAACGGAAAATCTGAAGAGAGACCATTACCATTACAAAGCTCTGCCTCTTTGGATCCCAGTGATCCCAGCGTTGTAGATTCAGAGAAACCCGAGCCAGAGAAAGCTATCGTGGAAGTTGAGTACATTGAATCCGAGAAGTTGGATAATGTTGACGATGCTGATGCAGTTCTGAAGGTAATTTTTTTTGTTTGTGCTTCTGTGTTATGGTTGAAACCGTTATATCCATCTGTTTGGATATTGGAGTTATGATTGTTTACGCAAACGAACTTGTTTGGTCTCATCATTTTTCTTCAGTCGGTTCTAGCTGGTCTTGACTCTAAAGATTGGGTATCAGTCTGTGAAGCTCTTAATAATGTTCGTCGGCTTTCGATATTCCACAAGGAAGAAATGCTGCATATGCTGTAAGCCATGTTCTCTCTATGCTGATGTCTCTGAGTTTATTATCTCATAAAGTAGATTGAAAAACACAAGTCTCACGGTATCCCCCTTAACAGCGAAAAAGTGATCCCACTCGTCGTGAAATCACTGAAAAATCCAAGGAGCGCGGTATGTAAAACAGCATGCATGACATCTGCAGACATATTCAGTGCATATAACAACGATATAACAGATCTGTTGGATTCTCTGGTAACTCCTTAATCCCTTTTTTTTTTTACTCTTTCACCATGTTCGTTGACTGAATTTTACTTGTGCTTACAACGTTTTATACACTATGCTTTCAGCTTACTCAGCTCCTCCTCAAGTCTTCCCAAGACAAAAGGTTTGTCTGCGAGGCAGCAGAGAAAGCTTTAACATCAATGACCAAATATGTTTCCCCAACTTTGCTGTTACCAAAGCTGCAACCTTGTCTCAAGAACAGGAATCCTCGGATCCGCGCAAAAGCATCATTATGCTTTGCTCGAAGTGTTCCCCGACTGGTAATTCAAGTTCAACTTACAGATATATCTCTCACAAGGTGTTTACTTAACAATTCCAACAACTCCTTGCGCTGTAATTATACATATTCCACATATTCCAGGGCGTTGAAGGTATTAAAGAATATGGAATCGACAAATTGGTTCAAGCAGCCGCATCTCAGCTTAGCGATCAGCTCCCTGAATCCCGTGAGGCTGCACGAACGGTCCTACTAGAGCTTCAGAGCGTGTATGAAAAAGGTCATCCTCTCATCAAGCCCGAGACATCATCATCAACTTCTTCGCCAGAGGAAGAGCAAAACCCTGAGGCAGAGCTGATTACTTGGGAAATCTTCTGCCAGTCAAAGCTGTCGGCTCTAAGCGCACAAGCCGTGCTACGTGTCACCAATGTTGTGCCAGTGACTGTTCGGGAGAGTTTGGTTACTACAGGTGCAGCATCGCCATCTCAGATATAAACCTTTTCTACTGCATTTTGAATATTTTTTCTTTTGAAACCGGATCATACGGTTTCATGGTATTCTCCGGGCATGATCTACCAAATTGGCAAATTATGGATCGATAAAGAGAGTGAAGGCCGTTTATTAAAAACATGGTTTCTTTCTGGGTTATTTTTTCTTTTCGAGAATTCTCTTCAGTCTTCATGATTGCTTTTTTTTTTTTTTTTTTTTATCTTTTTCTTCTGTGTATATATATCTATACCAATCTTTTTGCTTTAATGGAAATTGGTCGGATTCTTTGAAGATTCAGTCTCCGTTCTTCACTTCTTCTTCCTTGCCTCGACTCGTAGTATTAGGTGGTTTAATTGTTGGTTTGATGCAAATTAGATATTTGTGTTTTCTTCTATAACGCGGTTTAAGTTGAAGCTGACATCGTTTCTAGCCTTGGTAATACCCAAACACTGAAAGCTGACTTTTATTATTGTTTACATAAGAAAAGTATCCGAGTTCAGAGAACCAATAGAGAAACAAATTTCACCTCTATCATATCGAAGATGAAAAATCAATGCAAACCCCTTATTATGATGAATCCGTGAGGTGTAGCAATAACGTAACTACATAATTTAGCTCTGCGAGAGCTCGCGGCTTCGATTAGCTGCAGCAACAACAGCATTCATAAGTGTTGCACGGAAAGAGCCTTTCTCCAGTTCATGAACTCCGGCTATTGTAGTGCCGCCTGGTGAAGTAACATCATCTTTCAACACACCCGGATGCTTCCCGGTTTTGCTCACCATTGTTGCAGCTCCAAGAACCTGTCAGAGAAAGAAAGAAGAAAAAAACACAAAGCTCAGGCTTTTCTTTCTAGTTTCTGTTATTCAACAATACCACAAAAAAAAAAAGATTAAAGAATAAGTATGGGTCGGTTCACTGACGGTTTGTGAAGCTAAACTCAATGCGAGTTCCCGGGGTAAACCAGCAGCTACTCCTCCATCAGCTAAAGCTTCAATGGCTAAGAATATGTATGCTGGTCCACTTCCACTGTAAAAAAGTTGAGAAATTTCAAAGAACTTAGGTATACATGATTAGTGACTTGAACAACTTCAGCATTCAGAAACCGTTATGTACCTTAGACCAGTGACAGCATCAAACATTTTCTCATCAGCTCTTAATATCTTCCCCACCGAGCCAAACAACTTAGCGACAACTGCTCCATCTTCTTCCGTTGCCGCTGTTCCCAGGCTCATTACTATTGTACACACGACACAATGCAGCATTTGTAAGCGATTTTTGATAGTTCCAAAGAGAAAAAAAAAAATCAAAAACGATTCAGTAAGAGCACAACTAGGGGACTGTGAGAAACTACCTGAAGCTGCCTCACCAACAGCGGCTGGTGTATTAGGCATCACCCTTATGAACCGATCTTGACCAGACCATTCCTAAACATAGGAGAAAAAGAGATCTTTCAGCATTTCAACCAAATGGAACTCTAGAGCATGTTTAATACAAAACACTGACACTGCAACACCATGGATAATGGCAAAACCATATATTATTCAGGACTGATGAACTTTTAACAACAAGATACAAACCTGTAGATCTTTCAACTTGATTCCAGCTGCAACCGAAACCAGAACCTTATCCTTCGAGAGCTTCGACTTCAATTCCGTGACGGCCTTCTTAACTGCATATAACACAGGTACGTGTTACGTAAGCACTAAATTTCATTGATGAATGGATCATACATCTCACCAAAAAAAGGATTAAATCGAAAATATACCAACTTGGGGTTTCACAGAGAAAATCACAATATCGCTTTCTTTAACGACCTGTCATTTTGAAGATCGTCAGTTTCGATTAGTTTCACGCCAGCAGACATTGACGACTCCCTGATTTAACACGACAACATCAACGTGCCACTAAAGTTCATGATTTACTCCGAATGAAAAATCTCTTGCTCTTTCTCGCTAAGACTACCTACAAAGGAAATGTAGAGAAGAGCGACTTACTTCCTCGCTACTCGAGAAGACATTGACGCCAAAGGATTCGAAGACATCGCGGCGTTTCAGATTCGAGTGTACGGCGGTGGAGATACGATGCGGAGGAAGCATACCAGAGGCAACCACACCCCTAGCTATACTCTCTGCCATTTTTCCAGCTCCGATGAATCCCACCTTGAAGCTCTCCACCGGAATCGGAAGTATCTCCATCGGAAAAATTACGGATTAAGGATAGGATTTAGGGTTGTTTCTGGTTCAAAATACTTTCTTCGATCAACTAAGTGTAACTGTCCAAGTGTTAAAAACATAAAAGAGATCCGTTCATGTACGCACGCGCAGATCAAGTGGGCTCAGTAGTTTATGAAGGCCCACTAAATATAGAGTTATAAATTTAAAACCGGCCCGCTTAAAAAATAAAGTAAAATATACGTATTAAAAAAATTAAATGACGCAGAAAACAAAAAAAAAAAAAACATTAATTTTACAAACCTGTCGTTCATACAAAAACCCCCAGAACATCACGATGTCTTTTGGAAATCGATACAAAGCTAAACCAACTAAAAACGATACGATGTTTGGTTACAGAAACCTAATCAGTCTTGTGTAGGACGTCAAATGAAAAAAGGGAAAAAGGGATTTGACACTAATTTGCAATACTAGACGCCCCAAAGTAATGGAAATCGTTCAGATTTTCACTATATATAATTGATCTGTCTCTTGCATAAGACGCAATAAATCCATCGACTCGCAAAAAAAAGTACCGTCACCTACTCCGTAATCAGATGGCTCACATAAATCTCAGAGATCATGAATCCGATGGATCTGAACGATCCGATTTTCCTACCATCTGCGATTCGTCTCTCAATCCGGGCGTTCCAATGGTATGTTCCTCTCTTCCATCTCTCGAACAATCTTTGAATTCCCCGTTGCTTGTTGTTTCAGTGGCTCCTTAAAGTAGGTTTCCGGATCTTTATCTCTGATTCCGTCTCTTGGTCGTTGATGTTTTCTGTACGTATTACTGGAGTGCTTAAACTTACCAGAAATCTTCTAGGTTTAGGGTTTAGGTATTCATCAAGTTCGTCGGGACTTTTTGGTGTTTAGAATTAAATTCATCGAGATTATATAGCTGTTGATTTTGATAGCTTGTGATATTGGAAGGCAGCGACCATCTGAGATGCCCCCAACAAGCCGAGAGGTTCGTGTTCCAAGCACTTTGGAACCACCAGAGGATAAAAGCATGAAGACGCTCCTCGTCTTCGGTGGACTTATCTTGAGTTCAGTGGAAAACATACGAGCCCAGTTCAGTGCTTATGGAGAAGTCGAATCTGTTGATTACATGGCCGAGGAAACCTTTGCGTTTGTCACATATACACAACCCGAGAAGGAGCAGAGAAGGCCGCCCAAGAGCTGTCCCAGGGGGTAGTCATCAACCGTCTGAGGCTAAAACTCGTGTGGGCAAGACCTCCTCCATCTGCTGAAGATAGTGCCAAATTAGATGAGGCACCCTTCATGCTACTTGGCTCAAGCCGACAGGTTCGTGTTCCAAGCACTTTCCACGGAGTTTTTTCTTTTTCTTTTCAACGGCGCATGGATCGTCTACGCCAGATTCGAGAACAAGGAAGGGAGCGACCAAATGAGATAAGTCATGATTAGTCTTGAGTAAGCTATTCTCTTATGTATTGCTTGAGTTTAGTTGCCTTCATCAAACGCTTTTAGTTGCCTTCCTCAAATGCTTTTGTGTATGTTTCTTCCAGCAGGGTAGGACCTGAAGCTTCTTCTTCTTCTTCTTCTTCTTCTTCTGACCTGAAGCATCTACTCCCGTTAAGTGTTAAAACATACAAGAGATCAGTTCATGTACGCACGCGCAGATCAAGTGGGCTCAGTAGTTTATCAAGGCCCACTAAATAAGCGTTACAAATTTAAAACCCGCCCGCTTAAAAAATGAAATAAAATATACGTTTTAAAAAAAATTATATGACGCAGAAAACAAACAAAAAAAACATTAATTTTACAATCGTGTCGTTCATACAAAATATCACCAAAATATCACGATGTCTTTTGAGAATCGATACAAAGCTAAACCAACCAAAAACGACACGATGTTTGGTTACAGAAACCTAATCAGTCTTGTCTAGCATAGACGACTACTGAAGATTGAAGATCTCGATCAACTTTGAAATGCGCGTGGAAGAATCTTCTGACCTGTTTCATTGCGAACAAAAAAACAGATTTTAACTCCATAAATGCAAAAAAAAAAGGTCAAAGTTGATAAGGAAGAAAAACACTTTGTTCTTGCTTCTCTAACTTGCCTCTTTAAAGGAATGTTGGATCATGAAATCTCCGAGTTTTTTTTCTTCTGATTCAAACAATACAATGTGACTAGGCGGCTCTGACCAGCTTCTAGCTAACTCTGATGCAAAACTTAAAGGGTCCATTAAGAATTGATCTGACTCATCAAGTTTTCCTTTCTCTTCACTGATTAAGAAGAATAATAAGAAGAAGAAGAATCTTAAAAGAGTTACTTCGAAGCAAGAACTGTGACTCAGGGCGTGATCAGTTACCTTGGCGTGCAATCCAGAAATTGCATCGGAATGTTACTGTGGAGAGTGGAATAATAGGGAGTAGAATGGCATGGCATGAGAAAGAGAATGCTCTTTACTCTTTCTTTGTATGCTTCTTCGGATAAGTAGTTCATAGCATCTTCGGTTCCTCTCTGTTGGAAACAACAACATTGTTTTATTAGCACAGTTAACGAAAGTGAGTGAGAAAGTGTAAAACAGATAGCTTTCAAGTGACTGGTTTTATACCTGATGGAATAAACTCATGTATAATGCAAATGGAATATTGGTAGCAAGCAAAAAAACGACAAGCCCTAGTTTAGGAGACCACTTGATGATATGGTTCTTTCGAGTGACTTGCTTCTTTTTGGTGACTGATGATGATGATGATGAATCAGATGCCTCCATTTGGGCAAATGCATACCCAGAGAACATCAAAGCTACGGGTAGCACAGGCAGCACAAACCTATCATTCATATTCTAAGTAGACGACACTGAAAACATAATTCATGATGACGAGATGTTTCTTGAGATCGAAAACGAAACTGTAACAAAAAAGGGTTCACTCTACATTTATATTACCTGAATTCCTTGTGGCCGAGAAGGCTGTACACAGCTAAAACCCATAGAACAAGAGCTGAGAGCTTTTGATTCTTAGACTTGATAATTCCAACAATGGAGAACGGTGTGAAAGTGAAAAGCATGACAAGAAATCCTTGGGTGAAGTACCAATGCCATGGGTGAGTTCCGTAATAGTCTCCACCAGATGAAAGGAAGTTGAACTTCAGAAAATTGAGAGGCACAATGACCCATGACCCGTACATCAGACGGTCTAACAAACAGGTGAAACCGAGCACCAAAGACCTAACACCAGAAGCAAGTAAGCGCAACGAACTCTTCCAAAAGCAAAAGCATTCAAGAGTAGTACAACCACAGAGTTATACTCACCCAATCGGGATCACCTCTAGAACGATGAATTTGACCTTTTTAGGCGTCAGGAACAGCTCGAGCATCCCAACAAATAACCATATGATTGCACTTGTTGGTCTTATGGCACACGCCAGGGCTGCTATGACCAAACCCCACTTCCGATTCACGGGATAGTCCTTTGAAGGATCTCTAATACAAGGCCAGTAGTAGAGCCCCATGATGGTTAGAACAGTCTCCAAACAGTTTGAAAAAGTACGGTTCAAACAGAAGAACATGAACCAGTTTGTCATTTGACAAAAGAGCTACCAAAACGTTAAGGAAACAATCCGGATTAAAATTGGCAAATGCAAAATTAAGAACGGCTAGGTTTCAAAAACAACAACAGGAAACAAAAATAAAATTCAATGACAAGAGGGAATCATTCATTCAGGACATCTTCATGGCAACAACCACTAACAGACTTATCTCAGTATTTCATCAAAATAGGACTGAAGCTCCATAGATCTATCACCTATCATTGCGTATGAACTATCAAATATAGTGTAATGATCGGTTGGCTTCACTCTTGTAGGTGATGTTTGTTTTTAAAATCCTAGGCTAATAATCTTGTAAATTTCATTGGTCGCAAGTTCAAAAAAATTAAGAAATTGACTTCGTAAAGGATACAGACCAACTTGCAACATGTTCTCCGTATAGAGCATCCGAGAGTTTATACAAATAGAGATCACCAAGAGCTGAAAATATGGATTGCATGAGACGTGGAGCTTTGCTCTGCAGAGAAATGAAAAAAGGTTGTAACACATAAACCATTCTTCTTCTTCTTTTTTCCCAACGAAAATATAACAACACACTTACTTATAATTCAATCCACAAGCTAACAAGATTTGTTGTGAAAAAAAAAAAAAAAAAAAAAAATGATACTGACCATTACGTAGGGAGTATCAAGGCCCGTAACTTGAAGAAGTTTATACAAGAATGCGAATACCATGGGATGCAAATAGCTTCTTATTCCTCTCTTCCACTCCCATGTCACATGACCGTACCTGCCATTATGCTCAATCAAGTCCCAATCTTCAAATGGCAATCATAGCTGACTATTACGAACTCGTCACAATTCTCATTTCTACAAATTTAACAACAACGATCATCGAATTTAGCAGTCAAACTTTGATAACCCAATCAATAACACCCAGCATCATAGAATCCACATAGGTTCGATCAATTTCCCACGAATCCAACTGAACAGTCAACGAGTAGAGACTGTGTGATTCAAAGCTAGAGAATAGAAACATAGCGTTTTAATCTTATAAAAACATTACCCGAAGACGGTACGATGAGCTACTTCAAGGGATTGCCAATGCTCGTCGGGATTGAAATAAGTTTGAATCAACAAAGCATTCACCACACGAAACGCGAGGCAGAACAAGAATATCCTCCTCGGAGATCGAGTTTGAGATGTGTTAGAAGAAATAATAGACGAGCTCCGATTATCTTCGCCGTTAACTGACGCGCCACCGTCACCATCGCCGTCGGCGTTCCTCCGCTTCCTCATGGCGGAAATTAAAATTCCGAAATGGAGCTCAAGTTAGATTCGCTGGTTAGCTAAACAATTTTTTTGTGGGCTTTAAGTATGCTGAGAAAGGGCTCGATAATGAAGTATTTAGGCCCATATCATAATGGTTTTGTTTTAGTAATTCGCTAATTTGTGATTAGAATGTTATATTTCATACGAAAATCTTCATTTCAAATACTGAATAGAAGAAGATTGGAGATTTTCGTTTATTCAATTTGTTTCTATGTTCTTAATTTAATTAGCAGTGTTTTTAGAAGCAATTTATCACCATCAGATTCTCTCATAAGATTGGAGATTTTCGTTTATTCAATTTGTTTCTATATTATTAATTTAATTAGCAGTGTTTCTAGAAGCAATTTATCACCATCAGATTCTCTCATAAGACTGGAGATTTCCGTTTATTCAATATGTTTCTATATTCTTAAATTAATTGGCAGTGTTTCTAGAAGCAATTTATCACCATCAGATTCTCTCATAAGATTGGAGATTTTCGCTTATTCAATTTGTTTATATATCCTTAATTTATGAGAGGATCTGATTTAATAATTGAACCACATGTCCAAGAAGCTGTAGTAATCTGCATACTACTGGCATGCAGAGATTAAAACGTTTGCCTGGAATTTTACCCCTAGATCATCATTAAATATTGAATATATATATATTTATTTTTACATCAAACTCAAAAAAAAAAAAAAGTCGAATAGTGACGCATACACATTGGCGAGCTCAAACCACCAAATTTGGTTCCGAAATGCATTTGAGTATTTCTTCATTTTTGTTTTCTTGAATTCACAGCTCCATTTATATTTTTTACAATCAAAGAGTATAATGTGCAGATATTAAGTCTACTATTGGTTCTTTATTTTTGTGATATTAATACTTGTCACCAAATTAATGTTTTGGTGTCCTTTTTTTTCCTTTTTATATACGTACTCTTGTTTTCTGTTCTTAAAAGTTTGTTTCCCATGTAGATCGAGGCTAAAGAAGAACTGAATATATGGTTATTCATGGACTTGCTTCGTAACGTTCTAGTTCTAGTTTTCTACGACTACGTCCAAGTAATTAACTTATTTGGATCAAGTCAAAAAGCAATAAATATATTTTGGAAACACAAATCGCTGAAACTCTTTAAACAAAAAGAAGAAGTAAACACTGACTCGACCTATAAATATAAGTCTTGTGAAAACAATGTTAATAAGAAACACAAAAACATGGCAGTTTCACAATCATCACCTCACCATGTGGTTCTCTTCCCTTACATGTCAAAGGGCCACACCATCCCTCTCCTCCGATTCGCCCGTCTCCTCCTCCGTCACCGCCGTGTCATCTCCGACTCCGATGACGGCGAAGTACCAAGCATTTTCGTCACCGTTTTCACCACCCCAAAAAACCAACCTTTCGTCTCAAGCTTCCTCTCCGACGTCACATCATATACCAAAATAATATCCCTCCCTTTCCCGGAAAATATCACCGGAATCCCTCCCGGCGTCGAGAGCACCGACAAGCTCCCTTCTATGTCGCTCTACGTGCCCTTCACGCGCGCGACCAAATCTCTCCAGCCTCTCTTCGAAGAAACACTCAAGAATCTTCCACAAGTTTCTTTCATCGTCTCCGATGGATTCCTCTGGTGGACATTGGAATCCGCCGCTAAATTCGAGATCCCGAGACTCGCCTTCTACGGCATGAACTCCTACGCCACGGCTATCTACTCCTCCGTTTCGGTACACCAACTCTTTACAAAGCCGGAAACTGTTATATCTGATACCGAACCGGTTATTGTACCGGATTTTCAATGGATCCGCGTTAAGAAGTGCGAACTCGACCCGGTTATAACCGACCCGAATCAATCTGGTCCAAGTTTTGAGCTATTCATGGACCATATTCTGTCCACTAATAAAAGCCATGGAGTTATAAGGAACAGCTATTACGAGCTCGAATCAACGTTCGTTGACTTCAAACCCCGTGTTAACGGTGGGCCCAAGCCGTGGTGTGTTGGGCCTTTGTGTTTAGTAGATTCTCCTAAACCGGAATATGATAAACCGAGTTGGATTAATTGGTTGGACCGGAAACGAGTGGAAGGACGACCGGTTTTGTATGTGGCGTTTGGAACGCAGGCGGAGATATCGAACGAGCAACTCAAGGAAATAGCATTTGGGTTGGAAGATTCCAAGGTACGTAAAACAATTGATGCCAAATTATGACATAAATAATGGTTACAAAAAAATATGTATCATGTAATCAATATTTTTAGAATCTTTCACTGACTACAACACATTTTACTCTTTTTTTTTGCTTGAGATTTTCTTTTCAAACTATTCGATCTAACTCCATGCATGTATTTGGTTTGTAGTATAAAGTATATATCAATCCATGTAATAGATTATATATGATTATTAATGCATGTGTGGACTAACAAAGAACAGTATTTTGTTAATTTACGTGGTCTATTTTTTTTTAATAAAGGTTAACTTCTTATGGGTGACGAGAAAGGACGTGGAAGAAGTGATTGGAGAAGTAGGGTTCGAAGATAGAGTGAGAGAGCGTGGGATGATCGTGAGAGATTGGGTGGACCAGTGGGAGATACTGTCGCATGAAAGTGTGAAAGTGTTTTTGAGCCATTGTGGATGGAACTCGGCGCAAGAAAGCATTTGCGCCGGAATTCCACTGCTCGCGTGGCCAATGATGGCCGAGCAGCCGCTCAATGCGAAGTTGGTTGTGGAGGAGCTAAAGATCGGGTTAAGAATCGAAACAGAAGATGGAAGTATCAAAGGGTTCGTTATAAGAGATGAACTAAGTCGAAAGGTATGATAAGATTCAAAATGTTTTAATGAATCTAATATATAGTATTAAAATATGGCACTAAACGTAGTACCAACTGTGTGTTTATAAACCAACAACTTAACAATAATTTATTTTATTTGTAATTAGGTTAAAGAATTGATGGAAGGAGAGATGGGAAAGACTGCGAGGAAGAATGTGGAAGAGTATGCAGAAATGGCTAAAGAAGCTTTAGCTCCCGGTTCTGGTTCGTCGTGGAAGAATTTGAGTACGCTTCTTGAAGAGTTATGCAAGAGTAGAGAGACAAATTGTGTTAGTAAAATTGTCAAGTGATGAGCAGAGAAATTGAGCATTAGGTTTTGAACCGGGTTGTACCGAGTTAACCAATATAAATGTCTGGCTTAGTTGAAGATTTGGTCTAAATTTTGGGTTTTGATTTTCGCTAATTCAAGCTTTTCAGTTGCATTCAGATTCAGGGGTGTGCTTTATGATATATGTATCTTCTTTCCCATGAGTTTGATTCATCTCGACAAAATTGCTTTCTTTGATTGTATTCTTAGCTGTTCAATTGTTCTTATGAATGATCGGATAGTGAGTATTTATGCAAAAATAGCATCTGATATGAGAAAATAGAACCATACAATATAACATTGAAACAATTTACTCTACACTCTTTCGCTATGTATATCTAACATGTTCAAACCGAAACGAAAAAAAATAAAATAAAAAAGTATTAGAAGTTGAAATAATAATGGGATTTCCTAACACTATTTACCATCTAAAACCAAACATGTCACACTGAGTATCTTTTTTGTTCTCTCCCAAAAAAAAACCTACACTGTTAAACATCTTCTTTATCTATTGAGAAATCAGGCTCATCTGGTTTGAATAGTTGAGGCATTTTCAAACTGCTCGAAGATCCATCTTTCTTGCCAGTACTACTGCTTGAAGCCTTTTGATTTGTGCCTTTTCTCGTGTTTGCTGCGAATTTAGACGCCAAGATTGTTGCTCCCAGGTTTTGGTTGTTGCTTGTGTTGTCCACTGATAACCCCTCGCCTTCGAAATCATCGTCGTCGCTTCCGTAGTAGTACTCTCTCCTTTCTCCGTCTTCTTCGTTGTAACCTGTTTCATCTGTGTAATAGTATCCGCTACTCTCGTGCAGGCTTAGCTCTTTCGCGAGCTTTCTTCGCTTGTATCTTCTCCATGCGGATTGGACAAAACACGTTCCCCATGCTCTCCACTGATGCGAGTAGTACCTGTAAAGGACATTTCAGGTTATGAATGGATGCGATAGTGAGTCAAAAGCCAATGAACCAGTCCTGTCTATGGGTATACCTGAAAGCGTGTTGAAGCTTTTTGCTTTGAAGACGTTTGAACTGATGAGCGACAAACTTAAGATCCTCAGCGCTTAAGGCAAAGGCTTCGACTTCAGAGAGGGCACGGACGCTTCGAGTTGAAGACGGGAGATTGAGTGCAGAGTTTGGCATTAAGGCCCACGTAAGAAGTTCTTCCCCACAGAAATCGCCTGGTCTTAAAGTAGTGGAGTTGAAGAAACCGGATCTTCCTCCATTTGTTGTTGAGCTCTCTATTTGTCCTCTGATCACAAAGAGCATCTCATTCACCGGATCGCCTTCACGGAATATGTAGGTCCCCGCCGTGCTTAAAGACGAGACAAGGCATCCGCATATAGCGTCAAGAAGTTGATCATCCATTTGAGAGAAGAACGGGACCTGCACTTACGAGAAAATGCAGTTTGATTTCTGAAATGGCAAATAATCAAACCATAACCATTTTTTTTGTGAGGGCGGAGTTAAAATGTATGTACCCGCCGGACAAGAGCGAGACAGAGATGGCGTTGGATTTCACGGCGTAAGTCTGTAGGCAAAGAATGGAGGATTGATTCTTCGTCGACCCCTCTGGTTGCAAGCCATTTGTATTGAACGAATCTACGGACTCGTTCTTGAAGCTCTGGAGGTAGTTGACGATGTCTCATCCATTCTTCAGTGTCTCGTCGCTTAACTCTCCATTCCTCAACTCTTACGGACATCGATTGTAGAGAACTCTTTCCACCAAAAATCACGAAGCCTTTTGTTAGAAATACAAAAACAATGTCTCTGAGAAGTTTTGCAGAGTCATGCATGAATTAAGCTCTGAAACTTACTTGCATGTTACCGATCAGGAGTGTGAAGAGAATCAACCCAAATATACAGATTGTTATACAGAACAGGGTCTCGCCTAGATATACGCTTGTGGTGATGTTCTGGCCGTAAGAACTGTGAAACAAGACCGTTATTAGAACCATAAGAGAACGAATCTAAGATAGAGAGACCAGAACATTAGTTTGATCATACCTCAGATTTCTCAAACCCCACCAAAGACAATATAAGTACTTGGAAACGAAATCTGTGGTAGCAACTTGAGTGGTAAAGGCTTCAGCAAACATCCCGAACTTGAAATTAGTAGTGCTGCTTGTAGCGTCGCAATGAGAAAGGACCTGAGTAACATTCTGCCAATACTGGCGCTCAGGTTGCTGCAGACTCTTGCAGTCCAAGAAGCTAGGAAGACAATCTAAAACTCTCAGGGCGTTATCTTTCTTGCATACGTTGGACCAGCAAGAGAACTGTCGCCCAATTGATGATAGATACCACATTGCTCCTAGCACCTATCCACAAAACGGAGATTCTTAGCAACATAAACTGAAGAAATCTAGAGAGAGAGACACATGTCGGGGAGAGAGACAGAGAAAGCGTACGTGACTAGCGAGGATGTAGAGGAGGAGGTTGTATGCAGCTCCTGCCCAAGCAGTCTTGGCGATGAACCCGGTTGTTTTAATGATCCTTTGGTTGAGTGGGAAGATGATGAACGATCGTGGAATGTACTGAACGAGAACGATAAGTGCGAGAGTGCTATTGGCATGGTTCGCAGTCCCGTTTGTGGCGGCTGGAATTACTAGCCAAATAACAAGCTGAGATCAAAAGATGGTCAGAACAAGCATGAGGCTTTGATAATGGTGTGTCTCTCTGAACATTCTCACATTCAAAGTTTATAAGTTCCTCTATTGAATCGAATTCAGAAACCATCACCCATTTTCATTTTGGTAGGACGATTCTTCCACTCAAACGATGGAAAACCTCAGAATCTAATTCGAATTTAGCTCACAAAATTAGTAGGATGCGAACCTGGGGAAGAGGAAGCATGGCGGCGACATCGATGAGGAAATCGGTCTTCAAGTACCTCATAGCGATCTCTCTGGAATCCATGACGAGCTCACCTCGACCAAAAACCCGAGAGCTCCGCGCGACGAACGCGGTTCTGAATTTCATGATGATGTGCAAGAGGTGGAAGAGATCGGCGACCGTGCGGAAGAATGTTACTGTGGCGGCGAGGCTGATGTCCACGGAGAGGCACGCCGGACCGCCGACGTAAGGTACGTAGAAATAGATAGGGTCGAGGAAGAGCGCGAGGATCGAGGTCACGAGAAAGACGTGGTTCCAGTATGTAACGATGTTGCTGTCCGGGTCCAGGATCTGATGCCGCCATAGAAGGACTTGGCTAGCGTATCCGGCGTCAGATCCTCGATTAGAGGCGGCGGAGGTTATAGTCTCCGGGAGAAGGCAGCGGAGAGACCGGATCTTATTCATCTTCCATGGCGGATTCCGGTGTTAATCGGATTCCGCATTAAGAGAGAGAGAGAGAGATAGAGATTGATGGAGAGAGAGAGACGGAGAGGTTTGGGCACTAAGGCCGCGTGTAATTTTTTCTTTTTCTTTTTCGTTATCATTTCCATATTCTTCTGATGATTATGGAAGATGGGGAGGATTTCTCGCGGGAAAACTGGGAGAAGGGCCATGGAAATAGGGGAGGGTAGTTTTTGGGAAATACGGTGGGAGAGTGAGGGTATTTACGGAAACTCAGTTGATAAAAGATATCATTAGTTGTTTGAACCTATCGGCCCAATAGCCATAGACCGGCCCGTCATATAAACTAATCTATACCCCCTTTTTCTTTGTCAAGAACTGATATATTGAAGTTAAAACAAGCAATAGTTTTCACTTTTCATAATAACCTATAAATTTGAGCGTTGTACATATTGTTCACAACTCTCAAATTTTTAATAATTACGATGATTGGAAACAAAATTAGAAAACGTAAATTAATATTTTGTAATCGTGGATTGAGGACATAAATAATACTTTGTTAACGTAAAAGCAATAGTTTTCATATCAACCCATCAATGCAGCTTGTGTGAAACATATGATGACAAAGCCTTAAAGAGTTAAGATCCTATTCGAGTCTCTTGTCATATCGTTACAACAAATCATACACATTGTGTTGATCTCGACAAAGCCTTAAAGAGGTGAATTTGGACGCCAATCAACAATTTTCCAGATCGTCTTCAGCAAGTTCTTATTGCCCTCAAACCACCGATAAAATGTGAGAGTTGTACCGGATGCTTTTAGATAACTTGGATGGACATGGAACAATGTGGTTGTGCAATGCTATACCACTGCTATGGAAAATAGTATTTTTAGTAGGAATCTCCATTCCGTCAAAGTCGTGATGATTTCAACATATTTTGTCAAGTGCATAATTAGAACAAAAAAGCCAATTATCTGCTATCAAATTATTTTATAATCTATTACTTAATTTATGTTTTTTTATTATGATTGATGACCTCTGAGATTTATGTGACATAATTTCTCATATTAGAAAGAAAGGAGATAACCACATCTTTAAGCGAGTCAATAAATTTATGTTTCTCATGAAAGTGGATTCGGTGGATCAATTCTCATTTGAAAATCTAAACGATTCCCATTAAAGTTTTGGTCTAGTGTCCCATGGATTCATCTAATATTGCAAATTAGTGTTAAATAATTTGTTCTATTTAACGTTCATGATTATCTATTTAATAATCTCAGTTCTAGAAATGTCTAGTTATACCTTTCTTTATAGTCTTTGATTGTTAATTCAGGGTAAAATTCACATGACAGACCAAAATTTTGAAAATTTCAAAGTATTTCTTTATAGTCTTTTACTGATTTTCATTTGATCATTGAATAAGATTAGTAAACATTTTAACTCCATTAGCTAGGATGGTCAAACAAATATGGAATGAACGACTAAAGGTAGTATTCCTTTGTTTACATACCCAAATTTAATTAAGCTTTTTGGTTTATGGGAGGGATGGAATTGTGTCTCTCATAAATTAATTCGCAAAATAAACTCCAAGTTTTTAACAAAGATGCGAAGTCAACTTTCCCTTTTTTTAATACTACAAATCAGACTTCCAAATGCGAAATTAAGGAGGAGTCAACGCAATATACAGAACCACA